AGGGACTTTATTTTAGAATGTCAGTATGTCAAAATGTCAGACAAAGTATTTTTTGTTCGAAAAAAGTGGATTTTACTAGTAAAATAGGGGCTGGATACAACTCAGGTGACTTATCAAATAATTAATACTCTATAAAAGGGAATAAATAGAGGTAAATACCCTGGAGGATGTAGAATAAGTGGTTTATATAGTACTGGCCTCAGGGGATAGCAAGCTTATAAGAAGGGCTAGCTTAAGGAGCTAGCATCCATAAGGATATCTAGTGGTTAGGCCCCTATATAAGGGACCCCTCTGTGGAAATCTAGGCCCTGCTCCCTAGACTGCTTATATAAGATAAACTTAGACCCCATAGGACTGGTCTGAGACCGGGTCCGTAGAAAGGGTCGCCTCAATTCCTAAAGTAACGGGGCAGTTGATCAACCCCCAAGTTTGAGAAACGGATGATCCATCAGTTCGCGAGCTGTCTTCCTCTTCTCTGGGAGCCAGGTGAGCATATCTTGAATAAAGGATAGAAATGCCTCTTGATCATTCTCTTCAAGGAACAGAGTTGTATCCTCTAAACTTCTGGATGGGATTAATTCATTATAGCAGAATTTATCTAGAATATAGTTAGCATGTCAGGTATTACCACAGGAGATAGTTATTAACCCACCAAACACACTTAGGTCCGACACCGTGACCCCCTGAAGAACAGGAACCATGAGATGATGAGGCGTGACAGATTCAGAGGACTGGACCCTTGGATCAATTGCTCATGATCCAGGTTGACTGAAATTGGTCCACCTTGGAGTGGAACCCGACCCGCTTCGGAGTCAAGGAAGGACCTTACAAGTTACCAGTTGTTGATGGTTGAACCGCTGAAGTTGCTCAGTCACAGTTACCAGTTCTGAGTCCGCTACCCCGAGCTCGAATTGTGTTCCAGATTGCAGATTGCAGTCTGCACTTTCTCCAAGATGTCCGAGGTTGATGGGTAGACCGGATTTCGGCTTCGTTTGTTGGGACCCATTGATTTGGAACGTGGTGGTGGTTCGGGAAGTTGGTCAGTAGATGGGAGTCTCGGTAGTTCCGTGCATGTGTTTAATTTCAATTGTTCTCGAATCTCAATCTGCGCTCCTACGCAGGCCAAGCCTTCACCAGCAGCCACTAGTCAGGGTGACAAGGGTTCTTAACTTCTGGATTGCGCGTTGCGCGAGACAGCGCAGGATGTCGATATACGAGATAGATACTTGGGTCGAAACGGTGTCTATTATTCCGTAGGATGAGCATCAATAAGGATAGTAGATAGAAGGACCATAGGTGATCCGTGTTTCTCAATTCATTTCTCATCATAAAATGTCCGATGAGGGCACTTTGTCTGTGTCCGTACTCCGTTGCCATCGTACGTACGCAAGCACCAAGGAAGGTTAATTAGAGAGCTGATCGTACCATCGTGGCGCCGCGTAGTTTGTTTTGGCTGTGCCGTTAGACGAGTCGATGATCAGCGAACGAGATTAGACGGATTTTTTAATCATTCAGGGGTTTTGTGTTATGAATGATGGAAGATGATGGTGATATGTACTGTGTAGTAAGGAGAAACATAGAAGACTGGAGAAGGGATGAGATAGATTATTATTATTATTATTGAGAACAGGATGAAAGGAGAGAGTCGAGAGAGCGAGAGAGAGGAGGATTGTCCTGTCAGTGTCAAGAGTACTGGGGATGCGGAACACTCTAAGCCAAACTACATAATAATTGGGTCTTGAGCCTTGAGCCCCTCCGCAATCAACTGTTTCCCCCCCACCACCACCATCATTCCTACTATGGAGAGAGAGAGAGAGAGAGAGAGAGAGAGAGAGAGAGCTCTCCTTAAAATCTCCCCCTCGTCCCCCGTCCAAGTTCCCATTTTCCCTCTTCCTGTCCCCCCCCCCCCTCTCTCTCTCTCTCTCTCTCTCAATTATACCCCCCCCCCCCATTGTATCCCTTTCTCAATTCATCTCTTATTTATCATAATGTCTGCTGGTTCAGTTCTTGTTACAGGGTAAGTCCGGTTACCGTCAGCATCCTAATGCTTAAGCTTCGTATCTGGCTTGCTGACAGGGCGCTTTGCGACTAATCCAACAGTGGAACGGGCTACATTGGCTCCTTCACCACCCTTGCTCTGCTGCAGGCTGGTTACAAGGTTGTCGTTGCCGATAACCTGTACAACTCCTCCGATGAGGCCCTGAACCGCATCGAGTTGATCTGCGGCAAGAAGCCCGAGTTCGCTCAGCTGGATGTCACCGATGAGGCGGGCTTCGACAAGGTCTTCGAGGCCCATCCCGACATCGACAGCGTCATCCACTTCGCTGCTCTGAAGGTAACCTCCCGATCCTTTTTTATTTGACGGCCGTGTACGGTACGCGACGCTCACATTTCATTCTTCAATCCAGGCTGTCGGTGAGTCCGGCGAGAAGCCCTTGGACTACTACATGGTCAACGTCTACGGCGCCATCTGCCTTCTGCGCTCCATGGTCCGCCACAATGTCACCAACATTGTCTTCTCCAGCTCGGCCACCGTCTACGGTGACGCGACTCGTTTCCCCAACATGATCCCCATCCCCGAGGAGTGCCCTCTGGGCCCCACCAACCCCTACGGCAACACCAAGGTCGCTGTCGAGACCGCCATCACCGACGTGATCAACGCTCAGCGCAACAACGCCATCAAGGCTGGCAACGAGGCCGAGGCCCAGAAGTGGAACGCTGCCCTCCTGCGCTACTTCAACCCCGCCGGTGCGCACCCCAGCGGTATCATGGGCGAGGACCCCCAGGGTGTCCCCTACAACCTGCTCCCTCTCCTTGCTCAGGTGGCGACTGGCAAGCGCGAGAAGCTCCTTGTTTTCGGCGACGGTATGTTTCCCGCCCTCCTCCCCCTCCCTTCACATGGTAGATACAAGGAATCCAACAGGAATATGCTGATAATGACCAGACTATGCCTCCCACGACGGAACCGCCATCCGCGACTACATCCACATTCTCGACCTTGCCGATGGTCACCTCAAGGCCCTTAACTACCTGCGCGCCAATAACCCCGGCGTCCGCGCCTGGAACCTGGGCACCGGCAAGGGCAGCACCGTCTATGAGATGATCCGCGCCTTCTCCACCGCCGTCGGCCGCGATCTCCCCTACGAGGTCGCCCCCCGCCGTGCTGGTGACGTGCTCAACCTGACCTCCAACCCCTCCCGCGCCCAGAAGGAGCTGGGCTGGACGGCCGAGCGCACCCTCGAGCAGGCTTGCGAGGACCTCTGGCTCTGGACTAAGAACAACCCCCAGGGCTACCGTCAACAGCCCCCCGTCGAGCTGCTGGAACAGCTGAAGAAATAAGCGGGTAGTCAAAAAGTGGTTGAAGAAAATGGAGGACCCCGGCGATCGCGGCGATATAGACGTATGAAGCCTTGTAGACTGAAAGAGACGAATTTCCTTTTTTTTTTGTGTTGGGTGTCATCTATTTCTATACCCTATCTTCGGTACATGTACCAGAATAATCGATGGTTTGAAAGCAATTCTTCGTGTAATGATACCGTGCAGGTAGATTTTTCTTTCTTGAAACTTATTTTCTTTCAAAAGAAGAAAATCACAATGGAAAAAAAAAAAAAAAAAAAAAAAAAAAGAATACGCGTATTGTACAAATTAGACTCGATTCTATATGCTCTATTTATTTGCTTTGCGACTCCGCCTTGAACCAGGTGCCTGTCCCTGTGCTCCAGATGTCGACGAGACCTTGGAATCCTGCTGCTTGGTATTATTCTTCGGTTCCTTCTCCTTGTTCGCCAGAGCGCGTTTCACCGCGCCCTCCTTTTCCTTCGCTTCGATCTGCTTCTCGCTCAACTCCCAGAGTTTCTTCCCCAGTTCCTCGTCGGCGATGTCTTTCCGCGCATAGTCCACCTCGCGGCACTCCTTCACCATCCACCCGCCTGCTCCACGGCCATACTGCGCCTCCATGGCCGCGTACAGGATACTCTGCGCCCCCTGCTGCGGCGACTTGAGACCCAACCACCACAGCGGCCAGGTGAGCAGGTACAGGAGCAGACCCCACAGCGAGCCACCCGTCAGCCAGCGACGGGTGCCCGGGGTCCGACTGAGACCGGGGTCGACGACGATCACGCGCGTGCCGTTGGCCTGCTTATCCGGGCGCGGGTACGCATTCAAATGTTTCTGGAAGGACGCGGCGAAGATCATCAGCGCGAGTTTGCTGAGCCCGAACAGGCTGGTCTGTTGACTCGCGGCGGCGGCGGGCTTCCGTTGTGGTTTGCCGTTCTTCCGGACCGCTGGCTGAGACGCTGTCTTGGTGGCACCGCTGGTGAGGGCTTCGAGGTGCTTGACGTCGAGCTTCGCGCCGATGTAGCCCGAGCAGGTCGTGAAGATGACTCGCACGTCGCGGTGCGCGGGCTGTGCCCGGAGCGCGGGGCTCAGGATACTCAGCAGGTGGAAGTTGCCCAGGTAGTTGACCTGCCATTCTTCGTTGAGACCGTCCTGGGTCAATTTGCCGTGGCTCGAGCGCGGCAGGGCGGTGCTGGCGCAGAGGATGATCATGTCTAGTCTCCGGGGAGGGAAGTTGTCGATCCATTTGGTCGCGAAGGTGCGGATGGAGTGCAGGGAGGAGAAGTCGACCTGCTCGGCGTAGATGAGTTGGTTTCCGGTGGACTTGCGCAGGTCTTCGATGTAGTCGACTATGAAGATGTCGGAGGGGGAGTGTTGGGTAAGGAGGATGATCTGGGCGCCGCGTAGGGCGAGCTCGTGGGCGACGCTGGCGCCGATGCCTGATGTTCCGCCCTGGAGACAGCGTTGAGGTTAGCATCGTCGTCGAGCTATTAGCGTGGAGAGGAATTCAAGAGACAGCTCGTACCGTGATCATGATGACTTTCGAATGCATCACCCGCTCTGAGCTATTGCGAGCTCCGCCGAAGTAATACTTGAGCGCAGCTACCAGCAGTACCCATGGCACAACCTTGAGGACGGTGTAGGCGTGGGGGATAGAGCCTACACCTTCCCGAATCCCCTGAACAATAAGGGGGATGGGCATTGTAAGCGTATCAGGATAGAAAAGGAAAGCTATAAAGGAGCGAATGAACGAAGGACTGGGATGAAAACGAAAAGAATGAAGAATTAAAGTTGGAAAAGGAAGCCCCAATAATCCCACTGAGATGCTCCAGCGAAGAAGCGATAATAATAGCGGCCGATCTCCCGCCACCACCAACCAAAAAGCACCTGTGATTTATGACACAAGCAGCACCATCAATCAACTGGATATCACATACTGACTCTCCTCTCATTCACAACTCCCCCACTCGATGAACTCCATAAAAACTCGCATACCATGTCCAACGACACAGATGAGGATTACTTCCTCCCGCTAGAAGACCAGCGCGTCTTCGGCGCCGGCATCCGTCGCAAACGCGTGCAGTTCGTCCGCGCCTCTGAGCACGAACTCACAACAACCACAACCGCTACTCCTCCTCCTACTACTACTACTACTACCTCTACGCCACCATCTACCACCCCCTCCAGCGGCCCCAGCATCGCAAACAAATACCTCTCCATCGTCCTCAAAAACAACCCACAACCCACCGAAACAGCCTCCGCCCCGCCCTCGCCCTCCCCCGTCCCCGCTCCTGCTCCCACCCCCCGCTGTGACGTGTGCAACCTCCTCCTAATAAATGAGGGATCCTCCCACCTGAAGCCAGACACAGACACGCACACAGGAGTGGCGAAACCGCACGAAGCGTCCCTCGCGCACCAGCTCTGTCTTGCGCACTCGCACCCGCCCTCGCATCTCGATCGCACCCGCCACGGCCTCCGGTACTTGTCTGCCTACGGCTGGGACCCGGATAGTCGCGTGGGACTGGGGGCACCGGGGCGGGAGGGTATCCGGGAGCCGCTGAAGGGGAGGCTTAAGGTTGATACGGTGGGGTTGGGGGCTGAGGTTGGGAGGGAGGGGAAGGGGAAGAAGGGTGCAGCGGCCGCGGGTACCCCAACGAAGGTGCAGAAGCTGAATGCGAAGGAGGTGCGGAAGGGGCATTTTGACGCGAAGAGGAGGGGGCAGAGGTTGCGAGAGATATTCTATCAAAATGACGATGTGCAGAGGTATCTGAGTGGGGGTGTTTAGGGCTGGGAGCGGAGTTATGGATTCTTTTTTTTTTTTCTAGTTTCTTATATGATACCCCCCGCCTTTACGGTCGAGATGAATAGATGATTAGGTTCTTGTTTACCAGACGTGACAATATCCTACAGTGGCTCAAGATGGATCAAGAGGAAGCGTTCATTCGGCGCCAACAAGACAGTGTAGAATGGTATCACAGCAGCGCTATAATGAGATGAAAAAGTACAATGCACACACCAGGAACAGCAGATACGATAGGAAGATTGTCCATATTACATTCGCAGGCTGATAGCACGACTGTCTCTCGGAGCTCTTACCGGAAGAAATGGTGCAGTTTCTTCTTCTCCTTCTCCTTCTTCTCCTTGTGCGGCTTGTGGCTCCCAGCCGCAGGAGCTCCACTGACTGATCCACCTGCTGGCTTCTGCGCATTCGGCCCCAGGGACATTGCATTCATGGCCGCGGTGGGTACCGAAGATGGAGCTGGTGCTTTCTTAGGAGCAGGCTGCTGTGGTGCTGGTGGCGGAGGATCTTTCTCAAACAGATGGGCGGGCGCCGAAGGTTTAGGTCGTTCGGCAGGAATATCTAACCGTCGTTGGTCTGCACTGAGATCGCTAAGCTGCCGCAAAAATAGCCCGGGGGTCAGCATATGAGAGGTGGCAAGATACACATCCTTCCCGAAGGCCTGGGAGGCTTCATAACAGGCACGCGCTTCACCATAGGTAGCGCCCCCGGCCATGAAGAGGATGATTCGCTGCCGTGGCTGCTCGGGGGCGCCACGAGTGCGAGCCCAGGTTGGTTTGGCGCTACGCAGAGAGGCTTGCGCCAGGGTATCGGATTGTCCCATGCCATCGGCTGTCTGAGGTTTGGTGAACGGGAAGGTTGTAGGATCCAGAATTCCTCGGGCTAATTCTTCTAGCAGCAGCTTGACGTTCAAGTCGTAACGAGATAGGCTAGTTTCGTCTATCTCTGTCGGATGTGGCGGCTTCCGGTTGAACAACGGTTGCATAGGAGGCTTTTCGTCTTTCAACCCCTTCTCTGCCCGGATTCCGAGAAGGTCGAGATTGGAAATGACTTGTCCGTCCTGCGGTGCCAATTGGGCATGAGCCATGAGTTTCCGGATATCTCCCCCCAGGATGCCGCCTCGGTATATGACATAGAGGAGTAGGAGTCTCAGTCTATCCGGGTGCATGACTGCATCGTCATCAAGTAACTGAACAAGCTGAGATGCCAAGTTCTTTGCCTTTTTATAATTCTCATCCAAGCCTGTCGCAAGGCATTGTTCGACAGAGCTGACCTCCAAGAGCTTGTGTTCTTGGAAAAACCTCATGCATTCTTCAGCCATATTGAGATGCAGTGTATATGCATCTCTCCCTTTCTGGAATTCGGTCAATCCCGCAAGCATATCTTTGATCGTGTTGACGTTCGCTTTATCGTTACTATGCTAAGAGTCAGCCTCACGAAATAGACTGTCTCCCATTCCTTCCCCGGAAAGACGAAGGTAGAAATGCGATGAACATGGATATAGGAGAGCCACTCACTCTTCGGCGAATTGAGGATTGGCAGCTCTGAATTTCGCAAAGTCCTCTCCTAGTCTCTCCAGCACATCTTTCATATGCTGATGCCGATATTCCACCCAAACATGATCCTCTTCATTGATCTCCATTTCCTTCTTATCCTCATTGTGACTGCCTGCATTGATTACAGTCGTATATGTAACCTTATCTCCATCTTTGATAGGCAGTAGATCATGCACCATTGACTGGTAAGTGAACTCATGCACCAGAGGGGCGATCATGTCCATGGAACGATCGACCACCAAAAGAACACCGCGAGGTCGGGCAGAAGGAGGAGGAAAGTCTCTTTGAGACTGGGCAAATTGGTCTAGTTCATTCTGAACAAACCTAGCCAGGTGGGAGCACAGGACGCTAGCCTCGTGAGTAGAGGCTCTCGGTCGGTAATATCGGATGACTGGATATTCTCCCAAAGTCACGCAAAGCGAGACGACCTTTAGAAGTAAGTATGATTTAGAGGAAATAATTTGAACAGAGTGCTTTACCTTTTGCGCAAGGTCTTGGAGGTGCCCGCGGATCAGATGGTTGCAACCGGGGTGGAACAGAACCGGGAAACTCCAGGGGTCTCGGAACGTCACCAGGCGCGATTCTCTCGGGAAGAAGTCAATGTTCAGCACTCGGAAGTCGGCGATCTGTTCACGCGCCATCTGCGACCTGTCTAGTCGAGCGCGCTGTTGCGGATCAAGAGCTACAGATGTCAGAACAAGCGCCCCTTGTCGCAGCAAGATTCACGCAACTGACCTGACGTCCAGACCAACCATGCTTTCCTGTATCGCCTCCGCTCAAAATCGGCCATCAGACAATCAACAATGTGTGTGAGAGGTGACAGAATGTACAGCGCATCCATATCGGGGTTGCATGGTCTCCTGTGCTCGATCTGCTCGACATCTAGAGGGTTGGGTCGTTAGCTGGTGTGGTCGCTTGACAGACTCGATTCGTAGGCATGAAAACGCTTACTGGTGACATTGAGGTTCAGGATATCATCGTCATTGGTCGCATTGTAGATCAGTTTCCGACTAGTCTCGTCGACAACTAGGACTTTCCACTGCAAGGGGCACCGTCAGCTCCAGCATCTAACACAGTAGCGAGGAGAGGGGGTTGATCGCACATCATTGCCTGCCGCACGACGAATCGTGCTGAGAATAGCTGGGAGAACGAGTAGTCAGTAAAGGCAGATTCAATGAACAGTCATGCATGGATCAAAGCGAACCACTTACCATCGCGCTGAATGTCGATTATCGAGGAGCCCATCCTGGCTGGCTAGCAGCGTTAGCTGTGCAGACAGGCTGGGGATGGAACGGCGGGGTGTTTGCGACAATAGGGATTGAGCAAGCAATAGAGAATGGCCCTCTCTTCTTCTTCAGGACTCCAGGGAGACTCCAGGAACCAAAAGCTATACAGAATCTCAAAAGCGAAGTCCTTCGTGGTGAAACTTATCAGTTGACTTGGAACAACAGCCCCCTCGGCGTCCCCACTATCCGTCATTGATCTAGCGGCAAGCTTGGAATCTGTGGTGGAGGGAATCAAACCCGCGGTGGATCGCCAATGCGGTGTAGCAGTGATTGCAAGAAAAAGATGCCCCGATAAGCCCAGCCTGACCGATAACTGGCTATCTACCACGGAGCTCTGCTGGGAAATTTCGACTCTTGCAAGCTGGTGAAAACCATTCGCAAAATCGCCATTCGAAAAAAACAGGAGGATTTCGCTATCTTTTCCTGTCTGTTCTGTGAATTCATGCAGAGCCCGCTCTAGTGCAGTTGTGACGCTTTTTTCAACTGTCCAACTAACTCCTCTTGTCTACTCGTTCGTAACGCGCCAGCACATATCTTCAGAGCTCCTGCGCCTGGGAGTCTCGTCCTTCTACTCCAAGGAATGCAGTTATGGACGCGTAAAGGCAGCCGGTGCCTTTTCTGTGCCTTCCAGCCACTACTCCGTCCAGTGAACCGATCCTTCGCGACGAGTCCATTTCTGGAGGCAGCACGAACACCTGTCAAAGTACGGGAAGAGGAAACTTCTGAAGATTTCGAGAACAAGAGAAGAAAGAAGAAGAAGAAGTCATCGGTATTAAATCCTCATGCTTTTCCCATTTCCCGCATTTCCCTTTGCGACGTAACTAACCTGGCTGCCGATAAAATAGAGTGGGAGAAAAAAGTCACTCCTCGATGGATACTCGAAGGCCTCGGCAAAACCCTTTGCTCTTCACGAGTTCACCTCCGTCGTTGAGGCCGTATTGAATGAATTCAAAAAGAGCTTACAGGCGTCATCGGATGACGCATTAACAAGATGGCCGCGGTTTGAGCGCTACGTGATGAACGCCTGCAAGCTGGAAGATCGGTCCGGCCAAAAGACCTTCGGGCCCCTACGCCATATCAAAGCTACTCTTCAGAAGGCTTATCTCGGGTCTGGTGTCACAGGTCTGAAGGATGAGATCAAATATCTTATGAACGCAGAGGAACTTACGGCAAAGTATTCCACGCCCGTTCTTGAACAGCAGCAGAAGATCGCGGATCTGCGATATCCTGCCGAATGGTATCCGCAAGCCCGGTCGAGTCAGCGAACAATTCACCTGCATGTTGGTCCAACAAACTCAGGGAAAACTTATCACGCGTTAAAACGGCTGCAAGCCTCCAAAAGTGGCTTCTATGCGGGACCATTGCGACTGCTTGCGCAAGAGGTGTATCATCGCTTCCAGGCGAGCGGCATCCCGTGTAGTCTTGTGACCGGCGATGATGTCAAGATTCCAGAAGGACAGAACCCGACTATAGTGAGCAATACAGTTGAGATGGTGAACCTCGGGCAACAGTTTGAGGTCGGGGTCATTGACGAAATTCAAATGCTTGCGGATCCCAAACGTGGCTGGGCTTGGACTCGTGCTGTCCTTGGTGCGCGTGCATCGGAACTCCATCTTTGCGGCGAAACCAGAGTTGTGCCCTTGATCCGTGAGCTTGCGGCTCTGACTGGCGATAAACTTGAAATCCATCGGTATGAGCGTTTGAATTCCCTCAAAGTCATGGATCAAAGTATACGGGGTGATCTGCGAAAGTTACAAAAAGGCGATTGCATAGTGGTGTTCTCTCGGGTTGGCATTCATGCTCTGAAGGCCGATATAGAAAAAGTCACAGGCAGAAGAGCGGCGATTGTGTATGGAAGCTTACCAGCTGAGATTCGTACGCAACAGGCCAGTCTCTTCAACGACCCGGACAACGATTATGATTTCCTGGTTGCTAGCGATGCCATTGGCATGGGATTGAACTTGTAAGCATGGGCACTGCTAATGCTGCTTGGCCTTTCGCTGACAATTATGCAGGAGTATCAAGCGCATTATCTTTGAGACCCTCGTCAAACGAGTCCCCGGAGGACTCGTGAGGCTCTCAGTACCCGAGATTAAACAGATTGCGGGTCGTGCTGGTCGTTATCGCTCAGCCGCGCAGCAGAACAAAGACACGGGTGATGATGAACCGAATGTCGGATGGGTGACATCGCTGGAAGAAGTCGACTTGCCATATATCCAACAAGCTCTCGACATTGAACCTCCCCCGATCACTGCTGCCGGTATCTTCCCTCCAGACCCTGTCTTCCAGAAATTCGCTGCCTATTTCCCCCGGGACGTCCCATTCGAATACATCATCAAACGCCTGCTGGAAGTCTCGCGGGTGCACCCCCTCTTTTTCATGTGTGATCCCCGCAGTCAGCTAGAAAACGCCGAAGTCATCGACAGCGTGACTGGCTTGCCTATTGAGGACCAGATCACGTTCATGGCTTCACCCATGTATACTCGGGACAATTCGTCTCGTAATGTCGCCAGTGCATTTGCCGAATGTGTTGCGGAACACACAGGTGGCAGGCTGCTGGACATCCCCGACTTGAATTTGGAGGTCTTGGAAAATGCAGTCTCCGGAAGCAAAGAGTACCTGCATGAGCTGGAAGGTCTACACCGATCTGTCATCCTGTATTCGTGGTTAAGCTACCGCTTTGGGGGCGTCTTCACAGACCGGACCCTCGCAGGACATGTCAAGAAAATGGTTGAAGAGAGAATGGTCAGAGCACTGACGGAGTTCTCTGCCAACAAGAAGCTCAGGAAGGACGCGTCTCTTCGCCGCCAGATCGCCTTGCAGAAGCAGATTGCGGAGCATCAGCGTCTTCTTAATGCGGCAAATATTGACTCGATTGAGGAAGAGGGCGATGGAGAACCCGTCCCTCTTGATGTTTCGACTGAGGACGATGCCTTGGAAAGAACTGCTCCTGATGCAGAGCGGCTCTAAGGATCAGTCAGTTATCAGACCCTCTAGCACTCTCTCCACTTTGCATCTACAGTTGGCATCAACTGAATATTGTATTCTATATCAATTTACACTGTACTTTATATAACGCTACATAGCCATGACAGCTTTGAGCATTTCTTCCAGGATCCAAAGGTCTTCTTCGATGTTCAAAATACAGCATGATTCTCGGGCCCCCGTTTCTGGAGAACCAGATTCCCAATTTACAGAACTTACCTTCTCCTATTGTCGAATTTCTGGCTTTTGACAGGAAAAGATCGGAGGTCACAAAATGATCTTGAGCCTTTCCGAGGCTTTTTTTTTTTTTTCTGAATGCTATTCCAGGGCTAAAGCCAAACCCCAATAACCCAATATCCTTATGTGCAAAATCAGATACGTATCCCCTTGCGATCACCCCTTTCTGTTTGCCTGCTTGCCCTTGCCGTCCAAATTGATTGTGATACCACCTTTGGCGTTAACTTCGACCTCCGCAAACATCCGGAATAATTCGATGATCGTGTCTCTCTTGCTCAGTTCTTCTTCGCCCATGGCGCTGTTGATCTCGGCTGTTTTCTTGAGCTGTAGTTGGCAAATATACTCGTCTATGGTATCTCGGACGATCAGGATGACAATTTCTACTTCCTTCTGTTGCCCGATTCGGTAAAGCCGACAGAATGCCTGTAATTAACCATTAGGACACCACCGGAGCTTAATCAAGGGTCAATAAGGGGTTCATTCATCGCACCTGTTCGTGAATGGCTTCATTCCACCATAGATCGACGAGGATGCATTTGTTCGCCATGGTCATATCGAGCCCTATTCCGCCTGCTTTGAGACTTGCAACAAGGACTTTGGCTTCGGGGTTCTCCCTGAATTCTTTCATGCTTTGTTCGCGAGCTGGTATAGGCATCTTGCCTGTAAACTACAAATGGAGTCAGCGGGGTATGAACATTATCTCATGTGAGGAAGATAGCTGATCACTCACAGCGTAGCATTGCCAGCCTTCTCGTTCGCACATCATGGTGGCAATACGAACGAAATCTAAGGATAGGGTGAAAATGACCACTTTGACTTCAGGGTTTTCTTCAATCCAGTTCTGAATCAATTCCCGTATCTTTGTCAATTTGGCACTAGGCATCTCGCCTCCACAGGCTGAGATCCAGTCGGTATCTTGGTCTTTATCAAAGCTGCTGCTGTTAAATCGCAAATTTGATCTCTTGTTCTTTGGCTTTGGCTTCTCAGGCTTCCTTATGGGCGTCACTCGCCGCACCTTCTTTTTCCCACCCTGGAGCGGCATATGTGTTTGAGTCGCAGGGGCGGTAGACTCTTGAACTATGCTCTCAACAGAACCAAAGAGTGCAGCTTTTTGAATGATTTTGCCACAAAATTGTGCCTGACACTTGGGCGTACCGTTCCCAGCAATAATGTCGTTCTCGAAAAAGCATTCCTCACAGTACAGATGCATGCAATCAGTCACAATAGGCTCTGTTGGAGGCATCCCACAACGGGGGCAAGTGACTCTTTCCAATCGTTCCAGCCACTGTTGTTCCTCATGAAGCTGGTTCATAAATTCCTTAAATTCGTTGACAAGCTCTTCTTGATCTCCGGAAAGTTCCTTGCACAGCCCCCCGAGCTCTTCATGCTCTTGCCGGGCTGCTGGGACAAAAATGCCATTCTTCAACCCCGTCAAACATCGTGCTATTTTGGCCGAAGGATGCTCAGGATCCCCTGACTCGGCACCTAGCTTATAGACCTGTTGGGCAAAAGTTTCCGACGTCAGCAGATCTTTGACCACATCCTGATTCGTTAGTAAGTGGCTTGAGATCATTCGTAACCTCAGAATCATCGCCAGGAAGCAACGGCTTTGTGAATATCTCGGATTAGGTTCATTGCTGAGTTCTAAATCAGCGATTAGCCTTCATCCTGCAGCGAAGAGTATTGAGTCGCGAACCATTGATGTTAGCAACATAATTCTCCCGAACCTCCGAGTAGATTTTTCTTTCAATGTCACAAAATTCAATGGTTACTACCGTCCGACTGATGTCCGGCAGTTGGACAAGGGGTAATCCAAAAAGCCGGCTTGAATATGTTCGACGATATGTGCATGTTCGACATATGTTTCTAAGACGCTGAAGGCCTTGCTTGTCCTACCGTCGTGTCCAAAGATCAGCATTGACTCACAACATGAAATACATTTGCACTCACACAAAGGAAATCTCCGACGAAGGAATCGTATTCTTGAGCGTATCTATGGCCAAGAAAGTTGAATAGCGCATAAAGGTCTGTGATTCCACTGCAGAGCACTGAATAAGCATCCAATCGATGGGGAACAAAAGATGCCTGAGGATCCTTACTTGATGGCAGGCGTTCCAGTCAGTATCCATTTGTACTTGCTCGTGAGAGCACGTACGGCAATTGAAGTTGTCGAGAGATGGTTTTTGATAACATGACCCTCTGAAGTCTCATCGTTAGCCTGAGTCTCCGACCTCAAAGTGAGGTTTCAGACCATCAAGAATGATTCGCAAAAATTTGATTTTATGTAAGGGTCCAACCGTGCTAAGATAGAAGTCTTCCCACGAGCTTGTAAGTTCATCATCATTGCTGCCGTTGCTGTTAATCTTCGAAAGTGGATACGACCGTCGGACCTCGTCGTAGGTGGTGATTCTGTGAGACAGATGATAAGACACAGCAATTATCAAACAACCCACCGAAGACTTACACGACATTGTATCTCTGCATAGATTGGATGACATCGAGGGTTCTCAGTCTGTGTCTCGCCTCGTAGATCAGAACATCTCCAATCGCATCTTGATCACAATGCTTTGAAATTTGATACTCCCTGGGAGAGCATGTTAACATGACCCAATAGCAATCCTGTGTCTGAATATTTTAAAACTCACCAATGACCGACCAGGTGAGACGGGACGACTATCAAAGTGGCTTTCACAGGATCATCCGGGTCGACACATCTCCCATCGACGATATTGGCTAACGTGCCATATCAGTATGTGTCTTGAAAAGATATGCTTGCAATATATATTTACCTAGTGCTTGAATGGTCTTACCATATCCCATGATATCGCAAAGGAGACCTCCCTGGGGTGGTTCGGGTGACTTTTCTCGATCACGCTGGCTTTCTTAGTGGCATTCAATTCATGATAACGTCGACTGCTCACTTACCATGAACCCTGCACCTAGCAACTATGCTTCATGTCAGCGTTTCTGGATCCCTTTGAAGAAGGAGAAGAACTGAACCTGATAACTCAGCAGGCTTGTCTTCATGCCCTTAATCCTCCACCCATTCTGGCCATCGCATTTTACTCTAGTCGTGAACTTCCTAGTTCCTTCAAGGATCTTACGCTTGTCAGATTTGGCCTCCTCCTGGTCGGCGGCAGGAATAGAGGCAACAAGCTGAGTCAGAGCTTTCATCTTAACATTTGAAGTGAAGACTGGACAAGCCGGCAAAGCGGCATTCTCATGGCCTTCTGCCACAACATCTTCAGAGCCGAGAAACGCGTCGAGGTCAAATTCAGCATATTTCATATTCTTTGGAGATTCTCGTAGATGCTGCATTTCATCGTTGGTGTCCACCTGGTTTGCCCTCCGCTTCCGAATTCTCTTTGTGGATGTTAACTTTGGTCTGAGCAGAAAGTTCAGGCCCAGCTGCATGGAGCGCCGCTGCTCATCGGCGGAGATCTTGTTCTTTCGCTTTCTTTTCTTCGCTTGAGATCCGTGTTGGGCGGTATGATTTCGATTGTGCGATGTTTCAGCCAAAGCACTTCCTGACCCACGATCTGAGGTATTCTGTAATCCCTCGTTGTTCTCCGGATCATATTGCTCGAGAGCCAGTCGGCTTGCAACCCGCTCTTTGCGACGGGCCTCCTGCTGTGTTGCTCTCTCAAACTGGACTCTGTCCCATGGACTCGGGTTTTTAAGACTTTTGTACCATGACTCTACTTTCGAGAATCTAGAAATCCCTTAGAAAAGAGTGAATTCCGGGTTTCCAAACAAGCACTCACGTTGTAGGGTCTTCTTCTGGCATTTCTGGCCATTCCAGCACATCGTTCTCAACACTTGGCTCGCCTAAGGAGGTCGTCGCAAGGACTCGAGGAGCATTGAGCCGCGCTGGCGATGAAGCCACCACAAGTTGGGTACCCTGAGTTCCAATTTGAGGTTTCCAGATATCCTCACTGCAAGAATTTGTAGAGTGGTGCCGGGTCTCTCCTAAAGACATATCCGTCGTGCAATTCGGCTGGCTCACACTGCCGCTATCTGTAGCCTTAGAATGCGGAAGCTGCTCAAGGTCTGCAGTGAGGTTTTTCTCCGTCGAGGGCTCTGCAAAGAGTTGATTGTCTTGTGGCAAAGGCTCTGTCCAGTCCCCAAGCGTCAAGGGTTCAGGGAGTGCTGGCTCGAATGTTGTCCCTGCAAATCGAGGGCCAAAAGCCATCGCTGTCTTTTGGACTTGGCGAAGTCGCGCAAATGCATCCATTGCGCTCATTTGCCTACGAGACTCGATGCTCTCAAGCAACACTGGATCGATATCCAATGTCTCCGGCTCGGATTCCATATTCATGTTTTCTGTCCGCTGGGAAGGATCGAGGTCCATAGCGAGCAGCCAAAATTTGAGGTTTTCTAAAATGCCCGGAGAGTTTCAGGTGTATAGAGCGTATGGAATCATGAAAAGAAACAGCGGCAAGGAAGTAATGGCCGTAGAAGGGTTTGTGATAAGGGAGAAAGACAGAAGAAGGGAGTAATAAAGAAGAAGCAAGGAAGAAGGGATGATAAGGAGACATATGGCGCGATACAGAGAGAGAGAGAGAGAGAGAGAGAGAGAGAGAGAGAGAGAGAGAGCTTTTATATCTATGGAAAATCCGGTGCTAGACACTTGGGTTGAGGAAGCGAGTAAGTGACATGTAGATGATGAACTACCTAGTAAGATATCATGGGAAAGATATACAGACATACTCCAGATATGCTTGACATAGCTTATCGAACAGCAGATACCCTGCTGTCAGTTGACGAGTATGTGACATATTACGTTTGGTGTGAGATGAGGCCAAAGTGAACACTCCATGACTTGAGCAATGCTTCGTTAATTGACTCCCGTAAGCTTTAGATGACATCCTTAATGAAAGATCGGTCAAAAGACAGGTCTGAGCACTCGTGATCTGCGGAAGACTTCAAACTGCGATGTTTTCCTGAAGTGAGATGAAGAATCTGTATAGATTCTACGCACTGATTATTAGTAGTATCAGATAACTATTGAGTAGAATCTTGACAAAACATTCAGTCGCTTAGAGCAAAACAATGAATTCGAAGTTTTTCCCAACTTGAACCTTCTAAGAGAGATACTAGGAGTCCCAATCTGGAAACTAGATACAGGACATTGTGATATTGAGGCGCATGTACGAAGTATACTCCAGAAAATTAAACAATTGAGTTTCTCCGATTTCCGGGCAGCTGTGGCTTATCTTATCAGTGGCGAGAACTCCGAACACGCCGCAACGATTTTCCGCGACAGTGAGCTTCCTTCAATTCGAAGAGTTGCAGCCAAGAACGAACTCTTGTTGCCAGAGGTGTGTTTCGCGCACTCTCTCGCGAAGACATCCTCAATAACTAGTCATTTCTTCTGCTTATTCGGTCTTTTGAACTGAAATTCTGCGTTAGCGTTTTGGCTCCCCGTCGCACGTTATGGACGATCTCCAGTCCTTAGAGCTTTTTTCGCTCGTGTCGCGAATTACGGGTGAGCTCCAGAATCACTTAGGCGTCAGTGACAAGACACTCGCTGAGTTCGTGATTGACCAGCATCTATCATGTGGTTCGTTTGCCGAATTCAAGGGCAAGTTGGAGGATATGGGTGCGGAGTTCCCCCAGAGTCTGATGGAGAGTATCGATCGCCTGGTTCTTACCATGCACCCGAAATACAAAGCGAAGAAGTCAGAAACTACAAACGATACGGCGGAGGGGAATGGGGACATGGATGTGCTCGATGCTCTCGAGAAGAAAGCACGTGTCTTCAAAGGGCTCGCCGTTCCAGACAAGCAACAGCATTGGGATGAAGAGGATCACATTCGAAACCGAGATGTTGATGAGAGCGACACGAAGGCTGGTGCCATGGACGACACATTTGCCATGTTGGAGGGACTAGCAGGAAAGGCCCAGGAAGAAAAGGGTCGCTCTACGCGAGACGAGCGTGTCAGCAGAAAGAGAAGCAGAAGCCCAGATCACAATGAGTACAGCCGTGGTCGCAGGCGCGACGCCAGATATCGCTCCCGGTCCCGGTCGCGCAGCCCGTACTACAGCAAGAGAGATAACGAAGTCGATGAATTCGGCCGATCAACGAGCAAGTACAATTCTCGGGACGATGAACTTCGTAGCGGGCGCAGCGAACGGAGGCGGCTGCATAACCGCGACGACGATGACGACTATTTTCGCAAACCTCCCCCGGTCGAACTGGACGATCAACCTATACTCTACAAGATCTATGATGGAGTCGTTACCGGAGTCAAAGACTTTGGCGCCTTTGTGAATCTCAAAGGGGTGAAAGGCAAAGTGGATGGTTTGGTGCATGTCTCCGCAATGCTAGAAGGGGCACGAGTCAACCATCCCTCTGATTTAGTATCACGAGGCCAACCAGTCAAGGTCAAGGTCATCAGCATACAAGGCTCGCGTATTGGCTTATCGATGAAAGAAGTGGATCAAGTCACTGGCCTTGATCTTATTCCTCAAAAGCGCATCGCATCAGGTGCCAACTTGGAGCGACTTGAAGGTGTCTCTGGAAAAGATAGATACGGAAATTTAAGCTCGGAGGTGCCAGTAATCGAGGATCACGACGGGAAGCCCATGAAGAGCCGTAAACGATTGACCTCGCCGGAAAGATGGGAGATAAAACAACTCATTGCATCTGGTGCAGTCTCGGCCGCTGACTATCCTGATATTGACGAAGAGTACCATTCCACTTTGACTGGCGAGGGTGCTTTTGAGGAAGAAGAAGATGTTGATATTGAAGTTCGCGACGAAGAACCTCCTTTCCTGGCCGGTCAAACGAAGATGTCTTTGGAACTCTCCCCTATCAGGGTTGTCAAGGCTCCTGACGGCTCCATGAACCGTGCTGCGATGGCAGGTACGAATTTAGCCAAGGAACGAAGAGATTTGAGACAGCAAGAGGCTCAGGATAAGGCCGCAGAACAAGCGGCTGAGGTTGATCTCAGTGCACAATGGCAAGATCCCATGGCAGGTCCGGATCAGAGGAAGTTTGCAGTTGAGTTACGGAACGCTCAACAACCTAAACCCGACGATGCGGTGCCCGAGTGGAAGAGAGTCACAATGGGCAAAAATCAGTCGTTCGGCAAGAGGACAAACATGTCAATCAAACAACAGCGGGAGAGCTTGCCAGTTTACAAGTTTCGCGAACAGCTGCTTGACGCTGTTCGTGACAATCAGCTGTTAATTGTTGTTGGAGACACTGGATCAGGGAAGACTACCCAGGTCACACAGTATTTGGCGGAGGCAGGATACGCGAACAATGGCATCATCGGTTGCACTCAACCTAGACGTGTCGCAGCAATGTCGGTTGCCAAACGAGTGGCAGAAGAAGTTGGTTGCCGACTGGGTGCCGAGGTCGGATACACGATTCGTTTCGAGGATTGTACCAGTCCTGAAACCAAGATAAAATACATGACCGACGGTATGCTTCAGAGAGAGGTTCTGCTGGATCCTGATCTGAAGAGGTATTCCGTGATCATGCTGGATGAGGCTCACGAGCGGACTATCGCTACTGATGTGCTCTTTGGACTCTTGAAGAAGACAATCAAGCGAAGGCCTGATCTTCGGCTCATCGTTACATCAGCCACTTTGGATGCCGAGAAGTTCTCTGAGTACTTCAACAAATGCCCCATTTTTTCGATTCCCGGTCGTACTTACCCTGTTGAGGTCATGTATTCGAAAGAGCCTGAACCTGATTATCTGGACGCGGCTCTCATTACAGTGATGCAGATTCACCTGACAGAGCCGGCAGGCGATATCCTTCTTTTCTTGACAGGACAGGAGGAGATTGACACAGCCTGTGAGATTCTATATGAGCGGATGAAGGCTCTTGGCTCAACAGTACCCGAGCTGGTTGTTCTTCCAGTTTACTCTGCCTTGCCCAGCGAGATGCAGAGTAGGATCTTCGAGCCTGCACCACCAGGTGGTAGAAAGGTGGTTATCGCAACAAATATTGCTGAGACTTCGATTACAATTGATAACATCTACTATGTCATTGACCCTGGCTTTGTCAAGCAGAATGCTTATGATCCCAAGCTTGGCATGGACTCTCTGGTGGTGACACCCATTTCCCAGGCACAGGCCAAACAACGAGCTGGTCGTGCAGGAAGAACTGGCCCAGGAAAGTGCTACCGTCTGTACACCGAAGCAGCTTACCAGTCGGAAATGCTACCCACGACAATTCCTGAAATTCAGCGTCAGAACCTCTCGCATACCATTCTCATGCTCAAGGCCATGGGTATCAACGACTTGCTTCATTTCGACTTCATGGACCCTCCTCCTACAAACACCATGCTTACTGCGTTGGAAGAGCTCTATGCTCTATCTGCCCTTGATGATGAAGGTCTTTTGACAAGGTTGGGCCGTAAAATGGCAGACTTCCCGATGGAGCCAGCTCTAGCCAAGGTCCTCATTGCATCAGTGGACATGGGTTGCTCTGAGGAAATGTTGAGTATCGTCGCTATGCTGTCGATCCAGTCGGTATTCTATCGCCCGAAGGAGAAGCAGCAACAGGCAGATCAGAAGAAAGCCAAATTTCACGATCCGCATGGTGATCATTTGACTTTGCTCAATGTATACAACGGGTGGAAGAACTCCAAATTCAACAACGCATGGTGTTTCGAGAACTTCATACAGGCACGTCAAATTCGTCGGGCACAGGATGTCCGACAACAACTTATGGGTATTATGGACCGATACCATCACAAGATCGTCTCATGCGGAAGAAATACGGTGAAGGTACGGCAAGCCCTGTGTACTGGATTCTTCAGGAACGCAGCCCGAAAAGACCCTCAGGAAGGCTACAAGACTCTGGTCGAAGGTACACCGGTCTACATGCATCCTAGTTCTGCGCTATTTGGCAAGCCGGCAGAGCATGTCATCTATCATACCCTCGTGCTTACCACGAAGGAATACATGCACTGTACTACCGCCATCGAGCCTAAATGGCTAGTCGAGGCCGCACCGACCTTCTTCAAAGTGGCGCCCACCGATCGCCTCTCGAAGCGCAAGAAGGCAGAGCGTATTCAACCACTGCATAATCGCTTCGCGGGAGAAGATGATTGGCGTCTTTCCGCACAACGCCGCCAAGGAAGGGGTGGTGGTGGAGGTACATGGGGTTAATTTTCATGTTTCTCTCATGCTCGCTTGCAATGGATATATAAGGAACTTACACTTTTAATACCCTTTTTGAATTGTATACCTGCCGTATGTATATCGCTTCTCGGCAATCTCGATTTCTGAGCGATATACCCCTTCATCAGTATTGTCGATTTTATGAGTACTACTCTGTACTTCGGCTGGTTAGTACATCGTAGTCAACTGGGAAAGTTTTTCACACCGCCTTCCCAAGCTAGATAAATCCTAGAAATTTAGACAGGGTTCCTGAGGCACCGACTTTCGTAAAGTCACGACTTCCACATCTCTTCAGCAGAAACATAGTCGTATAGATGGGATGACACTTGTCACCCTTCTGCTAGCCGTCTCAAGTTTCAAATCCCCCAATCTGCAGGTCATTATCTATCATTGTAATCGCCGAGAGCTCAATATTCTTAGCGTAACAATTGAGGCGCCACCATAGCAACCAATCAGAAGCTGCAAAAATTTGATAGGATTGGCCTCGACTCTTCATCGTTTTCTAGATCTCATCTAAAGAACATCACGTCCACAAACCAAGATAGCGAAGATGTCGCACTTCGAGCATCAGTCTCCTCGCTCGAAAAGGAGAAAGCTTGATCATGCAGAGGAGGGGGAGGGTCCTGCTCCGATCACCTCTCATACTCAGCTGCGAACTTTGCTGGCTTTCCAACAAAATGTTATAGAGTCCAAGCAGGGTAAGAACCAGGCATCAGGGTTATCTACCATTAGCTGTCACGTCAAATTTCTTACAAAGAGGCAGGTATCCGCCAGTTCAAGGACTTTCTCACATCTATTGCTCAGTCTGAAAAAGAGGGCGAAAAGGCCAAGAAGTTCCGAATTCTCAAGGCCTATTGTGATACCCAGCTCACTCGCACAGCGACTGAGGATGATGCTATCTGTTTTCCTGATCTGATTCAAACCTGGGGCTTTGCAGACAGCAGCAACAATGAATCGTTATTGACGGTTGTCCCGTCCGTCCTGGCTCTCTTCATCAAGACCATCTCCACTCAACTGGAACTCCGAGACTTCGGGTTGGCCCTGTGCAAGCATTTGTTGCAGAAAGATCAACTGAGGCTTTTTAACCGTGGGCTAACCGCACTCAAGTCCAAGGAGCACTTGATTTCGCCATGTCTCCGACTTCTCACGGAGATTGTCAGTTTCGATGGAGGGGCGGTTGCCCGCCAGGTGTACATGGCGCGGTACATCACATTCAAGCGGCTTGATCTGTTCCTAACACCGAACAAAGCTCAGCTCGAGGATGCCGACGCATCTAAAAAGTCAACCTTACGCCGGAATGCTCAAAAATATATCCTCGCCAACCTAAAGGTTCAACATGTGACTGCTAAGAGCGAGATCATCGAGCAGCACAAGGTGATCATCAAAGCATTCTTTGAATTCATTAGAAAGGACCCCCGCGATATCATTTTGGAGACAATCAAGTGTATCGATAAAGATATCATACAGGATGCTTCCCTTTCACGTAATGCCAAAACGAGATTCTTCAACAGATGGAATCTCGAGAGACTCGTCACTCTATATGGCTATGAGCGAGAATCTGAAGAGCCGAATTCCTCTGGAGTCTCGATTGCCGATGAGGTTCATGATATTCTTTTGAAGATATGCACGGATACCAACCTTGGTGTTCTCCTACCAGGGACGGGCTGGTATCCGAATGGGACTGATCCCGAATCTCTGCCGACAGAGAATGACACTTCAATTGAGCTGGGATTGGACTCCGCTATGTATGTGGACAAATACAAGGATTCAGTCCCTGTTCGCAATGGAACTCTGTCTTTTGTTATCCAAGCGCTCCGTCCGGATATGGATCGCCTGCAGATTGAATTATTGGTAGCGATCTTCAAGGCCGCACCGGAACTGGTCGCAGATTACTTTACAAAGAAAACAATGTTCATCTCGGATCCGAAGCCCACGCCTTCTTGGATGGCCGAGTCGGCGCTTTTGTTCTCGATAGTCAGCCTACCCATCCCACCAAACTGTGGTTGGCAAGACAAACTACCTGCTATGCCCCCACCGGTCTCCGTTGTTATCGAGAATATTCTTCCACGTCCACTCACTCAGAAGGTCATGAGTCGTTGCCTCAACCTGAACACGGAAATTGTCACTTTGTTCGCTGTTCGAATCTTGACAGTCGCATTCAACAAACTACATGCAGCCCTCAAGATATTCAACGCTGACCACGGATCTAGTCAGCCATTCTGGGCCCAAGCTGCAAGCAAGCTGGCCGCGGAATTTTGTCGTCGATGCCCCGTGATTAAGGACGTTATTCTTTTATTCCGGCGAACAGCCAAGGAAGATCTGCAGCAGCAAGAAGCCGTTGCGGAGCTTCTTGCTTGTTTCTACAACGTTGTTCCCGATGTTGCCATTGAGGAAGTTTTCGACGCTTCTCTCGTTTTGGTTGATATTCTCAAACGCCTGGAAAACTCCGAGCTTTCAGAAGACGATTCCGAGTCGCTTCTTGGTCAGATGCAAAACGTTCTCAAGATTGCACAGCAGTCAGCCTCTATGCGGTGGTGGCAACAACCAGGTAAGAAACTGTTCCAAATCACGTATTAAAATTTTAAGCTGATGGCGACTAGTTTCTATGCAATACTCAGCGTTCACGTCCATTCTCAAAGTTCTCATTGAAACTTCAGCCAACGATACGTCGAAGGAGATTGAGAAGCTTTTGACGGCGATCCTGATGGAAAGTTCAATCATAAAGACTCAGGCAGCGTTTGCCGCCCTTCGATTGAGCTTTGATGCCTCAAATTCTGATAGTTTCCACCACCAACTGGCTTTCTTTGATAATTGTGCTTGCAGAGTCGCAAAGAAGCCAGTCCACTACGACGATTTAGCCTCGTCACTCGTTGAAGTTGACGCCAAACCCGTCAGTTGTATTGTCGCAGCAATCATCGAGCAATGGCCCTTCGTTGCCAAAAATGGAGATTCAACTGCAGAGGAGGCGGTGGGTACATGGATCGCTAGAGTCCTTGGGAAGCTGAAGCTGGCACAAGAAGACTCGAAGGGTTTGAAGGCTGCTCGAGACGGCGTTCTACAAGATGTTCACAGCAAGCAGCTGAAATCCAGTCTTAAGAAAGCTTTGAAGGATGCCGTTAATGGAGATGAAACTGATATCAAGGCTCAGCGTGATGTAGCTCGCCCAACGTCTCAGGGACAGACAGCCAAGGAGCCAGAAGTGGATTTGATAGAAATATTTGGAACTCTGCCAACTGAAGGCACAACTCACAATGAGCTACACAGATGGGAGAAGGAGGAACTCGAGATTGCAGTCGAGCAAGGCCGCATCGCTGATTTAATGCTATGCTTGTGCTCAGGATATGAAGAGGTCAGAAAACAAGCGTTTGCTAACTTAATCCGATTCATGTCAAAGCTCAGGGTACGTTGACCAGATACTTGAACTCAACGCAATGACTAACAAAACATCAGGAATCCAAGTATGCTGAATGGCGCTCGGTGTACATCCTGACCGGCGAGTTACTTGAGACTGTGAAGCAGATCGGGCTCGAGGCTCCTGTACCATGGATAGTCGGGGAGTGTGCTTCGTGTTGTTTGTCGGTGCTTACCAACCCGATGCACAAACTCTACGGAAAGGTCAATAAGTTTCTCCAGAAGGCACCTTCTTGGGAGGTGGAAAAACTCCCATCCTATTGGATTGACAAAATTTTGCTTCATGAACCCGAGTTGGATGATGGCTACTTCGAGGAAACGAGTTGGTTGCTGGATTTCTTGATCAAGGGACTCCACACCGAGACGGTAGGCCACCATTGCCTTCCCATGAATCATGGCACATGCTGACTTGCCTTGTAGGATATGGAGATCTATCGGCGTGCAAACGTATTTGAGCGCATGCTCTCTTTCTACGACTCACCCAGCAGCGGGGTGTCCATCAAGAGGAAGACCTTGCATCTTCTATTCCGATCGACACAAGTTGGCGGAAGCACGACTTTGATTACCAGAGCCGGCGTCATCAGCTGGATTCAAAGCCAGGTTCCAGTCGTGAATGCTAAAGAGGCTTCTACATTTGCGGCTATGGCTCACACCCTGCAAGAGGGCTCGGATCAGGACCGGGTTGCGAAATGGAGTGGAGGGGCAGTCTCACAGGCTGTTGAGAATATCGCTGGATAATGCGTCCGTTCTTTGCATGCTTTTTGAACTAAACATTGGAACTCTATATTCATACGGATCAGGATTGGGACTGGGACACCACATGCCCCCCTAATTTCCAATTGCTTGATTTGGCCAGGTACTTCTGCACAAGTTGGGGGGGGGCAAAACTGTTGCCCGATCTACTCAAGATATAGTCTCTCCTTAGAAGTTCATACAGGAGAGCTGTGCGAATATCAAATGTGCTGTGCTCGGGGGGATGAGAAGGTTGCATGCTTCAAACAGACTACAAGTACTTTTGTATATAGACCAAGGATAGAGTGGACAAAATTCTAATAAATGGCTTGGCCCTGGTAATACATTCAGTATATGATATCAACAAAGCTTACCGTAGTTCTGTCTGCAGCAAAGAGCTGACATGGCAGATTCATATTTCCCTACAGCGAAGCGATGTGAGTTGAGTTGGCGGTGTTTTCCCCTCTGGGCAGTTCCAAACGTTTTGCGGCCGACGACTTTCTCCTCTCCGTCAGACCTCAAACAACCTCCTCCGCCCGCAATCCTCGACATCTCCCTCTCGTTCACCATCCGCCGAATGCATCCCTTTTGAAACTATCGCCTTGATCCCAATATCCACTATCGAAAAATCTCCAGTGACTCACTCATAGCGTCGAAGCAATTCACAAGTGTACCCATTCGATTACCCCTCACCCAGCACACTTGGTTGGCCTTCACCGATTCAGACTCCGCCTGCCGCCTTGCCACTGGCAAGTGGCCTCGCTTCTCCCTTTGATCCTTTTACCCTCAGGACTATTGTATCGCCCTCCTCTCGTCAATCGACTTCCGTCTCATCAGGCGCCTCTCCTTCAGCCTGCAAAGATCCGCTAGCTACTGAAAATATACCCGAACCGATGAACACAACGTAACATTTTGACCATCATATCACACACCCAGCCATACTCATGGCGCGACGTTACGAGATCGATGAGCTGCTATGGCTGCGCTCATCGCCTCTGGTCTCCAAGCCTGCAGGCCTGCCGCCGATAGATGAGTGGATGGGGTAAGGCCATCCCCGCTCCTGCAATTGTTCATCTCCATCGTTCTTGGGTACTAACGAGTTCATCTATTGCTAGCCCGATTCCCGACTCGACAGTACCACGAAAACCTACAAACACAAGAGACCCTACCAATCCGAACGAGGCGACACCTAGGAGACCAAGTCTGTTTGAGACTCGCCATATATCGAGAAACTCTAATTCAGGTAATTCGGGCCTCCTACCAGTGCTTGCTACCTAATCTTGATGCCGAGACGTCATGCTAACTCCAAGGCTTGATCGTTTGAAGAGGATATTGTCCTTGGGCCTCCAAAAACTGCTTTTGCGTCGGCATCCCGTATTTCCGGCAAAGGATCGCTAGATTTTACTGACCGCACCCCGCGGCCAACCGAGCCGGATGAAGCATCCAACGATCGGTTTAATTTCCGGGACAAGTTCTTCAAGGAAAGGGAGGCCGGAGACAGGGACCTTGACCGCCGTGATGGCAAGCCAAGTCCTTTCAATGGTCGACGTGGGGAAAGAGAAGACTGGAACAACGGCCGCCCGCGTCGCACCTTTGGACAAGATGAACAAGAGAGAAAAACACCCAGACGCAATGGAGAATTCGACCGTTGGAACCGTGATCAGAGGGATCAAACTTTTGAGCGGGGAATAAGAGAAAAGGAAGGACAATTTGTCCCTCGGAAAGACGGGACACCGAGTCGAGCCCGACATGAAGGAAGCTGGTTTCGTGATGATAACGCTCAGGACGTACCAGAAACAGAAGAGGAGAAACTTCCAGCACGAAACAGAGAATGGCGCAGAGACAAACACGGTGCGGATCGTGATTGGACCAGAGGGGCTAGAATTGAGCAGGACCCCGAGTGGATGGATGCAAATGACAGGGATGAGACGCGGAGGGTCCATACACAAGAAGATTTTGAACGCTGGAAGGAGAGAATGAAGGCTTCCTCATCCCAACCGCATGTGGAGGAAAAGAAAGAAACTTCCATTGAAGTTGTTGCCAGCAAAATAGCACAGCCTGAGCACCGACCTACAGACGGCGATGTTTTCAGCGGCAACGGGACACCTTTCCAAGCAGACTCAGCGATGGAGCGCTTCTTTGGACTGCTAGGCGATGCGAAACAGCCTCAGGAGGTCAGCACCCCGATATCAGTGGAGTCGACGAGCAAGAAGGAGCCGGCACAAGGGAAGCTTGGGAAATCTTCCCGGTTTGCTGGACTTTTCAGCCCACCTCCAGGAAGTCCTGCAACAGAGCCAGAGGCCCAATTTGGTATCAGATTCCCTGCTCCGCAATCCTCATCCTCCGACGCGGATCAGGAAGGGTTCCAACGCATTCTACAGATGCTTGGGGGAAGTGGGTCGCGTAATTCGACTCCTCAGAACGATGGAATGCAGCCTTCCCGTCCACCTCTCATGCAGCCCGAGCCGACGTTGAGTGCTCTCTCGTCTCCTAAGGACTCGATCAAGCGGCCCGATTACGTGGCGATGCCGGAAGCATCTGCTCGCAGCACGGCTCCGTCAATGCAGGAAAATATCCAGGCACATCAGTCTCCTTTCAGAAATTCGCAGGCCCAGGACAGGGAGCATCTTCTTCGTTTGATGCAACAGGTCAGAGTGAGCCCTGTCGCCAATCATCATGGAGTACAGGGCCAACACCCGGGTGCGGGTCCGGCCCCTGGCATGATGAATATGCCTGAAATGCTGTCCCGTCCTCCAGGGATTCCATCTGCCCAGAAGGCACCTCCTTTCCTAGATGATCCGGCGATTGCCAACATGCAGCGACCAGATGCCGATCAGATTCGCAGAAGGCCTGCCAATGGACCCCCCATGGGTTATTTCGATGACGTCCTATTTCCTCAAGGTGGCCAGATCCCCATTACACCTGGTGGATCCCGACCTCCTCCAGGCCCAGGCCACCCTGGCATGGGTATTCAGAGACCCCCAGGGTTTGAGCATCTGCCACCCCCAGGCTGGACTGGTCCTCAAGTGCCTCCTCCTCCTCCTCCTCAGCAGGGTGGTGGCCCCAGCCCCTTGGCTCCTCCCCCAGGCATCCCAACCCCGAACAGAGGTGTTAACCCGAATTTCATGATGCCGATGCATGGAAATGTCCCCCCTCTAGCTGAACGTCAACTCTTCCCTCGTGGAGCTGGTGGAAATGGGTCTGTCGGTTTTCCTCCTCCGCCACCACCCGGAATGATGCCTCCTCCTGGCTACATGAATGGCCCTCCCCCATCTGGCTTCCCACCGATGGTACCCAATGGCGAGGCCTTGCTGGGACTTGGCCACGGTGGGCAGGGTCCTTTCGATGGTAATCCTGGTCCACAGCAGGGACCGCCGCCATCCTCGAGGCATCTTTTGGACATGTTTGGCCAAGTTGGTGGTCCTGGACAATTCAGATAGGGAATACTCCGCGGCCCAGAGAGGGAAGCTGATCTATCTCTAAGGTGTACCGCGAGATTTTCGGACGAAGCCACAATACCTTCTTCTGCTGGTTCATTCCAAGTTGACTTTGCGAATTGTTATTTTCCAGGTTTTTCATTGCCTCTTTTTCTTTTTTTTTTTTTTTTTTCTGAACTCTGTTGCTTGTTAATGTGCTTTGCAAAGGTCGGTATTGTGGTTTCGACACGGAGGGTTCGCTTTTTCGCCACTGCTACATGGACACTCGATCATTATGGACTCTGGCGATGAGATGGTCGGCTTGTGTATGTCTTGACTCGGGTCGAAGACTTGCTTGTCCAAGGCATTAAGTGACTTGTCATTATTTGATCGTGGTTGCGATCTAGCGTTATTACTTAGTATCGTCAATCTAAGCAAATATATGGCTGGTCATCTTCTCGTTAGCAGCTTCTACTCACTCATGCAAACTTCGAGGGATTATGTCGACGAAGACTTACCTTGCAAACTGGTAGTATTGTCTTATGCGCCAGGCGCTATGCTTGTAGTCAAGGTAGCAGCTGCGTACATCTCTACTGCACTTCAGTCCATTAAAATCCTTCTCTTTCCAAGGCCCAGAATCCCCTGCAGATTTGCTTACATGACTATCCATCACTGACTTCTTTGCATAATTCCAAGGTCTAGGTCTGAAAATATGCAGAGGATGACTGATGGATACAAAGCACCCCAGTGGTAGCTATTAACCAGACAACACCTCTTCACTCTTTCCATCTCCACCAGACTCATCAATCATCTCTAGCTGGTACCTTCTTTGAATCCTTTGTCAGAATCTCATTCAGATGGTGTCCTTCGAGTAAGTGTCTTATTTTCCCATGCTGGTTTCTCTGCAGCAGTGGATGCCGAAGCATCTTGAGTCCTCTTCTTGCTTTCTACAACTTTTGGATACAAGAACCTCAGTACGTTTTCATTTCTCTTTATTGGCGATTTAGGTGTCATTACGGATACTATATCGTTCACACAGCAACACAGCTATCCTGCCAGTGGGGTATGTCGCTCTCAGAATTGCTCCCATCTCTTGGTGCACACAGACAGCCATCCAACATAACCACTTTCCTTCCTCTTTTTACACAACATTTGAAACATACCTGTGATATGCAATGTTGTTTGCACACGGATCTTGGATAACATCATAGGAATATTCTTTGGGGATGCAGATCTCTCCTCCATCAGTCTCGAGATCACTGCTCACAGGTCACTAATTTGCCCTTTCGAGCAGCCCTCAACTCCCAATATGATGGACGAGATAGACTTCCAGCTTTGCTTGAATATCGATCAGGTCGTGAGTATACGACTCTTGTCTTTGATGGGTGCACTGTCTGATGAAGACTCCACGCAGCTGTCTAGCTTCCACCGGAAGCAACAAGAGTCGAGCTATCCCGTCCACAGCAATGTCACCAATAGCGAAACAACAACCAGCTCAGCGAGAACCCGAACACACGCCGAGATAGAAGATATCTCCACTGACGAGAGTATCCTTGAACAACAACCGCCAGCCAAAAAAGCAAAGATCTCGCCCTCTGGCCGTGTACCAGACCTGCAGATTTTACTCCCAAACAATCACAGTTCAATGGACTGGACTGAATCCAGCCAGCACCCGGATCAGTACTGGGGATATCACTCTCTCCGAAGCACCCCACATATGCCATTCGAGACGGCGACTGTGCCTCCAGTACCTCCTGAGGCTAGAGCAGCGAGCGAAGAAATCGAGATCAACTACGGCATGCTGTACACGGGAAGCAAATCAGACATCGAGATGGAAACGGAGAGCGCGCCGGAGGGCTTCTACAGGCGCGGTCCTCTGCACCCATATGGCTCCTGGCTGTTTCGGAATGGGGCTGTTCTCGATGGAAGATGGGGGAGCTTTCCGTCGAAGACGAATGATGACTTGCCTAGCTTTACCATCTACGAGGATCCGGATAATCTTGAGATCAATGGTATTATTCCTAGCGCAGATTGGTTTACGTCCCCAGAGGAGGATAAGGAGAATATTGAGGATGGCTATGAGGGGACTGCGTTTCTACGGGAATTGGATGCGAATATTGTCATGGCGTAGAGACGTGGATGATAGCTTATGAGTCATCATATGAGGTGGACTTAACGGAGGAGAGATCGACGGCATTATCGTACAACTGTATATTTAGAGGCATGTAGCGAGTTCGAAGATATACGAGCAACGTCGGCAAATGATATCCCAGATCTCCCTTAGGAGAAGATAAATAAAAGTGACTGTTCTTCGTTCTAGAGAAATGTACCGTCAAGTTCCATCATTGATTGTTCTCCTTCGCCTGGTTATGAGTATTCAATGAACGTCGCAATTAAGGCCAATGGTAAGATAAGTTTGTGGGACTCAAGGGAGAGGGCCGCAGTGAAAGATAGCGACCTCCCTTCGAGCGAGGATTCTGAAAGCAACAATGCCATGATCAAGCCTGGAAAGAATGATGTATAATGCAGTCATATTCATGTCATTCAAGGTATCTGGTGTTCTATGTACTAATCTACTAAGCCTCTACGGCAGCAGGGGCAGATTCATCATTCTGCTGAGGTTTTGCGCCGGGGTAGCGCGATCCCTTGTCCTTTTGCTTCTTCTCCTTCTTCTTCGGGGCGGGCGGGGGGTAGGCCTTCAATGTGATCTCCTGCCATTCGGCTGAGGCTTCATATGCGGCACGAATAGGTGCCATGAGCTCGGCGAGAGCGTCCGCGACAGCGGGCTTCAACAATTGCGGTGTCAACTGTGCGAAGTTTGTTAGCGATTGGCATGAACTGCGCTTAGCTGCAAGGTAGTCTGATAGACATACCACATCGGTCTTATAATCTTCCTGCATCTGTTCGATGTTGGTGTAAACCAGGGGCTCCAGGCCGTCTCTCTCGCGGTTGACGCGGAACTCAGGGCGTCCGGTCTTGAGGGCTGAGGCCGGCAGGAGGACGTATTGGGCGAAGGAAAGAACACCGTTGTTGTTAACATCTTGGGGAGCAGCCTGGGCTTTGCGGATCTTCTTTCGGACAGTGTCGGCAGCTTCGAGGAGATCGATCTTGCTGTCTATTCAAAACTTAGCGGACAACTTTAATCTAAGTACGAGAAGACCAATGTTACCTTCTTCACTGGAGCTCATCTTGCCACCTGTGAGTCCAGGTACCATAGGGTTCATCAGATGGGCACGCTATCGATTGTGAGTACAAAGTCGCTTAGAGCGCGATTTAGACCATCGGCCTTACCTTCCTGTAGCCCAGCTTGGGCTGCCACTCCGTCGATGCCGCAAATAGCTTTCTTTGATCAATACCTGTGCTATGTCAGACCGGGATCCAACATCACCATGAGAGGACACTTACCTCCGAATTGGATATCGCAATCGAGGTACTGCTCATCCAACACCTGAAGGATGGGGTAGAGGAGGCCACTAAGCGGGCTGTTGTCGGTTTGCTTGACAACCTCAGCACCAGCCTTTTTGGCATCGTGCTCCGAAACCAGGGAGCATAGTCTGTACACATCCATCACATAGTCAGGGCTCTTCTGGTAAGAGCTGCCAAGGACGAAGCGGAGTTTCTCAGTCGACACACCCACGGCCTGGAGCATCGCGGTGATGGTGTATTCATAGTACTTCGCGCGGTGTTCGACGAGCTCGATCGGCGCCTTCAGGTTATCGAGGAAGCCATGAATATCAGCGATAAGGATCGTCACATCGCAACCGGCGGCCAGAAGCTGTGCGATTTTCACGGCGGGCACTAAATGCGGGGGTTAGTTGGGAAGTGGTTCTTGGTCGCATTCGGCGAGATTCATACCGAAATATCCGCAGTGAGGCTTTCCCGTAGGACTCGTTCCTGTGCGACAAAAAGGAAACCATTAGCAAAATTCCAATTGTTAGCGGGGGGAACAGAAAAAAAAGTACCCCAGTAGATTCTTGGGTTGCGCCCCTCAGCAAGAATGCCTTCAATCAAGTCTTGATTGAGCACCTCCTGGAGATTCTCCTTGATGAGAGATAATCTCTCGCCCGCATCCATGCTTGCCATTGTCTTCGATATCTTGCCCTTGAAGCCCAAAAACGGAATCCGCGGTTGTTATATACTGCCCTCTGCTTAGGTGAGTCAGTCCGTATATCCGTGGATAAATATAAAAATCCCCCGCCTCCATCGGGCCGTCTGTTGTTCCGCTCGGAGGAAGCACACATGGCAGCAGAACGATAAGATGGCCAGGCTTTAAATGATTGGCTGAGAGTACAACACCGCCTGCAGGCACATGGATGAGCGTCTTTGCTGTGCTGACTGGGCGTCAAATCAAGCGCAAGGTAGGGAGCAGGACGATGTCTTCGGTCACTCGGCTCGGACGGAATCCGCACTGGCTAGGGACTTGTTGGCTTATTCTGGTCGCCTTCATGTCAGCTCCGAGGTTTTGTGGCTGACTTGTAACCAGGAGCCTTGGTATGGAGCCATCAGGTAGAAGTGCATTGTGCCTCCCGATGACTTCTCCAATTGAATTTCGTAAACAGCTAGGTGGCAGCACCTTCGTGGGTAAGATTCAGCCTCAGCGAAATCTGTAGTCAGATGAAAGTCATGGGGAGATGTCTGGTTCTCGGAGTGATCAGGTACTGGTTTCCAAACAACAAGAAACTCAAATGTGATGTAGTGTCTTCCGGATCCAAGCATACTGAGCCACATGCATTATGTTTTCCTATGATGTAAACATAGATTCCCATCCCGACTAAGGATGTTATTTTCTTTGATCGCCGCCTGTACCTGAAGTGACTATTGTGCTGGAAATGTTGCTCATACTGCTTATGATCATCATATCACGTGATGATATGCGTCCGGGGTATCAACTATCAACATCAACGGACATCGCATCTACGAGTAGATACCGTACTGCCCCTGTCCACTCCATAGCAACTAGAGTAGAGTTGGTCTCAAGAACGTCACTCCAAAGACAATTCGATAATAGATGTACTTTTTACATCAAATCCCCCACCATGACTCAACCAGCCGCCCAACCCCGATGGGTCATCCTAGCCATCGCCAGCGGCGCATTCGCTGCGCTAAACGGCCTCTTCGCCAAACTGTATGTTTCAACTGTGTTCCTTTTGGCGAGCTAGCGCAGCCGCTTATAAGCTAAGGGAGAGCCGTCTCCTGTGTTTGGTCAAGACATACTTGCTAATGTACATCCCAGAACAACTGACGAACAAACCACCGCCTTCGCCGGGGCCATCTTGCATCTCTTCGGCGCGGAAGAGAACACTTTCATAGAACTAGCAGTTCGTGGGGTACGCCCCTCTTGTTTGCTTCTTATTTCTTGCTTTGATCTATGACTGGCCAAGCGCTGACTTTGAATAGATCTGTCTTGGGCTTAATGTTCTTTGTAACATCATTATGTGGGCGCTGTTCACGCGGGCGTTGACCGCATCTCCCTCCACAACCAAGGTGTCCATTACCAATACTTCGGCGAACTTCCTCGTCACTGCGCTGCTGGGTATGGTTGTTTTCCGTGAAAAGGTGAGTGGGCTGTGGTGGCTGGGAGCGGGGATGATGGGTGGTGGGTGTATTCTGGTTGGAATGAGAGATTCATGAGCATCGCTATGTGAGATGTAAAGGGCTTGGGGCAAAGAACATGGAAGCAATTCGTTAGGATGCCTGATCCTATAATCTTTATAATATGGTATAGTACATAAAAAATGGAAGTCAATTAATGCCTTTCCGTCAACTCCACGATAGCATCTTCGTCCTCCGTCCCACTCAAGATGCCGCTTGGCTCTCGGCCATCCTGAGTTGTTGGTCTATGATCGTGTGGTGCTCGCCGCCATCGGGGCAATTTTGATCCCACACTTTGCAAGAAGCGCCACACTCGCTCCTCCAGCGAATCGCTTTGGTTTCCATGCAGATGGGCTCCGAGTGGAAGATCTGCGGCAGAATTGGTTGATGCGAGAGCTTGCTCCTCTGCCTCAACCTTGAATTGATACTTCAGACAATCCTTGACGGTGACAAGTCCCATCACCCGGCCTTTGTGCTCAACCAAGATGACTCGCGGCCCCATTTTCTTGAAAATCTCCATCACAGTCTCAAGGGCAAGGCGGGGATGCACCGTCAGCGGTGTGTGGTCGACATACCGGCTGAAGTCCACAAAAGGTGTCCCAACGCTCGTCTGGATGGCATCAAATGTCTCAGGGGCCAAGTGGCTTCTCGAAACAGACGCCCTCCGAGCTACCGCAGCTTCTGCGGCCTCTTTAGTGAATACACATCGAGCATTAGGTGCCAACAGCCCCTGCCCCCGTGCCCGGTCAATAGCGTATCGAAGCTCGGTGCGGCCAATGTAACCAACTAAAATCTTGCTTGAGCGATCTTCGACAACAGGGAAGCCCTGGAATCTGTTGTCATTCAGGAGATGTTCCGCTTCACGAACGGGAAAGTCCGAAGCCGGGAGTGAGACAGGGTCGGGGGTCATGGCTTGCGAAACCGGCACGTTGAAGACGTGCTCTTCTTTGGTGTCTAGGAACGGAAAGCCATTTGACCAGATCATCCGGTCTGCAATACCCCCGCTTCCAAAGCGATCGCTAACAGCCTTGGTGATACCCACCACAATCTATTAAGGTCAGTTTCTTCCGTGTTGAGCCGCGGAACCGTAAGACTCACCATCGTCGGTAAGATATAAGTAAGAGCTCCTGTCAATTCAAACATTATCACGACCACAGAGATCGTAAGGTGCATGATCCCACTGAGAGCTGCTCCAGCACCCAAGAATGCATAGGTCCCTGGAGTGATGCAGGGAACATCTGGCTGGCAAGAGGAGAAAAATGCGGAATTAGGAAAGGCTTCATACAAGGCCTGGACAATGATTCCCACCAGACGCCCAAAAGAAGCCCCGATGGCCATTGACGGGACGAAAATGCCAGCGGGCACTTTGCAACCATAAGATATGATAACCAGCAGAATCCGCAAAATCGTAGCAATAGCTAATGATATGACCGTCATCCACCGATTCTTGGACCTAATGTGATTGTAAGTAGAGTCATCAAAGATTTCAGGCGCACACTCACTCGCAGAGCCCATGATAATCGTGGCCGCCTTCACATTCTCGAAACAGTATTTCCATCATCTCCGTCATGTTGATCTTCAAAAACATGTTCGGGTAGCAAATAAATGCGGTTAGGCCTGCCAGGACAACCGATTCGATTATGGGATATTCCGCAAGATACTTCTTCCTGAACGCCTGGACGCGGAGATTCCATTTGATTACAAATGCTCCGTACAGTCCGCCGAATATCCCGAGGAGCACAAAGAAAATCAATTCGAAAAAATGCCAGGTGCGGTCATACTGCACCTGAAACATGACTAGCTGTCCGGTTCTGAAAGGATTCATCACCTATGACCTGGGTTAGCACCACGATATCGGGAGATCTTTTGACAGCCGTACCGCTAACACTCCAGTGGCAACCAAGGCACAAAAGTAGCTTCGCCATAGTGTCTTCAGTGGAAAATAAGACGCCATTTCCTTAGTCTCCTTGTTAGCGAAGAACCTGTTTGCAATAATATAAGCAAATTCACCCACCTCTAGCGAAAACAAAACCCCCCCAATAGGGCTGCCAAAGGCGACTGCCACACCGGCCGCCGCCGTCGCGGTTAGCACTTCCCTCGTCTTCGCAGCATTCTGTTTGTATTTGCTGAAGAATCGCGAGATAACATTGCCCGTGCACACGGCAAAGTGCACACTGGGCCCTTCTTTACCCACCGAGAGCCCAGATGCGATGGCCAAGGGAAGCGCAATCGACTTGATTAGAAGTGTCCAGGCACCAAGGAAGCCCTTCATGACGAATCCGGCGATAATGCATTTGATCTCTGAGATACCAGAGCCTGCAGCGTATGGAGCAAATGACTTGACCAAGGTCGCAGCGATGCAGGCGAATAAGATCTGCGTGGGGTCTCAGCAATTGGATCCGAATGAATGCCAAGGTCCGGCGTACCGCAAAAAAGAAGTATACGAAATAGTTGATTAGCCAGAAAGAGGTCCATGGCTTCCATTCCGGGCAACCTGAGAAGAGCGAGGGAACAAGTCAGTATTGCAGTCAAAGTCAAAAAAAAGGACGGGCAACATTCGTACCTCCCTCAGCACCCCAACAGCAGAACTGCTCATTAAGGTAGAATGCAGTGGTACAATATCCCAGCTTGACATCTGACAACCACTCTGTAATAATATTGAGAACTGCCGAAATCATGCCAATCGCCGCGCCAACGAGCGTTATAACGAGCCAGGCTTGTCCAGCGTCGTAGGACTCGCGCACTTTGCGCCTCCAACCAAATGCGCCTTCCTGATCCCAGAATCCCGATCCATCTCGGCGTTTCGCTCTTCGTCGCGCTTGATCCTGAATCGCATCCTGAACCCAATCAATGGTCGTAAAGTCCTCATATCGCTTGATCTCTCTGATCTCTTCTGTGATCGCACTAGGCTGCCCTTGGTCGGCGGGCGAGTCAGCCTCGACGGGGGAGGAAACAGATAAGCCTGATAACCTTCTCCAATTTCGACGCTCAGACAGTACTGAAGGCTGTCCAACGGAGGCAGATGAAGCAGGCATCAGGCTCATACCACGAAGGTTCCTCGTGATACTTGCATAGTCGAGGTCGACGTAATAATGCTTGAGAGTTGTTGGCGTTATTATAATGACTAGAGTGGTAGATAGGCACACAGCCCGCCCACGTGAGAGAAAGGTTCCCGCTTAGAGATTGGAGATAGCGACCGATAAAGATCACTCTACGGAGTATAGATCGCTCGCAAGCAACAAAAAGATGCTATAAGGTCGAATTTCTTGTGGGATAAGTCAAGCTCGCCTAGTCAAGTAGATAGCTACACTAGCTATACCATCACCATTCATGGATTGACTGCACGGTAATCGAGCACATCCAATTGTACTTGCGGAGCTCTTCTACTGTACGCCACGCGCTGTGGATTTCAACCCGCACGCGCCGTAGCAGTAATTTCTCTTTTCTGCAAACCACGCGATATCGTCTCCGACTCAAGCAAAAGCAACAATAGCTTTTCAGATCCCCGATCATCGATCTCCGGCTTCAAATCATCACTCAGTCTGTCATATCACACGAAACAAATCCCACACTCGTCTAGCATCGAGTCCGCAATGCCTCCGAAAGACAAGTCCGCATCTACATCCACATCCGCATCCGCCGATGAAATCACCGGCCAGAGTGCTCTGCCTAGTGCGTGAAGAAGAAATCAACATATTTGCTCACCCGGTTGGCTTACACACCTCAGTTACTCGGATAAAGAAGATCATCCAGCTGGATGAGGATATCGTACAATGTTCGGGCAATGCTACGTTTGTCATCACAATGGCTACAGTTCGTGATTACCTCCCATGCACTCACCACTCGGTATTCGAATCATGAATCGAGCAAATCGCGCTGATTGGATCTATCTATACTCTGCAGGAAATGTTCATTCAATACCTCGCGCAACAAGGGCACAATGTCGTCAAGTCCGAACGAAAACCGCGCAAAATCATTCAATACAAAGATCTAGGTCAGTTGGGAGCTTGATGGTGGCGTGAGGGATGAGGATATTGATGGCGTATGATGCAGCTACCGCCGTTTCGCGAATCGACAACCTGGAGTTCCTCGCCGACGTGATCCCCAAGACGACTACCTATAAACAGTTCAAGGAGAAGAAGGCGAAGGAGGCCAGCAAAGACGCTCCATTCGAAAAGGGACAGCGCACACTGAACGGCACAATATCGGCAAAAGCAAACGGGGAAGACGGTCAACAGGCGGCTGACAAGCCATCAATAAGCCCTCGAATTCCTTCACTGAGCACATTGATGGTCGACCGGACAGTCGAAGCACAACCGGGGAATAACGACCAAGACGTTGAGATGGCGGATCAGTGACGCTGTTTTGCATGAGATTCACGTGTATCAGTTTGGACTGTTCGCTGCTATCATGGATGCTTAGATTCTCTTTTGGTTTGGGGTATTTAGTATTATTATCATTATTGATTGCATGATTGGGTCTGGTTATGCGCGGGACGGAAACGGATGGAGGGCAAAAGCCTGTTGGTCAGTTGTTTATTGGAGCGTCATTTTCACATTATACCTGCTTGAGCATAGATGGGAACACAATCACACCATAATTGAATAATAATAACCGGTAGAGATAGTATCAATTTGTCCGTAAAATATAACGGTAGTAACTGTTCCTCGATGCTGTGAACTGTGATCATCGTTGATGGACGTTGTCGCTGTCGGAGCAGTCGTGGGCCCAGCGAGCCAATGAGGCGCCCCGTGATTCCGATCGCTTGTCCTAGCGAAAGCTCTGGTTCGACTCTTTCCCGTATGCCGGGCCTCCGACTTCAACCTCATCGAATTCCTCCCGTCCCATTATTACTGTTCTCTCCCCTCAACTCTCCTCCTCCCCTCCACCCACCCCCCGCAATTCGTTGCAATTGCCAATCTCACCATGTCTCTCTCGTCCGCGTCAAGCACTCTGCTGCGCGCTTGCGCCCGCCAGCAGCTGCCCACCACCCGCGCCGCCGTCGCCTCCTGCCAGCAGCAAAGAGGACTGACTGAGGCCTCCAAGTCCTCCTCCTTCGAGAGCCCCTTCGGCAGATCCCAGGAATACCAATCGACCCTGAAGATCCCCAGCTTCGGCAAATACTCCTCCGGCAAGGCCCCGCGCTCGAACCAGGTTTTCTCCTACTTCATGGCTGGTGCCCTCGGTCTGGGATCCGCTGTCGGTGCCAAGGCTACTGTCCAGGGTAGGTGATATGAAGGAATACCCCCGGGTGGAATGAAAAAAAAAAAAAGAGGAAAGGGATCATCGATTATTGTTTGAAAACGCATGGATTGGGAGGGAATGGGCGGTTGGGATCGTGCACTATCCAATGGGGCAAGTTGCTGATATGCGATTCTTACCATCAGACTTCCTGGTCAACATGTCCGCCTCCGCCGACGTCCTCGCTCAGGCCAAGGTTGAGGTCGGTCTTGCCTCGATCCCCGAGGGCAAGAACGTATGTGTCCCCATTCAACCGTGAATCGTCATGTTGTTAGCGGTGGCGGTCTCGCTGACCCCTCTACCACACAGGTTATCATCAAGTGGCGTGGCAAGCCCGTTTTCATCCGTCACCGCACTCAGGATGAGATCCAGGAGGCTCAGCAGATCGACTGGAAGACCCTCCGTGATCCTCAGGCCGATGAAGACCGTGTCCAGAAGCCCGAGTGGCTTGTCATGCTTGGTATGTTATGACGCCATCTAGTGGACACCATTTGTTTATGTACGGGTATTAATGTCTGGTTTTTCTACGTTCTTACAGGTGTCTGCACCCATCTTGGTTGTGTCCCAATTGGTGAATCCGGTGACTATGGCGGCTGGTTCTGCCCCTGCCACGGTTCCCACTACGACATCTCCGGCCGTATCAGGAAGGGTCCCGCTCCTCTGAACCTCGAGGTTCCCCAGTACAACTTCCCCGATGAGGAGACCCTCGTCATCGGTTAAGCAGAATCTCCATGCTGCAAATCGCAGACGGGGAGGCAATTTCTCCAGACGAGAGAGAGAGAGAGAGAGAGAGAGACGAAGGAGAAAGGAAAGAAGGAAAGGTTTGTGCCTTAGATGGGAAAGCTTTGTTCGTTTGTCAAGATTAAAGAGACCGTGTTTTAATATGGACCCAAAAAAATCAGCCTCTTGTATCATCTTTCAAACCTGCGCTGCTCAAAGCCCCTGTATCACTCTCTTGTCTGCGAAATTCTTGTGTTTTGGGTATAGACTGTTCTTTTGTATCCCTTGTCGTTCAGCCCTCATCTCCGCGCATCCGTGTTCGAAGCAGGTCACTCCCCCGGTTCTTTTTCGCGCGGGGGCAACAGCTGTCATGAAGCAGTCGGTTGGTTTGGAGTGAGAGGTTGGAGGACATCACATCAGATGTAGATCTGTTGAGCGTTGGTTCGAGTACATGTATGTTAGTTTCAGTTTTAAGTATATTCATCGTTGGATCTCTTTTGTCTTACTCTTACGCCGGGTCACGTCTCTGGAATTCGCAAGAAAAGAGAATGTTGCGAAGACATCGGTCCGATACCTTGGTAGAGATGTGCAGGTAGAGAGGGTCTTTATACAATGCATGTTATCCTCTATTTTAATTTCTGTACAGTGCTCAAAATACATGTGAATGCGATATGTCTGGGCACTCATGATACAATCTTCCCGGCTCATACCTCAAGCAGCTCACCGAGGACGGATCAGAGCAATCACCAGACCCATGATCGCTGCTCCGGCAGCAGCGCTCTGCAGAGCAACAGAGGTCAGGTCCCGCTGCGTGATGGAGATGCTGCGGTCGCTGAATAAGTCGTGGAAAGTCTGTCGCCATGACTCGACTGCGCTGGGGGGAGGGGGGATGCGGGCGAGCTGGGATTTGCAAGAATCCAGGAGCCCGGTCACCGCGTTCTTGTGGGCGGGCTCTTCTGTCGCTTCCAGGGTCAAGACGGGCGCTGGCTCGTCAGCCTTGGGGGCAGCAGCAGGTGTGGTCTCAGGTTCTGAGGCCGAGATTTCGCTGGTGGTTGTGGCTGTGGTAGTGGCTGTGGTAGTGGTGGCGGTTTCGTCTGCGGCGGCTGGGGGTTCAGATGTGGTCAGAATGGATGTCTCGGCGGCTTCCTCCTGGGAAGCAGGCGATGTCGACGAGAGGGTGTTCTGGGGGTGAAGGATCTCGATATGGTTCAGGGTCTTCTCCTTCTCGATCGCCTCGATGACCTTCTCCTCGAAGCCCTTCACGAGCCGCTTCCGGCGCCATGGCTCCACGGCGATCTGGAAGATCAGGAACAGCAAAACGTTGACGCCCATGAGTCCCCAGGTACCCCAGGTACTCATGCGGCGGATCTTGTCCGACCACACTTGTTCCTCGTGGTAGCGGGAGAGAATGCTTTTGCTCAACTGCGCCGCTGCCTCTTCCGATTCCCGTTCCGCTGCTGACAGTGCCTCTTGTGTTTCCATCTCGGCCACTTCATTGGTGTGATCGTTTCGGTAGAGGTGGGTGAATCTCTCCAGGTCGGCGGGGGACCAGGCGTGTTTCCGCTGCAGGAGCTCGTTCACTTCGCGCTGTGAAGCGGATCGTCGATTGATTGCTGCCGCGTAGGAATCTTTTGCTTCTCGGACGCGAAGGCGCGCTGTTCGGAGTCGCTCCTCTGTTCGTTGGACGAACGAACGGTCAGTCTAAGCTCAGGAACGGGGTTTCCTTTGATCATAGGCGCGCACCTTGTACTTGAATATCCTTCTTTAGTGCCTCAATGGAAGAGTACCCGGTCAAGTCGTTCAATCGTTGGCCTGCCACGAAGACGTTGGATTGCAGGTTATCCATCATCTCAGTGAATTGCTTTGAGTATTTTGACCGTCGCTCCTCCAGGTACGACGGTAAGCCCCGCTTCTCTGTTGTTTCTGAAGCTGGTTCATTTTTGAATTCCTCCTCTAGTCTAGACACTGTCTCCTGCTCTGCTGGAGCAGATGAAGGATGCTCGCCCTCCGCCTCTGGCTGTGCCTTGGGTGTCTCATGCGGGGACGTCGTCACCGGATCCATGTCATTCGGCTGCTGCGCAACGGGTTCATCTTTCGATTTATCCTTCTCAAGAGACAAATAGAGCGTTGGCTGGGACCGAAACTGGCATTGTACGCAGACCGAGAAGCTCCGCCGGATGTCTCTGGCGGCGTAGATGTTCGGGCCAGCGGCGGGGAGAAACCGCGGTCGTACTTGTCGTGAGGTTCTTGTGAGATTGGCTGAGGACCTGAGCGACTGCCGAAGCAGCAGTGGCATAGACTGCATGGCCGATTGGAAGTGGCCCCTTATCTCAGCAAATGCTCTGTTTGGTTGTTGAGCTTTTGATATCTTGAGTTGTCCTCGGAATCGGAGCCAAAGGCGGGAAGCGGAAATCATGAGGACGCATCGACTCCGGAGTTATCACTACTCACCAACTGACTTGCACCACTCAGACATAGCCTATTGGTATTTTTGTGGATTAAATAATGATCTTATTTCTTGTTATTCCAAGGAATGCAACTCCTATTAAGAACCCACATATAACTAATTACACACCTATCTTCGCCTTGCGAGAAATAATATATAAATATCACGTGAGCATTCAGATTGCTCGTCCTGACGGCGGGCGTCCCGGTTGTCCCTCTTCTTTTTTTTCGTTTTTCATTTTGACCAAGCTGGCATCATAAAACATAATAATTTCTGATTCATCAAGGATTCATAAACCACATAAAGCATGGTGTTGGGAGAAAGTCTGTGCTGTACAGGAGAGAGGAATGCGAGCATACGAGACAAGACCCTGACTTCAAGCGGGTAGTATAACGAAGTCTCCTTCACTGAGTTATGAGTTTTAAGTGGTTATCCATAGGACGCTCACTCAACAGACTGCACCTTGTGGTCTCCCTTGACAGCTTCAGCATAGGTTGGAGGTGCCCGAGAGTCATCTTGAGCATGGCTGCTGCTACCATAGCCCTCTGCGTGCCGCGGCTTAGTAGTCGGGTGCTGACGCTGGGGAGCATTCGTCGCTGGCCGAGATTGTGCGTCTCCCACAGTGCCATAGCTTCGCTGTGACGGGTGCTGGATCGCCTGGTGCGAGACATAGTAGTATGTCACCTGGCCGTTCTCGGCGTCCCTCCTTCGGTCGGCTTGGCCGGGAATAGGCCCGTAGTTCGGATCATCATAATCGGGTTCGGGGTATTTGAGGATGATGTACCAGGCGTGTAACAGACCGGGGAAATAGGCCAAGCAGCACAGAACGACATTGATGATCGAGTCGGCCGTGCAAATGCCTACTTTAATCCACACTGAAGAGATATGTTAGTGTTTGGTTCGTTGCAGGATAACGTAGAAAAAGAAGAAAGATGCAGAACGCAATCAGAATCAATGGTGTCTCACCTGCAACTGGGGGGAAGAAGATCGCGAGGATCCCAAGAAAGATGTCTGAACCGCACATGTCTTTGGCGATGATATATATACTTAGTATCCAGATGAGTTCTTCTGAAAAGATGTCTACACTAACAATCGATGAGAAAATGAGGTTTACTAGCGAAGTCAAGGCAAAGACGACGAGGGGTGATGAAGGTCATCAGTGTAGATGGATGCCTACCTCATCATATGACGTCGTCTTCGTCACCTGATTGTGGGAGAAATTGTTGCCAGAATTCTCAGGCTGTAAGGCGTGGGGATATTTTTCTTATCTTTGACTTTTGTTGGTGTTTCACACCGACAGCACAAGTACCCAAGTCCGGAGTCACGATACGGTCTCTGTCGCCATCTGACTGTTGTCTCATCCACAGCCACTACATAGAAACAAAGCTGGCTTCCAGACTTCCAGGCATGGAAGAGATTTGTTATTCGATGAAAATGATCTAGATACCTGCTCAGGCGCAATAGAGACGACATTTGGATGCATACGAACCCAAAGATTCCATATGTAACTAGCGTTGGGAACATAAAATACCCACCCGTCATCTGGCGCTTAATCCTAGATCGGTCCATCATCCTCAATTTCTCACAGTCAGGTTCCGAATGACTATCGAAAATAGTGATCAATATCGGCATTCGGCATAAATGATCTGCTTTGACTTTTCTGCGTTCAATTTCGATAGTCGCTCAATCTGCTGCCCTCACGGACAGAAGCGAGGCTTAAGATAGTGATCGACTGTATATCTATCTAATGCTATCTTACGCTGTATGGTCAAGACTATGGAGTACATCTGGCTCCACTATCTCGACGATGCTTCAAGCCTTTCAAATAGTTCAGAGGTTTCTGAGTTCTGAGTTCTGACCGACTATCTAGACTCACACTCATCCAGGGAAACGGAACACCTAGGGTATGTGGGTTTTCCCGTGTTCCACACTGAATCGAACAGGGAGAAATCATGACTTTCTACGTGTTGGTATGGATCAAAATCTTGATGGATAGATGACAACTCAAAATGCCAACAATGGAACGGTGGAACGATGGTAACTCTGATGATATGATCTGTCCCCTGTAAAGAGAGCTTCCTTCACACCTCAAAGGCTACCAGTCTGCCACGTCAACAGCCAGCACTGAAGTAGACCTTGAGTTTGAGGCTTCGATTGAAACAACAACTAGATATAAGCTCCGCTGTACCTGCATTTTGTCCAGGTATATATATATTGTTTAGTCAATCATAACCAGATCATTTGAAATGCAGATCGAGTCTTGAATGTCTTATATAAATATATGTCCGATTGCCCGACTAAATAATCCGATTTCGAGCTCTCTACCTACTGTCAGTCAGTCATCACTCTCTCTACCCACGAACGAACCCTCAGTTGTCAATCATCCTCTGTGATCCTCCGACTCTCAATATTCACCAATAATAGTTACTTCACCGGGATCATCGAAGTTCAAACGTCTATTCAACATTCAACAGTCATCAACAACAGTGGATCTCGGCTCTAATTTCCCTCTTGCAGCGTTTGGGCGTGCCTGGCGGGAAGTGCAGCTTCTGCTTTTTAGCCTCTCTGGAGTGGAGTCGGTTTAATTGCAAACTTCACAGGGAAACCGCTGGCGGATAGAGAGACTAGTTCTATCTCGTCTTTAGTCTCAGTGTCTAACAGACAACAGTAGTCTGGAATCTGGATTCATCCGCGCCCCCCCTTTTGTGTCCAAGTTGGACTCTGCTTGATCCTCGGGTGCAAATTACGAACCAGAATATCGAGACGAGACAATCGAATTGAGGTTGATTTGAGACCTTGTTTGATTTTGACTCTTGACCCTTGATCCTGGACGCCCTGAAAAAGCTCGTCGGTCCTCCATCTGGTATCAAGTTACCTTCTTTTTCCTTCGGGTCGAGATTGGCTAAGCAAACTCGAGTCTGCCGCTGATCCCTGAGCGTGCTTCTCTTTCCCCGACACCATCCACATTTAGGATCATTGCTAGTTATTTTTCCTCTCATCTCTTTCTCCTCCAGTCGGCTTCCTTCGCATCAAAAGCCCACTCCCTGCTCTCGTCATTGACGTTCCTTTGCAGTTCAGAGGACTGGATATCACCGAATTGAGTCACTCGTTTGCATTCACTTCCTTCTTTTTTACCTTCATAGCTTGACGCGTTCTGGTCTCTGTTGGCCTGTATTCAATTTGATCATTCGTCTCGCGCACATTACCACCATCAATTGAACCGTCGGTCAATACTCAAGAAGAAGGAACACCATGCGGGCAATCCTCGACTGATCGCCTGAGAATCAAATCTGGAATCCCCTCGTTGCACGTCCTCGCGCATCTCGATAACGATCCAATCGCCTAATTGTTTGATCTGACCCCTTGGAGCTGGGAAGTAAAATGGTGGACAGCTGTATCTCCCTTACGGGGTCCAAGCAATGCCCGGCTTTCAATACTTCATCTATATCTACCGCCTCGAGACTCCACACCGACTTGTGGGTTGCTCCTGACGTTCGTCTATACCATTGATGTTCCTTGAAGCTAACCATCAGATAGTCCGTTTATGCAGTATGTTGCTAATTTGGAGGATTTCGATCGGGAGTTAAGCAACTACGTGAAAGGCCCTTATGTGAAGCAAAAGTAAGGACATTTCTTTGAAACTCAGCTTGTTTGCAACGAGACGCAATATTTATCAGACCTAGGTATATCGACTACTTGGGATGCCAAGGGGCCAATCTCACCGATACCGATGACTACTACGCTCGCTATACCACCAGTACAATTTGCAGCGGACTCGTTCAAAGCTCCATCAACGACTGCAGACTTTCTGCTCAGCAATCGCGGCCACTTTGCGCAGATACGTGCGCGCTAATGGCCACCAGCGAGGGGGAGATTGTGATCAACGCCGCCCTTTGTCCGAAAAAGAGTAGCGGCTACATGAGTCAAATCCGCTCAGATTTCGCCATCTGCTCAGGACCTGCCGATTCACTTACTGGTACCTGTATTTCAGGCGCGGACAACGAATCCACGGAATGTGGATACGGACCCAATTTGATAGGATTGTGTGGATATTGCGGAGCCAGTTCGCCCAACTCGACCGATATATGCTGCGTCAATGCGAATGTTGAAACTCGATGTAAAGATGTCACACTTCCGACTTCGACTGCGACTTTACCACCAATCCTCACTTCAACTGCCAACTCAACGGCTGGTACCGGTACCCATCATGGTCTTTCAGGGGGACAAATAGCGGGAATTGTTGTTGGATCTGTCGTGGGAGCCGCGTTGTTGGTTGCGCTGATCATTCTAGCTTTCATCTTGCGACGGAGACGCAGATCCCAGGATTACAGTGCACTGAACAAACCCAATCCACAGCGAAAGGGCTCGCCGTCCATGCAAGGAAACAATCATCAACCAGGGGCTGCTTTCATTCCAGGTGGCCGGGTGGCTCGGATGTCTGCTCTGCGCGAGGCCCCAAGTTCCTCTCCAGCACGTTCTCGCAATTCCGCCGCCATTTTCGGGGGTGCCAAATCCAGCGATACGTCGGACTCGGAAGGCTACGGAGCCAGTCCTGGAGCGATGTCAAAGAAGATTCCCCCTGTCACTGGCAGACGCCATGGATCTCTTTCCAGCAATTCAGCTTTAGCTGGGGCCTATCCTGATTCGTCTCCCCGCTCAGGCACCAACCAGTACTCTTCACCAGAAGGCATCACCAGTGGACAGTCGGAACAACTATCTTCGTTCCAAGATTATTACTCGCAAGATGACATTCAACCTGGTGACAAGGTCGCTGTTCTTTGGGCCTATCAACCACGGGCAGGGGATGAATTTGCTCTTGAGCGAGGAGACATGTTGAAAGTGATTGGCATTTGGGACGATGGCTGGGCGACTGGTATCCGTGTTCCCGAAACAGCAGATGACTACGACACCAGACATCGTGAGCAGCGCGACAGCGGAGTATCCAATGGCTCCCGAAGACCAGCGACGTCCCCATCGCCCACTGGGGAGATCAAGGCATTTCCCCTGGTCTGCGTCTGCCTCCCCCAACACTGGAGAAAGATTATCGATGGTGGTGAAAATGATGAAGAAGGCTCTTGAGCTACAGTTGCAGGCATCAACCTCCTTGGCATCCATCCTTCTGTCCTCATGCGCGCTTAAGGTTACCCACCGGACTCATCCTTTCTGCTGGCCCTCAAATTCTGCCATTCTCAGTGTGACCAGATGCACCTCAATGGGGTCAATCACAAATCCATATCACCGATTCCTATAACCCGACGATTAATATTATCCAAGTGCTTCGATTTCCCATGCTGTCACGAACATTTTATGCAGCATCTTTACCAAACTATTTCCCCGAGCTCCACTATGGAGGGCCGGAGACGACTGCCGTGCCCTTCATTGAGTGCTTGCGAGACGGCCTGTGATGGTTCTTTTTCATATACCCCATTTTCACGCGAGTGGAATTGTTCGCTGTTATCTAGCCTTTGTGTCCTTTTTTTTCCGTTTCTAAGACTGCAAATGAAGCAAATTTCCTTGGGTGTGGTGGAGCAGTCATGGCACACCGCTCCGTGTTTATGGATTTCCGATCCCACAAATTGACGCCCAGGAGGTCGTTTCCTTGACCAGTTCAGTCTGTGGTCATATGCATTGTACGCTTTCGCCGGTGTTTTCTCGGGAGGTTGAGATCATACTTATGCGATTTAGAGATGCTAATAGACATAAACCATATCTCTTCTCACAATCCTGTGGGAATTGCGGGCACCATGTATTTGAAATGGTCTTAGACTCGTGTCGTGTGGGCGTGAATCATTATGTTATTATGATTATAGCCATTGAGCTGGAATATCAATAATCATTATGTTATCATTCGGAGCTCTCCATTATTTGGTATAATCGTGCTTCTGTTACTATTCTAAGCCGGCGTAGCGAAATTGACATGGATGACTTGGGTCGTTCGGGACTAGCCGATATATCACGATCGAATGTACGGAACGCCATTTGAGCTATGATGTAGCCACGCTGCTGATGGATTTCTTGGGAAAGAGTGTGGGTGTCATGAAAATCATGATGCCTGGCTATGTCTAGGTTCCCTCATTCTCGTACCAGTCGTTGTTGAGGTGTCCCAATATACGCTCCAGAGATAGCATAGATAGAATATGGACCAATGCACACATACGTAGGTAGGCAACCAAATACGGTGGCCAGTACATATATACTGAATGCGACGACTTGTCCTGCAAGCTTTTCTTGCATGTCTTGTCTGACTTGCGTCTCTAAAGGCACCTGTCTTCTATCATTACGCATCTCCGTCGTACTTACGTACTACTGCTATACTAGTCTACTACTCCCACCTTTAATCAAACAAAAAATAGACTCAGGGGGAACAGAAGCCAGGAAAAAAAAAAAGACGGGCTGTGGTGCGCCTGCAAATCACGTGCAGCAACCCACCCCCACCATCACATCAACAACGCAAGCACAACAACTAAACCAAGGAAGCCCCTCTATCTCCATCTCCGTTCTCACCCTTCCCCATTCTCTATACTATCGAGCCCCCTTTTATCCTGAACTCGACAGTCTCCGTGCAGGATTCACAAAACTTCTAAAATGTGAGTTACCATTGACTGGCTAGCAGGAATGAGAGAGTTTTCTGTGCTCAGTATCTCAGGAGTTTTGAGTCTAAATCGCTAACATCGCGTGCCAACACAGCTTATCTTCTCTTAACACCGATCTCGGTTCTACATCCCACAGGCAACCATGTCGGTATGTATTGATCATATGGTCCATCCTGTTCAGTTATAACGCTCATATGCTAATGCTGGTTTTTTCTTCGCAGCTCGCATCCGGGTATGTTGATACTAGAGGCTCTTCCGAGTTCTCCCCTCGAAGCGCTCAGCACCACGTCATGTTAATCGCGCGCAGCCGTGCTGACGGGTTATCTTCTCCTGCAGCGTTACCATCAGAGATGAGTGCATCAATGCATTCAACGAGTTCCGCATGAGCACCAACAAGCCCAACAAGACCAAGTTCATCATCTTCAAGATCTCCGATAACAAGAAGGAGGTTGTCCTTGATGAGGTTTCGCAAGACGAGGACTACGAGGTCTTCCGCAGCAAGCTCGATGCCGCCAGAGACAGCAAGGGTAACCCCGCTCCTCGTTATGCCGTCTACGACGTCGAGTACGACCTTGGTGGTGGTGAGGGTAAGAGGTATGGTTGCGCCCTTTTCTTCGCTGCTGGAAGGGGGTAGGTGGGGTTCGACGGCTGACTAGTTGTGTTCAATAGAAGCAAGATTGTCTTCATCTCCTGGGTTCCTTCCGATACCCCTACTCTGGTATGGCAATGCTCTTCTCTCTGAAGCTGATCGCAGAGTTGTGTTCTTTTTTTTTGTTTTGGGCTGACGGGGGTTCACTTTTTAGTGGTCCATGATCTACGCCAGCACGCGGGAAAACCTGAAGAACGCCCTCAATGTCCACAACTCCATCCATGCCGATGACAAGTCTGAAATCGAATGGAAGGCTGTTCTGGCCGAAGCCAGCGGCGGTAAGGCTAAATAGACGACGGTGCCGGCTGGGTCCGGGCCAGTTGATAATGACCTATTGTGTGCTGTGTCGCACGTATCTCACTGAAAGGGTCAAAGAGTATCGCGAAACGACCGACTCTATGACCCTCTCTGCACACAGACATAGTTCCAAATATGAGATCGTTACGACTTGACTGCTTTTCTAGTGACCGTACCATCTTATTGCGATCTTGCCCGCGAACACGAGCGACTGGGAGGGGGACTTTCTTTCTTTTTTTGAGTCAGCGTTTGCCTGTACAGAATACTGCTGCCTTGGTGTGGGGTGTGATGACGACGGTTCTTTGTAGAGTAGAATACACGACATCACCTCCATATACTATCGCCCCTCTTTCAACAGTTCTCTTTCGTGTGGTCGTAAGACGGGGTTAGGTTGCCCAGGAGAGTGATAGGCTGAGTAACGGAAATGCCGGATTGAGGCAGGCACTGCATTGATATCAGACTGCGATGCGCGGGTAGTTAGAAAGTTTCAGCTGTGAACTGACAGGCAAGTGGATCAGCTAGATAGAACGGTAGTGATAGGAACCCCGGAGATATCTAGATAATGACAAACCCTCCAAAAGCAGCGATGGACTTGGGATACCTTATGATGTTCTCTCACGAGGGAACGGTCGGGTTTGTTCGACGAGAGGCGCTGGCGGTGGACCAATCAGAGAGCCGCCAAAACGGACTAAGCTTGCCGTTCGGAAACTCGACTTTCCACCTCAAACCACAGTCGAACGTCGTCTCTGTCTCCCATCGCGAGTCTCGATCCCCTCCTCCACCCACTGACCAGCCTCAAGCACCCTCAAATCCGGGGAATTGATGATCCTTTCTTTTGGAGAGAACTTTCTACTCAATTGACAGGTTTTCAGTCGCCTTTTGCGCCCTCCCACACACCATGTTCGCTCGGTCCATCTCTCGGGTCGCTGCTCGCAGCTCTGCCATGCCCACCACGGCCCTTCGCTCCTACCGCACCATGCCTGGCCCAATGGCTTGCCTGAACGCTCGTCCTCAGCCTGAGAAGAAGTCCATTGCTCCCCAGCAGACCCGCGCCGCATCCGAGCACGCCATCTCGAATCCCACACTCGCCGGCATCGAGAAGCGCTGGGAGGCCATGACTCCCCAGGAGCAGGCCGATCTGTGGATGCAGCTGAGAGATCGTATGAAGGTTGACTGGCACCAGATGACCCTGCAGGAGAAGAAGGCCGGTATGTATTTTCTCGCCTCCTCTGGCTGAAGAATCCAGATGGATGCCCCCCACCGGCAAAAAGGCTCAGAATTTTTGCTGACGAGTTTCTCCTTCTTCTTCCTTGTCGTTACAGCCTACTGGATTTCCTTCGGTCCCCACGGCCCTCGCGCACTCCCCCCCAAGGGAGAGAACCTGAAGATCTTCATCAAGGTCGCTCAGCTCACCCTCGTCTCCTTCGCTATCTTCTACGTGATCCACCTCTTCGCTAAGCCCCAGCCCAAGACCATGTCCAAGGAGTGGCAGGAGGCTTCCAACGAGTACGCCAAGGTACGTATATATCGCTATTGCAACCGGCGAATTGTGCTTTTACGCACATTGTGCCAACTTTTCGGGATGGTCGTTGACGTAATGCACTACAGCGCGAGCAAATCAACCCTCTCTACGGTATCAGCAGCGAGGGCTACGAGGGCAAGGGCTTCGTTCAGAGCCCTCCTGCCGAGAAGGCTTAGATTCCAGGGGAGGTAGTTACTTGAGGGGGACAAGGTATAGCAATTGGACAAGCTGTATAGGCAGTGCAGGAATCGATCGCTCACCTCGTACTCTTTGATCACCTCGACTTCGGTGCCCATGACCGCTGGAGACTTTCCTTCGCCCTTGTCTTCGCATTTTGACAATTTCACCCGGACAGAGAAAAATCCTTGTGTATCTCGTACTGTGCAATAATCAATGTATCTCCTTTGTAGCCATAGATCATTTTGTTGCATTGGCTCTGCTTCTATACTATTTGTTATCGACGTAAAAGGATCTCAGTGGACCGAGAGATGGTTTATCCTGTCTCATGATATGTAGCGATATTGATGAGACTTGACTCCTCCCATTGTATCCTATATTGGATATTTCAGCCTCAAGAGTGTACCACTCAGTAGTAGTAGTATGCAGCTCTCAGACTGCACGCTCAGGAACTGGGTGAATGATGTCAACACATCCATCGCAACCATCGAAGTTACAGTTAAGAGGCATACAAAACCTTATAAAAAAAAAACGTTTGAGCTACCGCATTCATGCTATAATTCGTTATGCATAGATATGATGATTCTCTCTAAGAAAGAGGAATTGATACCGTGATGATACGCCGTACGTGATAATTACGAGACCACGTCAGAGATTTCCATTACAGCGTTCGTCCGAGGACGAGCGAGCTGAGCTTTGCATAAGCACCGACACACCGAGCTACAAGACAGCATTGGTTTAGTCCATGGAGCTCAATGGGTCAAGGAAATTCAAGCACAAATAATAGAGAGATAAGACGAGTCTATCCTTTTATTTTTTTTGATTTCACTCTGTTGATATGTTGATGAAGAGGTACGGAGTATCTAGGTAGCTGGACAGGTAAGTCAATAATGTATCTACTCCGTACCCCGTAAGCTCCCTGCATCCGGGCGCCAAGCGGCTCTCCCAATTTGTGCGCGCAAATTCCCCTAGGTGACCAAAACAGGGCAAGTATCCGTATGGAAAGATGGGAAACTCGGGTAAAGTCGAAGTCGCCCAGCCAGAGAATCAAAACACAACACCCAAAATCTCGTGTAGGACCATCATAGCAGATAGAAGATATAGCAACCAAAGAAAATATATCAACTCCTCTGTTACATGTTTTGAGCTCTCGAGTGTCCAACAGCCCTGCTGCTGCCAGCTGTGTTTTCTTGCGCGTTGCTCGGTACATCACGGGATCGTCGGCAAAACCGCCCCGGAAAGGCTAAGCCGGACACAGTCGCCCGTGTCCACCTCAACCTCAACCTCTTCCCTTCCCTTCCCTCTTTCTTCCCTCTCCCCATCTTCGTGTCCCCTTGACCTCTTTCACCCCGTTTTCGCTCTTAAACACCATCAAAATGTTCAAGAGGTTTGTTGCCCTTCCGAGACTCGATCGATCGCGCTTTTGTCCTTTTTTTCGCCCGCTAACCTCTGTTTTTCTGCTCGAAATAGCGGTCTTGCCCGGACCTTCGGGAGGGCTGCTTTTGCTCGACCTTCCCCCGTCGCTCGTCGCGCTGTCCAGCCCCTCAGATCCAATGGCCTGCCCTCCCTGGCCAGATTCGCCAGCACTGAGGCTGGTTCGGTCGGAAAGATTCACCAGGTCATTGGTGCCGTCGTTGACGGTACGTCCGGATCTCTTCCCGTTATTGAAAAACCCTGTTGGCGAGGCTGCGCGAAAGAAAATCTTTTCCTGGCATCAAAATCCATCGCAACAGCCATCAAAACGGGTTCAATAGCAATGCCAGAACACGATCTCTGACTCTCCGCTGCAGTGAAGTTCGACGGTGACAAGCTCCCTGCCATTCTCAACGCCATTGAGACCGAGAACAACGGCCAGAAGCTCGTCCTCGAGGTTTCGGTATGTATCTGATAGGAATCAGTTTTCCACCTGATGACATCAATCGTGCAATGGCTAATCAAGATGCAGCAACATCTGGGTGAGAATGTCGTCCGTACTATTGCTATGGATGGTAAGCTCTCACGTATCCTGTCGCCGCCCGTATGAGATATCAATTGGCATCTCTATCCACTGGGCGGTCTTTTGTTTTTGATATCGCGTCGAGTCGACTGACACGTTCCGGTTCAGGTACCGAGGGTCTGACCCGTGGTGCTCCCGCCCACGACACCGGTGCTCCCATCAAGATCCCCGTCGGCCCTGCCACCCTTGGCCGTATCGTCAACGTCACTGGTGACCCCATTGACGAGCGTGGTCCTATCAAGGCCACCAAGTTCGCCCCTATCCACGCTGAGGCCCCCGAGTTCATTGAGCAGTCGACCTCCGCTGAGATTCTCGTCACCGGTATCAAGGTCGTCGATCTCCTTGCCCCCTACGCCCGTGGTGGTAAGATTGGTCTCTTCGGCGGTGCTGGTGTCGGCAAGACCGTGTTCATCCAGGAGTTGATTGTACGTTTTTTTCTCCATTCGAAGCGTTTGCTGCCCAAACAGCCAGCGCGACCCGTGGCCAATTCTCTGACTTTTCCCTTGCTAGAACAACATTGCCAAGGCTCACGGTGGTTACTCCGTCTTCACTGGTGTCGGTGAGCGTACCCGTGAGGGTAACGATCTGTACCACGAAATGCAGGAGACCGGTGTCATCAAGCTCGATGGTGAATCCAAGGTCGCCCTTGTGTTCGGTCAGATGAACGAGCCCCCGGGTGCCCGTGCCCGTGTCGCCCTTACCGGTCTGACCATCGCCGAGTACTTCCGTGACGAGGAGGGTCAGGATGTGCTGCTCTTCATTGACAACATTTTCCGTTTCACCCAGGCCGGTTCTGAGGTGTCTGCCCTTCTGGGTCGTATCCCCTCTGCTGTCGGTTACCAGCCCACCCTGGCCGTCGACATGGGTGGTATGCAGGAGCGTATCACCACCACCAAGAAGGGTTCCATCACCTCCGTCCAGGCCGTCTACGTGCCCGCTGACGATCTGACTGATCCTGCCCCCGCCACCACCTTCGCTCACTTGGACGCCACCACTGTCTTGTCCCGTGGTATCTCCGAGTTGGGTATCTACCCCGCTGTCGACCCTCTCGACTCCAAGTCCCGTATGCTCGACCCCCGTATCGTCGGTGAGGAGCACTACCAGACCGCCACCCGTGTCCAGCAGATGCTCCAGGAGTACAAGTCGCTCCAGGATATCATCGCCATTCTGGGTATGGACGAACTGTCTGAGGCTGACAAGCTCACCGTCGAGCGTGCCCGTAAGCTCCAGCGTTTCCTGAGCCAGCCTTTCACCGTTGCCCAGGTCTTCACTGGTATCGAGGGTAAGCTGGTCGACCTGAAGGACACCATCCGCAGTTTCCAGGCCATCATCAACGGTGAAGGTGATGATCTTCCCGAGGGTAAGTTTGACTCGTCTCCCCAGACTACCTGACGTAAAACAAACGCTAATCGATATCTTCTAGCTGCCTTCTACATGGTTGGTGACTTCCAGTCTGCCCGCGCCAAGGGTGAGAAGATCCTGGCTGAGCTCGAGGGCGGCAAGGCCTAAATGTAATATTGTTTTTTAAGCGCCCTTTTCTCTTTTTTTGGTTGTTAGACATGGGATCTCTTTCTTCAGTGTTCCGTTTTCGTTCGATGCGTGTACAGTACTCGAATTAAGGAAAGGGATTCGAAAAGAAAGAAAGTTTCCATGGAACAAGAACGGAAAAAGAGCGCTTTCTCCTCCCCCCCCTTGTAAGTCTGGATGGAAACCTCCGGGCTTGTGTTACACTATGTGCTCATGTAAGTAAGTTTAAAATGACCACAGCCAGCCTGATACCCACTGGGCTGGGACAATTGTACCATTTCTTTTGTTGAATCGGATTATTTTTGCTTTTCGTAATTGAGTTCTAGTCGCCTCTCTGTAGTGGCCTTGTCTTGAGAGGAATTGAGTTTGTATGTCTTTCTGGTATGTCCGGCTGATTTGCTGAGCCATGATGTATGTCTACGTAGATCGTGGTAGGGTAGGGTATACAGTACTGGATGGCCATATCTAGTCATCCTTTCACTTGGGAGAGTATCTGGTGGACAGATTCATGGACTATGATTAAGGTGCAATGCTATAGAGGTATGCGAATCTCTGGGATATGGTCTGACCCCAGCGACATAGAAGGCAAACTATGGACTATGTATGTATGGATGAGGAATATCGAGGGGAAAAGTTAATGGATAGCGCACCTACAGCGTATCTTCCAGAGCGAGTACCTGTTCATTAAACAGTTAGTTAGTGGAAGAGATCTTGGGGGTGAAGGGGGTAGAAGAGGGAGAGTGTGAGGATGAGGGTGAGGACATACCAACGCCGTCCGGGTTGGAAGATAGACCTGCAGGTAATTGGCACGGCCGTTCCAGGACATATAGGTTGTGAAGAAGCGGGTATCCTTGACGTTGCGGCCGAAGCCGCCGAATTCTGGAGCGTCGGTATCGAGGACGATGCGATACGTGCCGGCCTTGTCGACGCCGACGCGGTAGTCGGTGAAGCTCTCTGTGGGGTGGAAGTTGAAGATCCAGAGCAGGCCGGCGCGCTCGAAGACGAGGACCTTATCGACTTCGTGCTTGAGGCTGACGTAGGCCTGGGGCGAGTGCAGCCAGCCGTACTTCTCTTCGGTGGTTTGCATGCCGCGGTCGAACTCGTTGAGGAACTTGTAGCGCAGGAGATGGTCCTCGGTGAGATTGAGCTGGCGACGTGCGTACCAGAAGGAGTTGTTGTTACCGGCGCGGGGGAAGTCGAGCCACTCCGGGTGCCCGAATTCGTTACCTTCGAAGTTGAGGTAGCCCTCTCCTCCCAGGCCGTGGGTGACGAGTCGGATCATCTTGTGCAGGGCCATGCCTCGCTCGATGACGGGGGTGAGCTCAGTGAGGACAGACATGTGTGTGTACATTTCCTTGTCGCAGAGCCACATCATGAGGGTCTTGTCGCCGACGAGACTAGGGATTGGTCAGTAGTTGATCTGAGTTTTTTGATTATTGGGTGATAGCTTACGCTTGATCGTGACTTTCCGCATATGCGATTGTCTTCTCACCGTGGCGCCGGTTGGTGAGGGTGAAAGCGAGATTTCCCATGTCCCAGTCGCTGTCAGCCTTCTCTTTAAGAAGCTTGATATACATGTCTGGGATGGCCATAGCGAGACGGTAGTCAAATCCAACGCCTCCCAGAGAATGGGATAGGCAGAGTGCTGGCATTCCGGATACATCCTCTGCCACGGTGATACAGTTGGGATAGAGTTGATGGAGCATCTCATTGGCAAGAGTCAGGTACATCACGCCCTCGTCATCAACCGAAGGACCGAAGTACTCGTGGTATCCACCGGAGAATCCGCTAAACGACAAATTAACCGGTTGAAGTAAACAACTTAAGTTTGGAGAATCACTCACGTCCCAATTCCATGGTGCGTATAAAGCATACTCGTGACTCCATCGAAACGGAAGCCATCAAATCCGTATTCTTCCATCCAGAAACGCAGGTTGCTCAAAAGGAAGCGCAGAACCTCATGGTGCCCATAGTTGAACAGCCGACTGTCCCACAGCTCATGGCGGCCCTTTCCACCTTCATGGAAGTAGAGATGGTCTGTTCCATCAAACATGTTCAGGCCATCGTCGACGTTCTTCGACGCATGGCTGTGTACGACATCGAGAAGCACTGTCAGACCCATGCTATGTGCAGTGTCAATGAGCTCTTTCAGGTCCTCAGGTGAACCGTAGCGACTGCTTGCTGCGAAGAAGTTGTTCACTTGGTAGCCGAAACTGGCGTAGTAGGCATGTTCCATGATGGCCATAAGTTGGATCGCATTGTAGCCCAAGTACTTGATCCGAGGGAGCATGTTCGCAGTGAATTCCTTGTACGTTGCGACCCTGGTCTCAGGAGACGAAATGCCCACATGGGCCTCGTAGATACGAAGACTCTCGGGCTTCTTGGGGCGGGGGTGCTTGAATGTGTATCGCTCAGCCTGAGGAGGGTTCCAGAAGACGGACTCGTATACGGGGGAAACCTCGAGGTCCTGGACCACCCGCTTGATCCAGGCTGGTATCCGGTAAATTCGCTCGCCGCTGGGGAGATCCATCGCGATCTTTTAAGAAACGTTAGCAACGTCGCAGCCAATGCTGTATTCTTCAGAGGCGATTACCTTAATCTTGCTGTCATGGGGAATCGCTGGCACGCCATCCTTGGAGGGAATCGTGATCTCCCAGACGCCGAATTTGTCTTTCATCATCGGATGCGCCGTAACATCCCAGTTGTCTATGAACATCAGTCGATGCTCTCAGATGTCGTTACTTGAATAGATTCATAGCTTCACATACTGAATTCACCGACCAAGGATGCCTGGACAGCATTGGGTGCCCATTCCCGGTATGTGATATCTCCATTGCTATTGACGTTGAATCCGAATTTCTCGTAGCCCTATGAGATAGACCGCAGTTATTAGTACAAACGCTGAATTAATGCTGAAACAGAATGCGAGGAAGATGCCAACCTTGCTGAACTTGTCCAGACCACCCTCATCCTCATTGATTGTCTTCATCCACTTCTCGACCAGACTGTACCTGTGTCGCAAAGCATCGCTGAAAGGCTCAAGCCAGGGATCCAATTGGACGACACCTATAGATTTTTAGATACTCGATAGACTATTGGGGTTTTGGTTGAATATCCAACTGACCTGTGCCGTCGGTGGGTGTTGGCTGAGAAACGTCCGTCGTAGCCATGATGGGGGGAGAGAGGGGGGTGATAGCACAGATAAGCAAAGCTCTCTGCGGGCTACTGCGGCAAGTCTCGCACACGAAAAACGCGATAGACAGAACTGGAGAAGAAGAATGTATTTCTGTAGCTAGAAGAAATTATATCTCGAAACTGATAACAGATGGATTGAGAAGAGAGAAAGAAAAAAAAGGAGGGAGGAAGACAAGAGAGGGAAACTTGCTTGGGGGCATTATTGCGGGGGGGAACCCGAGATAACTAGAGAACAGCAGAACAGCAGGTCGAGGGCCAAAGCTCGGTCTCAACGCATGTGACATCACTGTCTCAACCCTTTTCCTCTTCGCTCTGACCGGGAGGGGTTTTTTTTTTTCTTTCTTCTTCTTCATTCGCCTCTTAGCTGGTGAGAAATTTCTGCTGCGATGATTTGCAGCTGGAGATCATAAGAGCGAATGCTTGTCAATTTGCCCCCTTCAACGCGGCATGAAGTCTATTTCTTCCCTGCCAACGAGTTAACTAATCTTCCCCTTCTGTTCCTGGCGGGTCTGGAGCTCTCCACTCCAGCTAGGACCACCGGACCAGATTCCTCCAGCTTACTATCTACTGTACTAGTGGGCTGTTTAGCAATTAGCATGGCTGCATGGGTCTGGTCTCGATTCTTGCCTGATACACCACCAGCCTGGAATTGGATCTGTGCGTAATCGCGTACATTGGCTGATGTTGTGACTGATCCGTATGACCTTCGGACGTCTCCAGTCCATGGACCGCTTGTGATGATGAGCAAACAAACCCCTTCTCAGAGTGATATGGTTTGAATCGCTCTCTTCGTTTCTCGCTGGATAAATCAAGTTACACAACGAGCTCGGGAACCTGCATGGGAGCCGATCGCGGAATCAAGCGAGAATAAGAGACAGCTACGCTACAGCGAATGCAGGTACCAGACCGAGAACGAAAGTGAGACTCAAGCATCCGGTCCAAGGGCCCCTTAAGTGCGACAAGAGCTGGAAAACGGACGCGGTGTCGGACAGCGACACTCCAGTGAGGTCAGATCGGTGGTTAACTCGTTGTCGACCGGGTCATGCGAAGAGATTCCGTTCCCTTGTTTAAGGTTTTGGCCTCTCCTTGAAATGTCATTGCAAAAGGACCGCCCCCAGAACCAGACAAGCTGAGCTTTTATCTATGCCAACATCGAGTCATGAGCAAGTTAACGGGTTGTGGATACAGTGGGGGTATAGGAGTTGTTTGGTTCATCGCGGCCATACTTCAACTGGCAATCTGATAGAATGTGCTTTGGGGCGCTGCACCAAGTGGGTGCACAGAGATGAAACATTGATGAGACCTGAACCATCCCCAACAGAGGGTGAATCAATCCTTATGAGGAACGTCTAGTCTATATATCTATCTGGATTTCTGAGAACAGGTCTAATTTGGTATGTACAGAGAAACATTAAAATCTAAAACCATCAAACGGATCCGGATCCCGCCAGATCATGACGCAGGACTGGGCGGCAGTTCTCCCGTGAACCAGTCACTTGGAGCATCACCCAGTTCAAATTCAAGCGTTCCTCCTTTCTCGAAGATGTCGCTCCATGTGAGCCAATTCTTGCGCCATTCTCGGCCGTTGACTTTGAGGCTCTGGACATAGATCTTGCTATCGCCATGGCCATCCCCGCCGTGGCCTGTGACGTGCAACTCCTTACCGTTCCCCAGGTCGATAGTCAGGGACTCGAACCACGGCGAGTGGATCAGGAATGTCGTCTGCCCCGTGATGGGGTACAGTCCGATCATGTTCCAGAGTAGCCACGTCTGCATCGCGCCAGCGTCGCTGTTGCCGGGAAGACCGGTCACACCAGTGTTGTAGTACTTCTTGGCCACCTTGCGGGACTGGGAGACAGAGAGGTCTTGTCGCCCAGCGTAGTTGTAGAGATATGGGATGTTGAACATGCTGATGGGTTGTTGTTAACCTTGGCTCACAGAATCGATCGAGGATGAAGAAAGTAGAAACTTACGGCTCGTTGGTCGGATCGAAGATGGTTCCACTCGATCCACTGGCTCCCTCGTTGAGCATGGTGTCCAAGCGCTTGACAGCGGTATGAGCGCCTCCCATCATCTTGATCAACTGCTTCATGTCATGAACACCTGCCCAGGAGTACGCCCACGAGTTGGCTTCGTAATAAGGAGATCCCCAGTATCCGGCGTCATTCAGGGGGTCGGTTTCGAGAAATCCGGACGAGTCGCGCGGCACAACGAAGCCGGAGAATCCCAAGGACGTCTGTTTGGGGTTCCAGTGGTTTCGCCAGTTCCGCGAACGGTTCAAATACTTCTTCGCGTCGGCGTGCTTGTCCAACCCAGAAGCCACCTGGTACAACCCGAAATCATTTGCCGCATACTCGACTGCTCGGCTGACCGCGCGGGTGAATCTGGGTGTGATGTACCCCAGATTCAGCCAGTCCGGGAGCGCACCGCGCCCTTCCTTTGTGGAGGAGTCGGGGGCCATGGGATCGGCTGGGTTGTTTGGTGGCACGGTCTCGGCATCTGCCATCATGGCGCGATACCCGTCCTCCCAGTTCACGGCGCCGCGTACGCCCTTGACATATGCGTCCGCCAGGATGTTGTCCGCATTGGAGCCGCCCTGCGTGCGGCCATTGTAGTTTGACGAGCGTGCATCTGGCATGAAACCTTCGTGCCGCCAGATGTCGATCAGAGATCGGATTTGCTCTTCATAAGCTTGCGGCTGCAGGACCTGCATGAGTGCCGTCGAGCAGCGGAAGAGATCCTATCATCGTAAGTGTTGAGATGATGCAGGTATCGGAAGGAATCATACCCAGAATGTGAAGATGTCTTGATAATAAGGTTCTGAAGAGGACCAGCTTGGGTTCTCGCCCGTCTGGTTCGTGGGAATCAGATGCATGAAATACAGTGACGTATACAGCAGCTCTAGGTTCTTCTGCGTTGTGTTGGATGTTGTTATCTTGGACAGAACGACGGAGTTCCATTCTTCTTTGGTCTCTTCCACGACAGAAGCGAATTTTGTCCCATGCGGAATCTCATCCTGGACATTCTGGCAGGCCCTGTCTGTCGAGATCCAGGAGATACCGACACGTGAGGTTACTACTCGCTCCTGGAAAGTGAAAAGACCTCCGACGCGCGTCGAGCTAGACGAGGACGACGCATATCCACTGTCCTGCTTGACGCTGCCTTCTGCGTCTGTTCCGATATAAGTGACATTGCTGGCAGGGTCGTTCTCGAAATGGCCGCCTACAAAGAGTCAGTCACATGGGTTCACCATCTGAAGACGAGATGGAACAAACAGAAATAGATGGTCCAGTCTGGAGAGCGATTCCACCCGTTGTCATATATCCCGTGGCCCTCATAATGCCCATCAGCAAAGATGGCGAAGTCACCACCCTTGTACCGCTGACCAAGACCCTGTCCTCTGAACGAGGGCAGAACATGGGAGACGTCAACGAGGACATGCCCCGTCGACCCCTTGGGAAAGGTATACCGGTATATCCCCGCATGGGCTGTGGCGCTCAGTTCAACAACCGCTCCTTCCGACGTCTGGGCCTTGTAGTAGCCTACAGACGCCTCATCGATGCCCGCCCGGTCAATGGTTTTACCCGAGAGCGGGTCTGTGACATTGCCCACCAGCGGCAGCTGTGAGACGGTCCCGTACTTCGGAGCGCCTCCTGTCCCCTGCTCATGCATCATGCTGAATCCCGAGAACGCGCCATTCGGCAGATATCCGGAGTACGCATCGCTCCCAGGCCGGAGAAGGTCAGGGCCGAGCTTGACCATTCCGAACGGACGAGCCACGCCGGGGAAATTGTTGCCCCCGTTCTGGGTGCCCATGCTATGGAACGCATGAGCCTTGAAGGAGAAAACACGGGCTGAAGGGGAGGGGGAATAAACCCACTCACAAAAGATTGACATGGGGCGTCCAATCGGCCGCGCGCACCACGGGCTGAAGTATAGTTAAGATTAAAAGGACGCTTAATGAATGCATGGCGAATATGCCTATCGCGATGGCGTACAGGCAGAGCCAGTGGACGCGAGGCCTGGGAGGCGGGGAGTCAGTTTCGCCTTTCATGAGTAGTAGACATGGTGTAAGATAGGAGAAACATGGTCTTACCTGTTACAGTTGCAGCTTTTTTCCAAGGGCCTTGTTGGTGGCTTCCTCAATTTAAGAGACGGTCTTACAGAGTACGACTAGCAAGCGACCATGGGGTAGATACCCTGCGCCAACACCACGCCAAGCGCCTCTATTGGACTGAAGGCCCACGAGCTGTGAGTGCCTATATTAGTCAAAGCGAAACGGAGTGACTGCAACCCTTGACCAGCTAGCTGGGGAAGGTTGACTTAGTCCATGGGGATTGGGGGAGGGGGAATTAAATGAATGAGCAGACAGACAGACTGTCAGACAACCTAATCGACAAGCCAGTGTGCATCGCTGACCACTAGACACATAGGGACTCCACACATGCTATGATCACAGGCGAAGAGTCCATCCCTGCCTTCTAGTCTCTATAATCTATGGTTTCTATAGGCTCCAGAACAGACTATAGGCCGACTGACCAAGGGTCTCATGGGCGGATCAACGCGCTTAGGGCAGGGGGGGGAACTTCCCTACGAAGCGTCTAACGGACTGCATAGTGCGTGCTAACTGCTAAGGTGCTAACTGCTAAGCCAGGCTCCATCTTGATCAGCCCTATCAAATAATAATGATTGAGGGAGTGTACTGTGTACAGATTGTCTTATGGGCTGGTTCCAGGCTACGAGGCTAACACTCTAAGCGAAGACCCAAGAAAAAAAAAAAAAAATAAGAAATGTCTCGGACAGCTGGAAAGAAATACTCCGTCGATGGGGTCAAAAGTCGAAACATGTTCGCTGCTGGCTACAGAGTACAGACTTACAGAGACCGGAGTATATTATTATTATTATTATTCTACTCTACTAGGTTCTTTGTTTACTTCAACAACGAACACAATATTTTACATTCCATTCCAATGGGATTGGAGGATCTTCGATGCGAGACCCTTGGCATTATCTAAGAATGTTCACCAGCATTTCCAATGAGACATCGAAGGGGCTGAATTATCTCTGTAGTCACAGACTCAATTGCATGACAACCGACTAAGTTTTTCATAAGTGTATTATCCCCCTGAGTTCCCCCCATCTCTATCCCAAAAGGTAACAGTCAAACTCTCCCAGCTGTGCAGCGTCCAGTCACACGGTCCTTGAAAGGCACATGTGGCCATCCGTTAACAATCCAAGGTAGACACTGCATGGCCCTGACCACGGCAACCCATGTTACCATGTAACCAGTAACCACTTACCAGATACCACTAACTAACTACGGAGTACTAATAATGCTGCTGACTTGCAGCCTAAGCAAGGGTCTCACCCCACCCTTAGTAACTAGTACTCCGTAAGTCTAGTTGAGTATCGTGATTCGTGAATCCAATAAAGTAAGACTCCCACCCACATGCGCTGGTGGTGGTTCGTGGAACATCAGGGGGGCTCGGCGATCTCGCTAAGAATGTTATTTTAATAGTTTGCTTAAATATGAAGACATAAAAAATATGCCGAATATATCAGCTCGCCGGGCTAGCTCAATCGGTAGAGCGTGAGACTCTTAATCTCAAGGTTGCGGGTTCGACCCCCGCGTTCGGCTTTTCCTTTTTTTGTTTTTGCCCTGCTTTGTTTTGATTGATATTATTTCAACTTTTTCACCCTTCATTATTATTATTATTTTTTTTTTTTTTCGAGTCGGTTCTCTCTATCTTACCGCAGGTTTCTAGCCTTTGAAAGTTTCTAAAGAGAACAAGAATAGAGGTGTCGGCGTGTTAAGGTAGAGTAAGTATATTGTCAGTCTTCATCGGGTATATATTCCAGCGGTGTTCGCCCTGTGCCTAGTTTCCCAAGAGTCGACTGCACTATCGAACAGTTACTCTCCCACTGATCATGCACAGAGATAACCCCCCACCATCGACGCTGGCGACACACAGCTACACGGTTAGTGTGGAATGTCCCCAACGGTAATGAGTCTGCACATCGACACTGGCGCTTTTCGGGGTCGATTTTCCATATATGTTCGAGACCGCTTCAGATGCGACTCAGGCTACGACATCAGATTGAATGTATTGTCATAGGTGCGGGTAGATCAAGAAACCTTGACTCTATTAATATGTCTATAGAGGTCATGCTATGACTGGCCTGCCGTCAATGGGAGGTTTATTGTAGTATCAAGACGGCTTCCGTAAGGGAGGATCAGCCGTGCTTGTTTGGGGTTATAAGGTCATGTCTATGGGTCTCTTTGCCTGATTCAATAAGTAGCAAGCAAAGGGGTGTTTGCGTTATGCAAATGATTTTTATTGAGAGCTCGTCCAAATGATACCGCCCTAGCGGGTAGCAATATATCATGAAAAGAAAACCTTCTACTCGCTGGCACATCCTCGAACGTGGACTGGCAGCCACAAAAGGATCAGCCATAATGTTCCCCTAGAAGATCGAGCGAACGAGATGCGACCATGCCTTTCATCTCCAAAACTCGGGTTGGGTGTGACAGAGTCTCTGGGCTTTGCCGTACATATATATGACATAGCCAGAGCCGCGATATCTTGCTCATTGGTATTGATCCGTGGGGTCAGAGGCGCTACTTGTATAATTATCATCGTGTTCATTCTCTTACCGCATTGGTCATGCGGCCGCCTGGTCAAAGGTCCCACGCTTCCATTGCCAGCGCTGTAATGGTCTACTTATCGTATTGAGGAGTTACCCATACCGACTAATTCTAGAAGTTCGCCTTAGCGACATACAGAGTGCGCGGTGAGCGAAGGCTGATAACCAGTTTCACACCACGTACTTCTTTTCTTGATCCCCTTGCGAGAATCATGTGTTTGTCTCGGAGCCACGAGTCAGTGGCTTTCCAATCTCTTTGTAGCCGAGATTATCCCCCGCGCCCTAACAACACTGGTTGGCGGGCCTTCCTCGTGTTTGGCATGTCCTGCATGGCGGCGGATCTGTTCGTTGTTTTTCTCCGAGGAGATGAGGTATCGTAGCCCGGAAGAACTAAGTAGGCGGGCTGTTTGGTGCGGTCAATAATGCAATGAGGAAGGAAGGCAGCCTCTTGTGGTATAACTGAGAACATCGTTGAGAAACCCGTCCAGGACAAGCCAGACAAGGCCTGAATCAGGGATCGGGCTAGGTTGCAAACACAGAGCCCCAGGATCCTAAGACGCACTTGGGTATAGAAGTATCTAGACAGATTTTGAAGGTGCAACAGCGCTGGGGCTATTCAGATGCGATAGCCAATCTTCCTCAATAGCAAGGTCTCACGGCCCGACAGCACTGGGTTGCTGTCCATGTAGTATTGCATGAAGCTAGTCCTGTTCGGGAAGGTACTGTGTAACCATTTGCCTGGAGGAAAAACACCTCGAAAGACAATCAGCCGGAGTGAATGTGATTTCTTTGTTCTTTTGATATTAACCAGGATCGAATGATAGAAACTTCATGTTGTTGGCATCTGAACTGCTGTATGAAACCAGCGAAGTAAACCGATCCAATCTGATTCATCACAGGTATCGCATCTCTATCCCTTGCCGTATCAATGGAGCTATGCATAGCCACGACGAATCTCCTCAATCGCATGCATAATTAGGGGAGTGGCTGCTGCATATATTAAGGTGGCCTGACGGTATCTGTCCACAACCTCATGCTTGTCGCAGTTGCCGGGTTGTGTTGGCCTGCATTCTAACAATCATGTTACACTGGAGCTTGTGGGCTCTGATGCCCTTCCTATACGCCGAGACCGATGTGTCTGGGCATCAAAATCATTGGCTAGTTCCAGCTAGAGGGAGGGATTGCATATGCCCATCTTTGATCGAGGCGACGGTGGATGACCTTCGAGATGGCCTCAGCAAGGGCTGCTTCTCGAGCGTTGACCTGGTCAATGTTCGTTTCCTTTGCGTTGCTCATGAAACAACGTAATTGGTAAAGCTGATCAGTAGCCAGGCATATATGACCCGGATACATGAGGTCAATTCGACACTCCATGTGGTCCTAGAGGCTAATCCCGATGCACTGGACATTGCTCGGCAGCTTGACTTGGAAAGAAAAATTGGACTGGTTCGAGGGTAAGATTAATAGAGCCCCGTTCGATAGTACGAAATAGTGACTAACCTTCTTGTATGCAGGCCTCTGCATGGCCTCCCCATTTTCGTCAAGGCAAATATAGGCACCAAGGACAAGATGGGAACAACCGGTAATTCAAGTTTTCTGAGGTTTTGCTGGCTCACTCACTAATTGAGAGAATAGCCGGCTCCTATGCACTTGTGGGAGCACAGACAGATGAGGACTCAACAGTTGCGAAGAAGCTCAGAGATAACGGTCTCGTCATACTTGGCAAGACGAGCATGTCAGAATGGGCGAATTTCAGATCTCTCAACTCTTCCAACGGATGGAATGCCCAGGGCGGACAGACATATGGAGCTTATTACCCAGAGCAAGACCCAAGTGGTAGTTCGAGTGGTAGTGGTGTGGGCACTGACCTGGGTCTTGCTCTGGCAGCGCTTGGTACAGAGGTTCGTGAATTCTTCGACTTTGGACACCGTACTGGATCCTGACCCAATAGACCAATGGTAGCATCTTGTCTCCGAGCGAGAAGAGTAACATTGTCGGCATCAAGCCATCTGTTGGCCTCACGTCGCGGCATCTGGTAATCCCGGTCAGCGAGCGCCAAGACACGATTGGACCTATGGCCAGAACCGTCAAAGACGCAGCAATGATCCTGCAGGCCATTGCTGGCCCAGACAAAAAGGACAACTATACATTGGCCTCTCCATTCGGCTATAATGTGCCAAATTACGCAGCGGCCTGCAAGTTCTCTGGACTTGAGGGAAAGCGCATTGGAATTCCCCGCAACGTTATCAACACGCTGGACGCTTCGTATGCACCCGTTGTTTCTGCGTTCAACGCCGGCCTTTCCGTGATATCTGCTGCAGGCGCAACTATAGTCGAGGATGCGGACTTCACGGCATATGACGAGTATCTCAAAACGATGATCCCAGCGTCCATGGTGGCGGCTGACTTCGTGAGCAATATCGTTTCTTATCTGTCAATGCTGAAGACAAACCTAAATGGTCTTCAGAATCTGGAGGATATTCGACGCTATATCCAGAAAGATCCTCTAGAGGACTATCCGTCGCGAGATACAGGGTTATGGGACATGACGCTTGCCGCTAACATCAACAACACGTCCCCAGAATTTTGGCCAATGTATCTGCAGACGCTGTTCTTTGGTGAAGAGGGGGGCCTTATGGGAGCCCTGTCCCGCAACAACCTTGATGCTGTTGTTCTTCCCACAGTTCTTGCTTCCGGCATACCTGCTATCCTTGGGACGCCAGCCATCACAGTCCCACTGGGGTCATTTCCTAACGGAACAGCGATTCAACACAATGAACGGGGAAATTTAGTTGAGCAGGCTCCTGGAATTCCTTTTGGCATCAGCTTTCTGGGACCAAAATGGAGCGAGGAGGCTTTGATAGGCATGGCCTACGCATTTGAACAGCGGACGCTGATTAGGAAGAAGTTGCAGCGATACATCGAACCAAGAAGTGAGTTGAGGAGTTTGTTGTAGTTGAAGGTATTCTGGGGGGGCGGACTTGTTAACTAGAGACCGGAGGAAACCATGACAATATTAGATATCGTACTGTTTAAGAGATGCAATGAAGTTGAAATCGAAGAACAATAGCTTTCCTGTACTTCCTGAGAGGCACGTGCAGCCTATTGTTGTGACATTCCGGAAAGGGATTAGCGCTGGGTTGCGATAAGATTAGTTAGCTCTTCTCTTCGCGGGGTCAGAATCATGCGGAATCTGTGGTGCGTCAAGTCAAATTCTAGAAAGATTGGAGAATCGTTACATACATCTTGTGGTCGCCAATGGAGAATCTCGAACAGACCTGTGCGTCTCTACGCGCACAAATTGCTGCCACAGAGGCCCAGCTCGCGGGGCTGAAACGCGACCTTGAAGTCGCCGAGCAAGCCGCCGCGGAGATCAAGGCACAAGACGTCAAAAGCACAGGCATTCGCGAGGAGGGTTCGGAGAAGAAGAACCCTTGGCCGTTACTTAGCGAAGAGTATAAGCGGTATGGAAGGCAGATGATCGTGCCGCAGCTGGGATTGCAAGGTTCGTGGACTTGTTCGAACAGACGGGATTTGTCGAGGTGCTGCTGTGATCTTTTTAAATTTGCTAATACTGTGGCCGTCAAATTAGGTCAACTGAAACTCCGGTCCGCGCGAGTCTTGATTGTTGGAGCAGGTGGTCTAGGGTGCCCGGCAGCGCTGTACCTTGCTGGAGCAGGGGTAGGCACACTGGGCTTGGTGGATGGAGACACGGTGGAACATTCGAATCTTCACCGGCAAGTTCTACACAGGAGTAAGAATGTTGGGAAATTCAAGGTGGACAGTGCGATCGAGTACCTGCGAGAGTGAGTTTCAGTCAACCTGGCACTCTCAAGTATATACCGATGCTGATGGTTGGTTCGCTCTAGATTGAACCCTCACCCTACCTATGTCCCTTACAGAGCACATCTCACGCCCCAGGAAGCCCCAGAAATTTTCAAGGACTACGACATCGTACTTGATTGCACAGATAACCCGGCAACGCGCTACTTGATTTCTGATACGGCTGTGCTGCTCGGAAAGCCGTTAGTCTCTGCTTCGGCATTGCGGACAGAGGGCCAGCTTATCGTATTGAATAACCCTCCTCGACCAGTGGGAGACAAGAGCGGAGGACCCTGCTATCGCTGTGTTTTCCCTAAGCCGCCGCCGGCTACCAGTGTTGTCAGCTGTGCCGATGGCGGGATTATTGGCCCTGTTGTAGGCACAATGGGGGTTCTTCAGGCAATCGAGGCAATCAAAGTCATCACTTCTTCGCCGGCCGACGAGACCAGTGCCTCCCCTCCGTCCCTTCTCATTTTCTCGGCATACTCAACACCGCCCTTTCGCTCTATCAAGATCCGCTCGCGCCGTGCCAATTGTGCAGTGTGCTCTGCTGAAGCTAGCGTGACGGTAGAAACACTTAAGACCGGATCTACCGATTATGTGTTCTTCTGTGGGGTTGCAGGCCCAGAAACTCTGCTTAGGCCAGAGGAACGTATCACGCCACTCGAATTCAAAAAGAAACACCCGGGACAAGTGTCCCACGAGCAAGAACTTGGTGGCAGCAAAGAACCCACGATCATTGACGTCCGAGAACAAGTCCAGTTTGATATTTGCAGTCTGGACAATAGTATCAACATTCCTATTTCGACCATCTTGTCGTCCGCAGCAAGCCCGACAACGAGCACCCCAGAGTCATTACCCTCATGGCTCCCACACGACATTGTCTCGTCTTCTTCAACTGATCCAATCTACGTCGTGTGTCGCCTTGGGAACGATTCTCAGATCGCCGTCCGGAAAATGAAAGAGCTCGGACTTGATCAAGGCGGAAAGAGATTTATCTGTGATATCCAGGGCGGACTGCGCGCATGGCGTGAGCAGATCGATCCTGACTGGCCAGAATACTAAGGTCATATATCAGATCGCAGAGTATCGAAAAGAGAAAAGGTGGCATTTCACTGGTCGTGATGGGTATCTGCAACGAACGAATGCGATATAGATTTGCCAAAAAAAACAAAAAAAAAAAACAAGGAGCAAACTTGATCATCCTTCACGACTGCGACTTCGCCACAGGCGAGTTCTCCAACCAGGACCAATCTATCAGCACCCGACCCAGATCCGGATCGGCGAGTTTCTGGAAGACCGCGGGGGAAACATCCAGATCATCCACTTTGCAACCCACACCTATGTTCCATCAGTATCGTAATCTTCCAGATGGATTTTGAGGCAGCTTTGTGAAGTCAAATACTCACATCGATCCACAACCTTGACATCTACACTCGTTTCACCTCGGCGCAATCTCACTTTGAGCCCGCACAGTGGGTTTGCGTTCGGATTCGTTCCTGTGGAAGCAGCGTCAAAGAGGACATGCGAGACCGCGCAGATCAAGTCAGAGTCCGTGTTGATGATGCCGCATGAGCCCAGGCTGGGGTTGTAGTAGGTCATATCTCCCTGGTACGGGCCACCATGAGAAGTAGGTAAGGGCAGATTGGAGTGACTGGGGGCGGGTGTGGTTAGTCGAGAACAGCAACGTAATCGCCAAAACGATAACTAAGGCATGTAGTATTGAAGATGATTGTTTCAGCTAGATCTAGACGCTTTGATTACAATTACTCACCCCTTCCCCTTGGTCAATCCCACCGCGAGACCGATGATCAGCGCCAACAGACAGACCACAGCGATGGCAGCGCCGATGATGATAAGACGCTTCCTTCTAGGAAAATGACTCCAGTTCCACCAGGTCAGCCTAGTGGGAGGATTTGAAGCATACGCTTTTGGCGCGTTCTCGGTTGCACCTGGTGCATCGTGAGCGGTAGGGACGGGCTTCCGTTTAGGTACCTCAGCCAGCGAATACTGGGCTGTCGGGGGATGCGAGGCATCCTGGCATAGCTCAGGTAGTGGCTTCTCCAGGTCGGTCGTCATTTTCCTGTCTCCTGATTGATACCGAAGGGTGAGAGATCATGATAGATCGAGGTGAGGGAGACACCACGTAGATCGACTTTTGGTTTCCTGGTGTTGATCGATTTAGGGGGTTAATTAAACAGAGACGCGGGACTGATTGGCTGCGGCTGGCTACATAAAGAGTGAATCTGCCAGCGTTGTCTTTTTTTTTTTGCTTAAGATGGACTAAAAAGCATATTTGATAATCTGCTGAAGCAGTACGAGATGATGCTCCGGAGAATTTCTGATGCTGAAATTGACTCGTGGATTGTCACTGATGGATTCTACGAGAGGACAGCCATTACCATTAATAATGTGGTTGACCCAAAAGGCTGGGATACTTGGACCGGGAATCCTTTGCATCATTGATTATTGACTATACAGAGTTTATAAGTCTGGATCTGAAAGCACTAATTCCCCCCCGCACCCCCGGATACATCGTCGTTGTTCATTTTAATGCATCCTGAATCAACGGTTTCAGATCAACTATTCTACATGGTCGTCTAATCAATATAAGGGCTCTTCTGGAGATAGTGTTTGGTGTCTGTCCATGCATAGCCAGATCCGAGGCATTTGTGACTGATTGACAAGCAAGCATCGGACACCCACAGTGGCGATCATCTTCGGCAGACGGGTTGGTCGCAGCGCTTTTGTTGACTCAGACCTCTTCATCGAAATCTCAATTCGGACCCTCTCAGAATTGGGATCTTTGAAATCGATCTGATTGTGAGACTCTTTTATACATGGATTGATCCCCACTGTCCTGGTTTTCCAAGTCATCCGGTTGAACAGACCTTCTGGTCACGTGAACTCTGATGGACGAGATGTCGACAACCTGGATCTTATTCTAGATCAATGAGGGTCAAAGCAAACAAAAAGCAGAACGGATCAGTGCTTGGTGACTCCGTCATGGCGTCGCGAGTCAGCTCGCGTCAATCGACGTTCTCGTCGAATTACTCGCACAACGACGAGCCCGACGAAAAGAAAGAGAAAAAAAGATGGAGTCCGCGCCAGATGGTTAAGAATATATGGTCGAAGTTGGATCTAGACGGGCGGACGGCCATTCTGATGATGAAGTGAGTCCATTTGACTGACTTGAGAAAGATGAGAGTTAACCAGGCCGTGTAGAGGGGCTCTTCCACCCACAATTTCCATAGCCATGTAAGACGCTCTTCCAAATGCCAATGGGCTGGTCTGACAAAGAGATAGCTGTCAAGCCGATCCTGTTGCATCCCGATTTAGCACCATCGGCTACCTGATCGGGATCATTTCCGTTCTCGGATTCGCTATCATGCCCAGGGCCAAGTTTATCCAGATGATGATCTTGGACGTGCTCGCGGTATGCATCGCGACGGCCTTCGCTCTGCTCATGATGTTTTGTAGCGTGAGAGCGCGGCAGCACACACAATCTGCTGCAGATGCGGCGTCTATTTCGAGTTCAAATCCGATTGCCAACGAGTACAATTCATCCGCGTCCGCGGTGAGCGGGGTGTTGTTGTTCTTCCAGCTCTTCCTTGTCCACTCTTTCCGCGCGCACTATCAGCAGTTCCAATTCCCTGCAATCATATATTCAATCATTGCCAATATCACTGCGTCCTACGCCCCTCGATTGCCGACCATGGCGGCTGGTATCGCTCTGGTGAGGAATCTCCTCGAGGCGTCTTTGATTGGTTTGGCCATCACTACGGGCGTTTCCTTGTTGATCTACCCCATCACCTCAAGGCAGATCGTCTTGAAGCAAATGGCAAGCTATATTGGAAACCTCCGCGTGGCCCTCAAGGCGCATTCGACTTACTTCGAAACCCTGGAGCATGATGACATGTTTGGTCGGACCGAGACCTATGATGAAACCGTTGAAAAAGTTACCAAGAAGGGTAAAGTCTACAGCCCCGAGGCACAGGCAATTCGAACGGCAATCCACAAAATTACTGACCTGCATGGTAAATTGCACGCGGATTTGACCTTCGCCAAGCGGGAATTCGCCATTGGAAAACTGGGTCCCGACGATCTCCAGGATATCTTTAGACATCTGCGCCAGGTCATGATTCCCGTGGTTGGTCTCAGCTTTACTGTCGATATCTTCCAGCGTCTTTCGGAGTACAACCGCTGGAACGAACCGATTGATCCGACGATGGCTGAAATACCTGACATCGTACGTAGTCGTGTTGTTCACGCATGGAACGAGATCATGAGAGCGGTGCATGATCCCTTTGCGTCTATTATCGAGACTATCGATGGCGGTCTTGAACACATCTCCTTATCCTTGTGCTTGACCAAGCCGACCAAAAACCCAGCAGAGAAGCAGAATGCGTCCCAGGATGGTGTTGATGATATAGAAGCCTCTGCGGAGGCGCCCCCCTCTCCCGGGGAGGAGGAGTACGCAGCTTATTATGAAAAGAAGCTCAACGATTTTAGGGTAGCAAAACGGCTCGCCCTGAGGGCATGGAGCGAAGAGAAGGGCATCAAGTTGCCTCCTGACTTTTTTGAGCGTCCGCCCTCTGAGTTGCCAGATCTGGATGATGTCCTTCTTGACCGATCGGCCGTCGGTCGAGACCGAAGTCGACGGCAACTCTATCTTTTCCTCTATGTGAGTCCTCTTCTTCTGAACTCTTTATCGATACTGACCTTCCGATTTGAACAGATGGAGCAGCTACTGTATTCAACTGGCCATACGGTGCTCGATTTCATTCAATTCGCTGACGTAAAAGTGAAGAGCGGCAAGCTATCGAATTCGCGCCTAATTATCCCAGGTGCTAAACGCATATTGAAGTGGATGCGAAGCGTGCTTCAAGCTGGAGACAGTCATGAAGATGATCACCTGGGCGACATTCACACAGAGAACCATGTTCTCCAGCTTGGCGAAGCGTACAGGCACAGGAAGGATCCCGAGCATTTGCCCCCAGAAACTGTGTTTCAGAAAATCGGCGACAAAATCAGGGTGATCCCTTGGCTGCTACGCAAGCAAGAGTCGTCCTATGGCTTCCGCGTGGCTTGTGCTACTATGACCATCTATATCGTTGCGTTACTGCATGATACCCAAACCTTTTTCATTCAGCAGCGTTTAGTCTGGGCTATGATCATGGTCAACATCAGCATGTCCCCAACGTCAGGGCAAAGCATTTTTGGCTTTGTGCTTCGTCTGATCGGCACTGTAATCGCCATGGTTCTGAGCTTTCTAGCCTGGTACATCCCTGGCGAAAAGACACCCGGGGTGATCGTCTTTGTTTGGGTGTTCATCTCCTGTGCCTTTTATGTTCCTATCAAGTTGTTCCGTTTTCGTGTCATCGGGATCATCACTATTATCACCACGACCATGATTGTTGGCTATGAACTTCAGGTGCGCAAGGTAGGGCAGCAGGTCGCGACGTCAAACGGCCAGAACTACTACCCTATCTACCTTCTTGCCCCATATCGACTGGCAACAGTGGCTGGAGGTATTGCAGTTGCCTTTTTCTGGACCTTCTTTCCGTTTCCAATCTCAGAGCATAGCGTGCTTCGCCAGAATCTGGGTGCCTCGCTTTATTTACTGGCCAATTACTATTCGATTATCCACGAAACTGTGTCTGCACGCTTACGGGGCGACGAAGGCGACTTGGCCTTGAAGACCTCAGCGGGACGAAGACTGCAGAAAGCGCGCGGCAAGGTATTTTCCAAGCAGATGTTGATGTTGAATGGCTTGCGGACCTTTGCGGAATTTCAAAGATGGGAGGTCCCTGTTGGCGGCAAATTTCCCAAGAAGCGATACGATGCTATTATCTCATCCATTGAGAAGTATGAGTCCCCTTCATCGGGTCCCCTGTGGTAGTTCATCTCACTAACTCCAATCAGCATCGTGAGCTATCTCAGTCTGCTAGGCTATGCCTCGGACACACTCTTACAGCTGAGCGATAATCCTAGTTCAATGGATTCGGTTTGGCTTAATGATTTCAAGAGACTGGTGTCCAGTGCGCGTGTCACAACTCACGAAGTCACGTCTGTTTTGTGTCTCCTCTCGGCGAGCATCACGAATCGACAGCCGCTACCGCCGTACCTTAAGACTCCACGGCCGTACAGCTTCACCAAGAGACTGGAAGCGCTGGATAAGGACATCCTCAGCATCAAGCATATCGCGGAGCCTGGCTTTGCCACATTCTCTGTACTGCAGATTTCGACCAGGTGTATTGTTGGGGACGTGGAAAGACTGATGAGGTTGGTTAACGATCCTCCACGAGGCGATGACCTGCTAATATGAGTGTTTCAGGAACGTAAGGGCTCTTGTTGGCGAACTCGACTTTTCTTTCCATGCGGTCAGCACATCTAGCACAGCGCACAGCACGAGGACTTCTCTAGATCCATCGCAGTTCTTACGACCACCGTCCCGTGATAAATTCGAATAATGAGATTGGCTAGGCTATTATGTACATCTGCCTTTTGGTCCCTCTCGAATGTAAATAGATCGTGATACGTTGCGAATTCTGGATATGATACCTACTATTTTCTTGGAAAAGGTGAATGGAGCAGTGGAAGAGACCGACAATTGCGCTGGATTACTGAGTCCAAATCATTAACTGCTTAACGTCTATTCCTAGTCCCCTACTAGTCAAATTGGTTGGTGGCATTGATCTAACACCTTACTGACTGGCTTCGATCTTCCATCTATTCCATGAACCATGAGAGTTTAAGCTCCTTCATACCGATGCCGAGTCAAAGCAAAGGGCTATGTCACGTAAGAGCCTCCTTGCATAGATTGTGCAGACTACTAACGGTTGTAGCTGGCAATTTTCTCGTCAGGAATGTGAGGGAACACGAAAGACCGGCCAACAACTACCCGTATCAGTGTCTGGTGCAGATTTGCTTTCCAGTTTCCCAAAGTCTGAATGGCCATTCAGTCATAGAACTGGATCTGTATGGTTTCCTGCTCCGTACCAGGGCATAATCACTGGCACAGGCCTATAGAGGTGCACATGCTGGTACATCCCTTTCGGAAAGAGAACAATGCTGCAACCCTCCACTCCGAGGCAACGGCCGTATGTTTCTCCTTGAGTTATCTTTAAGAAGCCTGGTTTTCATTTCATCCAATCGCTGGAGGCAACCTCGCTCATCAAGCGATCTCTACCGCGACTCGACTCCACCTTAGCGACCCGGCCTTATCTATGTCTCAAACAACTGAACTATAGCAAATGGGTGCGGAATCCATTTACACCGACTATACCGACGACTCCTCCAGATATTACTACAAGCCACGAAGGGATTTTCACAGTTTCGATGGAGATACGCTCTCGTTCGCGGAGACAGTCGACCTGTCCGTCACCGAGTGCAATCATGAGGGCATGGAATGGAAGCCGCTAGTCAAGGACTGGCTTGTTCTGACCTGCGTATCGATCCTGACACTGATGGAGGCGTTTGATACAACAATGGTGATTCCAATCATACCGGTGAGAGACTCGAGTTCGAAGAAGAAACCCTCCCCCCCAATGATCTTCGCTGACTGAGTGATATCAGGGCCTATCCAGTGCCCTTGAAGAGCCGCTCGGAAGCGCCCTATGGCTCAGCACATCCTACCTCCTCGCCAGCACAGCCGGACAGGCATTCTCCTCTATGCTGGCGGAGATCATCGGCCACGGACCTCTTCTCCTCGCGGCTGTCGTGCTCTCCACTATTGGAACGGGGGTATGTGGCGGCGCACTGCAATTGCCCGAGCTGGTCGCTGGTCGGTTTATCCAGGGGATCGGTGGAGGAGGCGTAACGTCCATCTCTCTTCTTTGTTTGGCGGAGAACATACCCGATAGACACCTATTCCGGTTCTCGGGATATGTTGCCCAGATGCGTCTGGTAGGAACCGTTCTCGGTCCGGTGATGGGCAGTCTGATATCTGAGTACATTGCGTGGCGGGGGGCTTTCTACTCGAGCTTCGTCTGTTGCGCGCTGGGTATGCTTGTGATACCCTTTGCAGTTGATCTGAGGGGCCGCAGGGGAACCTCGCCACGCAAACTCCTGGAGATGGACTGGTTGGGCGCAGTTTTGACGCTTCTTGGGACTGGATGTCTGCTGATAGGTATTAGCTGGGGCGGGACAAGTTACCCCTGGAATGACTGGCAGGTCTTGACGCCTCTGACGCTCGGGGTCTCTGCGATTGTGATCCTGGGGCTCCATGAGGTGTATGTGGCTACTCAACCGTTTTACGTTATGAGGGAATTTAGGAATCTCCCAATCCTGATGATATACACAGGCAGCTTCCTGCATGGTTTCACAGTACGTACAATCCCTGGCCAATATCTTAAGTGAATCAGCTAAAACAGATATCCAGATACTCTACCAGTTCCAGAACCTAACAACATATTTCATCTTCGTCCGACTCCTCCCCCCAAGCCTGACAGGGCTCAGTCTCATCTGCATGCCCGCCCTCGCTCTTCCCACCTTCATCTTGATAGGAAAGCTCCGGATTCTCGACCGGTGCAACCTCTTGCCCTGGATCGTGCGGATCGGATGGACGCTCATCACGCTCACCACAGGATGCCTGGTAGTCCTGACCCCCGCAACCCCAACCGCAAACTGGGTGTCCATCCTCATCGCCGCGGGAATTGGCCATGGCTCTCTGATCGCGGGATACCACTTCTGCCTCCCTCCAGCACCGGTTTCCCGGGAGTATGACGACGATCAGGAGGAACGGAGCGTCAACCCTACTTCCGCTCTGCTGATGTGCTCTCTTTTCCGCACACTGGGGATGTGTATTGCGACGACTGTCAGCGGGGCTATATTCCTTAACCACATGTCGGCAGAGCTGAAGGGACGATTCCTGGGGGGCGGTGGTGCATCTCTTGCTCCAGGGCAAGGGGGTGTGCTTGACAGCGCCTGTACGGCGAGTCTTCAGTTCCTTTGGTTGGTGCTAACGGGGGTAGCGAGTCTGGGGGGTGTTTCTTCGTTGTTTATCCGCGCTACGAGATGATATGCTGATGGCTGAATGCGATAGGGGTATTCCCATGGTGCCTGTACTGTTTTTATTGCGTTTCTATAGCGTAAGATAATGGTATACAGCTGGAGTGTAATCTGCACTGGATCAAGGCTAAGTGGATGAAACATCCCAGCATGATGACACCGGTGCTTTGCACATTGGTCTCGCACATTAGACACCATAACCACCCTAATAGACCACGGCGCAATGGCCGTACCGTTGGACTCGCGGAATTCAACAATGGAAACTTCTCAGATCGCATGATGTCACCCGTTTCTCATACCCTCGCTCCCTCTCCGGGGAAGCCAGACAGACCAAAGCTATAATCCAGCCTATGCTCTACTCCCCTAATCCAGATCCCTTTCTCTTGATGGAAGTATCCGATTCCCTCCCCGGAGCAAACAAACCGACTTACCTATCCCATCCCATCTCATCCCATCCACCATGCCACCCCACCCCGCCGGCGCAACAGACCTCGACATCCTCAACGAGCCCGACTGGACCCAAACCCACAGCCACCGCGTGGGGCTGCGCAACCGCGACCAGCGCTTCCCGGGGCTGACACATGAGAGCGATGACTGGCGCTACGAGCTGGAGAAGGAGGCCGAGCAGCACGCGGCGGAGCTGCGCGCGAAGGCGCAGCGGGGGGAGTTGTTGACCGTGCGGGATTTTCTGGAGAAGCAAGAGGTTAGCAAGAACCGCATATACTGAATCTCGGATATAGGGGGAGGGGTTGTTGATTTGAGAAAAATTTTTTTTATCTTTCTTCTTTGTTTGTAGGATTTCCATCTAAGGCGGCCGGACGTGCATCCCGAGCATTGGCGGTATGTGCTGCATACGACCGAGGAGTATATCAAGGATGAGCAGCCGTGGTTGATCAACGAACAGAAGAGGGAGCAGGACGCGCGACGGCGGAGCGAGGATGGAGCGCAGCAGCAGGACGGGTCTGGTGGCTCTGCGAAGAAGAATGGGGAAACTGGACGGGAGGGGGGGCCGGATCAGGGCGGGACGGGGCAGGATGGCGCAGACGTGCAGGCTGCGTATAGCCCTGAGCAGCAGGCGCTGTTGCAGGATCTGAAGCGCGAAGCGGAGGACATGCGTACGCTGCTATCGAACGACGGCAAGGGCCGTTCGCCGGTGGACTGCTCCTTCATCCCCGCGGAAATCGACGAGACCGATCAATACACCCCGGACAACTGGGTTCCTCGAACCGACCATTTGGTCCGGCTGACGGGGAAACATCCGTTGAACGGGGAGCCCCCGCTGGCCGAGCTGCTCGACGCAGGGCTAACCACACCGAACTGGCTGCATTTCGTGCGCAACCATGGCCCCGTGCCGCATCTGCTCTGGGAGAACCACAAGCTGGAGATTTCTGCGGGGAGATCGCTGACTCTGCTGATGGATGACCTGAAGGACCAGTTCGAGAGCGTCAACATCCCTGCTGTACTGGCGTGCGACGGGAATCGCAGGAAGGAGCTCAATTTGATCAAGCGGAGCAAAGGCTTCAACTGGGGTCCTGGTGCCGTGGGCTGTGCTTATTGGAAGGGCGTCCCTGTTCGAGATGTCCTGCTCAAGGCGGATATCCTGCAGTTGATGGACGAGTACCGGGACGTGCGGCTGTGGGTGAACTTCGGAGGCTCCGAGGAGCTCAGCGAGGGGATGTATGAGACATCCATTCCTCTGGACTACTGCATGGATCCGTGCAACGATGTGATTCTCGCCTACGAGATGAACGACTCCCCACTCCCACCGGACCATGGCTATCCGTTGAGGCTGCTTATTCCGGGGTACGTCGGCGGACGCTCGGTGAAGTGGCTGGAAAACATCTGGGTGACGGACCGCGAGAACGACAGTTACTACCACATCTTCGACAACAGGGTTGTCCCGCCGTTTGTGGTGGATCGATTTGATGAGATGGGGCAAACCATGTATCGGCATCCGAGTACTGCCTGCATGGAGCAGATGCTGAACTCGGTCATCGCGAGGCCAGCCCAAGGGGAGAGAATAGATCTCGCAGAGATGATAAAGGGCAGAAAGTATCGGATCACAGGCTATGCGTATAACGGAGGCGGGAACGAGGTGCAACGCGTGGAAGTGAGCCTTGATGGGGGGCTCAACTGGCTTTACTGCATTCGCAAGGTATATATTTTCTTTTTGCATGAGCCATTCACCCTTGCGCAATTTTTGACAGAAAGATAGTATCCCGAGACACCGCTGCGGCACGGTAAGAAGTTCTGGACCTGGCTGCACTGGCATGTAGACATCGATATCACGCAGCTTCTTCGTGCGGAGAACATTATGGTACGTTGCTGGGACGTTAACAAGAACACGCAGCCGGAAAAGCCAACGTGGAATCTCGAGGGGTAAGTGAGAAGAAATCTAAGCCAAGGTGTCTGTTGCTGAGACGGATAGGATGATGAATAACTGCCAATACACCGTCAAATCTGAGATCTCCGTGGATGAGGAGACCAAAAAGTCGTACCTGCTTTTCCGTCACCCAGCCGAGCCAGGTGCTGGTGAGAATGGCTGGATGAAGCCGTCCATCAGCATCCAGAAGGAAGATATCAGACGATCAGCAGCAGTTCCCGAGAAACAGTTCACTCGAGAGGAGATCGAAAAGCATGCCTCGGACCACGATTGCTGGATCGTCGTCAACGACAAGGTGTATAATGCAACGAGTGTGTTGAGCTGGCATCCTGGCGGTAAAGGGGTCATCATGGCCCATGCTGGTAGGGTTCATCAGGAGACCACCGACGAGTTCGAAAGCATACATGATGACTATGCTGTTCAGAAGCTAGGAGGTGATGTGGCCCTGCTCTCTGGTCGGGTCCTACTAACACAGATGAATAGAGTGCCTACTGGGCTCGGTCACCAAGAAAGCACAGGAGTTTATGAAAAAGGAAGCCGAGGAGATGGCGAAGGAGAAAGCCGAATCAGCGGCGCGCAAAGATGAGATCGCCCTGAAGCGGCACAAGTATGCAGTCCCTTTCTCCTGGAGGACTTATCTACGTTCTATTGACTTCAGACGACGTAGATGGAGCCAGGTCAAATTCCTTCACAAAAGACCATTATCAGAAGACACAAAATGCTATACCTTCGCTCTCCCGTCGAAAGACAAAAAACTAGGCTTGGAGACCGGCCAGCATCTCCAGATCGGATTCCACTTCAAGGACCGGCTGGTCATTCGGCCCTACACCCCTGTCCGGCCGATACTAGCAACCGAGGAAGACGGCACGTTCGATCTCGTGGTGAAGACGTATTTCCCCAGCGCCGTTGGGCCCGGTGGTACCATGAGCAACATCCTCGACTGCCTGCAGAAAGGCGAGGAGATTGAAGTCAAAGGCCCCACTGGCGAGATCCGATACCGCGGGAACGGCCAATTCCTCATCGACGACAAGACGTGTCAGTTCCAGAAGATCACGCTGATCCTGGGAGGATCGGGCATCACGCCGGGATACCAGCTCATTGCGCGGATCCTGAAGTCCGAGCCCGGGAACGGAGTCAAGATTAGGGCCATTGATGCCAACAAGACGGAGAATGATATTCTCATGCATGGAGAGCTGGACAAGTTCGCGCTGGACCACCCCGATCAATTCGAGATCACTCATGTGCTGTCCCATCCAGGGGATAGCTGGAAAGGACAGAAGGGACATGTGAACGAGGAGATTATCCACAGATACGCCTTCGAGCCAGGAGACAAGAACGTGGCTCTGCTGTGTGGTCCCCCTGCCATGATTAAGACCGCAGTCTTGCCGGTTTTGAAGAAGTGGGGATATGACGAGGATAAGAACCTTTTTGGATTCTAGGATATCCCACTTTTTCATACCACGGTGCGGCTGGAGAGTAGGTAGCAGCCCTTTGAAGTTGAAGCAACGATTTTGAGTCCATTCGATATCAGGGGGCTGGGTGGTATACCAGATTTGTCATGGTGAATGGAGACTTGGTCTCTATGTATTAATTATATCCTCATCCTGGCTTGTTTAGACATTCATGGAGATGGTTTTCTATCATTTTCTTCCCTTTGCAGCTTCAATGGTGAGGAAAGGGCTGTAGGGCCCAGGACACCTCCTATGATGATAATATCGAATGCAAGATGTTTCTATCCGCATGAGGACGCTGAGATACCTGGCATTCTGACTGTTAGAATATCCATCCACTCTATCTCCATCCAGGTTTTTGAATGTCTTCAGGATGACAAGTTTACGCCCGCATTTTCACGTTTTCACAATATAGGGAGGGAGAAGGAAGATTGGGATCAGAAGTTCTTCGCTCTCTATCCGACGAAGCTTTCTGGAAGATGGGTTGACTTGCTAATCACTAGTGATTTTAAAATAGAGTACAAGAATAATGGATGTTCTTCCCATGAGGGAAGAAAAGAAAGAAAGGAAACCCCCTTCCCTTTTGTCTTATGGCGAAACTCATCTTCGCTCAGTTCACTGCGTATAATTTGACAGAACACACATCCCTTATTGCTAGGGGCAGAACCAGGAGCAGATGATGTCTTTGGGGAGATTGAAGTGAAAAAAAGAATCCTCCTACAGGTGGCCCTGTCCGGCATGGGCAAGGACACTAGCAGTCACGGTGGTGTAGGGGGCGGCCGAGGCAACGTTCTTGCCCTTGAACTTGGACAGGCAGCCCTGATCAGCCTTGTTGAAGGGGCCGGAGTTTCCGAATTTGTTAAGCTGGCAGCTACGGCCAATAACAGAGGAACAAGCATTGTTGGATTTGGAGTTGGGCGAGGCAAAGAGCTGGCCGGTAATCGGGGACTCGGCGACGGTGGGGATGTTCTGGAAGACATTGCCTTCTGCGAGGACGCTGCCGCCGGTGCCAAGCTCGAAGGCGTGGCCGGAGTTATCGTGCCAGAAGTTGTTGACCTTGTTTTGTTAGTGTTGGGTTTGCCGGTAGGGGTGGGATACGGGGAAACGACATACAGCGTGCAGCAGCGTGTTACCCTGGATCTTGGGGGCACGGCCACTGGTGTGGTAGATGTAGTTGCCCTTCAGGGTAATCATGTCGTTGGAACCGGTGAAGTACATAGCCCAGTAGTGGTAGGTGTTGCAGGTGGCGGAGTAGTCCGAGACACCGTTGATGAAGGAGTTGGAGATGGTCACACGGTTGCTGGCCTGGGTGCCGAGGACGATATGCTGGCGGCCGATACGAGCAGTCTAGAGCCCATGTTACTTCCTTTCATTCCTTCTGTTCTCGGCTCTTTTCCAACCCGGAGACATCGGATTTAGGGAGGAGGAACGTACCGTAACGTGGTCAATCCAGACCATGTCAGCATTGTCGATGGTGATAGCGTCTCCGCCCCAGACGTACTTGGGGTTGAGATCAGTGATGGCAACATTCTGAATGATGATGTTCTTGGCGCCGCTGACGATGCGCAGGCCCTTGCCCTTAATCACGCCAGCATTGCCCTGGCCGACGAGACTCTTGTTCGAGTTCACGGTGATACCAAGGATACCAGCGTTGTCACTGTGTGTTCCTGAGAGTCAGAGACCCATGATCTGACCAGCAGACGACAGACAGAAAGAAAGAAGTTCAAGGATAACGTACTAGGTGACCTTGGTCTTTGGGGCCTTGGACTGGTAGTTATCACACCACGAGTGCAAGTTGATGGCAAGCTGGCACTTGGAGCTGGTACCCCAGGGAGCACAGCCGGTAGCAGTGGTGGTGCCTTCGGTGCCGCGGAAGTCGAAGCTAACGAGGGTGTCATGTCAGCGATGCATTTCTCGCCGGGGGACAATGGGGGACAATGACACGTACGTCTTGGTGAGGATAATGACACGAGGCTTGTTGTCGCCCAGGTATGAGACCAGCTCATCGTTTGTCTTGGGATAGACGGGGGAGGCTCTGCCACCACCCGTGACGCCTTTGGCGAACCCCTCGGCGGCTCCAGAGACGCCGGCGGCCGCGACGGTGCTGGTCAAAGCAGCCGTGAGAGCGGTAAGAAGAGAGAGATATCTCATGCTGAAGAAAAGAATGCAAGGAAGGAGCTAAAAGAATGAACCTGGGGATGGTGAAAAAGAATCAAGCAAAGAAAGAAAGAAAGATGAATGAATGAATGAATGTATTTGGACTAGACCAGCTTTGTCCTCAGGAGAGAGGGGGGTGTCGAAGCCCTATATAGACAAGCTTGGAGACAAAGATCCGATGAACAGAAGCCCCTATCAGATCTACAGCACTGGCAAGAGTGCTTGGTAGCTTGGGATGCTGCACAGGCTAACTACTAGATGCCAGTCCAGAAGACAGAGCAGGTCTTGCATTGGATTATGGAGCCAGACTATAGCGTGAAACCTAGGAAGCATCCACCGTTCGGAGTTCAGACTGCAGGATAAAACATCCGGTCCTAGCGCCAAGATTAAGGAGTCGCTCACTCCTGGAAAAAACTCGTCATTTAAATTCTTGGATTTGATTGTCGGCCGGAATTTCTCTTTGAAAAAGACACGGTGGAGTTCGTGGGCCTTAGAGCGACTCGAGTCGGAGCCGTTTCATGTCTGAACGACCTTGTTTCATGAATGTTTCTTTAGGGATTGCTATAGTTAGATCGTTGTCGAGATTTGTGTCGATAGACTGTAAAGTCGTAACTAGAGTAGGACCCTGAGCAGAAAGTCAGGAAGAAGACAAATAATCCACAGTGGAGCATCATCTACTACGAGTGCTCTCCAGTATAACCATCTGATCGGGTTCTGTTATCGAAGCCTTCAAGAAATAGAGCTAATGATCTATCTACAGAGTCTAGGTCAGACTCGAGAGTACAGATCGCCGGGCAATTCCTCTCTATACCAACGGAATCATAGATAGAGATCAATTGTTCTATCATAGTTAGACCTAGTCTTTCGGCTCGAAACAGACTCGGACTCAAGAGTAGGAGATTGCCCGAATACCATTATATTGACCTCGATAAAGGGGATGTCCCGGAATTCTCTCAAGGACAGCGCGGCCATGGATTCTACTATGGATAGTAGGTCCTATCAATTTCGAACAATAGCGGCTGTTAAGCATATATTGAGTGATATTGCTTTGTTCAGTCGGTACTGGAGTCTGAATGACCGGAGTGGTGTGACCGTTGATACTGTTTCGCATTATTTGTATGATACGATTCCCACGTCTCTCTTGTCATCTTGAGCCTGGTAGCAGAAACGCCTCTCAGAGTCAAGGTTCAGGTTGAAGTCGACCAGAAGCAATAGCTGCGATCATTCTTTCATAGAAGAGGCTGAGGGCTTTTCAACTTGTTGCACTATACCGAAGATCCGATATCACAAACGCGTTGTTCGATCCTGGAGCGGTAGTCTCTAACTAGAAATGCATTGTTGACATCGAAGATGCTTGTCTACGGTATGTGTCGACTCATCTGAGGCTTCTCGTTTTTTTACCTCGAACTCTTCAGGTTCTTTGATTAGCAGGGAAATTTCCAACATGAACGACCAAGATGGATCTGAGCAGCCGGAGTCAAAAAGATCTTAAGCTGGTTGGCCTCCACTTTGATAACAACCGCTGCGTTGATTCAAAGCACAAGCGAGCTGGCGAATCCAGTCATTATGCATGCTATTCCTGATATCCTCATCGCTCGCATCCATCCGTTCTATGCGTTTGTTCCTGGTACCAATGGTTGGTCTGGAAGGAGGGATTTCAGTCGTTCTCGGTCCCTATCGTCAAGAGAGCTGAGGGGCAGATGCTTGACGAGAGATGATCGGCAATCTCCACGATTATTCATAATCCATCACTTCTAATATCGAGAGATAGACAGAGATCAGTGGGCAAGTTCATGGATGAGCTCAGAGGGATGAAGGAATTGGCCACAGAATTGCCTCCTAGTATGGAATAGCGTGTAGGGCCTTGCTGCCTCAGGCTGATTCACATGACCTCACCCGGAGACTTTGACTTCGGGGGGCGGGAATTCCGTTCCCCCTTGGGATGGCCGGCCTGCGCTCAATCGATTTCGGACAACTTGGTGCTTGTAGATGGGATCGTGGTTGTAAATATAGATAGATATTGCATAGCTGACTCTCCATCACAATGATGTGCCGATGATTGAAAGAGCAGCAGTCTGGGACTTATATTCCCTGTCGGCGCTGCAACTTTCGCCGTGTATCCCCGACGCTTGCAATTAGCAAATGCGTGATTGGCCTGCGTGCGCTGACTCAGCAAATTGCCGACCGCCAGACCCGAGGTTACCTTAGCTCCCAGAAGCGACAAAACATCCTCAGCGGCAGTCGGATTCGTCTCCCGGACTCCCTTGGAATCGATACCCTATCTCGTCTCGTTGTCGCCGCTGGCAGGCTCGGTGCTTATACTGAATCTCTCTCTTCCATCTCCTCTCTGTGTCCCTATCGACTCTACGCCCGCTGTCACTCCATTTCCGGCTCATCCACCCTCGACTTCCAGTGCACTTGTGTGATCTAACACGACCTTCCTCTCGTCCGCCCACCATGGCTGCTCTTCGCTCGACCTCGCGCCTCGTCGCATCTGCGAGACCTTTGTTCCGCCCTGCCATCTTTGCTCGCTCGTATGCGACCGTCGACCCGGTTTCTCAGGTCAGCACCTCTGGCAATGCCGCTACCAAGGTCACCCCCGAGACCAGGACTTCCGACCTGAAGGATCCCAACCCGTCCGAGCAGCCCAGAACCAAGAAGTTCCATATCTACCGCTGGAGCCCCGATCAGCCCTCCGAGAAGCCCAAGATGCAGACCTACACCCTGGACTTGAACAAGACAGGCCCGATGATGCTTGATGCGCTCATCCGAATCAAGAACGAGATCGACCCCACCTTGACCTTCCGGAGAAGTTGCAGAGAGGGTATTTGTGGTAGCTGTGCGATGAACATTGATGGTGTCAACACCCTGGCTTGCTTGTGTATGTCCGATGAGATATCTGCAGATTGTGTTGCATGAGACGAGACGAGACAATTGAGCATGGTCACTAACAGCCGCTGGACAGGCCGCATTCCCACCGACACCAAGCAGGAGTCGCGCATCTATCCTTTGCCTCACACCTACGTCGTCAAGGACTTGGTTCCTGATATGACCTACTTCTACAAGCAATACAAGTCCATCAAGCCTTACCTGCAGCGTGAAACCAAGACCGAGGATGTAAGTTTATTCGTTGATCTCTTGTCCCAATGACGTCCCGGATTAACCGGACAAAACAGGGTCTTGAGTACCGCCAAAGCCCCGAGGAGCGCAAGAAGCTCGACGGTCTCTACGAGTGCATCCTGTGCGCCTGCTGCTCGACCTCTTGCCCTTCGTACTGGTGGAACAGCGAGGAGTACCTGGGTCCCGCCATCCTGCTCCAGTCCTACCGCTGGCTGGCCGATTCCCGTGATGAGAAGACTGCCGAGCGTAAGCACGCCCTCGACAACAGCATGAGCGTCTACCGTTGCCACACCATTCTCAACTGCTCGCGGACCTGCCCCAAGGGTCTGAACCCTGCCCGCGCCATTGCGGAGATCAAGAAGATGCTGGCCTCCCACTAGAGAGTGCCCGCGATTGATCAAAAAGAATAAAAGGTTTCTTGGTTCTTCTCTTCTGTGCACGTCTGTCTGTCTGTCTGTCTGTCTGCGTATATTCCTCTTTCTATTTTTCCATGTCACTATTTTTTTTTTTTTTGCCCCTCACCTCGATCCCTCGAATCTGAGGTTGTTTTGTGTCGGATGTTTCCATAGATGTAATTTGAGTTTGATCTTAGCAATATACTGTCATGCATCTACTGGATTTTTCTCTTCCCTTTGGATATGGCCTTTGCCGAGTCCAGTGCAAAAGCAATTGATTAACAGCTGCCACCCCGCAGACACTCCATACATCCAGCTGGGTTCCACCACCTCAATGGCAACGAGTAACAGACTCGGCTCGGCAGCCCGGAAGAGACATCGGCATTTTCTCGGCCTTGATAGCTCTCCAACTCAGATAAGCGTACTTCGGGTGGCAACATCACCGCTGGGCTGTTAGCACAGTGGTAGTGCGCCCGCTTCGCATGCGGGAGGTCGTGGGTTCGATTCCCACATAGTCCATTTTTTTTTTCTTTTACTTCTGGCGTTGGTTTCCAGGGCATTGAGTAAGTAAGTATATGCGCCGCATCGCCGAGACACAAGCTGCACAGGGTGAGGAGTTGGAGCAGGCTGCTAATCTTGTGAGATGATTGAATGAATGCCTTGGAGGCGGAAGTGCATCTTTCTGTTCATTTTTATTCGCACTGGAGCGGGAGCACAACGAGACAAATATACTGGTAGCAACTTGCAGGTGGTCAAAATTCGCAGTCGGTTTGCTTCTCACCATCGCATCTACGCCTGGAACGTAATCGCCGGCCCGGATGAAGGTATACCAGATAGGGAGGAACATACAGGGCCAGCGCTAGGGTTATGGTTTCGAATAGATCCCTTGTTTCCGGGGGTTGTCACAGTACACATATTCGATGTGTTATTTGAATAGGAGACAATTGTCCTGGATGATAGGTTCCGCGCTACGTGATAGTAGCATTGAATATGGTAGTGGTATGAAAGATGGCTGACTGATAGGTGGCTTAGCAGTCTCATAATGCAGCAATCGAGGTATTACTGGTCCTCATGTTCAAGGAGGCGCAGAAGGATAGTAAATGGATATATGCACTGGCTGAAAGGATTTAGGATAAGAGCATATATGAAACACATCATGAGAAGAAGACAGTGCGATGATGTCTAGATAGGCCAGATAGGCCAACCAAGGGATCTTATATTAGTGCTGAAGTTTATGATTATTGGATTCAAGTGCACAACTGTAGTGTCTCTGCTCTCTGCTCCAGCAAGACAACAATAAGTTCGTTTCCATGCAAATTGGCATGATGTAGTACGTTTTCATTGCGTGTGGCGACCAGGTTCGGGCTGCTCCCATTTCAAGAAGGAGTGAGTGTGCCCTGAGCCATAGTCGAAGTTCAAATCAACTCCATGACCGACCAATAATTCGGCGATCGGCCTATGTCACCCGATGGCAGCTGCAATGAGGGCCTGTTCAATCTTATCGGAGATGTCCTTCGCCGCTCTCTTCGAGATCAGAGAGGAGAATTCCAGCCATTTCCTTGATAGGCTGCCAGTGACAAGGGCGAGTAGCCCGGAAAATCTGTGTGAGTTTGTTGGGCACCCAGCTCCAGAAGAAGCCTGATGACAGATGTACGACCAAATGCTGCAGCCTGCAGGACTGGTGTGAAACCACAATCCCTGATATTCGGACTCACTCCCCGCTCGATGATGAAGCGAGAAACCTTCTTGTGGCTATCTTTGGCCGCCTCATCAAAGGATCTGGCCGATGGTCATGTCAGAAAGCCCTCGTCCATGGGCAGAAAGGCATCGGCATCGAGGGCTTTCTGAAACGTAACCAGGGATCCATGTTGTGCTGCCCAGAAGAGGGCTGGCTGGTTGCATTCCGCAACATCCCACTGGTACAGACAGGGGTCACAGATTGCGTATAGATAACGGCTTGTTTGAGCTAGAGCAGAGAGGGATGCTTCATGTCTAATAAAGGACTAAATCAGAAGAAGCAGCTCGTCTGGGAGTGATTCGAGAGAGGACATCATGTAGGTATGACTGTCCTTGGGGAAATCAACCTAAACATCAGCCATTCGGGAGATGGGAAATTAGCAATTGTGACCATATCCTATATCGGTGATGAATGTATTAGATAATTCAATCATATTCAGTGCTTCAAAGATGTCTGTGAAGAGATGTGTTTGTGATGATGGACCATATTCAGCCATGAACAGATCACATGACACAAGGTAGGTTGGGACCTTCAGTATAATGACTAATCAACGCTTATCTCAGCCTTCCAGCATGTGACAAGAGACATGTGACAAGAGACATGTGACAGTCAACAACGGATATCCACACAACGTTCTCAGTTGCTTCAGCATCACACATTATTGATCTCAATATTGGCAATCATGAAATACACAAGGGTATCATTACTCCATCTCTTCTGTCGCCATCAGTTCAATTGCAAACCTGCCTGGTGATGCTTTCCCGCCATCCATTGTCGCATCCCATATCCACGATGGTTGGAGGAGAGTCTCCATCGCGTACTCCAGACTGCCCCGCGTGATTGGGTGTCAGGTTCTCCATAGTTGCTCTTTCCAGTCAACATTTCCAGCTGTTTACAGAGTAAGTGTCTGGCTTCTTTGCAGTCGGCACTCGGGACTTTCGTTGAGCATTGTACTTACTGTGGGAGGCTAGACAGTTAGTCTACTACGGAGGACCGACTAGATTTCTGTCTTTCTCCAATTGGTTCTCTCTATAAACTAGTCCATCGTCCAAGATTCATGCCAAGTTCGACAGCCAGATTCATCGTGCTTGCTTCGTTTCTTGCCTAAACAAAAAAAAAATCCTTCTTTTTGTGCCCCCCCTCCCGGTTACAACCAGTAAGTGTCTTTCATCCCACGTCCATGTCTGCGTTGGTAGAAGGATCATCGCTGACAGTCCATTTGACTTTATCAGTTCCTTGCTTGCTTTTCCCTCATCTGCCGCCCATTATCTACGCTGTGGCCCTGGCTCGTTTCTTCTCCACCATCCCACGGTCCAGCCCATAAGTCATAAATATCCATCTGCCCCTCCCCCGTCCCCAATTCCAAGTTCCCAAACGGCTGTCTCAGTCTTATTCGATATCGTTCGCCTCCAGTGAAATCACCTCATGTCGATTCTTGATACCACCAAAGACCTTTCGGCACTCTTCTCCCAGCAGGTCCATGCCACCCCCAATGCCCCCGCACTAGAAGACGATAGCTCTACCTACACCTATTCCGAGCTTGACAAAGAGGTCGATGCTCTAGCTCAGCGTCTCCGAAGTCACGGCGTTGGAAGAGATAGCCTGGTCGGCGTTCTTCTTCCTCGCAGCGCCCACTATGTGATCGCCTGCCTGGCTGCCCTCCGCGCTGGAGGTGCTTTCCTCGTCCTCGAACTCGCATATCCTCCCGATCTCCTGGCAGATGTTCTTGATGATTCTAGACCGGTGGTCGTCGTTACTCACCGCGCGGAGACCGGGAAAATCAAGGCCGATGTGCCTCTGATCGTTCTTGACGAGCCCGCAACCGATGCCAACGGACACATCAAAGCGCCATCCACTCCTCTGCCGGCCGAGGATGATCTTGATCGACTAGCCTTTGTCTCATATTCATCAGGAACAACAGGCAAACCCAAGGGGATTGCCAATCCGCATCGTGCACCGGTCCTCTCCTATGATCTTCGCTTTGGCATCCAGGATCTCCAGCCAGGTGACCGAGTCGCATGTAATGTCTTTTTTATCTGGGAGATCCTGCGCCCCTTGTTGCGGGGAGCTACAGTCGTGGCGGTCCCTGACGACGTCAGCTATGATCCTGCAGCGCTGGTCGATCTGCTGGCGGCAAAACACATCACCGAAACCCTGATGACGCCGACATTGCTCGCGACCGTGCTCGCGCGCCATTCAGACCTTGGCGCGCGGCTGCCCGATTTACGCACTCTGTGGCTGAACGGCGAGGTCGTCACCACCGATCTTGCCAGACGGGCTATCAAGGCTTTGCCCCGGGCCAGATTGCTTAACTGCTACAGCGCATGCGAAACGCACGAGATTGCGTGTGGGGATATGCGAGAGATGCTAGAAGATGATGCGCCATATTGCCCGGTTGGTCCGCCTCTGGATCCGGAGCATACTTATATCTTGGATGAGGAAGGCAGTCCTGTCCCTCAGGGGACGAGCGGTGAGCTGTTCGTGGGAGGGCCACTTCTTGCGCGGGGTTATCTCAATCTGCCAGATACCACTGCCGCGGCCTTCACGGCGGACCCGTTCGATAAGACACCCGCGGCCCGCATGTATCGCACTGGAGATCGGGCTAGAATCCTTCCGTCGGGCCTCCTGGAAATCACCGGCCGTGTAGGTGCGATGATCAAGCTGCGTGGGTATTCCGTGGTGCCAGGCAAGGTCGAGAACGATATTGTCAAACATTTGGCAGTGCGGCACTGTGCTGTCATTGCCCACGGAGAAGGCCTGGACCGCCAACTCGTAGCGTACTTCGTGCAGGATAAGGAGGCCGATCGCCCTGCGGTCGAGGTCAATCAGTCTGGCCACAGCCCTGCAGCGCGCCGCATCCTGTCCCCTGTTCTGGCTCATTACATGATCCCCGCCCTGTGGGTGGAGATGGATGAGTTGCCCACACACGAAGTTTCCGGCAAGGTAGATTTGAAACGGCTGCCTGCTCCGCCTGCCCCTACTCCGGTCAACGGCAAGGGGGCCAAGGTGAAGGACTCAATCGCCATCGATGAAGTCGCAGCTATTTGGGCAGTGACGCTCAAGACCGCGAAGGCCTTGCTCAAACCCAGCGACAATTTCTTCGACCTCGGAGGACATTCTCTATCGCTGGCTGAGCTTGCGTCCAGATTCTCGAGGACATTTGGCTTCCGCGTGCCCATCGCTCGCCTAGCCGAGAACTCTACGCTGGCTGGTCATTTGGATACGGTTCGTGCCATTCGCGACGGACACACCGCGGCAGTCCAGGCCGACCTGCCAGCCGTGTTGCGCGCGGATGCGACCTTGGACGACGACATCCGACCGTCTTCAGATGTCAAGATCCGTTCGATTACCGATGCGCAGACCGTGCTTTTGACCGGTGTGACCGGTTTCCTCGGTGCTTTCCTTCTGCATGATTTGCTCGAAAGTACATCAGCCCATATCATATGCCTAGTACGATTCAACGAACCCGCAGATGATGATCAACCCGGCGGTGTTGCCCGTATCCGTCGCAACCTGCTCGATCTGGGTCTGTGGCGGGACTCGATCATGGAACGAGTGGAGATCCTTCCTGGTAACCTGTCCCGGTCGCGATTCGGACTCTCCTCCGAGATGTTCGTTGAGCTTGCGGATCGAGTCGATGTGATTGTTCATGCCGCCGCTACCGTCAACTTGGTGTACCCTTATGCTGCGCTGCGTGGTCCCAATGTCGGTGGAACCCGAGAGATTTTGCGATTGGCGTCGAAGGGTGGTGCCACTGTCCAGTACGTTTCCACCAATGGTGTGCTGCCCCCGTCCGGTGAGAATGGGTGGCCTGAAGACGCCATGTTGCCCGTGGATGACGTTCCGACAAAGCTGCTGGATGGCTACGGTCAGACCAAATGGGTGGCTGAGCAGTTGGTTCTGGAAGCGGGCCGTCGCGGGTTGCCTGTCAAAGTGCATCGTCTCGGTACCGTCAGTGGCCACAGCGTCACTGGCTCCGCTAATGCCTGGGATTTGTTATCCGCTTTGATTGTCGAATCGGTCAAGCTCGGTTATGCGCCAGATGTGGACGGCTGGCGTGCCGAGATGACGCCGGTAGACTTTGTGAGCAAGGCGATTGTGCACTTGTCCGCACAGACGCAGGCTGATCAGACCGTGTTTCATCTTGGTGATCCCGATCCAGTTGACATCCGGCGGGTTTTCGAGGCGCTGTCGGAGCTAGGGTACCCTACCGAGCGACTTGGCTGGGATGAATGGGTGGCTCTGTGGACTCAGAAACGAGGGTCGGTCAAAGGCGGCGATGGTGCTTTCACAGTAGACATCCTGCGCAGTGGTATGCCTACGGTCGAATTCTTGCGAGGCATCGTTGTGCTCGACAACGCGGCCACCAAGCCTTTCCGGGAAGCCGTGGAACGGCCCAAAGTCGACCGGGCGCTGCTGGAGACGTACACACGTCACTGGTTCGCTCGTGGATGGCTACCTCGGCCTCCGGCCCGGCTGAACCAGGCCAACGGGTCTGTCAAGGCAAAGGGACCCTTGAGCGGTCGCGTGGCAGTGATCACTGGTGCCTCGTCTGGTATCGGTGCTGCTGTAGCCACTGCTCTGGTCCGGGAAGGATGCCACGTAGCGCTGGCTGCTCGTCGTATGGATGCGTTAGAGTCGCTGAAGAAGAAGCTGACCGGCCAGGGTAGCAAGATTCTCATCCAGCGGACGGACGTGACCGACCGGTCGCAGGTAGAAGCCCTGGTCCAAGCGGCTGCCAACGAACTTGGGCCCGTGGATATCCTGGTCTCCTGCGCGGGAGTGATGTACTACACTATGATGGCGAACGTCAGGACGGATGAGTGGGAGCGTACGGTGGATGTCAACTGCAAGGGACTGCTACACTGCCTGTCGTCGACAGTGCCGGGCATGCTGGCGCGCGGGAGTGGTCATATTGTGGCTATCTCGTCGGATGCGGGACGCAAGGTGTTCCCGGGCCTGGGCGTGTACTCGGCCAGCAAGTTCTTCGTGGAAGCGACCCTGCAGTCGCTACGATTGGAGACTGCGGGGATGGGCTTGCGTGTGACGGCCATCCAGCCGGGCAACACCGCGACCGAACTTCTGGGTATGTCGACGGACGCCGAGGCGATTAAGAAGTACGGAGAGGCGTCTGGCGCGCAGATTCTGGACCCGGAGGATGTAGCCAACTCGATTGTGTATGCACTGCGACAGCCAGCGCATGTGGCGGTGAATGAGGTGCTGATTGAACCGCGGGACGAGCCTATCTGATTGGGAGTTATTCGATATCTTACATATATAGATAGATCGATAGACCAATGCTGCTGAAGGGGCGATGCAATGATGAAGTGCTTTTTGGGGCTTACGGGCAAAGATCATCGCATCGTCACATGGACTAAGTCGTGGTTCTGCAGCTGACAGCATATATTAAGTCCCTCCCCCTCATCCACCTGAACTTCTCATCGTCATCTTCATTATCACCATCACCATCACCATCACCATCACCCTTCTCTTGACGTTCTACCAAATGGAGTCCCTCATTCTACTTGTGCTCATCATCCTCCCCGCCAGCGTGCTCATCTACAAGCGGCTTACCCCCCGTAACCTCCCCCCAAGCCCACCAGGTGACTTCTTCCTCGGCCACCTGCGCCGCATCCCCTCCTCGCACGCAGAGTACCAATACGCGAAATGGTCGCGCACGTACAACAGCGACATCCTCAGCCTCCGCATGCTCACGCGCTGCGTCATCGTCGTCAACAGCGTCGACGCGGCGCACGCCCTGCTCAAAAAACCTACAGCGGCGGATCGTCCACGCTTCGCCCTCTACGAGATCATGGGCTGGGGCATCACGCTCACCTTCCTGCGGTCCTCGTCCCCACGCTTCAAGCTCCACCGCCGCCTCCTGCAACGCTCCTTCAGCCCATCCATGTGCAAGGACTACCGCCCGATCCAGATGCAGGAGATCCGCGCGGCGGTCGCGCAGATCCGCAGCCATCCGGAGACCTGGGAAGTGAGCCTACGGCGGTTCGCGATCGCGGTGGTCATGCGGATTGGGTTTGGGATGGACTCGGCGCAGGCGGGCGGGTTTGTGGACCTGGCGACCGCTGTCGAGGAGGCGACGGGGCGCGGCGGGGTGCCCGGGTTCTCGGTGGTGGATGCCGTGCCGGCGCTGCGGTGGATTCCGGTGTGCGTGGCCAAGCGGGTTGGCATGTTATGGGGGCTGGTGCATGCGCAGCAGATGCGGGGCGCGGTGGAGGAGTTCCATAACGGGCCGTGGGGGATGATGGAGGAGAAACTCCGGGCTGGGACGGGGGAGACGGGCAGTTCGTTCCTGGGGATGCATCTGCGGGAGGGTAAGGTCGGGGTGGAGGATCTCAAGGGAGCGGCGGGCACGATTGCCATTGCGGGCGGGAACACGACGTTCGCGACGATCGTGGTGTGTATCCTGAACCTGATGCTGCAGCCGGGGGTGCAGGCGCGGGCGCGCGCGGAGCTGGACGGCGTGCTGGGTGTGGATGCGCGCGGGCTCCCGCTGCGGCTGCCGACGTTCGAGGACCGCGAGCGGCTGCCGTTTCTGGAGCGCGTGATCCAGGAGACGACCCGGTGGGCACCGCTGTCGCCGCTGGGGATCCCGCATGCGATGTCGGCGGAGGAGAGCGTGGGCGGCTTGACGATCCCGCGCGGGGCGGTGGTGTATGCGAACGCGTGGGCGATGACCCATGACGAGCGGGTGTATGCGGAACCCGAGCGATTCGACCCGGACCGTTATCTGCGCGGCGAGCCGCTGCCCGAGGGCCCCTTTGGGTTTGGGCGGCGCGTATGTCCCGGGCAGCACCTGGCGCTGACGGGGGTGTACATTGCCATGGCGACGCTGCTGGCGACGGTGAGCTGGCGGTGCCCGGTAGACGAGGCGGGGAGGGAGAAGAGGCCCGAGGTGCAGTTCTCGGACGGGCTGAGCGGCGTGCCAGATCGGTTTGAGTGTGAGATGCAGGCGAGGGATGCAGAGTCTAAAGAGGTGCTATGAGTCTATGACCATGATTATCACTAATCAGCTTAGTGGTCAGACTGCAGACACTGAGAGCTAGTGAGGACTTGGGAGTTGGGACAGGCTGGATATTGGACCGTAAGGACGAGGGTGAATACTCGGTAGTTTAGCGAGGACCTGAGGAGGAGAGAAAGCATGTTCGCCCATTTACCAGAAGGGGTTACACTGCCCCATTGCCCGTCAATGGCGCAGGACAGGGGCAAATGGCCCAATGGAATAGCTTCAAGACATGTCCCAAACAGGTTAGGAGGCGGGTTCAGGGGGCCTCCTGTGGGTCAATTGGGTCAATTGGGTCAATTGGCAGGGTGATATCAATCATATAAGGCTTGAATAATCATGACTCAGCCCGCTGCAGCGCCTAGTGCAGATCCTGTTGATGTCTACAGACGGCAGACGCATTTCCTGTCATTCTTGGGTATATATACAAAGTCCCCATGGACATTTGCCTCCCTCCCCCCCCTCCCCTCCCCCTCTTTTCGCCCCCCTCCCCACTCATCCCTCTCATTTTGTCTCACCTCTCTGTCTCTCGAGACGCTGCAAGGCCTCCCAGAGTCGAGTGCACCCCTCCGAACACGCCACGTCCACCCACGCGAACGTCTGCAGGATCTCCACGAGCTGCGCATACGATCGGACGTCCAGCTCCCGACACATGCGGCCCACCAGGGGCAGCAGCGCCGCGTGTTCCCGCATGTCCTCGGCGGCGATCGCCGTCATCGCCGCACACCACAGCAGCACGGGATTCGTCACCGTGTGCAGCATGTTCGCGAGCAGCGCGGCGAGCTTGGGGATGATAGCGGCGCGGAGGAAGGCGGAGCGAGGCATGGGGAAGGTAACGTGGGTGGCATAGAGGAGGGCGGCGAGGCGACAGGAGAGATACAGGCCGTGGGAGATGGAGGCGTCGTCCGGGGAGAGATCGCACATTTCGAGGGAGTCTTCGAGCGGGTCGTGCTCGTCGGGGAGGCTGAAGAGGACATGGTGGACGTGGTTACGGACGTCGGCGAGGAGGTCGAGCGAGACGGAATCGAGGCGGCGGCGCGCGTACCATTGCACCAGGGTGGAGAATTCGCTGAGCTGGATGAAGACGCGCACGATGTCTTGTTTGACCGGGGGGCAGAGGTTGCGCAGGTGGCGGAATCCGCGGCCGGGTTCTTCGGAGTGGGTGGGGATGGGGAAGACGTCGAGGGGGGAGGTGAAGTTGAGCTGCTGGCCTTCTGCGTCGACGGGCTGGAACAGCGGTTTGGTCAAGGCGTGCGCCGCGTTCATCAGATCCGATCTGTGTCCGAAATTTTTCGTTCTTAACAAAACCCCGAACGAGAGGGAGCGACGCTTCAGGGGGGAGACAGACAGACTTACATTGACACCAGCCACGCCAACCCATACACTCGAATCTTGCTAAGTCCGCCCAGCCGCTGCAACAAATTACAGATGATGGACCAATGCAGCGAATGGTAGTCACGACTGCCGTAAAAGTCGAGATGCTGCATGTTGGTGAAGGGCGGGGTGAAGGGGTTTGGGTCACGCACGATCTCGCGCCAGCTCGTCTCATTGACTGCCAGGAACAGAATCGCCATGATGATGCCGTCGCGCCAGTCATCGTTGGCGAAATCCGCTACGTGGTTGTGCAGCATGCGCAGCACGCGGCCCTTGTAGTACAGCTGATCGCGCGTCTCCAGCACGGGATTCGACCCGTGGCTGATGCGCAGCACGTCGCGGTGGCACGAGGCGCCCCAGAGCGTGCTGTACAGCAGCAGCTTGTTCTCGCGCGTCGGCAAGATCCACGATTGGTAGCAGCGGCGGGCGAAGTCCATCTGCCGGAAGCCCGGCCAGATGGAGGTGAGCGCTAATCATGGCATGCATTAGCGGGGAGGAACGACTCTATCCTCTGTAGGCATCCACCGTTCGGACCGTACTCCGTAGAGACGACACGTAGGGCAGAAAAAGCAGACAGAGAACGAGGAAGGGGAAAAAAAGAGAGAACCCACAGTGGTGGACTAGACTGTCCAGGCTGGGAGCCAGTCTGGGATCCACGGCGGAGAAGGGGTCTATTCGCCGGGTGACGGCCAGTGGCAGGCGCGTTTCTGCGGCCGCGGTGGTCGTCGGCGACTGTGACTGCGATTGCGACTGCGATTGCGACTGCGACTGCGAACTGCCAGCTCCAGTGCCAGTCCGAGCGCCAGGTTCCGGCGTGCTGGTGTCGCTCCTCAGCAGCCCTCCACAGGTTCCACAGACGGCGGCATCTTCCGTCCTGGATCGTATCACCCGCGTGGGTTGCAATCTCGCACTAGTCCCCCCGACCCCGTCCTGACTGCCACTGCCACTGGCAGTCCCAGTCCCAGGGACCCGGATTCGGCTCTGGGATTCGGCTTGGCCCTGCGTCTCACTCGTCTGACATACGCATGGGTACCACGTCGTCGTCCACTGGACCGGAGTCGGACCCCGGCGCTGGCGCTGGGCAATCAGCTGCTCTCGTCTCGCAGCCTCTTCCTGCCGGTACTTGGTCTGCTTCTCCGCGATGAGACGGCGGATCAGGGCTGAGCGAGTGCTGCGGGACTTGGCGTCTCCCCCGCGGCCGAGACTGGGGCCGTCGACGAACAGCAGCTGGTTCTGGTTCTGGTTCTGGGGTGGACTCGGGTTGGGTGGCTCACGGTCAGGCTGTTTGCCTTTGTCGGTTTCTGGGGCCATTGCAGAGCAAAGAGCCAAACCTCTTTCCCCCACCCCCCGTAACGGTTTGATTGGGCTGCGGGTTGACGGGATTCGGATCGGGCTCCCGAGAGGAAGGGGTCAGAGCAGCTTTGTTTGAACTTTGCGAGGGACGTCCTGGGGCAGCCCTACTCCGTCAGTTCCAACGAGGGTTGGTGATTGATTGATTGCTGACTCATGGTCCACCCTCGTTTCCCTCCGGTCTCATGTGGTTGAATTAGCCAATAAATGCCAATAATCACGCCGGAGGGTCTCGCAGGCTCGCAGCTCTAGCTAGGGTGCTAGCCTGGTGAATTCGGTTGGTGGCTTTTTTTGGTGGCTTCGCTTAGCCTTGGAGGGATCCTTTCCAGTGACACCTGACTAGTGATAGGGAGAGGCCCAATCGTACGGGAGAAACAGTCTACCACATCTGGCTTAGCGACGGACTTGGTACCCGCTGGATCGGGATTGATAGCTGTGAGGCTGTGAGGCTGTGAAGGCTGTGAAGGTTTCTGGTAAGTGGTAGCCACTAACTAGTCGGCCGGAATTGAGTTGGAGTCATCGAGTCATTCCCTACTTAGCTCGACTTTGGTGCCAGACTAGCGTAGCCTAGTGTCGTCTAGTCGATAGGGTAAATCATTTTAATTAGTTTTTGACGTTTCATCGATATCCATGGGTCATGAAAGCCCTTGGGGGGCCCGCGACAGAAACCGGATGTAAGACACTATACTATAGTTCGCTCCTATGTGTCCTCACATTTGGACGGGCCCTTCTCCTCAAACAAGAGCACTAGCATCTGCATCATCATCGAACTGCGTAGACTCTGCACATCCTTCTGCTGGTGGTGCGCCGTCGACGACGCGGACCCCGTCGGCGATGTCGGTGTCCCCTCGCTGGCGTTGGCGTTGGCATTGGCCTCCCCCTGCACCATCCCCGACATGAGCTTCAGCACATCCTGCCACCGTTTCCTCAACGCCTCGAGTTCCCCCTTTAGGCGCGTATTCTCCCCTTCCAGACTCGCAGACCCATTCTGGGCCTCCTTCAGCTCCCTCGCCAGCCGATCATTCTCGGTGCGGAGTTCTTCCATGCCACGCCGCAGTTGTACGCGCTCCTGCTCGCGACGTTCCCGGAATCGACGTTGGGCCTCACGGTTCTGGGATTGTCGCCGGTTATTCTAGGATCGTCAATACTGTTTTTTTTTTTTTTTTTTTTTTTTTTTTGTGTGTCTTTCTGTTTTTTACTAGAAAGAGAGAGAGAGAGAAAAGTAAACATACCCCCGATCCGGTACTGGCGGTTTCATATCCCACCGACATATCCGGCGAGGTGTGGTTCGAGCCGAGATAGGCCATCGTATGCGGGGAGAGCGCATACAGCTCGGGGGATGCGGTGCTCGTCGTCATGGCCATGGGGTTATATCGTAGTTCGTGGCTCAGATGGCCGAGGGAGGGAGGCGACTCGTCCAAGGGCTGATCCCAGGGAATGCGGGATCGGGGGTGTAGATCCTGGCTGGTGAAGACGTCCATGTCTCTGGAAGTCGTGTGTGTGTATGTATATGTGTGTGTGTATGTATATGTGTGTGTGTAGGTGTAGGTGTAGGTGTATATGGTATATGTGTGTGTGTAGGTATATATGGTATGTGTGTGGGTGTCCCAGAGAAAGATCCGGACCACGATTTTTACCACGATTTAAGCATATCTTGAGATCCCCTTCAGCTGTGTCTTGAAGACGGCAGTCAGGATTTATATAGTAAGAATTAACAAACCAAACCCCCCCCCCCCTGGTGGTTGCCACTGGTCCACCCGACAGTCATCAGTCACGATTCACTGGCCCGTCCAACGACTGGTGGTTCTGTTGGTGATACTACTTCTACTAGATACTGCGACTACTGCTACTACTACTTTAATTAACGCACTCCCGACGAGGATAGGACTAGGGAGGACAAAAGGGGGGGGGGGGAAGAAGAGTGAAACTGAAAGAGGCCTGGGTTTTCTGCAGCTTCTGCAGCTTCTGCAGGCTTGAGCCTAGTAGTAGTAGTAGTAGTAGTAGTACCGATCATCAGTTAAGATAAGTTGTTGGGGTCTAAAGTCTTAGTATGGGTCGAGCCATGTGTTTTTTTTGGGAAAATGGTCTCTTTTTGAAGATATGCCGCTGTCAGAAGTTCAGAACGCCGGGCTGGTCTGCTGGTGGACGCTGGACGGCGGGGCTTGGCGGGATCACGGGGCGTTGACGCTATTCCCAAAGGGGGACCGTCTACATCGCCGCTGATTGGTCCGCACCGGCCCGGTTGGATTATGGATTCTCCGTGTTTCACCGATGCCATGGCGCTAGGCCGAATTGGGCAGTGTCTTGGCCACCGCTGATTGGCTGGATGGACCCCCCCCCTCTGATTTCTCAGCATCGCTTAGATAAGCTCGGCCGGAAGAAGAAACTCGTCTGAGTGCCTCAGGCTGTACACAGTAAGTGGAATTAATCTCAATTCTCTAATTCTCTATAGCCTCAACTCAACCTCTCTCTGCCAACCGATAAGAATCATCCACCATGACTGGTACCTCCAATGGCGTCCCCAGGACAGGTGTCAGAGTCAAACCCTGCAGTGTCATGCCCCAAAGACAGATTATTAAAAAAAAATAGATTCCTACTAGTCTGCCACCACCCGATCACCCTCCAATGCTCATCCACCCGGGATGGAAAATTCTCCCCCTATGAATCAATGACCAGCATATAGTACGCATCTGAGCATATTATTAAGCTTCAAGCTCTGCGATAACCCACCCAGTAGTGAGTAGTCAGTAGTAGCTATCCTCCCTCCACCCCACGCCGCCACATCCTTCAACCCCGGATGGGATGCATCTCCCGCAGCCTCCCCAACACTCGCCCGAATACCGATGCGTATAGGTATAGACTCTAGAACCATTGAAACATCATCCGCGTCTCTGGTATTTCAACACACCCACCAGCACAGAGCTCCTCGTTGTTGGAGCGGGTGACGTGGCTGGCCGGGTCCCAGCTGCTTGACGATGAAGTGGCGGCCGATGAGCGAGATCTGTCCGCTGGGAGTCGTCAGTAGTCGAATTGGGTTGTATGGCTTCCATCTGTGTACCGTGTTGGGGTCGATCCAGACCATATCCGCGTTGTCGAGCGTGATGGCATCACCGCAGACGTTATTGAGGGTGGAGATTCTACCCGGTCAGCGGGGCCCTTTCTGTACCCACGAAGGATATAGAGGAATCCAGCGTGATACGTTCTCAAGAATGGATAGATACATGATCATAATCCACCCAACTATGAGATCTCTATCTCTAGCATAATCGACAAGGACAATCTTGTACTACGTAGAGAGACATGCGATCTGCACCACAGACAGCCAAGTGACACGTTGCTTACCGCCAGGACCCCCAGCCATAAGCATGACTCTTGTTTCTCTCCCTTAACATTTCCACTGATCTCGCCCTCGTCAACCAACCCATCGAACCAGCAAACTCTGTCCATCCGCCCGGCATCAAATGAAAATCGTCATCGTCGGCGCCGGACTCGGCGGCCTGGCGTGCGCGATCGCCTGTCGCCGCAATAACCTCGACGTGCTCGTTCTCGAACAATCAGCCCAGCTTCAACCGGTACAACCTCCCCCCCTTCCGTCCTCAGATACTAACCGAACCTCTGTAGCGGGTGAGGCTAATCGCGATGAGCGGCGCTAGGTCGGTGCCGGGATCCAGATCCCGCCCAATGGAGCCCGGATCATGCGCGAGCTCGGTCTTCTGGCGCAGGTGGAAGAACGGGGGTTGACGCTCGAGAGGATGGATCTGCGGCGGTACAGCGATGGGAGCGTCATTGCGTCAATGCCGTGCGGCGAGACCGTGGTGAGGGAGTATGGAGCGCCGTGGGTGTAGGTCGTCGAGTCTCTACTACTACTACTACCACTATACCCTTCTGTGCTGACTGCTGACTGCTGAGTGAGGCAGGGTGATCCACCGGGCGGATTATCATCAGATCCTGCTAGACCAGGCCCAGAGTCTGGGAGTAGAGATCCGCCTCGACGCTGCGGTGGAGAGAGTCGATGTGGAGGAAACTGCTGTTGTGCTGGTGGGCGGGGAGGTGATCGCAGGCGACGTGATTATCGGCGCTGACGGTTTGGCTGTCCCCCCCCCCTCTCTCTGTTTTCTTTTCTTTTCTTTTTTTTTTCGACTGATGAAGTTGAGACGATCAGGTCTCTGGTCCAAAGTCCGCGACTTCGTTCTCGACGACCCCGTCGTCCCGCAGGAAACAGGCGACATGGCCTACCGAGCCACCTTCTCGCGCGCCCAGCTCTCCCCGCTGGACGATACCGCAGTCACCGCGCTCTGCGACACGCGAGGTGTAACCGCCTGGCTCGGACCAGAGAGGCATGCCGTGTTCTATCCCGTCCGCGGTGGAGACGAGTATAACCTCGTTCTGCTCCAGCCGGATGATCTGCCGGCGGCGGTGCGCACGACGCAGGGCGACGTGGATGAGATGCAGTTTGGGTATCGGGGATGGGATCCCACGTACGGTTTTTATTTTTTAATTTTTTCAGCCAATCGTGCTCTGCTCCAAAGTCTTAACGAGGGGGGACTAGGCTGCGGAGGATGATCTCATGCATTCCATCCGTCCTGAAGTGGAAGCTATGCCATCTTCCGGAACTGCCGCGATGGACCAAGGTTCGGGTCTATTCTCTTGTCCCGCGCAGGCGGTTTACTTGCTGACAGGCATAGGGGTCCGTCACCCTCCTCGGGGACGCGTGCCATCCCACGCTCCCCTACCAGGCCCAAGGCGCCGCCATGGCCGTGGAAGACGGCGCGGTATTGGGCGCGTTACTCGGCCATGTCGCCTCCGAGCCGGCCAAGGTCCCGTCTGTCCTTCAGCTCTACGAGGATCTACGCAAGCCACGAACCACGCGCACCGTGCAGGGAGCCATGCGCAACCGCGGCAGCTTCCACCTGGCCGACGGCATCTTCCAACGACTCCGCGACCTGGTGCTGAGCGTGTCCGGGCTGACCCGAGAAACGGACTGGATTGGCGTGATGGCGTCTCGGCAACACGTCGTGCTCGGGTTCGACGTGCTGGCAGAGGTAGAACGCAGAAGACCCGAGCTGAATCATATGTAGTGACAAATACATACATACATACATACATACATAATCTTACAAGGCAGCCCGCTATTTCTTCACCCCCATATACCAGTAGATGTGCAGAAACGGCCAGGCCAGCATCCGATTCCCCGCCATGAACTCCCAGCCGCTGACGTCCAGATCCGGCTGCCGCAGCAGATCGCGCAGCTCCTCGGGCGTGCGACAGCGGAGCGTCGAGACGAGCCCGTCAAACGAACACACCACGGAGAAGAGCGGAAACAGATACGTAAAAAGGTAATGCAGAGGCGAGAACCTGTAGTCCCGGTGGCCCAGCGTATGAAAGAACGGGTACAGCAGCATGACGGGGATATTCAACAGGGAGGAGAAATTGCGCTGGGCGAACTCGAAGATTCTGGCACCCACCCATCCTGTCAGTCCTGTCCTTCATCCTCCTCCTCTTTTTTGTTTTTTTTTTCTTTTTTACGACAACCACGTAGACAGGAAGAAGAGGGGAAGGGAAACATACATAAACGCATCCCCCTCTTGCACCGCACTCCGCAACACGCGCCTCGCAACCACATCGTCAAAATGATGAAAACACAGATTAAACACCCGACACTCCCTCCCGCGCGCCACCCGCCCGCAGCGCGTCGCATCCACCGGCCCGTCCACGAACGAGACATGGGCCTGGCGCTTCGCGATGCGCGCCCACGGCTCCGGGCGTGGGTGGAGGTCCGTCAGCACGAAGGACGCGGGGGGCTGGCCGCGCGCGCGGAACCGTGCGTTCAGCACCGTCTCCATGGTGGCGGTGGGGCCGCCGGCGCCGGCGCAGAGGTCGACGTAGGTGAAGGAGGATGGGTTGGGCAGGGTGTCGGTGATGAGGGCTGCGGCGGTGGTGGCGGGGGAGGAGGTGGTGAAGGGGGGGAGGTGGAAGTTCCAGACGCTGGTGAGGTAGGACTGGATGTAGGCGAGGAGCCAGTCGGGGCACCAGGGTTGGTCACCGATTTCGAAGAGATGGAGGCGTGGGAAGAGGATCATTTGGGAGATTGAGTATGAGATCGATGGGAGGGATGGAAGGGTTGATTGATATGAGATGAGATGAGATGATGGTGATGTTTTGATGTTTTTGATGAGAGGGCGCTGATTGGCTGGGTGGGTCTGCCTTTTTTTTCGATTGATTCTGGCGGAATAAATGAGATGTTGATACATCGCTGGATTGTATACAAAGTCGATATATATAGTGGTTGGACAGCTGTCCTCCCGTCTATAGAAAGAGTAAGTGTGCTATTGAAGGTCTGTACCCCACGCATCAACAATGATAGATGGATTGAAAGCCTCTCTGTCTCCAGTTCCAGCATTTAAAGTAGTAGTAGTAGTAGTAGTATCACAGAATATCCTTGCTCCGAGGTGGCACTGACCCATGTATCTGATTCTATCTTTCTCGCCGCGTCCGACCCTCCAAGCATACCAAAGCATCAGATAGATGCAGCCAGCTCCCAAGAATGGGGTGTTCAATGTCGATCCTTTCTCATGCCAGCGGAGGCGAGTGTGTAACCAGGGAAATAGAACGAAGAGATAGCATTGACCGCTTGCCAGGAAACTCGCTAACTTGTTAGCCGTACAACAGTAGCCTGAAACATCACAAAGCTGCAGGTGAGCATACCTGACTAGCTGCAGGAGGTGGTTGCGGATTCTCTCGTGGCCATTGGCGAGCTAGCTAGCCCCTTCAGATCAAGGATTCAAAGTAAATCTCGAACGATTTAAGGCTCGTCTCGGTCCAACTGGGAAGCCCATCAGCTGCTTGGACACTCCGTATACACAGTTACACAGTCTTCCACAGTCTCTGGCGAATGCGAATCAATTCTCCTTCTGAGCATTTCTCACAATGGCTTCATTTGCCATGGACAAGGACCAAATCCTCGTAGGTGTATTGCTGTATATCTCCGGAGTCATTGTCTACCGCCTCTTCCTCCATCCTCTGAGCCGATTTCCTGGCCCTAAGCTGGCCGCCATTTCATCCCTACCCGAGTTCTACCACGACGTCCTTCGTGGCGGCCGCTATATCTGGGAGATTGAGCGCATGCACGAGAAGTACGGTAGGTGGCCGAGCACTCAAGCAACCCGAACCACAACACCAGCAGAAAAGAAGAGACCCTGACACGCGCCCAAGGTCCCATCGTCCGCATCAACCCGCGCCAACTCCACATCAAAGACCCCTGCTTCTACGACGAGATCTACGCCGGCGGCTCGCGCAGACGCGACAAGTACGCCGAGTACGTCAATGCCCTGGCCGCCGACAACAGCTCCGCCACGACCGTCGACCACACGCACCACCGCATCCGCCGCGGCTTCATCAGCCCGTACTTCTCCAAGCGGTCGGTGCTGCAGTTCGAAGCCACCATCTCGGAAAAGCTCGCCATGCTCACCGCGCGCCTCGAGGAGGCGAGCCACGCCGGCTCCGTGCTGAACCTGCAGCATGTCTTCGCCGCCCTGACCGCCGACATCATCATGCAGTATGCCTACGGCGAGACCCACGGCTACCTGGCGCACGAGAGCTTCCGGAACGACCTGGTCGATGCCGTGGCGACGCAGCTCGACCTGCTGCACGTCAACCGGTTCTTCCCCGGGTTGGTGCGGCTGTTCAAGGATGCGCCGCCCTGGCTGCTGCGGGCCGTGGGGCTCAAGATCGCGGATGTGGTCGAGGTGAAGCTCTGGATCCGGGAGCTGGCAGCGAAGGCGCTGGCGCGGAAGGGAAGGGCGGGTGGCCGCGCGCGCGAGACCATTTTCGATGCCTTGACGGCGGAGACGGTGCCGCCGGAAGAGAAGACGCTGGATCGTCTGGAGGTGGAGTCGACGGTCATCTTCGCGGCGGGAACCGATACCACGGCGCGCGCGCTGGCGGTGGCCAGCTTCCATCTCATGCAGAATCAGGACGTGCTGCGGACCCTGCGGGAGGAGTTGAAGCGGGTGATGCCTACGCCGACGACTTCCGTCTCGTGGCTGCAGCTGGAACAGCTGCCGTACCTGGTAAGCCCTACCCTCTAACCCTCGGAGCTTTCCGTCGTGCTGATGGAAGACAGAGCGGCGTGGTCAACGAGAGCCTCCGTCTGTCGTACGCTCTCGTCACCCGACTGCCTCGCGTGGCGCCCGACGAGACCTTGAAATACGGCGACTATATGATTCCGCCCGGCGTGAGTAGCTTTCATCTCCTCTTCCCCCTCCGCAGACGACGACAATCCGCGGGTCATATAGTATATAGGTCTAGATCTCCCTGACATTGACATGCACAGACCCCGATCAGTCAATCAGCCTACTTCGTGCACCAAGACCCAACCATCTTCCCCGAGCCGCAGAGATTCCACCCGGAGCGCTGGATCCGGGCAGCAGAGAAGGGCGAGAACCTGAAGCGCTTCCTCGTCTCGTTTAACAAGGGGAGTCGGCAATGCTTGGGGATCAAGTAGGTTTATTTATTTATTTTTTTATTTTATAAGACGCCCTTCCCGGCTATGCGTCGAGCTTGCTTTGGTGACCGTGCTGATTTTTTCTTCCCTCCCCCCCCGGCAGCCTTGCCTACGCGGAGTTATACCGGACAATCGCGGCCGTGGCTCGTCGCTTCGACATGGAGCTGTATGAGACTACGCTGGAGGATATTCTCGTGAACCGCGATCTGGGGTTTGGGCAGCCAGAGACGGGCAGATTCCAGGTGCAGGCGAGAGTGACGGGGATCGTGAAGGAGTGAGCTCGGCCGTTGATCGTGAAGCTAGAAGCTCCACGTATCCACGTATCCACGTATCTAGTATATTATTGGCGGTTTATGCTGGTTCTGCTGGAAGCAACACCGAGTCGGGCATCGGCCGAAGTGCGAGATTCATGAATCCTTCTCCTATGAACGATGACGTTGAATGATGATGATGATGATGATAGCGTAGAGAAGAATAAGGAAATACAAAATCAAACTACAATCGGTAGAATCAGGCCGCCTGGCCCGTCGACCCCAGCATATCCATACACCTCTCCACAGCCTTCTGCATCGCGTCCGTCGCCTCCTCCAGCAGCGCCGTCAAGGGCACGCGGCCCGCCTTCTCGCGCTGCACCCGCACATACTCGTTATTCAGCACCTTGTTGATATTGACCTTGCTCACGCCGCACTCGATGCAGCGGGCAAAGATGTCCGTCGTAAACGGGTCGGCGCCATGCAGCACCAGCCTGACGCGGTCCCCGACGCGGTCCCGGATGCGCTGCAGCCGGTCGTACTCGAGGCGGATGCCGCGCGGGCCATACTCGCCATGGACGTTGCCGAACGCGGGCGCCAGCCAGTCGATGCCCGTGGCCACGAACTCCATGCTCTCGTCCGGGGTGGACAGCAGGCCCTCGAGGTCGGCGGTGTCGGCGACGCCGTCCTCGCCGCCCTCGATGCGCCCGGGCTCGGCCTCGGTCGCGATCCCGCGCGCGTGGCAGTACGCCACCAGCTCCCGCGTCAGTCGCAGGTTCTCGTCCTTCTCGTAGTGCGACATGTCCACCATGATGCTGTCGAAGCCGCCCAGGTCGGCCGCCCGCCGGATCATCTCGGGCGTCTGCGCGTGGTCCATGTGCACGGTGACGGGGACCGAGGCGCTGCGTGCTGCCTCGGCGGCCGCGTGCACGAGGATCCCGTCTGCGTAGTGCACGGCCCAGGGGAAGAGGAGGATCATGGCTGGGGAGCGTTTGGCTTCGGCCGCGCGGACCGTCGCGAGGATGCCCTCGACGTTGTAGCAGCACATGGCCGGCACGCCATAGTGGTTCTTCGCGGCGTGGTCAAGGATGGGGAGCGCGCGGTTGGTGGCGAGGGAGGGGTTGGGGGTGGTCATTGTTGTTGTTGTTGGAAGGGAGGGAGCAAGGTATGAGAGAGAGAGAATTGGAATGGAATGAATGACTTTGAATGGAAGAAAAAAGGGATCGAGAATGAACAGACGTAGAGCGTTATATATACCCTGTGCACGCGGTGTTTACTCTCCCCCACACTCTCTCTTACTCTACACACTCTGGCAAAGACGGAGTTGCTCCGATTGACGTCAAACTGATTATGCACTAGAGATGGGGACTCAATAGGGGGCCTAAATAGTCCGGATGGCACGACAATGGCTAAATAAGAATTGAAAAACGAAAAAAAGATTGATCATCTACTCCGGGCCAAACACCTGGATCACACTCGTGCTCGCTTCGCCGCCGAACCCATTCCTCCGAGCCAGCAGCAACACTGTCAACGCCGCGTTGCCCAGGTGCAGTGGGCAGTGCAGATCCCTCGCCTTCTGTACCACCTTCTCGAGCTGGGAGACAGCCTCGTCAAGGAGCTGGGATCCTGCAGGTGCCTTATCGCCGATGCGCCCCTCGATCATTTCCAGTCCCTTGTGGATGAAAACCTTGCTCGCGCCGGCCGCGTCGCGGACGAGTTCGTGGAACTGCGCGAGATCGACCTTGAGATAGCGTGCGAAGGCAATGGCCTCGGCTGCTGCCACGAGGTTGACCCCCAGCATCAAATCAAGTACGAGCTGGAGAGATGCGGCGACATCGTCGGCGGACGCGGCCACGGGGGCGATGGGCGTGGGGAAGTACTGGCGGACCATGGCCGAGTCGTCTTTGGCGCCGTAGCCCTGCAGTAGCGCGGACAGGTAGACCTGTTCGGCGGTCGAGCAAAGAGGCACAGGGAAGTGGTGCTGACGGGCCGAGGTGGTGATAATACCCTGGAGAAGCCTTAGTATCTGGGCCACCGCACCAACAAGACCGCATCCCTTACCACATCCTTGAGAATAATCGTCAGTGCACTCGCCCCGGGGTTCCAGTCCTCCGCCAGCATGCGCGGCAGACGGTTCTCGTGCATCCACGTCCAGGCCTCCGTGCCAATGATCTTCGCCGCCGTCGTCTTCGCGTCCAGTCCCAGCTGCGCCGCAAAGCCCATGGCCTCGCTGGCGCCCAGGATGTGAATGCCCGCCAGCACCTGATGCACCATCTTCATGTTGCTTCCCGCCCCAATGCCGCCCGGCACCAGGTACAGCTTCTTCTGATCCGACATGACCTGCAGGATCTCCCGACCACTGTTCAGCGCCTCCTCGGGCGCCCCCGCCATAATCGACAGCGTCCCGTCGGCCGCCCGTTTGGCACCCCCGGACACCGGACAGTCGATGAAACGGATATCCGCACGACCGAGCGACTGCAGCTCGGCGGCGACCGATTGCGCATACGAGGCGGGGACGGTGGAGCAAAGGAACAGGGTCGCGTTCGGTGGGAGATCTGGCTCTTTCAGCATCTGCCGTCCATCAAGTGGCGAGGGATTGATGAAGCAACATACATTGTACGATCCCATCGTCTCCAAAGAGCACCGACTGCACCTGCGGCGCCGACGCCACCATACACACGTAAAAGTCCTTCCCCTCGGCGGACTCCCGCAGCGACGAAGCGGGAATGCCCCCTGCGGTCTGGAACCGTTGAACCGAGGCAGGGAAGACATCATAGCCGACGACGGGATATCCTTCGCGCACGAGGTTGGTGGCCATGCCAAAGCCCATGGCTCCTAGGCCAACGAAGCCGATAGTGGGTTTGGACATGATGATCTTGATTTTGTCTTGGAGATACGGGAGAAATTGAAGAAAAAAAAAGAAAAGAAGCTAAGAGAAGACGAAATGAACTCTGACTGTTTGCAGATCTACAAAGCAGAACTGAATTCCAGAGCTCTTTTTAAACCCCCCGGCGGCCGCGGGGGGGTTCAACAATGCGGAGGATCATAACGTGGGATGTCACAGCCGGCTGTCGGACTTGGTCCGCGTCGCATTTATCCATCGCTGAGGAGATCGACGCTCATATTAGCCTTAATAGGCATGGACGGCGGAGTATTGACGATGCATTTTCTGGATAGGAGAAAGTTGAGGATGAGGGAGGATGAGAGATGGAAATTGAGGATATTCGGTGTTTTGCTGGAAGACGAGGACAGCCGCCACGTAAGAGGTAAACAACCACATCGTCTCTTCCGACAGAATGGCTATGGATACTGTCTGCTAGCTAACCGAGGCCGATGATCTGGGACAATTCTCAGGCGTCTGTACTGCGTCGCCACTGCGTCGTATCGCGACTCACCACTATTCCTCCAAGACCTCTACTCTTGAATTCTCAGCGTGCTCTGACTGGACTACAGGGCCAGATCAATAGGAATCACTATGTTGCATGAGAACGGTACGGATTCTACGCCTAGCACGAGCTATAAAAGCGGAACTCTTCCTTGTAGTGGTGTATATAGGCAACAATGGGAGGTACTCCAAATAGCGCTCTCTATTGCCCTCTTGGTTGTATCTCATTGATCGCCTGTTCAGCCTTGCGAGATACTTCTCCAATGCTGGAGTCATCGTCAATGGACCTAGGAACTCTGTGGAGGAAGTGACATCGCTCTGGCAAGAAGACTTCCTGGGTACTTCCTGCTTCACCTCCAGAAATGAAATGCAGGCAGGGTAATTAATGCCTACCCTAACACTCAGGCACTCCGTAAATCCTCCCTATAGGAAAGCGCATCTCACACAGACTCGAGGTAAAAGTTGTCTGTCCAAAGCCTCGCTTCTTTTCACTGGAATCCATTCTTCATTCTACAGCACTCACGTTCGTTTACATCCCCATTCTATATACTACGTTCTCCCACTTCTTGCAGTCATATTCGCCATGCAGCTTCTCAAAACACTTCCCATTGCTTTATTGTTTGCACGACCATTCATTCATGCAGCTCCTCTGCCTGATGGAATGCCCAATCCAACTCCAGGTCAGATCCGAGACATTGAGCTCAGAGCACACGGCACCCTGCCAAACACACCTCTTCCGAACAACATCAGCCAGGAGGGCATAGTCAATCTGCAATTGATTGCCTTCAATGAGCTTTTTGAGGTCGCTTTCTTCAACGACCTGCTCTTGAACGTTACGAACAATGTGCCTGGTTTCCAGATCCCCCAGGGAGCCCGGAGAGACATGGTCAACCGCAGTCTCACCGCGATTCTTGCTGTAAGCCTTCGTGATCTTGATGACCACGAGTATGATGATTGACATCCAATCCTAGCAAGAGGAACTGCACGCCCTGAGCGCCAATGATGCCCTTCAGCACTTCAATGTTTCGCCCATCTTGCCTTGCCAATATCACTTCCCCGTCTCCGACTTTGACCAGGCTATTGCACTAGCCGCGACATTCACCGATCTAGTGCTCGGGACCCTCCAAGATGTGGTGGAACGGTTTGCCGTGGGCGGGGACTTCAACTTCACCCGGATTATTTCGTCCGTCATTGGGAATGAGGGAGAGCAGGAGGGTTGGTTCCGGACACTGCAGAGCAAGATCCCCAGCGAGCTTCCGTTCCCTACCACTAGCAACGTCAACTTTGCATTCACTGCAGTCCAAGCCTTCGTCGTGCCGGGGAGCTGCCCCAATATAAACGAGATCCCGCTAAGAACCTTCCCGCCCTTGGCCATCCTGACACCACCTGCACCTACCACGCAGATCATCCGGGTTGCGTGGAACCGCACTCGAACGGATGTTCCAGTGCAGAATGTCTGGCTCACATACATCAACCAGTTGAACCTCCCGATTGTAGAGCCGATGAACATCATCTCTGCCGAGAGTCAGACCATCGTGGCCGAAGTGCTCTTCCCCTATGACGAACACCTGATGAATGGATTGACGATTGCCGCGGTGACCAACAGCAGTGGTCATTTTCCCAATGCCGATGCCGTCTCTCAGGCTACCGTGGCTGGACCGGGTTTGATTGTTGTCAATTGAGAGTGTCTTGTTGCAGCCTCAGGTTTATTGTTACTGCTCAACTGTACGTCTTAGTAGTAGTCTTATTCTTATCCTCCTCCTTGGATTAGGCTGTCCCGGGAATGCAAGGACATTTGTCGATGATGGATCACTGAGTACTTGGAATGCGGGTGGCTACAGAATCATTTGCTTCTGTGTGATTCTAGATGAGAGATGAGGGATGCAGGTATTATCATTCTGTTTGAGGTGGCCTCTCTATGAATGTTATTTCCTTCTTAACGAACTCCCTTGTCAAACATCCTCAAGCCTAGGTCTCTTATATGTGCTATTGAGATGGTTTCTTGGTATCTTCTGGTGACAAAATAGGGCATGTTGGTGAACCCAGTAGAGTATAGCAAGTGCATAAAAAAGATGGACATGCAATGTTTGACATTCCCTAGAACTCCTCTGACTCATTTGTAGGCTATGGTGTGTTACAAGCTGGTCTGCCCATTCTCGATCAAACTCCCATTATTGGGATGCACATGAGTCTTGACTACCGGCCGACCGTCGCGGTAATCATCGAGCAGGCTGTTGACTTTCCCAGCGTCGAGTCCGTCAATGACCGTATAGTCCAGCGGCTGGAGCTTTCCTGCCTCAATCCAGCCGGGTAGCTCCCTCCAGAACTGCGCAGCCAGCTCCTTGTGCACGTCACTGACTCCAAGAATCTGGTTCTTCTTAAAGCCCGCGCGTTTCCGGGCAGCGATTACCGGATCCGCCTCTCCGCGCACCAGCGTTGCCAACGACCCCTTCTTGGTGGTAGAGAGAAGCTCCAGCGCCAGCTGATGACTGGGCCCCCCCCCCGTACGCCCCATTGACGGGATCAAAGGCATACAGCAGGTCGTCTCCGACCAGCGCCCGGATCTGGTCTTCGACATCGGCGGCGTCCCGGTCAATGACGTGCGTGGCCCCGAGATCCCGGAGCGACCGCTCGCTGCCGTCGCGGATCTTGGCCGTGGTGATGATCTTCCCGAAGCCGGCCAGGCGCGCAAACTGGAGGGCGAATTTCCCGCAGTTGGAGCCGCCGCCGATGATGACGATCGCTTCGTGGCGGTAGTCGAACGCCGTCGCCGCCGTCGCCAACGGGCCCAGGAATGCAGGCGCCAGCTCCAGCCCGGACGCGTCGAATAGGGCGATGAAGCTCGCCATCGCGTTCACGGGGATCGTCGCCGCCTGGTCGAAGCTCAGAGCGGAGGGGATGGGCGCGGCGTACTCCGCGTCGAGGACGCAGAACTGTTGCAGTCCGGCTTGGTCTGCGCCGCCGGAGAGGATGTTGGACTGTCCGACAATCCTGTCGCCCACGGAGAACTTTTGCACGTCTGGTCCGATTTTCTCGACGATCCCGCCGATGTCGTTGGCGAGGATTGCGTGCGGCAGGTACTTGTCCACGAGGAGCCCTCGATCGCGACCCTGCCGGTAAGGTAATTAGCGGTTGAGGATATGAAGTAGGGGGGGGGGAGGTTTCATGGCCATCTTACTTTTTGGTCATGCGGGTTGACTATGGGTTGTTGTTCTTGTTAGCCTTCCTTCCTCCTCTCATACAACAGATCAATGCCAATCACACGCAAGGCAACGTACGTCCGGCAGTAACGATTTTTACAAGAACTTGATTCCCTTCCGGCCGAGGGATTGGTCGCCTTTCTAGCACCAGTGGCGCTTGAAGGGTTTTGAGGATCAAAGCTTGCTGTTGATTCATTGGAAAGCGAGAACACGGTTTGAATAGAGAGAATAGGAAAAGGCGATTCCAGCTGGGAAGAAGCATACTCTGAGATTGAGAGAACAAACTGATCCCATCCCATTATATATACATATATATATATACGTATATACTTGGATTGTTGGTTACAAATCAAATCCTCGGGCTAACGCTGACAGACACGCAGATCAGTAATCGTGATAGTCTGATGTCCCGCTAAGAGTCGTCTGTCGCCCAGTAGATGCCAGTCTACTGCCGATTTGCCATACTTGGATTATCAACAGAGGCTCATTATTTGTGGAGAGAGAGCATGACTGTAGGAGAGGGGTTGCTATTACACATAGCGAGTGGTTCTTGTGAGGTCTCGACGCCTGCATGACTGGGCTGCTTGACTGTCCCTTGGCATTGTCCATTATCAACTGGCCCTTAGGCCGGGAATATAAAAAAACATGTCTGGGCTGAAGCGCGAGACGAAGGTTCTCGGTGATACGTACATCTGATTTATAATTCGGAAAGTAACAAAGCAGCTAGCTGCCTTTCGCCGAGATGTGGAAGGGTTGGGACCGTCAGTCGCTACACGACGGTCCAACCGACAGGGCCAGATCTCAGAATACAGCAACTGTGAATATTGCATATATATGATACTGTAGGGGGCATATACTAGGCCGAGAGGTAGTGTCCCAGAGGTGGTGGATGGATGCCTGTTATTACGTGCTACAGTTAGATGCCTGCTAGTGCTACTATCTCGAGAAAGAATATTCACTCACAATATGATGATGATGATGATGATGAATGTGCATTGACGCCTATACAAAAATCAGAACCCAAAACAAACAGTCCTCAATATTCTACCACGCGATGTTCCTCCACTTCACCCTTCCCATAGCCCTATCCGCCTCCTCGTCCTCTCCCGCCGGAAAGCCCACATACACAGGCGACTGCAGCACCGTCCTATCGTTCCAATAATCCTCATCTTTCGCATCCTCGAGCTCCTCCTCGTCTTCATCGTCGTCGTCGTCGTCGCCGCCATCGTCTCTATCAGGAACAAAACCAGGGAAGGTGTCATACATAGGCGTCAGCAGCGCCGTGCGCGCAGGACAAGTCCGCCTCAATGACGCCCGGCTTGACTCCCTCGCCACGTCCTGTTCATCCTTCTGTGCCGTATTGGCCCGGAACGACGGGAGCAGGAGCTTGTCCAGCTGGCGCATGACGAAGGCGGCGCGGTCTTCTGTGTCGGCGCAGTCGGAGTCGGAGGCCGCGACGCTCTCGAAGTCGTCATCGTCGTCGTTTTCATCGTCCTCGAACTTAATCAATGGAGATATCATCTGGGGGGCTACCATGTCAGTATCGACGAGCTCGTAGTCATTGATTTCGGAGCCGTGGGCTGCACTGGTCTCACCGTGTGGGGTGTCGAGGTTCATGCCGTCGCGGCACAGTCCCTGGGGGTTGGCGCGTGCGGCCGGGAGAGAGGGCGGAGGGGGGATGTGCAGAGTCGGGAACCTGGGTTTCGGGGTGCTGGCAGCACTTGCCGTGGACTCCTTGTCAGAGTCGAGATTGAGAAAAGTGTGGTCGAAGGCCGGGCCCTGGGAGAGATGCATGGCCATCTGGGTGGTAAGGATGGGGCTCGGCAGACCGAGACCTTCGATGGGGCTGTGGGAGGGCCGTGGGCCGTGGAGGATGGCTTCGATGCCGTCCTTGAGGAGGCGCTGGTTCCAATCGCGCTCGCACTGGCCGCAGTAGACGGCGTTGGTGGTGTTGAGCAGGTCGTGGTGCTCGCGGACGTTGGTGCAGGACTTGGGGTCTGCGCCGGCCCAGGTGTCGGTGCGGAGGGCGTTGAGGAAGTAGACGCAGCTGTCGATGGTGAAGGAGCCGATGTGGCCGCAGTTAGGGTAGTGGTGGTAGGTGTATTTGCACATTGATAAAGATATATTGGGGATGTGGCAGTAGCAGTAGCAGTGGCAGTGGCAGTGGATGAGGGATGGAGGATGCAGGTACTCGGGTCGACATCGTCGGGGATATATATACCAGAGCGAGACTTGAGGGAGACAGCATGATCCAAGACAGTTGCAGAAGAATCCATTGTTGCAACGAGACAGTCTCAGATCGAGAAAACAACGACGTTGTCTTCCATGACATGGCTCTTTGTCCCCGGCCTTCGAGGATGATCCTATCCAACAATGCCCACAAAGACAGACACAAAACGACAATAAGATATACAGCACGCCCCAAGACACCAAACAGAGAAAACAAACAACTACCGAACCAGCTCTTTATCCTCCATCTCCTCCTCCTCCGGCCCAAACTCCCCCTCCAGATCCATCAGATACCGCACCCCGGAATCCAACAACCACCATGACATGGTCTCATGAAAGAACCGCACCATCCGGCTCTCCAGCGGCATCGGATCCGCCTGCTCAACAGGCCTCCACGTCACCGACTCCGTCGCAAAGACCACATCCTCACCCTCCTCCCAATACCGCAGCACCCAGCGGCCCTCGCAGCCGCCCGCGCCACCCACCGCGAACTCCACCCGATCCGGACTCCGGACGGCGACCCGGTAGATGCCGCAGATGAGGTCGCCTTCGGTGAAGTTCAGGGACCAGAGGTACGAGGTGCGGAAGGTGAAGCGGACGTCCGGCGCGCAGGTGGAGCGCAGCTTCCAGGCTTTGGGGAAGTGGGAGAAGACAGTGAGGTTGCGGCGGAGGAGGATGGTGAAGAGGAGCGGGATGTTATGGGAGGGAAGGAGCTGGCGGGAGACGGCGCGAGAGGCGTGGCAGTGGATGGAGAAGTATTTGCCGGTGAAGACGGGGGCTGGGATGGAGGTGAGAGAGGCAGAGAGGGAAGAGGCGAGGATGCCAGTGTGCAGGACGGGATGGGTGCGCGCGGCGAGGGCGCGGTGGTAGAAGGCGAAGTAGGCGGTGGTGAGGGTGAGAGATAGCACGAACAGGGAGAGCGTGGACATGATTGGATTCAGATGAGTTCTTACGCATTGCAGGGGGGGGTTGTCAAAGGAGGGTAAGGGTTGCATCTGGTGTTGCACGATTATCCTCTGGCGAGACTCGTCTGTCGATGATGATGTCGATGCGTTATAGATCCCCGTCAACTCTGGGTGGCCAATGATGGACAGTTCCAAGAGATTTTCCTTCTTACTAAGATGGCATCTTGTTGCTGGAAGGGTTCTTCCTATTCGATTGCCGTTTTGAGGCTGACAGCTGGAGCTTCGCCCAGCTCTGACTGACATTGCATTCTGACACCGGCCTGAGTCAGAGGCTCTCGTATCGGCCACTCTGATGTCTGTCCCCGTGGACAAAGATCTGACTAGAAGTGATCATGCTGAGCGGAATTGCTCTTGCTGCTGACTATAATTGCAGATTCCAGCTCAATCGACAAGTATATAACGCTCCCAACGATGCTGGAAAAACGCCAACACAACTCTCTCTCTCTGACTCATACCGAGCGAGATAAGACCGGAATCACCATGCAAAAAGCCCTTGTCCTCTCTGAAGTCGGCCAGCCTCTGGTCGAGGTCAACCGTCCCATTCCCCAACCAGGCCCGGGTGAGCTCCTCGTCAAGCTGACCTCTGTCGGACGTAGGTTCCCTCTTCCCCTTCCCCTTCCCCTCTACCTTACAACTACAAGTCTGCTAACAAATAGAAAACAAAGTGAACCCCCATGATCAGAAATCTCGCGACCGCGGCCTCTTCATCTCCAGCACACCCTACATCCCCGCGCACGATCTCGCCGGCGAGATCATCGCGCTTGGCCCGGGGCCCTCCCGCTTCACGCCGGGCCAACACATCTTCGCGCAGAGCCGGCTACCACTAAACGGAGCCCTCAACGACTTCAACGGCCTGCAGCAGTACGCGCTCGTGGACGCCAAGTATGCGGCGCCCGTGGCGGACACGCACCTCAGCGACGACGAAGCCGCCACGATGCCCGTCAACGCGGCGACGGGCTTCGTCGTCTTCTTCCACGCGAGCGGCTTCGGCCTCCCTCTCGACCACACCGTCGACCACTCGCGCAGCCAGCTCGTCGTCATCGGCGGCGCGACCAACTGCGGCCGGCTGGCGATTCAGCTCGCCCGCTGGCTGGGGTTCGGGGTGATTGTGGCGGTGGCGGGGCCCGGGGCGCACGACGAGCTGCGTGAGCTCGGGGCGACGCATGTGGTGGACCGGCATGCGGGGGACACGGAGGTGCTGGCGCGCGTGAAGGCGATCGTCGGCGATGAGCTGGTGTATGCGCTGGATGCGTTCAACTACGGGCCGCGGCAAGAGCTCGGGGTCGCGGTGTTGTCGGACTCGCGGCGCGGGACACTGGTGACGCTGGCGCCGGCGGTCGGGGAGATCGATGCGGCGCGCGTGGGGGAGAAGAGGGCGGGTTATGAACGGCGGTTCATCCGGGGGTCGTGTGCGGTGCATCCGGACGAGTTTACGGGGTTGTTCTGGGAGAGGATTGCCGGGTGGTTGAGGGAGGGCGTGCTGCGGCCAAGCACATATCGGGTGATTGACGGGTTGGATGCGGATGCGATCAATGCTGCGCTGGATGAGTATCGTGAGGGCAAGGGGATGAAGGTGCAGGTGCATCCGAATGTCAACGTGGAGTAGACACAAGGTAGTAGTATTTGATTATGATTATATTAGCTTAGCAGCCACTGCCTTCGTCTGATATGGATAGTTGAACAGTCTCACACACACACACACACATACATACACACCCCGTTTGTCCACACCGACACAGAATCATAACCGGAGGGGGGTATTCGTCGATGGACCGAGTAGAAGTCATTAAGATCAATCCCCGGGAAGAAAAAGCACGCACAAGGGAAAAGAGAAGAAGAAAAAAAAAGAAACAAAAGGCACGACTGGACTCGACTCGTATGCGTAACCCTCTCATCTCCCTTTCCTCCCCATCATCCCATCTATTCCACATCGTAGGATTTCTTTGCTGCTTTCCGTGCCATCCATTTCCGGTAGATGAAGAGAAAGACCAGTCCCATGGCCACGATGAAGACGATGCAGAAGACCAGGATCACGCCGGGGTTGTCTCCAGCCCAGTTTCTTCGTTTCGTGAGTTGGTGCGCGTCCGAGACGGGGAGGGAGATGGCGGCCATGATCTGTGTCTGTTAGATTTGCTCGTCTTTCTACTTGTTCTTCTTCTTCTTCTTTTCCTGCCTCCGGTGGCACAACTTACGAGAGCTGGATGGCTTGTCCTCGATACCACGAAAGAGCGAGTGGATGACAGTGGTTGGCAGTCACTGTCAGGTCAGCGTCAAGTCAAGAGGACAGGAGAAGGTTAGATGGCACGGAGGGGAGAAAGCATCCCAAGAGCCAAAGCATCGAATAGATAGCAGTATGGTGTTAGTGAGAATCGGGGAGCAGCGGAAATGCTCGACAGGGTGACGTGCGAGATTCCCGCGGATGCAACGTCGACACAGAGTCAAGAAGTCGAGCAGGAGGACGGATCACCATCGTTGCCGTCATCTGTTCGGTGGGATGGGACCGTGGAACGACAGGAACTCGAGTTAATTCGAGCCATTAAGTTGTGATTGTAGCTGGAGGGGGGCTGTACGCTGTAACCCTAAGTGATGAAGGCTATACCTACGCAGTACTCGAGATAGTCCTAGCTCCAGGTAAGCTATCGCCAAGCTGGACTCAACCGCACCCCACATCGTCTGTTGAATGGTGACAGCCGATAGTTAAGTAGCGAGCTAGTATTCGATCGAGTGTGCCTGTCAGTCCGATGTCAGTGCAACAGCGGTCATGGCCAGAGAAATGGGAACTATGGATCGGCCCCTCTACCCGTCTGCGTCACCACTTGGAGACTCCCGCTGGTTGCGAGGCAGGAGTATCCAGGAGTTCGTGTGAGGATACTCTTGATGTCATACATAGATAGTTTTCGATATATCAGGGATATACCCCGTATAGATGGTGTCAATCCTATGCTATAAAAGATAGGCAGGCACCCATTGAATCCTTCTGGAAGAGATATAAATAGGGAATCCCTGTAACCCCCCTCCGTCGATATTGCTGTTTGATAAGCTGTTCGTGTTCGAATTCAAAAAGATGGACTCGGCGCGCCAAGCATTGGCATGTTTCATTCCATCAGTAGGAAGAATGCACTCTTTGGGATATCAAGAATGAATGACCACGTAGTTATCCCTTGATGGAAGTGGAAGTAGTCTTTCACCAACATCCCTTGGCTATTGTATTGACCTCAGCCCTTGAGTCTATCCCACAGATGCAGTACTCAAGGCCAACTTGCCAAGAGACTCTTCTTTCCCACATTGGAATGATCTCCTTCGCCATCCCGCAAATGAAGCTAATCCTGCGCCGCGCCCAAGTCCTCGTATTCGGGACATCAATCACCAATCACTCCTGCTCAGCCTGTATCCAGTCGACGTTGATCGGCTCGTCGTGTGGTCCAAAATGGAAATGACAGTCTCAGACCCGCTGTGAACATGTGCCTGCCTCGACTCTCGGATCAGCATCTCCCCTGGATGCAGTAAGGATCACCTACAGCCTCAGAAGCCTCTGCCGAGTACGAAAACCCCATCTGGCTCGCGGAACCACCCTGGTCTTCATCTATTTGCAATACGAGATTGTCTTCCTAGCGTCGTGCGGTTCCTATCCAAGCGGCCAAGTCGCAGAATCATTTAAACATGCCGCTCCCCACCTGTGCCTGAGCGTTCTCAGTCTCATCAGTCTCAGCGACTTGCCCCCCAGACACGCGACGAACGGGTTCAAGTGTCTCACTCTCAGCATGACACGCCTATCCACGCTCTCGCTGGCCCTGAGTGCCCTCGCCTGGACCCCGTTATCCACCGCATGGACCCTCACTTGGCGCAATTCGACCAAGGGCGCGACTGTCGTCCACGAAACCGGCAGCCAGAACTGCACGCAGATCTGGCACCAGAAAGGACAACAGTTCTCCTGGGACCCGGAGGGCGAATGGTGTCTGCATTTCTACAAGGACGTCGCTTGCACCACCGTCGGCGGATGGTCCTGTGACGGCCGGATCTGGCGCAAGGACGCCAGTCGCGACCTGCCCGCCTACGACGTCTATGCCATGCCCCCAGACTCGGTCAGCGTCAACTTTCCGTCCACATCCACGACTTCCTCGAGCACAACATCCTCAGCAGTCACGACGACCACCACCACCTCCTCCTCCTCAAGGACCACTACTACAACCCCCGCCTCCACCACCGCAACAGCGACACCCATCTCCCCCGCCACAACCGAAACCCCCAAGAGCACGAACACGGCCCTCTCCGGCGGCGCCATCGCCGGCATCGTGGTCGGCGCCGTCGCGGCCATCGCCATCCTCGCCGCGCTCTTCTTCTGCCTCGGCCGTCGCAACCGCCGCGCCAAACGGGCCGACGACCCTGCTCCGGCCTCCGCCTCCGCCTCCGCGCCTGCAACCACCCAGCTCCTACTCCCCGGCTCCCCGCTGGGGTTGGGCTCGGCGCCGGCGTACACATACCCGGCGGATAAAATGGAACTCGCGGAGACGGAGATCCCGCACGCGCACGGGCGGCGGCCGTATCCGGGCTCGCGGTTCGTCGAGTTAGCCGGGGACGGGCCCGGGGCGGAATTGAGCAATAGTCGGCAGGTGCAGGAGCTGGATGGGTCGAGTGATATCAAGCGACCTTTGTATTAAAGAGGATGGGATGGGTTGGGGGGGTTATGGTGTGTGGTTTTCATTTCTTTCTGGGGGGGAAGGGGGGGTTTGTATATATTGAGCGATTATGCATTTAATGATACCTAGGTTGGGAGTCTGATATGTTCAAATGATATTGACAAATTATGAAGTTATACTGATTGATATATCGCCCATCGCAGGGCCAACCAAGCATTGGAAGGAAAACAGGACATCGTATATCATCATTCGATCTGGTCTGATCGGATCTGAACTCTGAACTGGTATCATTGGTATCACAAAGAAACACAATCACAATCACAAGCACAAGCAATAGCAATACCATCAACCTCCTACGACGCTTTCCTCGCCGCCGCAGTATGCACTTCCACCCGTCCACTATTATGCCACGTCGCCAGCATCGCCCCGCACTTCCCACAGAAGTGGTTCACGTCCTTCAGCGACGACATCAGGTACGGGAGACACCCGAGACAGAAGCAGCAGCACAGCACGGCCGCCCATCCACTACGCCCGGAGGCAGTTACTGTTAGTCCCAGAACCCGAACCCATATTCGTTGTCAAACCCCCCGCGTTCTCCATCGCCGCCAACTTGGAACTTGAAAACTTGGAACAAAAGAAACTGGCCGAGCAAACGTACTGCGTGGTATTCCCCGCCTCCGGCTCTGTCCTCGTCATCTCCCGCTGTCCGCACACCGGACAGTCGACCGGCGTCGGGCCTCGTTGCAGCGACGCCAGCGGGACCGCCATGGTGTATCCGCTGGGATTGGCAGCTGCGGCGCCGGGCTGCGGCGTGAAGGCTTCTGGGACGGTGCTCTGGGCGAGGGGACTGGCGGGGTGCGGCGAGTAGGTGTTTTGGGGCGCAACTGGGGTCGGGGTGTGTGCCTCGGGGAACTCCGAGTAGGCGGGCGCGGGAGCTTGTGCGCTTGCAGCTGGATTGTGGGGGAGAGTATTGTGTTAGTTGGTGGAGGGGTGGGTGGTTTAGGTATCGGGGCTGGGGACGTACTCGGGGCGATCTTGTCGTTGTCCATGGTGGGATCGGGGGGATGCGAGAGGATGCGAGAGGAGTAGGGGAAAGTGATAGGTTTGGCTGTGATTGTGATTGGAACTGGAACTGGAACTGGATTTGAAAAAATAGTACAGGGAAGTATAGACCTTCTTTATATACACCCTCCTACTCCCGACCTATCTAGCCTTGTCTCTATTCTGTTTCCATGCTCTCACTCACAGCCCCGGTCCACAACGAAATCAACCAACCCTCTGTTCCGCCTTGTGTAACTCTAAATGCAAATGATAGACCATGTTTGCCCAATAATGAGCAACCGGTCAAGGCACACAACCCAGAAGGCACCGAAGAGCCGCCAATCGCCTTCTCAACTCCACTTAATACGAGCTCCGAAGAGGGAAGAAAAAGCCATCCCTTGGGTCCTTTCGAGGCACATAACCTAAACAGCGGGCGCATTCATGGGTCCCAATGGTAGATCGCATGGTGGCAGTGGTGCTAGCTGCACGGGTCCAAGTGATCGGCAAGGCTGTGTTTGGCCCGGGGCCACGGAGTGGAGGAATGTTGCATACTCACCACTCGGCTAAAAGACGTTCAGCCATCACTGCCAAGCTGATATACCTATTGACGAGGAAACCCGAGACACAGCGAAGGGTACTGGTGGGGGGTGATCTTCAATCTGTCCTTGGCGGATATACTGCGGACATACTCCGAGAAGATTGAGCCTTGTCTTTGAGTTGAGTAGACAGTTGGTTGATGCCAACAACCGTATATATCACTACCAGTTAGGAAGTGATGGCTGGACGCCTTTTTAGTTAGATTGGATGTTTCATGACAGTAGACTATACCTGGGGTTGCCTTGGACCTCAGGCGAGCCTTGATGTCATGTGACTCAGCGCGAGAGTCACGGTGTTTGATGAGTCAGCATTGGGAGTCAGTATAATCTCACGTGACTAGGATGTATACCAACAACCGACGATGGCAACTGACGACTCGAACAGACCCCTCGCTAGACTGCTGCAGTCTTATCAGACAGTTTAGCTTGCATTTTCTGATACAAGCAGTCCACAAGATAGTACCTGAAATATGTCTCCAAGCGCCGAATGCTCTCCTCTTCTCCAGCATCTCAACCAAGGATCTTCCCAAGCTCAGGCTTCACCATATTAGATTCGTCTGTCAAACTCGAGCAAGATGCCCTTCCAGATTATCTGAAGGAGCGATGACCATCGAGTCCAGCTTGGCGAGGCCTTCAATTCCCGCTATCAAGTGCTCACCAAACTGGGGTTCGGCACAAGATCCACAAGAATATCCATTCCAGTAGCCATCGGGAATCATTCCGAGCGTCTATCAAGCTCCGGAGGTAATTTTCGGCATGGACTGCAATCCTACTTAAGCCCCCCCTCTAACCATTGTGTCAACTTCATAGCAAATAGGCACGTATTGTCTACATCTCCGACTCGCGCGTCGACCTTGAAAGTCCACATACCACTCCTCAAAAACATTGTAGGAATCTGGAAATCTAGTGAAATATCACTGCGGCCGCTACTAGGCAGGTAGTCCACCTGAACTCCACCGGCATTACGAATAGTGAGGTGGGCTAGATCATTAAAGGGCGTAGTCTTCAATGGCCCTGTAGTGGAGTCTTCGTTGTCGTGACTCCCATCCGGGTAGACAGTAGAGGCGCTCACTTTGAGGGTCGCATTGATGAGGCCCTCGTCGGGCAGCGCCAGCTCCTTCTTTTTAGATTCAGGTAGATAACCGCGTAGGTAGACAAAGAAGACACGGTCACTTCATCAGGATGTTAACGTCAAAATGTTATAATCAAGATTAAGCTGTACCTTTAAGGAGAGGGGAGATCTGACGCGATAATGGGTGTCGGGGCAATCTCTAGGAACTGGATTCTGAATATCTGGTCATCCTGAGGCACGGTGTCGTAGATGGCATCGTTGTGGCCGGGGACTCTGTTGTCTTGTTGAGCCATAATGTCCTCGCCGACGAGCAATTCTTGCTGCGTGGGGTTGGTCTTGGCAAGAGCAGCGAGTGCAGCGGTGCAAAGAGACAAGATTTGTGGGAGAATTGATTTCATCGCGTGGCAGCAGTTGCGGATTAGATTTTGAGACAGCTCAGGGTGAGTGAACAATGAGGGTATATATATATATATATATTTCATCTAAGATGGCCTTCTTATAAAGGTACCCCTGTCTTAGAAAGTGTTGTAAAGGTGAGAGCAACTAGTTAGAAGCCTTGAGATGTCGTTAAGCTTCAGAAGATAAGGACCCAGATTGAGCATATGCCATCCCACACCAAACGGAAAAGATTGTACCACCAGAGATTGTCACACAAATAATCTGAGATTGTGGAAGCTGTGCACAGCAGATTCCCCGCACGAGATCAGACTGGGATCCCAGAGGAAATCACCATCTGCCTCGTAATCGTGATCATCGATGGTGTGGCGAGCAGAGAGGAAGTCTATCGTATCTACCTTTCTGATAAATCCTGGCAATACGGGTTATTCCACTTGACAACCGCCTCTCCCTACCGCTGAGATGAAGTTCCCTTGGCTGCTCCTGGTGAAGGGGGCTGCTTCTGTTGCCGCTCAAAAGCCCCTTGCTACTTCAGGCAGCGGCCAAGTTCTCGGGACCTTTAACCTTGAGGACATCATCAATGCATCGCCATTGCTATCATTCCACCGCGACATCGTCAAGATCCCATCCACAACCGACAATGAATATGAAGTCGGCCAGTTCATCGGTGACTTTTTGGAGCAAAAGCATTTCACGGTAGAGAAGCAGTCCATCTCAGACTCTCGATTCAATGTTTATGCTTATCAAGGCAACAACTCACTGCCGGATATTCTCGTCACATCACACATCGACACCGTGCCGCCTTTCTTGCCGTACAATCTCGACTATCCGATTCTGGGTGGTGGACATGAATTTGATCGTCAATCCGTTCTCATTGCAGGACGTGGTACGGTCGACGCAAAGGGAAGTGTAGCAGCACAGATATTTGCAGTGCTCGAGATATTGGAAGAGAAGCCGGACGCCTCAATCGGTCTGCTCTTCGTTGTCGGCGAAGAAAAGGGGGGTATTGGCATGGAAACATTCTCCAAGTCGGAATAGAAACCCGTCACCTTCCTCGTTTCACACGGTCATTTTTGGAGAACCTACTGGTTTGAATTTGGTCTCTGGTCATAAGGGCGTTATCGGATTCAACATCAAAGCAACTGGGAGAGCCGCACACTCGGGGTATCCTTGGCTAGGAAAGAACGCGATTTCCGCACTTTTGCCAGTTGCATCGTTCACCGAACGGCTGGGGGAGATTCCGTTTCAAGACGGCGGCTTGCCCAGCAGCCTCAAGTATGGCAACTCCACCGTCAACCTGGGTGTTATACAGGGCGGCGTTGCGGTCAATGTGGTCCCGGACTCAGCAGAGGCCATATTCTCGGTCAGAGTTGCTGCAGGAACACCAGATGAGTCCAAGAGTATCATCACACGTGAGGTGAACAAATTCACAAAGAACGATCCCAATATTGAGGTCGCCTTCTACCCCGGAGGGCTGTCACCAACGGACCTTGACACAGATGTGGAAGGCTTCGATATCATCACCGTCAACTACGGCACAGACGTCCCCAAGCTCGCCATACATGGCGGAGGAGATAGGGTCGTCAAGCGGTATTTGTATGGTCCAGGCAGCATCCTGGTTGCTCATGGCGAAGATGAAGCACTGACAGTAGGCGACTTGGAGGGAGCTGTCCAAGGGTATCGGGTCCTGATAGAAAAAGCCTTGTCGAGGGATGTGTAGGGTAAAGTTCGACTCTTGCAGTTGAAATCGTGTATCTACTCCTGCAGAATGATATCTGATTAGCTTCATCGGCACAAAGTTTGAGGTTATGGAAGGAAATCCCACTCCCCTTTGAGAGCGACGTGAGCGTGCGAGTAGTGAAGAAAGCAAGAAAAACATCTTCTGTGCGTCCTTCTGAGAATATCCTCATTACTGCCTCAGGCACTCCTGGGTCAGGTGCACTTGCCTCTCTGCCCCCTTTTGACCTTCTTCTCTTCTCCTTTCTCCCATCGGTCATAGCAATCTTCCTTGATCATCACATATTTCAGCTCGTTCGTCGCCTTGGTGAATCCGGTTTTCATTCTCAAGGTGACTCTTTATCTCGTAATCTGGCCTTTATCCACGCTGCTCGACCGTCAACTGCTCCACGGTGTTCTTCAAAGAGCTAAGACAATATCGAAGAAACACGGCTGAGAAACTGGACTCCTCTGTCAAGTGGTTTCCCTCAGGAACGGGACTGGAAATGTTCACAATATCTGGCAAGCCTTGCAACACATCAGGGGTTAACCTACGCCAACTAACCATGTCTCGTGATGTCTAGAGAATCTTTCGACCTGGACCAATACCAATCAGGAAGTGATGTCTGGACACCTTTTTGGCTGGGTGAGATATTGAACGCACTCGTCTTTCATCCCGGTCGAAACTCAACTCGAACGTGTCTACCCGATCATCGAAAAGATGCCATGGAATTTTGGACTTGCTTACAGCGTCGACAGCTTTTGAATGCGTACCCCTACGCATCGAAAGCTACGGCACTTTGAATCCTAGGGTGCCTGCCCTGCTGATCCAAACATGAATGCCACTACTATTGTTGCCTTTTTATACCTGGGGTTACTGGCGAGGGTTTTCATTCTTATTTCCATGACCTTTATACGACTGGGAGGACAGTATTTCAACGATTATCTCGTGGACAAAATGTCAAAATAAGACCGCATCATTTTTTCAACTCGCTACCCTACCCTCTACATGCCTTGCTTGTCTCAGTCGGGGGCTTGACAAATTGTCGGTTCCTGAAGAGTATCTAGTGGTGCCACCTGAGGACCTAGCATATATGAAATGATACCATTTATGCTTGTGTTCTAAGGGGAACTCAAAGGGAACATGTCCCTCTTTCGCCCGTTTCCATAAGCTTGGTAGTGGAGTTATTTTCGAAGGCATCATCAAATAACTCGCTTGCATTCTCATACTTTTACCTTCAAGCTATATCCATCACGGCCTATACAAGTGTCAGTAGGCTCATGGCTTCCTAAGCTATGCCGGAATCATCTTCGGGGAAGGACAAATCAACACTAAGCAACATTTACATTTAAGTTTCACAATAGCGCACCCTATCTAAGCTATATTGTCGCTAATAATCGTTCACTAAGCTAAGCTTTTAGTGGTGTCCGACTCTGCTCTAGATACTAGCACGAGGCGACACATCAATAAGCCACGGAGATGCCCTAAAGGGAAGAAATAAGCGGATGGCACGTTTGTTTCAAGACAATTAGCCTTATTACCCTCACTAACTACTCCCTATCGGCTCCTAGTCCCCAGCACGAGGAAGTGAGACATGAGAGAATATGTACCCCGTATTCGGGCATGGACCGTAGCTTGTGGAGGCGAAGCCAAGTCAGACGATCCAAGCATTTCTCTCCTCTAAGGTTCTTTATCCTTAGTGCTTCGCCCCGCTCTCCTCCTGTCCCTCGGCGACATCCATTCATCAAGCATTATAAGAACACCCAGCCTTCCAAGAAGCTAAACACCCCGCTCCTTCAAACCAACACAACACTTCGCAATGGAAGACCCCAACGCATGGGCCATATACTCCTCCGATAAACAGCGCACACGGCGCGGATGGCAGTCCATCGCAGCCAGCCTCGGCCGCCAGTTGTCCACCACCCCACAACATCTCTCGAGGGTCCTGTATGTCCCCCGGCACGACAATACCACCTCGCATCTCCCCTTGTACGATGTCAGCGCGCAGTATACCGAGGCTGTCGGCGATACGCCCATCGGGTCCAGCAAGTACACCGTCTCCCTGGGGATGATGAACCGGCCCAAGGGCGACGGCACGGACAGTATCCCCGTGGCGTATATCGTTAACTTCAGCTCTGGAGGTGGTCAGGCTGTGACGGGGACGGTGGAGTATCGGGGATCGCCAGATGGCACAGGCGGCGCCGAGGTAGAATTGTATGTTTTCTGGTCATGCAGTGACGGTCTAGCCTAAGCTAATCGATGAAGCACAATGCGCACCACCGACGACGAAGCGTGTTCTATCAAGTCAAAGGGTGAAAATGTACAGTCAGAGCCAGTGGCAGTGGGCCTCTCGTATCCCATCCCGCCTTCTCAGACCAAAGTCGGAACGATCAAGCATCCTTATTTCCACTTTACTTTGCCATCTGAGGCCCAGGCAGCGCAGTTTGCCTGGCAGATCCATCCCGTCGAGCAGGGACCGCTGCGCTACACTCTAGTTCGCATGCCGGTTGCATCCGCAGAAGGAGAGAACCCTGAGCCTCAGGCAGAGATCCAAGCTATCTATCATCATATCGGGCTCGGTGTGTCGCTTTCACAGTCCCATAGCGAGGGTATTTTACTATTGCCACCATCGACGGATCCCAAGACAGAGGCTATGATAGTGGCCAGTGCTTTGGGGATGCTCTGGCGAATGCGTGGGCTGGATGGAGGCAAGGGGAATAAAGGAGAGACAGCCCCGGTAATCAAGAAGAGTCGGTTCGGGTCGGTTAAGAAATTGCTCAAGGGCAAGAACTAAACTTGCACCCGCTCGTCACATAATCTAGAGAATGGATTCAGGATAATGGTACTATCTGAGGAACATCGGCCACTCCTGGATTGTGTCTGGGATCGGCGGCAAATCTATACATAATTCCACCCCTGTGTTCTGGAACTTGCGCCGTAAGCTCTCCTGGTTCCTCACCCACTGTACCGCATCGCCCCAAAACGTCTGGAGATGCTGCGACTGCGTGATGGATATCTTGCGCAGGTTGGGATACCGCTGGCGCGCGCCCTCCTGCGCTAGCAGGCGCACCGCCTCCAGGAATGGTCCGCTCGGATCGCACAGGGTAATTTCCTTGACGGTCGAAGGAAATAATTGGTGAACAAATTCCTCCATGTCGTGGTTGTGATCCCGCCGCACCCAGGTCTGGTAGATCACCGCCAGCGCGATGCCATTGACGGCGAGCACCTCCAGCTTCGTAAACTCATTGAGCGTCGACAGGCAATCCGCGATGACGCGCCCTTCTGGCTCCTCATTGATAGACTCAAATGTGAGCTCGCGGAGGGAGTCTCGCGCCTGCCTCAGGGCTTTCCACACGTCCATCGGCGACCAGTCGTCAGAGGGCTCACCGTATCCGTCTGCGCCGATCCAGTACAGAACAAACTTCTCCAGACGCGGACACACAGACAGGATACGCTGGAGGAAATACGGCGTCGCCGCATTCTCGTCCAAATCCAGGAGCGTCAGCATCTCGAGAGGCGGCAGCCCATGCGTGTCCTCGTAGAACGAGTCGAGGGTGGGCAGGGTCAGCTGCTCGAGGTTCGGCGCCGCGCTCAGCAAGGGCTCGATCTGGCCGTACGGCACGGCCCAGTGGTCTCCGCTGATATAAAAATGAGACACACGCAGCTTCCGCAGCTTGTCGAGCACGATCGGCTTCGACACACAAGGGAAGGACTCCACCACGTCGAGCATCCATTCCGGGTTCACGGGGATCTCGAGCGTCTCGAGGTTCGGACAGCTTGCAATGATGACTTCCATAGGGATATGGCTCCTGTTCTCGACGACGTGGTCGTGCCAGTCGTCGGGCAGCGCGGGGAGGCCGAGACGGGCTAGACAGTCTTCGACCATGGCTCGGTCGTCCTCGCCTAGCTTGTCGTATCGGCATGATTCGTGGAATCCGAGACTTGTCACACACTCTGTCAGATCAGGGCGGGTGTACAGGGCTCGGAGAAAAGAGAGGAGACGGGCAGCAGGCTCGCTGGTGTGGTAGTAGTGGTGGAAGAGATAGGGCTGCAGGATGTCTCGCAGTCCTCGACATGTCCGAGTCAGCCGGGAGAGGGATTTCGTCTGGCAAACTGTGGGATATGGGCCGCTACAATGGGGACAAAGGTATTTACTTATTTGCAGAAGAAGTTCAACGGGAAGGGTGGGCAGGTTAGCCATGTTGGACGACGGTGTTGGAAACGAGGATTGGGATATATGGGTGGTGAGTATATTTGTAGGCGTCTACGGGCTCCCGTCTTGCAGCAGTCAGAATAGGCATCCATAGCGGCTCGTCGGTTGATGTTATAATTGGAGGCTTAAATTGCCGTGGAGGAAGACTAGCGAGGCTGTTCGTATTCATTTCCGTGCTATTCTTGTGATCTGCCGTGCTGATGTGGACAATTTAGCCGATGAAGCTTCACCGGGAACAGCACGCCAACTGGTTCGAAGGTCGACAAATTAACTGAATATCTCGCATCTACACAAATACCGAGTATGCCTGTTCTATTTATCTAAACCAAGGCAATGCCGGTATACGACCGGTTCTCATCCTCACGCAGCTTCACCTTGTTTTTCCCATCCGCATCTGTGCGATATACACTGCCCAGCAGATCCGTCAGGTAAATATGCCCGCGCTCCAGGTCCAGCTTCAACCCAATCGCCTCGTTCAGCTTGCGGGTAAGGATTTCATATCCCAGAGCACCCTTTCGTACCGCCGCGGCCCCGTCTTCAGCCAGCACCACCCGGTTCAGCGAGTTTCCAAATGGAATGTCTCCCCGATCCGTCCAGTACAGCGTGCGCGATGCCTCGTCGATCTCGAGATCAATCGGCTCCGGGAGACGGTCCAGCACACACGTAATATCTTCTCTCGTGGTCGCTGTCTTTCCCTCAGGGGTGTTGATGTCCGCGCAGAAGATGCGGCCCTTGCCGCTCTTGGACGGGCCCTTCTGCGTCCAGTAGAACTTGCCCAGGCTAGGCGCGACGGCGATCCCGACACACCATCTCGTGCTGTTCTCCTGGTGCTCGAAGTCCCGGTGATCACCCCTCTGGATCAGGACTTCGAGGTCGCTTCCGTCGTAGTTGCAGCGGAAGACGCGCAGGCCTTCCCGGTCGCTGAAGTAGATCTTGTGGGTGGAGGGCTCGAGGGCCAGTTGCTTGGGGGTGTTGGTGGCGCCGGGTGGAACGACGGTCGTGATATCCGAGCCGTCCAGATTAGCCGAGTAGACGGCGCCGTCGTCCTTGCCGGAGAGGCCCATGTTCGTCCAGAACATGCGCTGGTGCTCGAAGTCAACCGATAGGCCGTCCGGCAAGGCCTGGTCGCGGACGAGCACGCGCTGCAGTTTGCCGTCGGCGGAGAGCTCGAGGATCTGGCCCGCGTGAAAGCTGGGCGGGTCAGTGGAGAGACCGATGTCAAGGACGATGATTTTGGGCTGTTGGGCGGCCGCAGCGGCGGGCGTAGCGGTTGGCGGGGGGTAGAGGCCGCCATGGGCACACTTGTTGCCTAGCTTCCCCGGGGCGAGGTAGTTCTGTTTCAGAAAGTCGACGGTTTTCTCTGAAGACAGGCCGCGCTCGGCGATGTAGTGGTTCTCGATGAAAGCAACGGTGTCCAGACCGACGTTGTCCATCGTCCTGCAGGGCAGCGCCCCGCCCTTGACGAACATCTCCTGCCACATCGAGTCGATCTCCTCAGGGACAGACACCTCCTCGGCCAGGATGGTGAGCACCTCGCGCTTGACAGCCGCCCAGAGCCGGTTGAAGATGAAGCCCGTCGACTCCTTGCGGGCCACATACGGGTTGGTCGCGCCCTCGCGGCACCGCTCTGCCAGGAACGGGAAGATGGCAGGCTCGGTGAAGCCGTCGGTCATGAGCTCGACGATCATGCACACGGGCGGCATGTAGTAGTGCATATTCAGGATGCGGGGCCGCGTCGCAGGGGCCACCTTCTCGAGCATCTCGGAGGATTTGTACGAGGACGAGTTCGAGGCGAGGATGCAGTCGGATGGCGCGAGGGCGTCCAGCTCAGCGAAGGCGTCGATCTTGATCTGGAGCTTCTCGGGGACGGCCTCGATGACCAGCCATGCGTTGTCCACGGCGGCCTTTAGGTTCTCGAATGTCTGCACGGTGCCGGGCTGCTGGCCGGTCTTTTGTGCGTATGAGATGACGTTCGCGTCGACGTAGGTCAGGCAGTCTGCGCGCTGCTGGGGGCTAGGATCGCGGACTTGGACATTGTAACCTGCTGAGGCCCAGATACATGCTGCAAGGGTATCGTTAGCTTGACTTCGTGAGACTCGGCGTCTTGGATCCATACCAATACGGCGGCCAAGCACACCCGCGCCGAGAATGGCGACGGGACGCTGGCGGTAGTCTCTTGGGGGCTGCCACGATTGATACATTGTAGTAGTTTAGTAGGGTTTGAACTGATGACGATGTAGGAGTAGGACGAGAGACCTGGCAGACCCCAGTATATATAAGCCATTCGATGATATGTACGCAGGTGTCATCGCCAGTATATCCAACGAATACATCGGCATCAACCGATGCCTAGGCGGCCCCGGTAGTCGCTAGCATGCTGTGTATCAGCCATTACTCAACATCCGGATGTCTTCCTGGCCCGAGAGATCGACGATCGACGCATAGACGGCTGCTACATACATATCACCCGTTTCGATTGGCCACTTCAGGTAGAGATAGTAAGCTTTCATCCTTAGCAATTCCTCGGTTTGATAGACATTCCGATTGGCAGAACTGCCGCGGCTCGGCATACCGTGGAAGTGTCGCCTCAGAGCCACAAAGCTTGACGAGGCGTAGAGCAGCCGGGTGTCTGAGCCATATGCTGACTCTCGGTAGAGGAGGATGAGGCATGTTTGCTTTGAGAGTATTGGCCCGATAAAGAGGAGCTGGATGCCGGTTTTCCAGTCTGCTTGTTGTGAATATACGCCGATCTCTTGACTGAGTCGACAGCAGTCTCGAGTCACGAACTGGGATTTGAAGTTCAAGAACGATAGAATATTGCTACTATTAGAGGGTTAGGTGGGTTTACTAGGAGGCAAGGCATATACGTAGTACCTGGAATAGAAGGCAGTGACGGCTGAAAGAATAGCAGGGTAGGCCAAGTGGGAACAGCATCATTCCAGCGAACTAGGTAAAGGATTCTAAATGCTTGCTCAGGAACCACTGGCTAAGCCTGAGCAAGAATGTGATTTTCTGGTAGTTGGATTCAATGCCAAAAAAGCTTCAAAGAACACGTATCAAACGCTTAACGTAGAACGATCGACCACTTCCACCCAGTCCATAATACAAAACTCGCATATCACAACAACACTAGAAACAGAATATCCGATCTCCCACCTTCGCAACCGCCCCGGGCATCTCAAAGCCCAACCCCCCCAGCCCCTTCTTCGCCGCATTCACCATCCCCGGCGGACCACACAGCATGATCTTAGTATCCGCCGCCGACTTGGGCAGATACGCCTCCATGATCTGCGGCGTGACATATCCCTTCCCATACTTCCACCCCTTCGGCGGGTTATCCAGCATATAATACACGCGGAACTGCTTCGGATACTTCCTCGCAAAGGCTTCCAGCTCCACGCGCAGCAGGATGTCCTCCTCGCCGCGGTTCGCATACACGAGGCTGATCTCCGTGGTGTCGGTGTCGCCCTCGCAGATCGCGCGGATGAGCTGGTACATGGGTGTGATGCCTGTGCCGCCGGCGATCATGCCGATGCGTTTGCACATGTTGGGCTTGTACTTCATGGCGCCCTTGGGCCCGCGGAAGAGGACTTCCTCCCCGACTTGCAGGTTGGCCAGGTACTGGCCCGTCAATAGGCCGTCTGGGTAGCATTTGATGACGAGCTCGAGGCGGCCACGGTCGAGGTTGTTGGAGGTCGGGGTGTAGGAGCGGGAGACGGTTTGGCCGTTCACGATGGCCTTGATTGCGACGTGCTGGCCGATGGGGAGGCCGATGATGTCGGTGGCGTTGGGGAGCTGGAACACGAAGCGGTAGACGTTCGGGGCGAGGACGTCCTTTTGGACCAGGGGGAGGGTCTTGTAGTCCTTGGGGACGAGGAAACCGGGGATGTTGTGGGGATCGGGCTTGGGCAGGCGGCGCGATTTCATGTGCGGAGGGTATTTGGCAAAGCCGGAGTCGATCTGCGTGAGCTTGGAGAGCTGCACGGCGGCGATGGTGCCGATGGTGGCGGAGATGAGCGCCGCGGCTGCGAAGCCGTTGACGAAGCCACCGTGGGGGAGACGGAGGTTGGTGATGGCGGCGGGGAGGAGATGCGTGCCTCGGGGTAGGCGAGCGAAGGCCTCGCGGATTGTGTTTTGGGGCTGCAACGAGCCGTTACGGGGACGCAGGCAATATAGCAGGCTCAAGAGACCGGCGGCTGACCCAGTGGTGACCACCGCGCGCGTCCTAGAACTCGACTTTGCTGCTGTTGCAACAACTGGTGGAGGAACGGCCTGGATGACGCGCACGGCGGCCTTGCGCACGAACTGCTGTGCATCCTTGACTGTGCCGATGAGATACGTCTGCATGATTTCGTCCGCATCTTCGGAGTGTCCGACATCTTCGTATGCGGCAGTGGCATCGGTTCCAGCAACGTCGATCAGAACATCAGCGCCGCCGGGATGGTCTCGGAGGTATTGGGTGAGGTCGTAGACTATCCAGGAGGGTCAGTCCGCAGCCACGTATGGCAGTCGATAGCAAGGAAACCTACCCTTTCCGTGGATGATAACCCACAGGTCATCACGCGACTTATGCAGTGCCACGTCTTCAACGGTGAACTCTGGCATGGCTGATTCTCTTGCTGATACTCCGTAGAAGGCTGCAAAATCAAGGGCTTGAGCATTCCAAGCAGTCGAGGATCATCTCGAGGTGATATATACCATCTGTCCATATTGGGCGAGACAGTGCAGATCAGTAAGGGATGTCTTTACCTCGGGATAGTGGCCAATCGGCATGAGGCCATTGCCATCAGACCCCGTCCGCGGCTATCCAGTCCAAGTATAGCCACTCAACAAGTCAGCAGTGGGCTATTTTTGTGCCAGTCGGTGCAAATGCAGTATATAATTCTAGACCAGACACTTGCCTTGCTCCTAGTATCAGCACTTTAGACCTCATACGCTACCAGTCAAGATGCCGACACAACAGTTCTACCTGTCCGGAGAGCCCATCTCCTCTGCCAGGACAATCGAGCTCGATGGGATGCAGAGCCTGGATGACCTCCGGAATCTGATCGCTGCTCACTTTGCCATTGTCGAGCCCAGCGGTAGGTCTGCTCCTCCGAAGCCGCCGCAGACACCGCTAACCCAAAGCATCTAGGCATCGACTTCCAAGGACGAGACACCTGCCTCACAGACATCCCCGAGATCACCTCCTCGGCCTCCCCCGTGGCCATCACCGTCGATGGCCATGCCGTGCGTGACGTGCCCTCTCCCGCCCCGCTACCCCTGGTCGGCAACTTCTTCCAAGTCTTCCCAGACCATCTGGGCAACCACCAGCGTCTCTTCGAGCAGTTCGGCCCGCTGATCAAGACCACCACGCTCGGCCGCACCGTCTACCAGACCAACGACCCGGCCATATCCGCCATCGTGCTCAACGAGAGCGACTTCTTCACCAAGAAGATCAACGAGGCCCACCCGCTGTACTCGCTGCGGACGCCCGTGGCGGGGATCTTCCTCGGCGACACCGACACGCCCGAGTGGCGCGTCGCGCACAAGTTCATCCCGCCGGCGCTGGGGCCCAAGGCAGTGCGCCACTATGCGCCCACCATGCAGAAGACGGTCGAGGATGCGTGTCAGGTGTTTGATGAGCTGGATGAGCGCGGCGAGGCGTGGAACGTGTATCAGTTCATGCTCAAGCTGGGCTCGCAGGCCGTGGGCAAGCTGACGCTGGGACTGGACTTTCAGCATTTCACGGACGTGGACGCCCCGATCCATGAGATGGTGCATGCGATTGCGGAGGTGCTGAGTCTCAACAAGAAGGTCACCTCCAAGGGCGACTGGTATGCGAACCTGCCATTTGGGGATCCCAAGCGGTTGAAGATGCTTAAGGCGCGCATCGAGCAGATGGTCGAGGAATCGATTGAGAATGCGGGCCGTGGGGGAGTGGAAGACCTGCCGCTACAGGATGCAGCGTTGCGGGCTTCCAACATGGTTGGTGCGGCATCTCTTTTTTTTTTTTTTTGCCTCAATACGGAAATCATCCACAGATTCACTGACGAGAATAGACTACGCCATCCGCGCCACAGACAACAAGGGCGAGAAACTGCCCAAATCCAGCCTCATCTGGGCGCTGGTCGTCGCCGCCGCCGCCGGCTTCACCACGACCTCCTCGCTGCTCTCCTGGCTCATCTACGGCCTCGTCACTTACCCGGGCATGCAGGACCGGCTGCTGCAGGAACTGATCGACCACGGCTTCACCGACGACACCGAAATCACCGCCGACTTTACCGACCAGCTGCCCTTCCTCGACAAGTACATCAAGGAGACGCAGCGCCGCCACAACCCGTCCTTCCAGCCCGGCCGCACCGCCAAGGTCGACCTCGTCCTGCCCGGCGGGTATAGGATCCCCAAGGACGCCGTCGTCATCCCCGCCCTGCACCACATCCACAATAACCCGGCCGTGTGGGATAACCCGGCGCGCTTCGACCCGGACCGCTGGGACACGGACGAGGTCAAGAAGCGGCACAAGGCCGCGTATATCCCGTTTCCGACGGGTCCGCGCATGTGTATCGGATTCAACTTCGCCCTGCAGGAGGTCAAGGTTTTCCTGCCCAAGCTGATCTACAAGTACAAGTTCAGTAGGGAGGGGGATGGGCCGATCGAGTACGACCCCATGTTCCAGCTGATCCGGCCGAACAACCTGTATGTGCGGGCGGAGAAACGGGTCAAGTGGCCGCCAAAGTCGGAGTGAAAGGGGAGGTATGTCGATGTCGTTGATGCGAGTTGAAAAAAGACAGAGAGAATTGCCGAGGTAGACATCAATTGCTGGTCTGCAGCATTCCAGAAGCTAACTGCCCACGACGAAAAGAAAGTGAGGTGATGGTCGGTAGAAATAATATCTGGGAGGAACATTCTTAGGGCTACATAGACAAAATAGACGTTGAGGTAGCCTCGCCACCGTCGGCTCTGGCACGAAGCATATCTTTCCAAGTATATATACAGTATAAATATATACTATTGACGAGACGGTAACACCAAGTAAAGCTAGAGATTGTATTCATTCTCTCTCCCTCTAGGTGTTTAACAAACTATTCACGTCGCGATCATTGGTATCATACAAAAGAGCATATATAAAGTGTCCTCCAGTCAACCTCATCCCTCCCATCCGGTCAGTGTGCATGCTAGGAGTCATCGAGCAACTCCTGGATCTTCTTCGTCAGCTCCTCCATCTTATACGGCTTGTGAATGACATCGTCCATGCCCGACTGCAGCATTTCCTGCTGCTGTTCCGCCCGCACATTGGCCGTCACCCCCAGCACGGGGATATGGTCGACCGTCTTCTCCTTCTCGAACTCGCGGATCGCCCGCGTGGCAGCGTTCCCGTCCATCACCGGCATCGACTGATCCATGAGGATGCAGTCAAACCGCCGCGCGTACACGGCCTCCAGTGCCTCGCGGCCGTTGTTGGCCTCCACGACCTGGAACCCCAGCGACTGCAGCTTGCGCGACACGATGCGCTGGTTGATGACGTTGTCCTCAACGAGGAGGATGTGGCGGTTCTCGTCCGCAGGCGACGACCCGTTGCTCCGCTCCGTCTCCGCGACCAACTTGGCTGTGTGTTCCATGCGCGCGTCCCGCTTCGCCCCCGGCGCCACCTCCTCGACGTGCGTGACGGGCGGGCTTTCCGGCATCGCCGGCGAGGTCGTTTCCTCGGGATCCCCGGTCATCTCGTTGCCCATGGACTGGATCTCCTGGCATAGCTGGGTGATCTCGGCGTCGTCGTCGTCGTCGTCGTCGTCGTCGTCGTCGCCTGCGGCCTCTGCCCCCGTGGCCCAGTCCTCGGGCTCGCGCTCCCGCCGCACCGTGAAAAAGAAGCCAAACGTACTCCCCTCGCCTTCCTTCGAGCTCACCCCAATCTCGCCCCCGTGCAAATGGCACAGCCGCCGACTCACATTCAGCCCCAGCCCGGAGCCGCCGTAGATGGTCTCGGTGCGCGGCGTGGCCTGGTTGAACCGCTCAAACAGCCTCTTCTGCGCCTCGTCGCCGATGCCGATGCCCGTGTCCCGCACCGCGACCATGACATACACGATCTCGCCGCACCCCCAGTCCGCGTCCGCGGTCTTGTCGAGCCCCCGCGCCGCGTCGTCCGAGTCAAAAAACACCACGTTGGGCGGGTACGACGGCGGACGCGCCGTCGCCGCCGCCAGGGACACGCGGATGGCGCGCTCGCCGGCCGCCTGCGCGGTGAACTTGATCGCGTTCGAGACGAGGTTGATCAGCACCTGGCCCATGCGGTCGAGGTCGGCCATCACCCAGTCGACGGCGGAGTCGACGTACGAGTTGTCGAGCTGGTAGTCGAAGGCGATGCGCTGCTTGCGCAGCTCCGGACGGAAGATGGCGAGCGAGGTGGCGAGGTGGCGGCGGGGGCGGACGCGGCGCGGCGAGAGAGTGAACATGCCGGCGTCGAGCTTGGAGAAGGTGAGGACGTCGTCGACGATCTTCTTCTGGTGAGCGACGCAGAGGGCAATTGTTTCGGCGGCTTGGGCGATGGCGGCATGTGTGACGGTGTCGTCTGCGTTCGGTGCCCGGTTCTTCTGCTTTCGCTGCTGGCCCTGGTTCTGGCTTTTGTCCTTGTTCTTACCGTAGTTGTGATTGTGATTGTGATTGTGGCCACGCACCGCCTCCAAGATATCCTCCGTGCAATGCAGAATCGCCGACAGCGGATTGCGCACCTCGTGGCTGATCATATCGATGAACCGCTCCTGCTGCGTCTTGCGCTGCTGCGCCTCCTCCGCGATGCGTTTATGCGACAACTCCACCCCTTTCTCCTGCGAGATATCCGCGATCGTGCATATCGACCCCCCTCCCTTGTCACCGAGCCCAAAGCCCTCCCGCTCCGCCACCCCCATCGGGGTCAGCGTCAGCAGCCGCCAGGAGGCAGATTCCTCGTCGCGGGTACGGTACTCGATGCGCAGGGGACGGTTGTGGCCCGCGGCGGCCTGGTACGCGGTGGCGAGCCCGGGATAGTCGTCTGGATGGACCGCGGGCGACCAAGCGTCAAAGGACCGCGGAGGTAGGGGTTTGTTGTTTCGGGGGGAGGTCAAGAGAGAGCGGAAACGGCGGTTGGTGAAGATGGGCTCGTCGGCGTGGTTGAGGATGGCGATGGCGGTGGGCAGCAAGTCCGCCAGTTGCTGGGCTGAAACGGACATGGTTCAAGCGCCATGGACTAGACTGTTTGAGTTGGAGTGGTGACAATCGCCGGTTGGTTCCTTGGGAAATGAGGGTAAGACAGAGAGAGGACACGTTCGAAGACGCCAAAACAGCGGAATGCGAGGTTGGGAGAGGTGGAGAGTCGGCGCTCTCGGTGACGTCACGTCACCCTAACCCTAAGCCACGTACATCACCAGTGCTATAAATGTGGTTTACAGAGAGCCATTTTAAAAGATATAGATAGAAGAATACATAGAATAGGGGTATTATATTATCGGTCATTAGCTATTACCCTCGCTGTGGCAATTGTCCGTCACCACGACTAGAACGCCACCACCGCAAACACGCCCACCATCACCGCAGCCAGGCTGATCGCACCGCGGTCCGCACCGTTGGACAGGATGGTCGAGGGGCTGGGCGTGGCAGAGGTGCGGCTGTGAGTGCCCGAGACGATCACCGAGGAGGCCGCGGTGGTCCCGGTCGGGATGGTGATGAGGGCGGTTGAGGTGGGGACATCGGTGGTGCCCTTGGTGATCAGAGTAGTGGTGGACTTGGTGGCAGGGAGAGTGCCATCGCTGGCCGAGCCAGAGGCAGTAGCAGTAGCGGTGGCGGTGGCAGTGGCAGTAGCAGTAGCAGTCGCAGTGGTAGTAGCAGTCATAGTAGAAGTGGTAGTACCCGACGATTCACTCTTGGAAGCAGAGTTGGTAGCGGTCGCCGCGCCGGTCGACGTTGGGTTTACGCCCGCCGAGGAGGAGCCGGCGACATAGTCGGGGTTGCTGACGCCGAACTGGGTGGAGTACTGGTACTGGCCGGTGCCCTCGACAACGAGAAGCAGACCGTATTGGCTGGTATCGGGCTCCAGAGTGCTGCTGGGAGTCCACGAGAAGGAGCCGGAGTTGGGGATGCCCTCGGCCAAGGTCTCCAGGGGCACGACGTTGGTGCTGGGGCCACGCAGGAGAACCAGCGAGATGGGGCCCTCGGTGGTGGGGGTCCACTTGATGGTGTACTGCTTGCCGGCAGCAACGCGCTCGTTCAGACCGGGCTGGAGGATGGCATTGCCCGTGGGGTTTTTGGTGTAGTCCGGGGTGGTATAGGCCGAGGCGAGGGCCGCGAGGGCGGAGAAGACAGTCGCGAGAGAAAGACGCATTTTGAATTGGTAGAATTGATTCTTCTGTTTTTTTCTAAAGGATTGTGGAGGATCAAGTAGGGTGATCGTGGGTTTAAAAGAATGGACGATCTATACAAGATCGAGGAACGAGGGACGGGATCGAAGACGAGAAAATCCAAACCAACATCAGCAAGCAGACAAGGCACAGCCGCCTACTTATGGAGGCGATACCCCTGTCTCTCGGCCAAAGAGACGCAATGGACATGGCGAATCCAGGCGCTCTGGCTGAGTCTGGCTTGCGGCTCTTGTGCAAGCCAACTGGATCAACCGGACGCAACGGATCCAACGACATTTCGGACCCGGAACTAATCAAACTAAGTGATTTAGTGGGCAAGATGAGGGTCGCTGACTGGCCGGGACGATTTGGTGGAAATTAGACTCTCAGACCTCGCGAGGCACTAACTGTCCCTGAGCCATGATCTGTTCGACAATCGACAGGCTGTTGGACGGCGAGGTTCAGACTGATCTGGGGAGTGAGACATCCGGACGCCAGAGACACTTTTTAACTTCTCTGGACACTGGATAGACTTCTTCAAAGTGTCCTTCACGGTCAATTGGGAATTTGGGATCAGTAAAAATCTCTGAAGCCGACAAGGCTCCTGCTCACTCGACCACACTAAGAAAGCATACTATCGAGGCTAATCATAAGACTAATAATACGCGACCCTCCAGGATAAGCTGGCCAATCCGCGTAGGGTCGGAAATGAGGTTTACGATATAGGAGGCCGACGCCAATTGACTCTTTCTACCTTGGGCCCTCGAGTCTATATTCCGTAAACTGAGTTTTGTGAATCCTCCAGGCCCAATATTCTTTAGATATTTCCAATTTCCCAGTCCTCCGGGCACCAGATCGATGGTTTCCGGAAGTCCTGGTACGCAAAAACCGTGTGTCCACTATCCAAACTTCAAAGGGTCCAGACTCCCGACTCGACTGTCGACTCAACCGATCAGGCTTCCTTGAAGATAACTTAGCTCATTGAAGCCCGGAGTAGCGTCTTGGCATCACATTTGCCCCTCGCTTGACCGAGGATTGTCATCTTGTTCCTTGGTTCTTCTCCCAAGTCCCAACTCAACTCTGCGGATCGTCGGGCACAGACGATGTCCTCGGAGTAGTAGACTTCAGGTCAATGACTTCACAGTGTGTCAGAGGCTGAAAGTCAAAGCACATCTTTCCTGCACCATTTGCTGCATGATACATCATGGTGGAAGATATGCAGGAGCCCAACAGGTGACAATGCTGACCCGTCCAAGTGATTCAAGTCTGCAGGGACGGGCAAGGACTTGACTGCCGGTAATTATCATTATTCGGCTACAATGTTACACTGCCGTCTTACTCCATACTGTGAGAGGTTTCGAGGTTTCTTACTCGTGGCGGTTGCTGTTAATTGTTGTGTTGGTGGTGATCTTCTCCATATTAGGATTCGATGGCCATCATATCGCACTCCAGCTGTTTCCAGTTTTTGAGAAATTATTGCGCAAGTGGATTGGAGGGAACAGGGGACTGAGAGAAGCTATAGGGATAATAATAAAAAAAAGATAGGAAAGAAAAAAAAGCCCCTGGTAGGTATCTATTAACGCCAAACACTCAAGCTCTACGGAGTACTCTAGGGCAGCCCTAATCAACTGTGCGTCAAGCTTGCGATCCAGGTACCGTCAATAAACTGTGGAGTTTGAAGCATGAAATAGGGAGTCATTGACATCAAATATCTGTTAAAGGACCTCCAAAGCTCAAGAACCTTCCTTTATTTTCGCCTTGGATCTCCGACGCCAGCTCTTCGATGGTGATCTTTGGTGGAATCGGTGCCTGGTCCTTCCATACGGAGTAGACCTACACAGTACACGCTTTCCATCAGCGTGCCCATACTCTCAGTTCCGGGAACAAGGAAACATACCCTGCTCATCCCAGAACACCCAGTTCACCGGACTGCGCTTGATCAACTCCTCTGCCGGCAGACCCACGAGCGCAACCATCTCGGACCTTGACGGCGACAATGGATGTTGTCTCCGAGGTATAACACGTGGTGGGGAGTAGATATGAGGCAGAAGCCTTCAAAGAAGCCGGATTTCTAATCTGTTGTGCTTCATGGCTGGGAAGCATAGGAGACGAAAGGGGTGTGCTGATATTTGATGGAGACATTGTGATTGGTCCATTGTTTCCGCGGTGATTTGACTCATTCAACGTCCTGAAATTGATCATCTGGTCTTTCCAATGCTGGACTATCCAGAGTATATAAATCAGCCACCAGCATCATTGATAGAATGCCTGCAGTCATCCGAGCATGCATCGTCTGTCATAAAAGAAAGGTAGATAGATATTGACCCTAGGCACGCTTCCATCTCTCATCCAGTCTAACAACACAGGTCAAATGTGATCTGGAGAAACAACAGCCATGCACCAACTGTATCCGCTGGGAGGTTGAATGCATGTACGCTTCCCATGTCAAATACCCAATCGAACCTGCACATGCTGATAGAAGTAGTCCCTGGTCCCGCAAACGCAAGCGCATCACCAACAGCGTCTCCCCGCCACGGCCCAGCCCCCCACCCCGGCCGGCTGCGCACCCCGTCGCCCATGAAACCAGCTACAGCGGACGCAGCGAGTACCTGAGCGGCAGCGTCCCCTTTGACGAGACCCTGGTACATGTCCAGTCCGGCCAGGACGCCCCGGACACCGCCAGCGACGAGGACACGCAGCTCTTCCAGCAGCAGCGGGTCTACGATCTTCCTCCGTCCAGTGTCCAGAGCCATCTGATCGACTGCTTCATGCGGTACTGCGCGCCGTGGACGCCGATCATTGAGCCCGGGTGGCTACGCACGCCGTCCCCGTCGCCGCTGCTCCTGCAGGCCGTGTTGCTCGCGGGCAGCCGGGTGTCTCCGACGGCGTCGGCGGCGGTATCGAGTAAGGATTTCTACCGCAAGGCGAAGCTGCTCTTCTTCTTTGGTGGCGGGAATGACTCCATGGTCTCGATTGTCGCGGCGTGTCTTCTACATTGGTATAACCCCGTCGGCCCGGAAAAGGTCTCGACGGACACGAGTGGCTTCTGGATCCGCACCGCCGGCGCCATGGCGTTTCAGATCGGGCTGCACAAGGAGCCGGCGCTCAATGCGAAGGACCGGGGGCTGAGGAGAAGGTTATGGTGGGCTCTGGTGGTGAGCTCAGCGCTTCCCTATTGTGTCAATTTCAATTTTTCCCATGCGAACTCAGAGAGAGAAAAACAGGTACGCGATAACATCATCTCGGCCGGCACAGGACGCCCACGCACCATCAACCTGCACGACAGCGACGTTCTCCCGCCGACGCTCGACGACTTCGACGACCAGAACGACGACAAAGCGCAGCTCTTCCTCGCATACACCACCATCTGCCGCCTCCTCGGCGACACCGTCGAGGAATGCCTCCGCAAAACGATGACCGGGCGCCGCCGCAGCGAGCTCGAAACCGCCCTCTACCGCTGGATCAACCAGGCGCTTCCACGGCTGCGCCGCTCGCAACCGCAACCGCAAACAGACGCCTTCGAAGTCAACCAGCTGCTCGTCGTCTACCTCGCCATCCTCGTCATCCTGCACCGCTCCCCGACCCCCAACAGCGTCCCCTCGGCCGCGTCCCTGGTCGCAGCCTCCAGCATAGCCGGCGTCTTCGCGGACTTCCACGCCCGAGACCAGCTGCAGTTCCTGGGGCCGATCTTCGCGCTCTATGGCCTCACGGCTGGCTTGTCGCTGCTCTCGGCGTATCGGTACCCGGCGCTGCAGGCCACCGCCGAGGCCGAGCTGTCGACGATCAAGCTGTGTCTGCAGAGTCTGTCGAAGCGCTGGCGCTCGGCGGTGGGCCCGATCCGGGCGCTGCACCGCTTGACGGAACAGGTTCGGCGGCAGCCGGTGTTTGATGGCGGGGTGCCGCGGCTGGGGGACGATCTGGTCGCCTTCTTCCATGGCGTGGAGACGCGGTATTGTCGGCAGTGGGAGATTATCCAGGGGCGAGACCCGGGGGGGATTGGGTCTGGGGTGGCTGGGCCGGCGGAGCAGACGAGTGAAGTGCCGTTTGATGGGTATATGGATATCCTAGATCAGAACTGGGAGGGATCGGGATTCGACTGGAGTGGTTCGTGGTTACTGGATATATAGAAGACTTAACGAATTGACATGTACATCATCAACATGCTAGACGGAGGCGACTACAGCTTGTGCTTCAGAGACCGATGGCCGGCCACCTGTCCCTCAGGCAACTCCATCCCCCAGACAATCCGGCAATCCCACTGCGCATGGTTCTTCTTCTTCTTCTCCTCCTCACCCTCCCCGGACGGCCTCACAACCTCCCGGAACACCGTATCGCCCACTCCTCCCTCGCCCGCCAAAACCCACCGCCGCGCCACCTCGCCCGCCACGGCATCGCCATCCCGCTGCGCATCCAGCACCAGCAGCGCCCCGGCCAGAATCCACGCCAGCGTGAACATCACCCGCCGCCCATCCGCCAGCACAGCAGCGACATCGCCCGCGATGCGAGCCCGGAAAGCCAGCCACGCGCGCCTCAGCGCCGCCGCCTCCGCCGTCTCCGCCCGCAGCAGCCCCAGCACGCGCTCCATCCAGCCCGCGAAGACAGCAAAATGGTCGCGCGCCAGCAGGAAGCGCACCAGCTCGCTCGCCAGCACATTCGTCGTGCCCTCCCAGATGCTATTCACGGCGGTGTTGCGCAGCAGCCGCGCGACGTTGAATTCCGGCTCGTCCGCCTCGTCCATGTACCCGACGCCGCCCAGCGCCTCCTGACACTCCTGGATGCCCAGGACCGCCATCTTGCTCACGACCGCCTTCGCGGCCGCCGTCAGCGCACGGAACACGACCGTCGCTTCGCGCCCGCGAGGCACATGCGCCGCGGGGCGCGCGCTGCCCTCGCCTCCATCCGCGGGGTTCTCCACCGCGCCCATCACAGCGACGGTGAAGAAGCCCACCTGCAGCGCCGCGCGGTGCCGCGCCTCCAGCTCCGCCAGCAGCCGCAGGTGCATGGGGATCAGCCACAGGGGTTCGCCGACGGTGGAGCGGGCGCGCGCGAACGCCTTGGCGATGCTCAGCGCGCGGCGCCACGCGCCCAAGCTGCCGATGAAGGTGTGGGTGCGGGTGACGTTCAGCAGCGGGGCGATGGTCGCGACGCCCTTTTCGGGTTCGCCGACGAGGTGGGCGCGCATGCCATGCAGCTCGAGCTCGGCGGTCGGGAGCTCCTTGGTGCCGAGCTTGTTTTTGAGGCGGTGGATGCGCACGCCGTTCGCGACCTGCTTGGTTGTCGTGGTTTGCGGGTTGGTTGGGGCTGGGATGGGGATGGTGCGGCGGAGCGGGGCGAGGAAGGTGGAGAGTTTGCCCGAGGGCGAGGTTTTGGCGAGGAGGAGGGTGACGTTCGCGTCGGTGGCAGAGGAGAAGAATTTGAAGCCGTTGATCGTGTAGGCGCCGTCGCTGAGGGCGTCGGAGGATGACGACGAGGAGGGGAGAGGCGAGTACGTGGCCCATGTCTCGGTGTTCTGGACGTCGCTGCCGCCGGCCCGCTCGGTCATCCACTGGCCGGAGGTCCAGCAGTCCTCGGTGCGGGAGATGAGGCGGGCGTAGACGGCGCGGAAGGGGTGGTCGGCCGGGTAGGAGTGTTGCTGGAGCTGCTGGGAGAGGATCAGGGCGGCGCCGTCGGTCATCGCGGCGGGACAGGAGGTCAGGCCGGACGAGGGCGAGTAGAGGTAGTTGACGGCGTACTGGACGAGGCGGCGGGAGGCGCCGTAGGTGGGCTCGTAGCCGATGGCCACGACTCTGTCCCACTTAGTTCTATCGTCCTATAGAGCAAGCAGAACTTGAAAAAGAAGGCTACCGACCCATGTCTGGCGCCCCATCGGCCCAGCTGCTTCCATCCCTCGCTGGTTACCAGCCGGTCGTAGTCGTAGCGCTGGCCCCAGACATTATAGCTCTTGACGTACGGCTGGTTGCGTTCAGCGTCGGCGCTCCATTCGCGGATCTGGGGGGAGATGGCTTCTTCGCCGAGTTGGGTCAGGTTGGGCTGGATGGATTGGTTGATATCAGACGGTAAGTACCCTGAATGGTCAGCATGAGGCGATTGAGATAATTGCGGCAGTACACCCACATGCTAGGACTCGGTGAAGAGTGGCATCGGACGTATATGTGTTCTGGAGAGGCTCGGGGATGGTGATAGCGCCCCGATCCGCCGTGGCATGCGCCGCTGGATCCATATTCAGGCTGAGTACGGACTCAAGGAGTCCTGGATACCAGAATTGGGGGGAGTCTGGGAATACGGGGGCGTTGATATAAATGGTATCAGCGGCACTAACCGAGGCATCTGCCCATTCTCGGCTATAATTAACCGATGCATATGAAAGGGAAGATGGAGAGAGATATGTCAGAAGACTTGTGAATTTCCCAGTCTTTAACTACTGTACTAATTCTCCTGATCACCGACTAGTCCTTCCGAAACCCTAGTAGATTCATTGGATATCCCTTTTTCGACTTCCGCAAGTCCCGGTCCAGTCCCATCAGACGATGCACCGCCATCTGTGCTCCCCGAATCATATAGTCCATCGTCACCATCTCGCCCGGAATATCGACAAACTGCCCGATGAGCGCTAGATTCGTCATGTCCTTGGGGATCACCCGCGGCCGATCCCCCTCCTCTCGTGGTAACAGCGTCGCCGACATCCGTGGCATCACACAGGGGATAGTGATGCTCTGCGGCAGGATCTCCTCCCCCGGTATGCCCATCTGGTGCAAGAGTTCCGTCATGATCTCCTCGCCCGAACACTCCAGCATCGGCTTCTTCACGGCCTCGCCCTCCTTCTCGGGCGTCAGCATGTAGCCCCAGAACACCCGGACGTTGTCCGGTTGGTCGGGAAACAACGGTTGCCGGGGCACGTTCAGCGTCAACAGCCAGCTGCTATCTCTGAGCGTCACCAGGGAGCCCGTCTCGGGCTCGTCGCCAATCACCTCAAGAATCCGGTCCAGATGCCGGGGGTCCTTCAATGTGACGGTGAAGTAGCCCACGCGCGACTCATGCAGCCGCGTGCAGAAATTATACGCATTGCCGAACTTCGGGTGCTTCGTCGCCAGTTCCAGCCACAGCAGCCAGTTCTCGTCCAGGTCCTTTTCGATCTCCATCATCTCCAGCGACGGCGGCTCGCGGTTCGATCCCTGAGATGATCCGGAGGACACCGACCCGAGCGAGACAAAGACCAGGTCCTCCGGGCCCACGTCGATGGTTCTCTCGGGCTGGCCATGGCACGTAGTACGCAGCCGCGTCACCCGCGTCGGATTGTCCAGAGGTTCCGCGATGATGTCGGTGGTGATGGTGTTCGGCCGGAAATCGACCCTTTGCGCTTCTAGGTACCGCGCAATGGGCGCAACAATCGCCTCGTGGAAGTTGTAGCGGACGCGGTCCAAGGGCCGCGGATGATGGATATTCTGGATGTCGTGGGGGAAATGCTGAACGAAACGGCGGAATTCAGCGGCGCTGTGACTGGGTTGGAACCCGAACCTAGTCTCTCATCAATCACCATTTAACTCACCCCCGGCAGAGCAAAAAGGACAAGGGGTAGGGAGGGGAGCAAGTACATCGTCGCCAGCGTCAACCAGTAATTCGTCCGAAAGAAGCCATCTGAGAAATGCTCTCGGATCCGCGACCGGCCCAACGCACTTTCCGTCTTGGACGAGAGCACGAACAGATCCATTCGATCCTTGATCCCCAGATTCAGTCTCTTACCGTCGACCCGCTCCAGTCCGTTCTTCTTGCGCGCCAGGAACCTCGTGCGCGGCGGAATCTTCGGCACAAACTGCTCAAAGTACATCTCGATGTCCCCCCAGACGCTCTGCGCGGTGTCCGACGGCACGCGCAAAAGCAGCTCTTTCATCTGCCCGCCGCAGAAGTGCGGGATGCATTCCCCGCGGTAGTGATATCCGGACTCGGCGTCGCCGGTGCTGAGGTATCCTATTCCGGGTTTGCTCGGGGCTTCGAGGACGTGAATCCGATGCGGGGGCACCTTACACTCGCGGATGAGATGGACTGCCGCGGTGAGGGAGGCGAGGCCGCTGCCCAGAATCCAGGCGTCGAGGGCATTGGGGTCCGGGAGGCTTTCGAGAACCGGGGTGCCAGGACGGGAACTCACCGTGGAAGGGGGGCCGGAGGATGAAAGGGGGCTTGAGAGGGACATTCTAGGCTATCTGGCTGGGGTATCTTCAGCGAATATCATTCACCGCCATGAAGATGGGTGATTTTAGAGTCGTTCAACTGTTGAAGAGGAGGAAGAGACTCTTGAGATTTGATGGTGGTGCCGTCATACACTCTGTCCGAATGCGGCTGACAGCGTATCACAGACGAATGCACACTCCCTTGTACTGTCTCGAGCTATTCAACGTTATTGGACAATTCGGATCTAAGAATAGATAGAAGGTGATTATTCATGATCAGTTGTACCGGGTTGTGTATCCTTTTTAGTCGGGAATCTCAGGAAGTGCTCTTTAGGGTGCACTGTGCAGTGAGGATATTGCAAATACCATTGCAAGGAATAGGTAGAGTGATAATATCATAGGAAAGGAACTGATGTATACTGCAATCCATCAATCCATCAATCCCTCAACGGTCAAGTACCCCTTGTACTCAGGAAACGGATGTCCCTCCATCCTCTCCACCCTCAACTCCTGGATCATGGCCAGGTTCACACGTAGTCCGATATGTGGTCAAAAAATGCAGCAATTCAACATCCAAGGCAAGATGGCCGAGTTGGTCTAAGGCGTGAGGTTAAGGTCCACCTTAATATTTGACTATTCAAGTTTCCTCATCATCGTTTGATGGCGTGGGTTCGAATCCCACTCTTGTCAGATATCTTTTTGTTTTTTTCTTTCTTAATTTTTCATTTCACTTGGTTTGATCTCTTTTGATTTAATTTATTTACCCTTGGAATCTATCGAATAGAACAAACGTCATCCAGTTCTTGAGGATCACCGCTGATCGCCACGAAGCTCTCCTCTCCAACACACGTGCGGTCAACTGGAGATGCGATCTCTTCGACAGCAACGAGAACATATCAACAACCAGAACGATGGACTCCATTGCCGCTTCAATGGCGTCCAAGCCCTCATTCTTGGACCTCCCAGCCGAGATCCGACTGAATATCTATCGCTTTCTAATCCCAGATACCCCTGAACCGACCGGCAACAGCGCAGCGAACCCTCTCCGTTCAGACAAGGAACTATGTGCCCCGGCGCTCCTGCGGACAAATTCAACCATCTACCAAGAGCTGATCCAGGAGTGGTACGGTAGCGTGGCATACACTGCGACTCTCACGCTCTCCGGCCTTAGCTTCGTTGGACAAGAGTTTCCTCCATATACACCACTACCGTCCACCCTGCGCTTTGTGACCTCGTTCCATCTGTGGCTGCACTTGTGTCTCACGCCGGACGTGGAGAGACCAGCGGGGCCGTCGCATACGAATGATCCCGTCTATTATGGAGTGAGGGAGCGCGTGGAAGCCATCGCTGAGATCCTGGCGCGGACGAGAAGACTGCGGCATCTCCAGTTGACGGTGTATTTCAGTTTACCCGTGTATATCATAGTTAGACACCACCCGGCGAATCTGCAAAAGGTGCTCGGGTGGTGTCTATCGCTATTTGAGACGCTGCGCCTACTGCGGCCGATCAGCTACGAGATCGGGATGTCTCGTCACCGATCCCTTGCTGGAGAGAGCAACGGTGATAACACGATGAGCAACGTCGTTGCCAGAACTCGGGGATATATCGAAAGATTGAGTCGAAAAGTCTTCGTGACAGATCAGACGATCCTGAAGCACACTACTTTAGCGTAATCCCGAGGAGAGCTTGATTCAGTCATGCTAGTTAGTTATTTCCCCCGTCGTTCTGGTCAACCTTGTGGACAAACATGTACTCGCATACCCTCTCTGATCTCCCACTGGAGATTCTAGACCTGATCTTTTCATATCTCTGCCCGCATTGCGCTGAGCAGCCTGAGGCAACCCCGTGCAACTCAACCGTTCACACGCGCGATACCCTACTCGCGCTCTGTCTTGTCTGCACGCGGCTGCGACCCAGCGCCCAGGCCATCCTATTTCACGAGTACCATGTGGCGTACCGGTCGACAGGTGGTGCAGAGTCCAGCTCAGAGGGCCCGCTAGTGTCGTTCTTGAAAGCTGTTACTCGACGTCCATATCTAGCCAACCAGGTCAAAAGAGTCTGTATCTCGTCGTCCCAATTGCGATCGATCGGCTGCAATGATGCTCGATCTATGCTTGAAGAAGCTGCCCTGGCCAGGGGCACGACCCTGTCAAAGGCCTGGGCACCACGAATGCTGGATATCTCCAATGAGCTCCCCGAGTCGAGGCAGTTTCTCGCTTCTTTTCTTCAAGGTTGGGATTCGATCGGAGAGCTTCAGACTCCTTCTCAACAGCAACGACGATGGCTCAATACCGAGCTGGCGAGCATGGTAATTGCTCTGCTTCCCAAGCTTGAACACGTCGGCCTTGAAACAGGCGCATTTCCCTTGGAGGCCAATCTCATGCCATCTCTACAGGCGTTCGGAGCCACCAATCTTCCAATACGGAGCGTCGGTCTCTATTCCTGGCAGTCTCCCTCTGCACTCGCTTTTCTTCGATTGGCGAGTCGCCTCGAAATCCTCCACGTCCACAAGTACACCGTCTCCTTGCCGGCTCTCGCCCTGCCGACGTTCACCACCCTCCGCCTAACCGAGTGCCGATACAGCGAGCAAGATCTTGGAAAGCTCCTGGGCAAATGCACGAATCTCGAAACCTTCGTCTACGAATCCAGCTGGGCTGACCAATACGGATGTGCACCCGATATGTCCGGCAGCGATCATTTCCAGCCCACTGACGCGGTTGTGCATCTTCGTCGCCAGCGTCGCATGCTACGGAACCTGCATCTCGACCTCCGGAAACGGGGCAGTTTCCCCAACCCTGGGGGCACCATCCAGCCGATTTCCAGCTTGGAGGAGTTTGGTGCGCTCCAGCATCTGTTTGTGCATTCGTCTATGTTGTGGATCGCTCGGCCGCCCCCCGCAATCCGAGTCTGCCACTGGATCTCCTACCCTGGCTGAAGAGCGCTTGGCGAGCTTCCTGCCCCGGACGATTGTCTCGTTGCACCTGGCGGACTTGAATGGAAATGCTCCAACGCAAGCTGCGGCGCTGGCTGGCCTGGCGGATGCAGTTGCGGAGGGGGCATTCCCGTGTTTGAAAGTAGTGCGGTGCGATGAGAGTCCGCGCTTCTCCGAGTCTCTTGAGGAGAGGCTGACTGCTGCTGGGGTGGATTTGGGCTATGCCAGCTGGCCGGTCGAGCCGCCTCCGCCATATTTCTATGAACCCGGGTTCTATCCCCATTATGCCATGCCGTTGCCTGATTCGGAGGATGAGGATCTTTGATTTTGAGGTGTCAGTTCTACTACAAAGAGGATTTGATTCCGCAGTCGCCCTTCAGATGTGATCAGCCAGTCTACCATACCATACACCATACCACGAGTCAACTCAATCGTTTCCAGTCACCGTGTGTGCATTGCATCTGCAAGATACTTACCAGCAAACCGACAGCAACAAAGAAAAAAAACAAAAAAAAACAAAAACAAAGAAACAAACAGCAACTCACAAGAATCCCTGCCGCACCATTGCCCTCCCCTCCCCTCCTTCAAAGTTCATCCTTTCCCTTCTTCCGCGACATCTCCCTCCAATCCTTATACTCAAGCAACGTCCAGCCCGGCCCATCCACCGCTTTACTGGCCACCGCCACGGGAGCCCCCTTCTCCCCGGCCTGAGAATACTCGATAGCGGCGAGGTGCAGCACCAGCCTACCCGCCGCATTCGCATTATGGATGGTCAGATGCTTCTCCGGCTTCAGGAACACGACGATGTTCCCGGTGACGAGGGCGCGCGCGCCGCACATGGCGCTGAAGGACGGGTAGAGTTTGACCTTGTCGTGGCGGACCAGGTGGATGAGGTCCTCGAGGAAGATGGGATTGAGCTTCGTCGGGGCGATCACGTCGAAGAGGACGCAGGGCCAGGGCTCGGGCGATCCGAGGATCTGGGGGAGGATGGGCTCGACTTTGGGGGGGGGAGAATCGGAGGATGGGGTGGTGTCGGTGGGAGGAAGGGCGGTATAGTTGGTTTCGCTGGCCATTTTGCTTGCTATTCTTTTAGTGATTTGCAGCTGGGTATGTTTTGTATTTAGAGAATGATGCAGTAACAGAATGGGGAGTTGGGATCTGGAGAGAGACAGTCCAGTCCAGATCAGATGAATTTATATTCGAGAGTCATCATTCCTAGCTGAGACTATTCCAGCGTGATGAAACATGTTTGTTAGAGGCACCCCAGCACAAGAAGGAAAGAAAGGGAAAAACCCCCCAGAATTACTTCCATTGTCTGAGTCCGATCAAGGCTCTTTTGTTTTCATGAAGCAGGAGTAAGTAGAAAGAGGAGTTGTTTATCCTTCTTGAGACTACAACAACAAAGACAACCTCCCCTCCAAAGGGCTGAGACAGAAGAAGACTCATTGATGAGTTCATTCCCATCTGCTGCCTTCAGTAAAGATATCAAAGCTAGTTTCATCAGAATCAAGAAAAACACCTGATCTCTCTCTCTTTTGTTTTCATCGTTTCATACAAGCTGTGGTCAATCTTCTAACTCTAAAGGTCTTGCCGGATAGAAGCAACTCAAAGGATGATCTGAAAGAGAAAGAGAAAAAGAGCCCATGAAGCACTGATAGTTCTCCATGAGCATCTCAGGGAGGAAGCCATGCTTTCCGGGGTGCTGCCTGTGCTATCACTTTGGGGAGTTGCCTGGTCATTTTGCTCGACAAATTAAGTATATGCCCTGGGGAAAAGTCACGAATGTCTGCTCCTTGAAGGAGAATGGGAGAATAATTACACTAATCTATTGACTATATCTATACTATTATCTCGATATACAATATAACCCCAGAAGAACAAAAATCAATCGCTCTCCTTGTCCGGGGACCCTTTCTTCACAAAGCCCTTCACCAGATACACCATGCTGATCGCTATCCCTAGCCCTCCCAGCCCGATCCCCATGTACAGCGCCCCCCGATAGCCCAGCAGCATATCATCGAGCGTCTTCCCCCCGCGGTTGACATGCACCTCCACCGTCCCGGCAAACCCCAGCCCCAGCGAGATACTGTAGTTCACGACCGTGGTGACCAGCGACGCCGCGATCCCCTGGTGGTGGCGCTCGACCGCGTTGGACAGCAGCACCGTGCTGGCGGGGAACGACATGTCCATGCCCCAGGGCATGACGACCAGGGAGACAAAGACCAGCGCCCAGTAGGTCTGGTGCACCGGGGCGATGGCGACGAAGAGCACGCCCAGCGTGAACGCGACCATGGAGAAGAACATGATCCAGCCCGGCCGGATGCGGCTCATCAGATACCCGGTAGTAATAGAGGCCAGCACGCCCGAGATCCCCGGCGGGACGAACTGCGCGGCCGCGAGCAGCGGCGACAGGCCGCGCACGCGCTCGAGGAACAGCCACAGGTAGTAGTTCCAGATGCCGAAGCTGGCCCAGCCGCAGGCGATGCAGGCGAGGACGAAGGAGACGTCGAGCGTGAGCGCGTGGAAGGGGATGAGCGGCTTGGTGGCGACGCGCAGCTCCCAGGCGAAGAAGAGCGCGAGCAGCGCGGCGCCCACGAGCAGCAGCACGTACACGGAGGGGTTCTGCCAGCCGGCGATGGGGGCCTGGTTCCACGCGACGTTGATGAGGACGAGGCCGCCGACGCCCAGGCACGCGCCCAGCACGTCCAGCTCCTGCATCCAGCCGAGGACGGTGAGCGCGTGGTGATCGCGCGGGTGGTGGATGCGCGGGAGGACGGCCCAGGCGAGGGCGGCGAGGAGGACGGAGACGATGGCGTTGGCCCAGAAGGTCCAGGGCCACCAGGCGAGCTGGCTGAAGAGGGCGGCGAAGACGCCGCCGATGATGGCGCCGTTGGGCGCCGTCGCGCCGAACATGGCGAAGATCATGTCCTTCTTCGGGCTGGGGGGGTACGTCGCCCCCAGGATGGCCAGCCCGTTCGGCAGCAGCATGGCCGGGCCGAGCCCCTGCACGGTGCGCGCGAAGATGAAGAGCACGTAGTTGCTGTACACGGCGACGCCGGCGACCAGCGACCAGAGGCCGAGCCACAGGAAACCGATCACGACCATGATGTGGTAGCCGAAGCAGTCGCCGCAGCGGCCGAAGAAGAGGATGAAGGTGCCCACGGTCAGCGAGTAGCCGGCGATGAACCAGGCCAGGATGCCGTTGTCGTCGATCCCGAAGGAGTCGCCGATGATGGTCAGCGGGGCCAACTGGCTTCCCAGCCCGGCCTGTGTCATGAACTGCGCCATGCAGATCACGAAGATGAAGAGCGTCTCGCGGAGGGGGGAGAGGCTCTGGGCGATGGACCAGCCGGAGCGGGTTTGATGGAGGTCCAGGCCATCGTTGGCTTCCGTGTCACTCATATTGACAGGAAGAGAGGTCTGGTAGTGGTGGTGAAGGAAGAAGAGAAATAAACCATGATCTCTTTCTTGCAAGAGACAAGAGATGCTGATGCAGCCGGATTTGCGGACGATCCGAAGGAACTGGTTATATCCGCATTTCCGGGCATTATTAAGAATTGCGGTCAGATTCCGTGTGTTGCATTCTGGTTTGGCCAGTCAGGAGAAAGTATTTAAGCTTAGACTCTTTTTTCATGGAGCCTTACTTGAGGAGGAAGTTGAGTCTAATAAAAGGGTACGCCAGAGGGCCCGTCCTAGCAGTCTAGGGCAGGCAGTCTAGCACAAGACAGACATCATAATAACTACAGAGTAGTGATCCTTTCACCCCTATACAGTATACACCATCCCCTAACACACTATGCCTCTCCCTCAATGTCCCGCCGTCCTCTCTCGAGCCGACTGGATCAGTCCCTTGGTCTCCTCGCTCACTTCCTCCTGTAGTTCCCCCAGCCGCCGGTTCCAGAACTGCCATCTCTCCGCACACAATTGGCCCTGTCCAGCGTACAACGGCCCCGGCTTCATCATCCGCTCCATCTCCTCGGTTTTCACCGCATCGTTCGATTGTTCGAACAAAGCCTGCCCGCCGTAGAGCATCCACATCGTCGCCGCCGCAACCTCGCCGTCGCGCTCAGCCCCTTTCAACTCCTCCTCCAGGGCCGACCGGAGACTCCAGACTGCAAACAACGACAGTGATGGGTCGCGGCGGCTCATCAGGCGGGCCGTGAAGGCTTGGAGGTTGATCCATTCGGTTGTTGCCTGGGGTGTGGACGAGGTGTAGGCGGGTGCTGTTGGCTCTGGGGGTTAGTAGGTTTCTTTTTTCCTTTCATCCTCGCAGAAGGAGGCTATGGGACATACGGTTCCAGGATTCTCTCAGGCTCGGTCCGAGGATGGGGAGGTCCGTCCAGAGGCGGGTTTCAGACTGCGCTTTCCAGTTATTGTTTTGGTTCATTCGCGGAAGAGTAGGGCTTTCCGGTTCTTACATCCCAGATCTGGATTGTTCTTGGTGGTAGCGCGGTCAACGCTGTGATCACCTCGACCAGTTGATCCTGCGCCGCGTCATCGTGGGGAATCTGTTTGGCGATGTGGATGAAAACCGCCCAGACAGACCAGAGGAAGGATTCGATCGCCTCTGCGTCCTCGGTTGGAGTCCAGGCGTTGATCGCGGTTGCGGTCTCACTGGCCGGGGTGGAGTTGCGGAGATGGTCATTGAGGATGTCAAAGACGCGCTGCTCGGTTGTATCTGGGTTTGCTAGGGATTGGAGGGTAAGAGACGCCATGATGAATATTGAGAATCCACTGCGGCGTGTTTTTTTTTTTTTCCCTTGCGAATTGGGGGGGAGTCGCCGTATAAATATGAAGCGATGGTTGGCGGGGTAGAGAATCGGGATCGACCAAGCACGATGCGTGTTTGCAGCACGAGTACATATATGTAGACAGATATAGATGGAGAGATAGATGGATGGATAGATATACTAGTATCCTCCGTCGCTGCCAGACTGGACTATCGCTTCTGCCTCGAGACAAGGTTACATCTCCTCAGTCTTTCCCCCGACAATCACCGACGGTGTTCCTGAATCTCTCTGCACTGTATCGGGATTATTGCGATGCTTGATAACGAACGCCATGACGAATGCTCCCCGCATCAACTAGAATAGAGGCTCTAGGCCACAGAATATATAAACACTTTATCTAAGCTATCTTCACCATATAGATATATATATATTTATTATTTTTTACTCTACTTTCCACTATGAATATGTCAGATCCACCAGTCGTCACCCTCCTCAAAGACCTCATCCAGATCCCCAGCACCAGCGAACATGAACAAGACATCACCCGCTGGCTCGACACCCACCTCTCCCGCCTCGGCTACACCGTCGAACGCCTCCCCATCGCCCCAGCCTCCCCCCGCGAGAACATCGTCGCGTATCTTGGCTCCCAGCGCCGCGTGAGAGTCTGCCTCTCCTCACACACCGACACCGTCCCGCCGCACCTCCCGCTGCGCGTCGAGGGGTCGACCATCTACGGCCGCGGGGCGTGCGACGACAAGGGCTCGCTGGCGGCGCAGATCTGTGCGCTTGAGGAGCTGCGCGCGGAGGGCGCGGTCCGGGAAGGGGACGTGGGGCTGTTGTTTGTGGTTGGGGAGGAGAAGGGCGGGGCGGGGATGTATGCGGCGAACGAGCATGATCTCGTCTTTGAGGGGGTGGTGTTTGGGGAGCCGACCGAGGGGAAGCTTGTGGTTGGACATAAGGGGCATTTGGTGTTTGAGCTGGTTGGCGAGGGGCAGGCGTGGTGAGTCTTCACACTCCTGGTGGACCGGGGGTGGGGGTGGGATGTGCAGACCGTAAGTCCGCTGACGTACTATGGACAGTCACTCCGGGTATCCCCAGCACGGCATCAATGCGAATACGGCCCTGGTCCAAGCCCTCGGGGACTTTCTGTCGACTGAATTCCCTGCATCGCCGCTGCTGGGCCCCGCGACGTTCAACATCGGCAAGATGGAGGGCGGCGTGAACTACAATGTCGTTCCGGGGACGAGCTCCGCGCTTTGTGCGGTGCGCGTCGCGACGGATATGGCGGAGTGTAAGAGGATCGTGTCCGAGGTGGCGGCTAGACATCCGCATGTCAGCCTGGAATTCAAGTTCGACTATCCGGAGACACTCCTGGATCATGATGTTGATGGTTGGTTTTTTGCGCGCCTCTCCGATGTGGATGGCTACTAACGGGATTGTCCAGGGTTCGAAACGACTCCGGTTGCTTATGGGACAGATGTCCCAAAGTTCAAGGGGGACCATAAGAGATATCTATATGGCCCGGGGTCAATCTTGGTGGCGCATGGCGAGAACGAGCAGATTGAGGTTGACGAGTTGCTAGAGGGGGTGAGGGCGTATAAGAAACTAACTATGCACTTGCTCAATTCTTGACTCTACTGCGACGCAATTGTCCGATCCAGCTATATATATATATATATATATATATTTATATTCTCGATTGCGTTGGCAGACAGTGAGGGACAAAAATGATCAAGATATATTCTGATCCCCGCCACGGATGTTGATACACCACCGAGCTCAGCGAGGGCCAAGCAACAATCGGTTTTATATTCAAACCCTCAACTCCCTACGAACAACTCTTCCGTCAGTACCTCTGTCAGTCATCCAGTAGCTTAATATCAACGCTCATATCGACGACCCCAACTTGCAAATGTCTAATAGAGGTCAAAAAGCTCGCGAAATCAAAAGTCCGGTGCTGTGGTCTAGTGGTAGGACGTCACGTTGTGGCCGTGCCAGCCCCGGTTCGATTCCGGGCAGCACCACTCGAATAATCTTTTTGGTTTTCTCATTTTTTTTTCTTCCTATCCAGGAGGTGAAGAGGCTTCTACGAGCGGAGACGGGAGGTGTTGAGCTGCAGAGGATGTATGAAACTGTGAGAATCCTCTAGAAGGGGGGGATTTAGGATGCGAAGCACCGGGAAGCATGGGGTGAGTCTGATGCGAAGGACTCGGCGGATATTGTGTCAAGTCAATCCCCAGAATTCCTTCTGGATGGACACACTCGATACATTCCTCTCTCCGCTGCCTGACGAGCTAGCGATGGATCGTGTCCAGCAGAAGTACTATTCTTACTGTTCGAGGGTTTCAAATGAAAGAGATGAATTCAACGCTATGGATATCTATGCACTGCTTTGTTCACAATCCAAACACCCCTCTATTTGCCGAAAACCTTGAAGCGGTCCTCAAGGGGCAGGAAAGTCTTCTCGCCAGGCTCGCCGGTAGGGGTGCCAAAGACCAGCTGGGCATCCAACTTCCACGAGGCGGGCAGGTTCCAGGTCTTCTGAATCTGCTCGTCGATCAGAGGGCTGTAGTGCTGGAGATTGGCCCCGAAGCCTTCGGACTGGAGCGCAGTCCAGACTATACGCTGTTAGACGGTCACCAATCATGAGAGAAGATCAAACAACGTACCGAGATACTGCGACATGGCGTTGGATTCAACGGCAAAGGGATCGAACTTGGCGGCGTACATGGGGAACTTCTCCTTGATAGGATCCAGGGACTCAAAGTCGACGAAGAAGAGGACCTGGGACGGTCAGCAGTCAGCAAAAGAGGAACCATCCATGCACATTTTCCCCCTTCGGGCGTACCGTTCCATAGGCTGCGCGGAAAGCACTGAGCTTGGGCTTGGTCTGGCTCTCAAACATCTCCTGGGGGATCTGGCCGGCAGCAACCAGGCCCTCCATCACGCTGATGGCGATATCCCAGACCTTCTCGTGCTCCTCCTTGAGCAGGAGGACGACGCGCGACGTCTGCGTGTTGAAAGAGCTGGGGACATGCAGAACGGCGTCCTGGACGATGCTCTCAATCGCGTCGTCGGAGATGGGGCTCTCGGACTTCAACCCATAGTAGGTGCGGCGGGCCTTGGCCAGCTCCAGGAGACTGGCGGTGGCGGGGTTCTTGAATTCAGGTTGAGTCGAGCCCATTGTGTCTATTGAGTTGCTAGTTGGAATTGAAGTTTTTGATGTCGTTATCGTTGTCGTTGTCGATGATGTTGAGTCCATTCAAGGGCCACACCAGGCCCTTATATATCCTGCTTCAGGGACTCCAACTCCATTGACCATTGCTTTGAAATCCCACATGAGCCATCCAATTTCTAAGATTGCGAATCCACCAGCCCATATTTTTTTCCCCTTTGTTGTTTAGTCAGTTTTTGCAGTGGGGATTCGCGTTGGCAGTTGGCAGTTGGCAGTTGGCAGTTGGCCATTGTGCAATTGTGCAATTGTGCAAGAATACCGTCTCTCGGCTCAATTTCCCCGAGCGATGCCAGATGCATCATCGCTAGCCAATCAGAATACTTCAGCCAGGTACCAGCAAATTTATCAGCGGCTTTACGGATATTGGGGGATTGTTTATGATGATTATCAACAGCTTAGAAATGCAGTTCCTTTGCTTATGTCCATGATGATGATCTAAGATGGGAATGAGAAATCATGATTAGAAGAGCCAGCACTCTGTCTGAACCCTGCTCCTATGGAATGATTAGTATTCATGCTATTATGCATCTTATTGATGCTGCCTGGATGTGCAGGGGTTTTTTACTGTGTACTGTCCTGATTACTTATCTGGTCCACTTTCTGCCGAGGAGGATAAGGATTATGCCTGCACATGGAACTATTTTTAACTCTTGTGTCAATGAACTAGATCATCTTGACTTGAATTGCAATCTACATTCACAGGCGAGAATGGAAAAAAGCATCTCAAAAAAACATATCTGTGGTGCTGCCCGGAATCGAACCGGGGCTGGCACGGCCACAACGTGACGTCCTACCACTAGACCACAGCACCAGAAGTGTTGAAAGACAGCGGGATTTTACATTTACAAGGCAGACATAACGTTCAAAACAAACAACTTAGTTACTCGACCATATTATCATGGTAATTGCCTGTGATAATAATTACAATGGTTGAGATAGACTTCTACGTACTTTCATTGTGAGGAATTAGATGCCTTAATGTTTGTTGAGTGCGGAGGAAGAGTCTGCCACACACACACGAGATTGTATATCTGATTGACCTTAATCCAGTAGCTTTTCAAGGCCCAGATCTGAGTGGTAGAAACTGATTTCTCGGCTCTATACCTGCTACTATCCCTCATAGCACTTCCTTGGCCCTGCCAAATGACGCCTTGACTTGAAGGCGATACTATTTCACAAACCAATGATCCCACCTGCATTGCGGCCGCGCTCTATGTAGCAATTTATAATCAATCTACTGGCACAGCGCCGGACAATGAATTTTAAATGGCTGAAATTAGAGGTACTGGAAGTCATGTGCTGATGTTACACAAATAGATGATAATGGCATGGCTGGTGCATCATATAAATTGCTTCGGTGCTGTGGTCTAGTGGTAGGACGTCACGTTGTGGCCGTGCCAGCCCCGGTTCGATTCCGGGCAGCACCACTCGAATAATCTTTTTGATTTTTTGCTCTTCTATCTCTCGAATTCATGGGTAGATTTTTTTCTTCGTTTTGATCCCAATTTACAAGATATGTTCAGCACTGGGAAAAAAAAAAATCTACTTGACGCTTGGGTGTATAGTTACCACCTCGAACTTTTGAACACACCCGACTATCCTCCCCAAGCGAGACCAAGATAAAGGGCTAGTATACGAACTACCATAATATAGCCCCATTTCACTGCAAGAGACACTCAAGCAACAACCCCCCAGAAATCGCACCACCAGCCAGCCAGAACCCCTGCGAGAACCACACCCAGCAGCTCGCGGAGTTCTTCAGATCCACCAGAAACACCATCCCCCCAACAGCAAGCACGCACCCACCCACAGTCACACAATAGAATGGCAGACCCAGATTCCCATAGTAGCCACAGCCCGACAACAGTCCAACCATGCTGAGAAACAGCACGCCCAGGAACAGCCGCGACGAGCTCCCGAAGAGCGCCGCCGTGCTCTTCACGCCGATCTTCCGGTCGTCGGCGACGTCCTGGTGCGCGTAGATGGTGTCGAAGATGACGACCCAGAGCGTTGCCGCGAGGAGGAGACACACGGCCGAGGGATCGGTCCATGGCTCTGGCACGCCCAGCGCCGAGCTCCCGACCATGATCGCCCACGTGAGGCAGAAGCCCAGCACCAGCTGCGGGAAGTGCGTGTGGCGCTTCGCGTAGGGATAGTAGGTCATGGTGACAATCGTCGGGATGGTGACGAGGGCGGTGCGGGCGGGTAGGAGGAGAAGGAAGGCTGCCGCCGCTACGGCTTGGGTGCAGGTGAAGAGGAACGCAGCGGCGGGGGTGATGGCGCCCCGGGGGATGGGACGGGAGCAGGTGCGGGCGACGAGTTTGTCGATGGGCGCGTCGACGAGGTCGTTCCATGCGTGGCAGGCGTTGCTGTAGAAGAAGCTGCCTCCGGCCAGGATGAGGGAGGTACGCAGGACATCGTGCGCGGGGAGTCCGTGGGTGGTGGCTGCATGGAGAATACCGAACAGATGGGGGAAGTAGATGAGGAAGAATGCGGCCGGGGGACTCAGACGACAGAGCTGGATATAAGGGATCCATGCGGGTGGCAGATGGCCGATCCATCCTTCGGCATGATCACCACCGTATTGCTTCGAGAGGCTGGCTTTCGACATGCCATCCGCGGTGTTGTTTCGCTTTCGTCTCGCTACCTGCTCCATGTCGGGCTAAGTAGTGGGTACTGTTCCTCTGGGCAATGCAATTGAGGGAAAGGAAAGTGTGCGCAACGTAGTCGTCCGACTCAAGTACGGGGAACCAGGCAAGATATAGCTCGAGGGCTGCACTAGGCTGTAGGCATCACCAAGTCGAGAGAAACAAAGAGAAAATTTATAATGTCCCATGAGGCCACCTTGTCTCACAAAATCCGATCGACCCTCATCACCCTCTGACCCACCCATGTTAGACCTCATGATGATTTCCAAGTTTACCAGTACAAAATGTGGTGGTTCTTACGGACGACTTTCCTGTTCGGAAGAAGCTATTCACGATAACCCCTTAGCTAAGGGCGTCTTTCAGATAACTAAGTATTGAGTAATCGGCTAAAATTGACCGCCATTCAGTTGGTGCAAGTGAGTGGAGCTCAAGGACGATACTGAACAAGAAAGACAACAGAGTGGAAGCAGTTCTTTTCAAATAACGAATTGCAATTCTCAACATGCATGTGGTGCTTGGGAGCCAACAGTAAACGCCTTGGTAAACATACTATAGAGTCTAGATAGGCCAGATGTGGGCTATTGGAATGGCCGGAGCTACTGGTCGACTAGCTGCAGGTTCAGACACTTGTCAAAAGAGTTTGATACTGCTGGGAAATGGGGTTATCAGACTGGATATGGCGGTACATCTTCACCTGTGGCTTCTATCTACTAGTATGCGTCCCTCGGGGGTGGTGGCAATATACATGGTTGACCTGCATGCATACAACGCCTTGTAGTGAACTCTTAAAAAGCAAAGCCAAAAAGACTGCTTTGTAATTCCAAATCCCATCCCTAATGTAGCAGATCATCGGCCTTGGAGGTATCTGTAACCCCTCCATATGTCCTAAGAGCACGGAACTTGGTCTCAAGTTCCTCCCTGTACAAACCAAAAATTAGCATAGAAAACATGTGCATATGAGAGGGCACTCTTCCTACCTTGTCAATGAGTTGCCAGGATTTCCTTTCAAGCACTTGACTAACTCCATGTACATTGAGCCTTTTTTACATATAACAGCTCCAGTCCCCCTGCCACTGCCTGCGACACCTTATATTAATCTCTGGATTAAAATCCATGCTAATTGAATCCTAAAACTCCGACAGCTCAGCATCACCTAGCCCTTCTTTACTACCATACTAAGTATAAACCTATAGAGACCTTAGTGCACTATCTCACCCTATCTAATGAACCTAAGTATGTTCAGCACAGCCTAGTACATCTGGGTAACTACTAAGTTAATCTCCTCAAGCTGGATCCTATATATCCACATTAGGGCTAGCAGTGTTTCTACACTTAGGTGTGTATGATAACATAATACATTACTTAAAAAGCCTAGCACTGCATAATCACTCCCTAGATCCTGACTAATAGCCTCTAGATAGGTCTTCCCAGGCACTAAAGTAGCACCCATCATCCCCTGTGACCCCTTAAGGATATCACATAGGCTGAGTAAGCTGGTCTGAGCATTGTAGGAGGCAAAAAATTCCTATTAAAGTAGGCCTTGCTAGTGTGGGCTTGCTTTAAATATGTAATGTTAAGGAGGAACTACTATAGACCTGCTGCTTAGGGTACCAGCGGTCCTGATGGGGGATAGAGGAGATAGGCCATGACAGTGGGAGGATGTTGGCCTGCGATTGTGCATGCCAGCCCGTCGTTGAAGAGCGCTTTGGTGCGGTTGACGACTTCCGGTTGGTGGCCCATTGGACTAGGCGTTCTGTCGGGGTTTTCTGGGGTAGATTGGGATTGGGTCATCTTCTCGTGAAACATAAAAATCGGAAATCTTGTTCTCTATCCATCACAAGATCGACTCCAAGATATACTTGATAGAGCCCGCGGGGTAGAATCAAACGGCATCCCATGCCCACATTCTCTGATCTACGATAGCCTCGGGAGTGCCTCAATTCGGCTGTATGATACCTAACCCCTCTACTAGTGATGATTGCGAAAGGGGATCTATCATGCAAGATGTCTCTCGGAGGCGAAATCTTCCTAACAGACAGTTCATGTTCATTGTGGTGGTTCATCGGCTCTGATATGGGTGTTGTTTTCCAGGCATATGGAACTGTAGTAAACTCTAATAAATAAGTTTAAATAATCTCGTATCGATGGATCCGAGGAAGAAAGCATAGATATAGTACAGTCTAGTTAGGGCTGCTTGTTAGGGCATCATACTCCTCCAACGTCTTTATTTTTCTCTTTTTTGCTGCTCCAGTAGTAGCTGTAAATAGTGGCGTAGACATAATCTCAATTTCTATGCCGATGCCGATGCCGATGCCGATGCCTATGCCTATGCCTATGCCTATGCCTTCAATGTGATTGATCATCAAATCTCCATAAGCATCGAAGAAGGTCGACCCGATTTCCCCATCTGGCAGACTATTAGTTGGCTGCAGGAAATAGCGACATCATTAGCTGGAGAGGCTCCCCAGCCACCGGAGTTGGCCGGTGGAGGAGATAATCATCGACTTCTATTCCAAACCCATCTATCTAGGGCCGATGAGACCAAATCCACCAAACAAATGAACTCGACTCTTCAGCAAGAACCGGCTTATCGCAAATGACCCGCGTAGACCTGCCAGTTATCGCGTAGTGGCATGGCTCGTCGAAGCGGAGCAGGTTGCATGCATCTGTCGATCTCCAGTAATGCTCCTGATCTTATCTCGGCTTAATCGCTGCAGCTGTAGTATTGCGAAGTGGATACGATAGATCATCCAAGCTTGTGGCTCCCGCATATAAAGCGGCATGAGCCCACGCGTCGAGGGTCAGCTTGCATCAGTTCCTCAGCCCCTTCACGATGCACCTCCATCTAACCCTAACTGCGATCGCAGGGTGTGTGCTTCAATCCGCCACAGCCTATGTAGCCCAAGAGCCACGATCGGCGCCGCCAACATGTCAGAAAACCACGGTCGCTATTCTGTATGAAACACTGTTCGCTTACTCCCCATCATGACACTTGCTAATGATCCGCAGAGGCGCGGGAATGGCTGGGATAAAAGCCGCTGTAGGTTGGCCGAGCGGTCGAGGAGATGCTTAAATTGACATCCACAGGAAACCCTAACCAATGCCTCGATCCACGATTTTGTCATCCTCGAGTATCGCGACACCATTGGCGGTCGTGTGTGGCATACGGAATTCGGCAAGGATGAGAACGGGGACCCCTATCTTGTGGAAATGGGTGCAAATTGGGTATGTTCTGTCCGCTCGGCTTGGGGGACTTGGTTGACAGCGGGCAGATTCAAGGAATTGGCACCGAGGATGGGCCGCAGAACCCGATTTGGACACTGGTATGATCGCTTGGCCGGTAGGAATTGTGTCAAGCTAATATCTGCAGGCCAAAGAGTACAAGCTGAACAACACGTTCTCCGACTATGCCAATGTTTCCACGTATAATCACCACGGGTACTCGAACTATTCGCACCTCATTGCGGAGTTCGATGCGGTCGAGGGAATCGCCAGTGCTGCGGCAGGCACCATCCTGACTGAGAATCTCCTGGATCAGACGGCCCAGACCGGACTCGCGCTGGCAGGGTGGAAGCCCAAGAAAACGGACATGGAGGCGCAGGCCGTCGACTGGTGGAGTTGGGGTGAGTTTCCTGCGATATCGATATCTTTGAGGTACAACGACGCTGACAACAGCAGACTTCGAAACGGCATATCCGTCGCTGGAGAGCTCCCTGGTATTTGGCTATGCGGGTAGCAATCTGACCTGGAACGGATTCAGCGACGAGGACAACCTTGTCTGGGACCAGCGAGGGTACAACACCATCATCAAGGGCATGGCGTCGAAGTTCTTGCCAGCGGACGATCCACGACTCCGTCTGAACACCCAGGTGGCCAACATCACGTACTCAGACAAGGGTGTGACGGTGCATAACCGCGACGGTACGTGCGTGCAGGCTCAGTATGCCCTGTGCACGTTCTCCCTCGGCGTGCTCCAGAACGATGCCGTGACGTTCACTCCCCAGCTGCCCCTCTGGAAGCGCACGGCCATCGAGAAGTTCACCATGGGCACCTACACCAAGATCTTCCTCCAGTTCAACGAGACGTTCTGGCCCGCAGACACACAGTACATGCTCTACGCCGACCCCAAGCTCCGCGGCCGCTATCCCATCTGGCAATCGCTCTCCACCCCCGGCTTCCTCCCCGGATCCAACATCATCTTCGCGACCGTCACCAACGACTTCGCCTACCGCGTGGAGACCCAGTCCGACGACGAAACCAAGGCAGAGCTCATGCACGTGCTGCGCTCCATGTTCCCGGACAAGGCCCTCCCCGAGCCCACCGCCATCATGTATCCGCGCTGGAGCACCGAGCCCTGGGCGTACGGCAGCTACTCCAACTGGCCCCCGGCTACGAGTCTCGAGGAGCATGAGAACCTCCGTGCGAACACCGGCCGGCTGTGGTTCGCTGGCGAGCACACGTCCGCCTCCTACTTTGGGTTCCTGCATGGGGCTTGGTTCGAGGGCCGGGATGCCGGGAGGCAGATTGCGGCGCTGCTGCAGAAGCGTTGCGTGTATTACAATTCGACCAGGGAGAGGTTGTGTGGACCTCGGAAGCATTATGAGACGTTGCATGGGTTCACCCCTCTGGCGGACTATAGTGCTGTGAACGGCTGGACGGGGAACAGTTTCTATGATTATAATCACGATTAGGACCAGGGGTGAATGACACCACCGTAGTGCTATATAATAATTGAATCCACTGCAGCTAATGCAAGAATGGCCTCGGACTTCGATCGCACGGTTGGTATATCCCTCTTGAGAGTCAGAGGATAGCCAGCGGAGAGAATCTCTCCTCTGTGATTCCTAGGTAAAGCGACGCATTTGCATCTAACAAGAAAGAACAAACGAGGCTGAGCCTAATCCTTGACACAAACCGCCTATTGGTCATTTATCAACGAATCTCAAGAGAGGAGATTGAGGCGAAGCGCCCGACCCGGCATGGGCGTCTGTTTCGCTGCAGAGCTAGTTAGTCTAGTCACACAAAATGGCAGCCTTGTTGCTCCAGCGCTCAAAAAGAGCTTTTGTCTGTTCCTCTTGTCATTTCAATCCCGGTCCATGGTCTCAAATTGAACAATATAGACAAAGACGAAGTGGATGTCATGGAAGAAAAGCCAGACATTGTAACGGTGTGTGAGGAACAGGGTAGTTTACATTCGACCCGAGCGAGGGATTCAGCACTCTCCGCTAACTGCTATTAGGAGAAGACAGCTGGACGACCTTTCAATCGGCCGATCTATGGGCTCATGCCAAAATCCAGTGGATAAAATCCAAGCTGGCACAGTATCAGGAGGATCAACACTCCTCAACCGTCCTGATGTATCTACTACACATATCCTTGCCAGCGTTATGAACTTGTATGCCTCCAACTCACACTGTACTATAGATACGCCGATTTCACCCCCGAGGACGCCAACCGTTCATTTATCCGGAACGAAAAGGCTCTAGATTCCTGCTTTCCTCCTGAATTCTTCCCTATCATCGCGGATGACCTGAATGGCGACTTTTTCTGCGAGTATGACCTCGACGAGCAGGATGAGATCACCAAGCACGGTTCGTCCCTACCTGTCTTGAACTCGCATCCTATCCGGGCCCCTAACATCGGAAGAATCACAGTATCCTGGAGCTGCTTCAAGATCAAACACGCCGTCAAGCCAGGCGAATACGAGTGGTTCCAGCCCGCCGTCTTCGTGCAGTGGCTCCCACAAAAACACCAGCAACTGGTCTTCTTCCTGAACCTCCCCAAACCAGTGAAGGAATACCTGGAGGAGCATCGGCCCCTAGCACGAAACTCCCGGGGCAATCCCTATGTCTGGCACACCGTGTTCGCACAGGCTATCATAGAAGACTATGACAAGTCGATCTGGTCGTTGCGGGACCTGGTGCGACACATTGAAAAGGTCGGTACGCCTGCAACCACGTCCATTCCCCGGAGCGAGAATACTTCAGCAGGAGGCAAGGATACTGAAAGAAACGACGCACCCCCCCAAACAGGCCCGGAATTTCCCACACCCGCCAGCCCTTAACTTCCCGAACCTCCACGACATCGCCCGCCACATCTTCCACTCCAACGAGACGCTCAACGTTGCGGCACAGATCCTGGAAAGCCTGATAGCCGAGCAGAAGAGCTTCCAGAAGGAATATCCCGCGCTCGTGAAGGGCAACCGAGGCTCCTGGAGCCAGAACGGCCAGCGCGCGAAACGTGTCAAGCGGCAGCTGCAGTCGCTCGCGTTCCGGTCGCAATCGCTGGGAGAGCGGCTGCACAACGAGATCAACCTGGCCTTCAACCTGGTATCGCAGAAGGACGGGGCCATGATGAAGACCGTCGCGATCGTGAGTATGGTTTATCTGCCGGGGACATTCATCTCGGTACGTTGTGCCTTGCCCCTTGTAGATCGGACCTGGGTGGCGGGGTGTGTCGGGGGGAAAGCTGACCAGAAGCAGGGCCTCTTCGGCACCAACTTCTTCAATATGTCGAACGACCCGGCCGCGCCGGCGTGGATGGTCTCGGCGAATTTCTGGCTGTATTGGGCCATCGCGGTGCCCTTGACGTGTGCGACGATGGCGATTTGGGCCCTGTGGCATTACTTCCCGCATTATTATCCTCGGATTGCCTTGAGGCACATGGTGCCGCCGAAGGAGGGATCGAAGGTGTGATGTTCTTCGGTGTGTGCTGTTGTTTGGATGATTGATGAAACAATGATTATGATCAAGCTATATAAGCATTGGAGATTGCGGTAGGACCCTTTTGCTCCGTATATACAAAGTACATGGAGAATGAATGAAAGATCTACCCAATGCCATGATTGAATTCATGCAAATTCCAATAGGATTGATGCTAATGACCATCCCAGAGTACGGATTTCTTCCAGAAACCAACCGAATGACAACTGTCAAATGCTTTATACAGATGATGTCGGGGTATCAACTCCCTCCAATGTACTTTGTAGAATGCCTCTCTGAGTAACTGTGCAATCACTCAACGCCGCGGACCAAAGCCTGCGTTGCAGCTAGACATTGCTAGAGCCAAAGATGACACAGCGTCAGGATAGTACTCAAGGCAGGTATCCAGTTGACGACCTCGTGCAATGAACACGACCGTTCCGGGAATTATGGTGTCTTCAAATCGAATGGTAGTCCACAGTACTGTTTGTTATACTGGGGACCACATACAAGGATCACCATCTCATGATGCGATCATGGAAAACCTCATGAATGACTCCACCCGACTAAGCGGAGAAGCATGGACCGGGATTCACATCAGGAGACAACCCCCAAGGATAATCTCGCTAAGGTGCGTGATGCAGTGCAGAGTCATGACTCAGACCCATCGCCGTCTGTTGCTTCGACCGACTCGACTCTGAATAGCGGGGATTCGCTCGAGGTGCGTGAACAATCCTGTCGACCTTCTAGATCTGCGAACAATGGCTCCGTCTCAGTCGGAATATGAACGCCCATTGTTGTAGCCGTGGAATGGATGTTATCTAGAGCGGCCCTGCTCCAACTCCATCGCCGCGACGCAGCCTTTGCTGCGATGCTGAGATTGATAAACGCATCCGCGTTCTCGGGTGTGTCTAAGCGCTCGAGGAGTGAGAACAGGGCGGTGTTGACCCATTGGCTGGTGCCCTCTGGCATGCGGTCGACGCCCCAAGAGGACCGGTAAACGCGCATCAATTGGGAGATACTCCTCGCAGAGGACAGGCGAACCTCATCAAGATCTTTCAAGAACGGCTGCGTGCTGCCTGGGGCATTCGAGGAGTTTGGCTCGCCGATCTTGTCGCTTTTTTTGATCAAGTCATATACTGTAATAATAATTGCATGTTGATACATACTATGGCCAGTCAGTCATTTCTTTTGTGTGAGCCTTGAGCAATGGAAGATCACACTGAAGACACAGTACATGTGGGACCTCTATAGCATCCCTCTCCTTCAGGCAGATTGGCAATTTATCCGCCCACAATTGCAGTCGTCGATGCAGTTCGTTAATTTTCGGTTTCATCTCGGAGGGACGCACTTCCCCTTGGAAGAAAGGGTAGGTAATCTCGTGGGCTATTTCGTTCAATTCACACAGAGCTCTGAACGTACATGACGTATGTGCCTGCAATTTCTCCGACTCGGTCGGATAGGGAAACCAGGGATCTGCATCGAGATCGTGGCTGATCGGCGGCATAGGTAATCTTCGGGGCGGCTTGATCAAAGGCACTTTTCTGTCCGATATGGCTCGGGTCCTGGATCCAGGGACTGGTCAGTCGTCCCTGGTTCTTGCCGTTCGGCATTGGTAAAAGACAGTGCATAGCGTACATGGCGATGTTGAACAAACCCCATATGGTCAAATTGGTCACTTGAGACAATTCGAGCGCATCCTTGTCGGCAGGAGACGGAGCTGTGGTGCTCTGAGATAGTTCCCGGACGGCATAGGCCAGCTGGCTCTGATAGATCCAGCCGTGTCTATCTTTCCGATTCATGAAAGCACTAGCCCTTTTAGTATCGCAACACATTGGTTGACATCTCCGAGACGTACCATGTCCAGAGAACCCCTATCCCTTGAGCGGTAACAAGCGTGTACCTGCCCTCTTCCTTATCCAGCAACCGTTTGGCCTCATTGTAGAAGCGGGCGCCTTGAGCCAAAGCTTCTGGTCCATCCGAGTATGCCTATCGCCAATCACCAACCGTCCACAACTCACAGACACACAAAAGGCAACATACACTCGCATCGGCCAGCATGACATTCACCAAGAACGGCGAACAGAACTTGGACTCCAAACTCCCCGATTTCATATCCCGCAGAAACAGTCCCCGATCAATCCAGTTATAGAACGGATGAACCCACGTAAGCCACAGCGAGATCAAATGCGAGACATACGCATCGTCCGCAGTGACCATCGTCCACGGACCCGCCTGCACCTGGAACAGCGGCTCAACCGCATGCTGCGCATCGAGAATCCGCCTCCGCCTCCGCGACCTTGGCCCCGTCTGCTCAAATCGCTGCATCTCATTGCACACCTCTATCAACTCCGGCGTCTTCTCCGACTCGAGCCCTGCCAACTGGGTGTCGATGTAGCGCTTGATCTCGGGCAGCGAGGCATTGCTCCGGATGAGATTTAGCAGCTGGATGGTGTGCCGGTTGCCGCTTTCACGAAGGGTGCTGACCAGGCGCACTAGGAGATCCTCGTTTTCTTCGAGTTGGCCGAGTTTACGCTTCAGGGCGCCGCGGCGACGGCGATCGGTGGTCGCATCGAGGGTACATTCGACGTTGTTCTTGAGGCAGTTGGTGCATGGGGAGGTACCTGAGCACTGGCCCGTTCTGTTAGATAAGTGTTCTTCCCCCTACCCCCCCCCCCGCGAGTCAAAAGCGTTAAGAAGGGCTTGATGCACTATCCTACCTTGAGCTTGCGCGCTTTGCAGACCGAGCACGCTGTCCCGACATTCTTCCGTCGCTGCTGGGATTCATTTGCCCCCAAAACACCGGGCAGGGCAGGGGCCAGAACGCGCGACTGAGGCTCAGCCATGATGTGTAGGTTCAAGCCATGTCGTGGATGAGAAAATAATTGGGAGAATAAATCCTAAGGGGAATCTCAAGGCAAGGGAGGAGTGTCGCCTTTAATGCAACATGACCGGACTTGGTCGAGGATCAGAAGAGGAATGACGATCAAAGGCGTAATATATGTGACCGAGGTGGTATTAAATACGGCGCTTGCATGACTCGCAAAGAATTTAAATCGGCTGATTGGATGGAAAACATTCTCCGCAGTATTACCTATAATACGATCTCAAAAATTACGATCTCAGCTAATTAGAGAACTGCTACTACTACTGTATACTCCGTAGCATAACTAGATATAGACTATAGGTAAGGTATATCGATAGCTGAGGATACTATTTGACTGGGTAACGAGAGCTGAAAAGATGTGTACTACGGTATGCCATCATGAATGGTCAAGTCGGAATGATCTCCAGGGATCTAGACTGCCAACATGCCTGGATACATGCCTGGATGAATGAGATGCATGATATCGTAGTACTGGCTTGGTTCGGTGTTTCTCAGCATCACATCAATATGACTGATACAAATCAGCAGCCGCTTGAAGGTGGTGATAAATTTAGTCTGATCTCTTGCATTAACTAAATCTAGGTACCTACTATGGCAGCTGTGCTATATAAACTTGGACGCAAAAAAAAGGGGGGAAATGCTACACTAATATACATGATACAGCTCAAACAGTCTTCCCGGCAACGCCCACCCCACCCTTTTCTCTCTCACTCTGTTCCCGAGACGAGACAGAGCCGCCGGGTACGACGCCCAGGTCGACCGACTCATCCTCATCCTCGCGCCAGAAATCCTTCTTGCCACGAGCAGCCCGTCGAATCCAAGGTGGGAAGAAGCCTCCGGGGATCTTGTATGACCAAAAGTCCTTTTCATCCTTGTTTTCAGGGGCAATGCGACCACCCGAGGTCTTCTCCACAAGCCAGACAGTCACGTTGATGACCATGTAGCTCAGGATACCCGCGATGAGACCATAGGCGATAGAATAGGTAAAGGGCATGATGGCAATGGTCAGGAATGCAGGAATGGCGTCGCCATAGTAGCGCCAGTTGATCTCAGCAGCTGCCTTGCACATGAGGGCACCGACAATAACCAGGGTGCAGCCAGTAGCCCAAGGAGGAATGGAGGCAAAGATCGGAGCGAAGAAGACGGCGACGAAGAAGCAAAGACCAGTCACGCAAGAGGTAAGACCAGTCTTACCGCCTTCGGAGATACCAGCACCGCTTTCAACGAAAGCCGTCACAGGGGGTGAGCCAAAGAGGGAGCCAATCGATATGCAAATTGCATCAACCATCTAGGTGGTCACATAGTCAGACCAACAGTTCACGGGATTGAGGGGGAAGGGTACAAGAGTACATACATAAGCCATGGAACTACCCTCGAAATCCTGAGTGCGTTCATCGATAGCCCCGGCGAAACGAGCCATCGAATACAAAGTACCGGTGGTATCGAGAATGTCAACATACTAGACGACGGGTAAGTCAATCATCTATGGGAAACTTGGGGCGCAAACAAAACCCACCAAGAAAGTAATGAAAGCCAAGCCAAACTGCGAGCCATGAGTTGCGATATTCCAGTCCTGTGCAACCAACGTATGCTTGATTGGGTGGAATGTCACCACCTGCTTGAAGAAATCGAACATGCTATCACCCAACTCTGTGTGAGGGAAGTAGGTGACCGACGTGGGGCGCGGCCAGGAAATGATGGAAACAAGCAAGATGCCAATGATGACGGCTCCCTTGACCCGATAGAGCATCAGAAGCGCTGTGAACACACCGCCGCAAAAGATACCCACCCACATGGCCGGGTTACGCATCTTAGCGTCACTGGGGCACATGCCTGTTGTAGGATCACGCAGGGAAGAAACGCAACCCGCCAGCTCCAGGGGTGTATCTGTAGCTCCCGTTACCAGACCAATACCTGCGCTGTAACTCAACCCGATCAGCGTCAGATAGAGGCCAATACCTGTACCAGTGGCAAGCTTGATCGAGGCGGGCAATGCACGAGCCAACCATTGTCGAATACCAAGTAGCGTCAAGCCCAGGAACACGAATCCTTCGACAAACACAGCAGTAAGAGCGATACTATAAGGGATCATGCCGGAGCCGTGATATCCCACGACGGTATAGGCAAAATAGGCATTGAGGCCCATACCGGGAGCCAGAGCGACCGGCAGATTGGCGAGGAGACCCATGAAGAAAGTGGCCATGGCGCCCATAGCTGCGGTCGCAGTCACGAGATCGCGGTTGATCTCTTGGACACACAGGAGGTATTCGGTATTGGAGTTGCAATTGTCGGCTCGACTTTCGGGAGGGCAGACACAGGTACCGCCCGACGCGGAAGTGATGTTTGCGTTGACACTAATGATGTAGGCCATAGCGAAGAAGGTGGCGAGACCAGCACGGATCTCCGTGAAGAAGCGGCTGCCTTTGCGTTCTTTGGGCTGCCGAGAGGTCAGCTCCTTAGAGCTCTGGGAAGTCTTTCCCACACAGCCATCGGCCAGATAGATGCAGCTATACTTACATGCCCCGAGTGCTCCAGGCGAAACCAGCGCCCGACAGGGCTCTGAGCCACCCGAAGGTTGATTCTGTCCACCAATTCAGAGGCCCCCATGATGGCACAGCAAGCAATAGTGAATAGCTAAGCTCAAAAACGAGCAGGGATGAGGAACCAGCCTTGACGCTCGAGGAAGCAAAGAAGAGTCACAGGCAGGGGAAAAAAAAGCCCACCCACAATGCGAAGAAAAAGTCGCGACTTTTATTTCGCTCCCCTCCATATATGACATTTGCACAAATTCGCGACCAACCACGCGACCCGATAAGAGTGGGAATTTTTCAAAAAATTCTCGAACACCGAAAACTGATTCGATCTCCGGCTTATCTCTCTAAGGTCAACCACTTGGCTATCCTTGGCATACCTGTGGTTCTATCCAATGCGATGACTGTGTTTTAACAGGCGAAATTGCTGATCGGGGCTTTGACTGGTTGGCCACATCGTTGGTGGATGCCTGGACGGATGTCCTCGGGGACTGTGGGACCTTCGATGGCAAACACAGTAAGAGATTCTGCACGAAGAGAGCTTTGTTGCCCGTGGTGCGGATATCGCCGAGCGAACCAGCCAAGGCACTTAGACCTTCGGGCTTCGAGAGGTCTCGTGCGTCTCTGATGGTTTATTGAACGAATGATGATGTATTTGATATTGGCATGTTCGTATCATGGCGATCTCCTATCAAGAGACTAGATAGTTATCTGGTATCTAGATAATCTGAAGTGTTGATCAACTTGGCGAACGCTGGTGGTCTCGGTTGTCTCTGTTGTCTCTGTTGGGACTTTGGGAGAGACCAAGAACGAATTGCCTCGGGAAAGTCATGTGACACTGGAACAAGGAACAGCGCTCTCATATTATTTTTTAAGGTTGTTGTATCGACAATTCAAGTTATTCAACATTCCACCCTGAGACACGGGTTGATTCCTCAAACATCTCATCGTATTCAGATTCAAACCCTATCTCGGACTAGTCAGACAAGGAATTATCTCCTTCAAATCACCCAGAATGCCTATCGCCTGATTCCTCTCCTCCAAATGCCACGGCGCGGTTCCTGACGCGCCAATTCCCGCCCGAATTAGCTTCACTTGTGGATACTCTTCAACCAAGTCTTCGTTATGCCATCGCAACACTGACGGCGTGTTCATTCCAACGCCTAGCTCCAGAATGACGGTAGTTTTCGACTCGGATGCAATCTGCTCTAGAAATTCGGCGTATTTCCGCTCTTGTGCTGCGAAAGGAGCCTGGTTGAAATAGTCCCCTCCACGAACACACAGCGTCAATTCTCCTCCGCAATACTTGCAGCCAGGAATCATGGACGAATCAGTCAAACATTGCGTAGCGGGATCAATATGCGGCAGCGCTGCGTCGACAAGTGGCGCAGACTCAAAGACTGCATTGCGGCGACATTTGGCCAAACACTGGAGGTACCGATATTGACCTTGTGGGGTCGAGACTCGTCTCGGGTCAAATCCGTTGGCGACAAAAAGCCCGTCCGCATTCGATGTGCGAATGAAATAATCTGCACCGAAGCCGCTGGCCAACTGAAGCAATTGGGCGTATACCGACGATGCTGGCCAGCAACGCACCATGTTCAGCTCCTGAAAATAGTATCCCCATTTCTGATTCCCCGAATCCCACCCATTGAAGCCGAAGACATCATACAACCGGCGTAGTCCCAGTGGGAAGAACGCTGGGAAGTGCTGCTTGAACAAGGCCGGGGAGGTATAATCCAATCCAATGGCGGCTGACAACCCAGCCCCTGCGCTGATGATCAAGGCATCCGCCTCCTGAATCCATTGTCTCGCCTTGCGAATCGACGCATGGCTCGAATGTCTCAAGGCCGGACTTTCGAGGTCGGGGTCTAGATGCAAGGTTGAGTATTTCAATCCTGCGAGTTTATGTTGATACAACTCCCAGTCACTTTCCAAGAAAACGTTGAATATCACATCCGTCAGTGATGTGCTTGGATGATCCTCGCACCACTTGACTACCCCATCTACCGCAATCTCCACAGCCAGTTTGGCGGGAAAGGCAAAAACTCCCGTGGAGATGCAACAGAAAGCAAGAATCTTCCTGCCATCTGGCAGCGCCGGAAGATTTTCCGCAGCCTCCAGACAGGACCGGTAACAGGCCGCTAGCTGCTGTTTCTGCTTCTCTGTGGGCTCAGCCGTTCCGCCTCGGCCATTTCTCAGCTGCGGCCCAACTGTGTGTAGCACATACTGTGCTGGAAGATTGAACCCAGGTGTGACCTTGACCGCTCCCACGGGCTCTGTGTGGCTCTGTTGGCTCATGAGGCGGTAACATGCCTCACGCAGTCGCGGACCTGCTACGGAGTGGATGACATTGTCAATGCAGCGGTGGTTTGGGTTGAAGCAGCCCAAAAGAGCGGAATTGGCCGCATTAACAATTGCGGTCGTGTTGGAAAGGGTGGTTATATCTCCTTTCCAGAGACGGAGGGTCACATTGCTCTCTGGGAGGCTGGCTGCCGGTGGAATTGATTCAGAGGCGGTCAACAGAGACTGGCGGACTCGATGCTGGAGGATGGAGTCTATGTCTTCGAGGACCTCGGGATGGAATACCGGTCGTGGAGGACGCTGACAGAGCAAAGCCTGAAGGACCTGAAGCTGGATCCAAGTATCTTCGGGCAGCTGGTGTGAATGATGGCAGCTACAGCCATTGCCATGACGGTCCGGAGCAGATTCCTGAAGGTCAACGACAATCTGAACCAGTTTTTCGGAGAGCGACATATTGCAACACTATTCATGATCAGTCTAGAAATGCTACATGATGGTGACTATCCCATCTACTATCTATCTCTTTATATACTGTGTTTGTGTCTCATAGATGCGCCGTGAGATCCTCCAGAGATACCCGGTGATTGGCTGCGGGTCGGTTTGCACCGTTTGATCTCGGCTGGTATACGGAATTTGCGCGGTTTGCGCTGTTTGTACTGTTTGGACTGGTTTCCTTTGCTGTATATACTGCGCTTACTACGATGGAGCTGCTTTGTCCTTTCGTGTATGGCGATCAACATCTTTGTGCTCATCTTCGTTCGAATCGTTCAAGGACTCATGCTACCTTCTCCTCGAACACAGCAGGGGATGGTGCAAACTTGCTCCGCTGCCTCAGAGCAGGTCCCCACTTCATGAAAGCCAGCGGGATCGGAATCATGATGAAAGACAGACAGCCGAGCAGTGTTCCTGCCCACTGTACTCCGAGATTTGTGAAAAGCTGGCGAGAGAAAAGAGGGAAACAGGCACCCACAGCCGATCGCAGGATGGTGTTAGCGGCAAAGACCGAGGCGGCCCTGAGTGCTCATTAGTGGACCACAGCTCCACGATTCACAGGTTTATTGCACTCACAATTGAAGATACGAATCGACCAGATAGTTGAAGCACTGCAGGAATATGACATAGATTCCGAAGCCCGTAAACACTCCCGACGCTGTCGGGGCCATCCAGTGGATCGACCTGGTCCAGCCCGTCCACCCGTACCAGAACAAGCCAATGGTGAATGCGATTCCCCCGACGATGGCGGGAGGCAGTCGCCATTCAGGAATGGGCATGTCGTTGTTGGCTCGCAGTTTGCGCACATAGTTCCTGGAGTCTAACATGGTATAGATTCCGCCGGCGAATTCGCCGACGATCAGGCCAATGAACGGTAAACTACCCACGCCTAGGTTCATGCCATGTTTATGCTGGAACACGACTGGGTACGCCCCTAGCAGGGCATACATGAGACCATATATGAATGACATGTATATGGTGACGAGGAACACGATCGGCTCAGTCAGAAGCATGCGGAATGGCCGGCTGAAGTTGACGGTAATGAGCTCGTTGATGTCCAGCTCGACCTCATCCTGTTTGGCGTGGATACCCCAATTATGGGTCTGGCGTCTCAGCGTTGCTGCCTTTTCAACCAGCACAATTGGCGCGTATGTTTCCTTGAAGAAGAAAATCAGGAGAACAACACCCAGGAAGCCCATGATGGCGGAGATGTACATGGTCCACCGCCAACCCAAGTAGCTCATGGTGATGAAACCTCCAGTGAAAGGGGACGCGAAGGGGCCCACGAAGACGGCCATGGCGAACATTGCGATTGCTATGCCTCGGTGGCTATTGTCGTACATATCAGCGAACGCGGCGGGCACGATGGCCAACGGACTGGCGGAAAACAGTCCTGCGAAAAATCGAGTGATGAAGAGGGTCTGGGTATCTTTGGCTGTCGCACTGCCAATGGTAAAGATGCTGTAGCCGATCATGCCTATGGTGATCGGCCATCGTCGTCCGATCAGCTCCGAGGCAGGAGCCCAGATCGTTGGTCCTGCGGAGAAGCCCAGGACATACAGCGTGACACCGAGTGTCGCGACTTCTGTGCTGATGTGGAAGTTCTTCGAGATGGCGCCAACAGCGGATGAGAAGATGGCGCTTGCAAATGACGCGGTGAAGGTGTTATAAGCCAGGACCGAGGAATAAAGCACCCTTTCAGTTACAAACGAGCCGTCAGCCCTTGCAAAAAGAAAAAAAAAAAAATTAAGCTCCTCGGCATCCCCCAGCCGACTTACTTTCTCCTTGTTGGCCAATTATGCGGGTGCATGGGGTCATCCACCCCCGTGAACCCGACGACATACTTCTCTGGGTCGGGGAGTAATGGAGGATAGTCCTTTCCATCGCCAAAGGGAAGCCATTGATCGCGAGGCGCTGGTCCCGCAGAAGATCCGACCGTCGATCTCTGCGCTAAACGGAGCGTCTCTACTCGGGCGAGGTCGATATTTGTCTGACATCGACTGATAGGGTCTGCGCGGATATTCTGAAAGGTAGGAGCATCGTGAAGTTCGGATGAAGCGGACGAGGAGCTACTGGCCCTTGCATCGCGGAGGGACATTTTGCAGTGCTATTCGACTCGAAGTACACGCTCTGTCTCTCTCTACGCAGGGCTGCAGATCATCCATATATATATAATTGTCTGCAACCACAATCATGGACGCCTTTCCATGGGACTTCCGGAAGGTTTAAAGTCGATGCTATCATTGATGGCGAGCTGTCCACGGCTGTCCGAGGCGCATTGCAGTAGTTATGCATCGATCCCGCTGTCATGATTGGCTTGAATATCGACATGGCACTGAGCATCGGTTATTGATTTTAAGAAATCCACAGTTTGCTATGGCTCTTCAAGGGGACGAAGTGCCTGAAACCACTCCCGAGCCTCCACGATCCATGATGTCATCGACATCGACCTCGGGTGTTTCTAATCGATGCAGCACCAGGTTCATAACTATGGAGTATGGATCGCCCCTTGGAATTCATTGCAAGTAGTTCTCTGCCATTATTCAACTCATTCTGCATGATTCAGTTAAAGGACGCCTGCCGACTGTGCCGAGACGATCCAGTTGCAGCGCACCCAATGAGACGCCAAATCATGGCTGTCAAGACAAAAGGCCATTCTACCAGAAGCAAAGCTCTATGGTAATTGATAAACACTAAATCCTTGACAAGGTGTTTTAGCTTGATAACTTCAAGTAACCAACGGCGCATTAGACTCCCCGCACTGCCCATTGCAGCAAAGATGAACCGCTTTTTTAGGCAGCCACACCGAATCCCCAACCTCAACGGCTGAGACTGTCCAGGTAGGACGATCGCTGCTAAGGTGATTGAAAAGATATAAATCAGAGCGCCAAATACCCCCGAGATGATCTTTCCCGCCATCATCGTTTTCATCTGGTAAACATCCCCTTACCATCGATAACACAATGGCTCAGGTGCAGGGCCAGTGCCACCCCGCCTTCTCCTCCCTCAAAGCCATCTTTGAGCAGTATCTCGCCTCTGGCGAGGAGCTGGGTGCCGACATCAGCGTCAACATCGCCGGAGAAACCGTCGTGGAGCTCTGGGGCGGCTACACGGATGTCTCCAAGTCCAAACCCTGGACCCAGGATACCCTCACCCCGGTCTGGTCCGTCTCCAAGATCATCACCAATCTAGCCGCTTTGCTCCTCATTGATCGTGGCCAACTCGACCCCTACGCCAAAGTCGCACAATACTGGCCCGAATTTGCCGAGGGCGGCAAGCGGGACATCGAGGTCCGCCATCTGCTCAGCCACACCGCGGGGCTGCCAGCCTGGGATCCCCCACTATTGCGCGAGGATTTCCTCAACGTGCCCCTAGCGACGGAGAAACTCATCCAGCAGCAGCCCTGGTGGACCCCCGGCACTACATCGGGCTACCATCTCGTCTCCCAGGGCAACCTGGTCGGAGAGGTGGTACGGCGGGTGTCAGGCAAGTCGCTGGCGCAGTTTATCCGAGACGAGCTTTCTAGCCCGCTCGACGCAGACTACCACCTCGGACTACCCGAGGTCGACTGGCCGCGAACCGCGGACGTCGTGCCCCCGCCCCCGATCCCTGGCCTGGACCAGCTGCCCCCGGACAGCATCCCTGTGCGCGCGTTCCGGGGCACCCTCCCCAACGCAACGGAGTGTATGACGCCCGAGTTCCGGCGGGCGGAACTCGGTGCGTCGGGCGGCTTCGGCAATGCGCGCGCGATCAATCGGATCGTCTCCATGGTCTCGATGGGTGGGACGGTGAACGGGCGGAGGTTCCTGTCGCCGGAGTCCATTGATCTGATTTTCAAGGAGCAGGTGAGCGGGGTGGATCTGGTGCTGGGCTCATTTCTGCGGTTCGGGATGGGGATGGCCCTGCCTGCGCCAGAGAATCCGGGCCTGGATTTCATTCCGCAGGGGAGGGTGTGCTACTGGGGAGGATGGGGCGGGTCCATTGCAATCATGGACGTGGATCGCAAGGTGACGATCACGTACACTATGAACAAGATGGGCAATGGGACGTTGGGCAACGGGCGAACAGGGGAGTACGTCAAGGCGGTTTATGCGGCGCTGGATGCGTACCAGCCCAGCTCGTAGTCTCTCTACAGCTCTATTCTACGATTAATAGATAGGACACGGTCTCATGAAAGATCATGTATCTCACTCATCATAAGTGCACTATTCCTACAGCGCAACTCCCAGCCCCAGTTACTGGGTAGTCACCTTCGCATCCTCCTCCACGTTCTCAATCAGATTGTTGTCCGACAGAGTCGTCACCAGTCCATCCGGCACCTCGGCACTGAATGACTCGTCAGTCTCAATCCATCAATACTCCTGGTAGATCCGAGAGGAAACGAACGTGAAGCCCTTGACCAGTTCGAAATCCGACTTGATGGTACCTCCGCTCGAGGTGATGTTATCTTTCACTCTGGACACGGTTCAGATGTCTGAACGTTGTATTAAGAAAAGAAGAATCTTACTGTTTGATCTGATCTTCCGTTGCGCTTGAGGCGAGGGTAATCTATACAATGAATTAGTATATAGCTGTTTGATGTGGCAGCCCCGGGGGGGTGGGGGGGTGAAACTTGCCATGACAGCAGGCATTTTGGCGGTATTGTGGATGTATGTAGAGTTCTATATGAGTTACTCGGTTTTTTATTGGGATTTGGATTCGATTTTGATGCTTAAGATACACTGCCTCAGATGCAGCTTATATACTTCTTCAGGGATACCGTCTTTTGCCCCCAGAAAACCGGGATCAAGAAAATAAGGACCGTAAGGCGTAAGCCCATGATATCACTCCACAGCCAATGGAGCACTTGCGTCCGAGAATAACTATTCTTCGATCGTTCTATCGATTCCACCATCTTCCTGCGCGGACTATCTAGATAACCAACGACTAACGAGAAGCTACTCCGGCTACATCATACGTGCATACTCCGTACGCTAAGTGGACATCCCATGATCTCAGCCACTACGGTCATTGATCGACAAGCCTCAGCACCTCCCCCGCAATCCGTCGATACCCCTCCATCAAGCCCTCGTCATCCTCCCCGGGCCGCATCCCCAGCAGCTTCGCATGCTGCGCAAGCCCCTCCGCGCACTGCCACGTATGGTTCTTCCCCGGCGTCACGTCCAGCGCGACCTCAGCGCCATCGCGCCGCGCACACGCCACAAAATCCTCAACATCATATAGGAAAACCAGCTCGTCCGCCCCCGCTGACACCCACGTGCGGCGCGGGAGGATCTCCGCCCACGAGCCGCGCGTGGCCACATCCACCGCGAAATTGCTGTACAGGGCCGCGACGGGTGCCGGCGCGCCGCGCATCACCTGCGCGTGGCACGAGTCCAGTCCGGCCTTGGACAGCCGATCTTCCCAGTGCAGCGCCAGCGCGCGCGGGTGCGACGTGTGCAGATTCAGCCAGGGGCTGATGAGGATCGCGCCGGCGGGTTTGTCGTGGTACTGGGCTTCGGCGGGGTGGGCGGTTCGTCGCTCGTGGAGGCCCAGCAGAAGAGACGTGATTAGATGGCCGCCAGCGGAGTCGCCGGCGACTACGATCTTGGATGCGGCGACGCCCAGCTCCTTGTTGATCCAGTCGTAGGCGGCGATGGCTTCGTCGCGCTGCGTCGGGAAGGTGGCGCGCGGGGCGAGGGTGTAGTCGAGCGAGAAGATGGCGGTGGTGACCCCGTTGCGCTGGAGCAGCTCGGCCAGGAAGAGATGCTCGGGGGCGCCGGCGGATGGGTGGAAGCTCACGTATCCGCCACCGTGGCAGTGGAAGAGCACCAGGTCGGCATCGCGGGGGTGGATCGCCTCGGCGGAGAGCCCGCGGCAGATCCAGAAGCCACTGAATTCCGGCCTTCGCACGCTCTGGTAGATTTGGCGTCGAAGATGCCCGTAGCGGTTTGAGTTGTGTAGGTTCTGGCCGGTGCGATCGGCGACATTGTCCCAGAGACACCCGGGGGTGTTGTTTCCCAGACTAAATGATGCCAGACATGTCATGAATATTTTTCACTTGAACACAAACATTCAGTCATGGGGTGGTTGCGGCTATGAATACACACCAGGTCATGACATGTCGGGAGATATGCTCTCTAAGAGGAGGCGGGTGGTAGGAAGACCAGGGCGACCAGCGCCGCAGGAGCGTGGTGAAGACGGTCCATGGCACTCGGAAGCAGACCGTCACGGCAATTTGAAGATAGTCGGAGAGAGTGGGCTTATGTACGGGGTTTGGTTCAGGTAGAGACTCCATTATCGAAGATCTATTTCGCTTCGAAATGAGGATCAATCCATGAGACATGGATAGCGTCCAATCATTCTTTATATAGCCGAATATCACCCGGACAATTCGTATTCAGCCTGATGTCTAGATCTTTTAACCAAGCACAGACGGTCCTATAAACTGTTCCGTAACTGATTTCAGAACGGACATAGATCCGAGACATCTAGATTGTGATATCTTTGTGGTCCACCAGTGGCACGGATTTCTGATCGAGTTTCGATATTTTCTCTGCAGCAGTTGGAGCATAAAGTCTCTCTGCATAAAGGATCATTAAAAGCGTCGCAGTGACTGGACAGTGAACTCTCTGTTGCTGTCGCGTTGTCTTCAAGTTTTAAGGCTTACACTTGCACAGCACCAAATCGCCTGTGATTTTCCAGCATCGAGATCATCAACGTCATGGCAGCAATTGGAGGCCCTCTCATTGGAGGTTCAGACTGGCCAAAGATTCAAGATCAAGAGTTTTCAGCCTTGTGAAGATAGGAGACTGAGCAGAGCTCCCTTAGTTAGGCTGAGGCATGAGATGCCCGGTCTGGGCACCTTTGAGCAGATTCCCTATCTCGATTTCCCTGGGCAGGAGGAGATTGATATTTCTGACATTTACCGAGCGGTTCTAGACATCCATTCTATCGCCATCTGTGTGCTTGGATGTAGGTTAAGGCCATTGTCCGTGATGGTTTCCGACCGGATGTTCTGTGCAGACTCCATTGCCTTGGTTTACAGATCGGAGATCTGATGCGGCAGCCATCAGACACATGAAGCCCAGGCATTGGCGGGCGATCGCGGTTGATCCTCCACATTTTTCGCAAGGAATGCCACTTCTGGAAATATGTTATGTGTTATCCCTACCGTTGTCAGCCGAAATCTTATGCGACCATACATTTCTCCAGTCGGAGTATAAATATATGGTCAGGGTTCAGACATCGAGGAATGTGTCGTTATACGGTCAATCAATCAACAAGCAACAATGGCAGCCAAAGTCTTCCTCCCCCTCCTTAGCGTATTCGCGTTGTATGCCATTTTCTACTTCGCTGAGATCAATGGCTTGCACCGTCTGGCACTGGAGGCTATCGCCTCAAGAAAATTGCCCGGCACCAACGAGCCCCTGCGTACAGTCTATACGGGTGTTGAACCAATAGACGAGGTACTGGCTGGATTGATCACTTTTTTCTGGCCTGCCACCGATGGTAGCAGTCCGGCCATGACGTTGCATTCTATTGCCTTCTCTGGAACGTTCGGGGCTGCTTGGATGCTTGTAACGATGGAGTCATGGAGACGCGGAAATGCATGGACAGTCGCCGCCTTGTATGCTTCCCCCTCCAGTAGGCACTAGAGTGTATGGAGCTGACAGGATGATCACAGTCCCATGATCTTTGGCCTTTTGGCGCAAGTGCTCACTTTCGCCTTCGCCACGCCGCTGTACTGCGCCCTCCAGCTATCTAGCTCCGTCACCGCGCGCAAACCCAATCCTGAGAACATTCGTATCTCTCGGGTTGTGCTCAATGCCATTCCCTTGGTCTTCGTGGTGGGGTTCATGGTTCCCACCGTGCTCATAACCGTTCCCGTTTCGGAGCATGTCACGACCGACATGAAGCAAATCTTCATTGCCTCTTGGCAACCCTGGCCTGCATACGTCGCCATCGCTCTCACTGTGGTCAACGTCCTCTTCAGCCCCTTTGTGAGCAATGACCGTTCGATTGAAAGTGGGCGCGCGTCTCTCCGATCCCTGCGATTTGTATACGCCTTTGCATTTGCTAGTGCTGCCATCACCCATCTGATTTCGTGGACTCTGTCCCTAGCTACCGTTGTCGTGCCTGTTATCTTCGAGGAGGGGGTCTTGCATGCACTGCATCCGTCGAAGGTCTTTGAGATCGCACTTCCTTGGGCAGTGCCTGCACTGCAGGTGAACAGTATCAGTGAGGGTGTACATGTCTTTCTACGCTGGGATTACCTGGTCGGCTCCGCTGGAGTGCTGATCTGGGCACTGAGCTTGTACAAAACCGCTCACAGGGTGGTCTATGGTCAGGTTCGGTGGTTCGACCTGCTGAAAAAGGTTGCGCTGTTGGTGGTTCTGGTCGGGCCTGCGGGAGCCGCTGTGGAGTTGATGTGGGAACGTGATGAGCTGATCATTCATGGGATTGGGGGTCTGAAGCGCCAGGCGTCGCAGGAGAAGAAGTTTTCATAGGTGATGTGAGACGTGGTGTTTGGCGGGGCTGTGCTAGTTGTAGTTGATGATCTGGTTGTCACTGATATCTGTGCTATCTGATGCTTCTTTGGAGATGTAGATACCAAGGCAGTTGGCTATTCAACATCTGGATTCCTGCGGCTATCATATCATGGTCCGGTGATCTCGAGACCCCTTGACCTCACGACTCTCTTAACTCTCTTAACTTTATGTCTTGTTTGCACTGGGTTCGCTGGTGTGGATAATGGAGCTCCGTTGTGTAGCAATTATTGAGTGCATGTAGCCTTGTCTTGTGTTTGGAGTAGTTCTCTAGTGGCTCGGAATGTCACATTATGAAGTATTCCACGGAAGATGGATATATATTCTATTGAGCTTCACTTTTACCATCACCATAAACCAAAGGAGGCTCATGACCTTCGGCATCAGGTTCTGACTGGAATACATGGAGCATGCCGACAAAGATCAATTACCTATGAAAACTCAGATTTCCGATCAATAGATGAGAAATACCGTCACCAGTGTGAGAATATCAGTACATCATCACTCTTTTTTTATGGCATATGGTGCATATGGGGGGACATCATATATTTGGCTTATATTGTTGTAAAAAACGACATTGACCACCAATCAGAGCATGTTAGCTCAGGGGAAGAGCGCCGGGCTCATAACCCGGAGGTCCCTGGATCGAAACCAGGACATGCTAGTTCAACTTCTTTTTTGTTTTTTTTTTTTTTTTTATTGATCCTCTCATATCCTCTTGCACCTGTCATTTATCCTACAGACCCCCTACATCCATAGCTGGGATGTATCAGAACCATTATCACAGACGGAATGAGACTTGCTCTTACTCAACCTTCACGGTGAGTGCTCCCCCTAAACCCTCGTCGAGGTTATTTTCAGGTGCTGTAGGATGAACTCCAGCTGCCACTACTCACGGGAGATATTGATTGTCATTATCCACGGAGAGGCCGCCGCAGGTCGTCAGGGGCCTGGTAATTTCTCACATTGCTGTTGGAGAAATGCCATTCTTACCGTTGCTCCCCCCACCACCCTGAGGTGCAGTCATAATCGGTTTCGACTTGACCATTGCTTCCTTATCAATATTGGCACAAGATCAAAACTTGTGATGGAACAGAGGTGCACTAATGCGCTGTTACTTGCAATATCAGCATGTTAGCTCAGGGGAAGAGCGCCGGGCTCATAACCCGGAGGTCCCTGGATCGAAACCAGGACATGCTATCCTATCCTTTTTTTTCTTTCTTTTTTTTTCGTTGGTCTTCTTAACACATCTTTGTAATACTCTGAAAAGGAGGAATGGCAAGAATGTTGAATCCTGTCCGTTGATTTTACTTGATCATAGGCATCATTCATGTGTACATATTCTTTCGAGATGACCTATCGGATGCTACAGTCCCCTAAACATGCCAACGTCTTCTGAAGGATCGACCTTCTTCCAGTGAGTATCCCTCCAACACGTCTACCAGAGAGTTCATCATGTTCACATTCAGCAGCCCTTTGGTTTTTAACCAAATCTGAACCCTGTCCTCGGCATGAAATGGCCGGATCGAAATTGCTAGACGGTTCGCTGGATTAGCTGGCTTCGCCATCTCGGCATAAGCTTGTGGGTGTACAGTATCCGCGAGATGAAACTGAAGCATCACCTCGTCCCCCTGCCTAAGATTTAGCCCCAGTGCTTGCGAGATTGCGAAACGAAACTGCTCAACGGGTACCCCAGCCATTTGGCCACCACGGAGGACTTGGACCGTTGTCTCTGTTTCGGAAAGGAAACATTGCAAATTACCGAGCTTTTTCCTTTGCCAAGTGTCTTGCGCATGTAATTGTCGCTTGATACACAGGTCTTTGTAGTTCTTGCGCAGAATCGGGTCTGGGGAATTTTGGATATCATTGAATGAATACCTTGCGTTTTCGACGATAAGCACTCATATGATCTCGGATACGATCAGATAGCCTGGTTGCCTGCCCGACATATAACCAGAAGTTGCCGGGGTTCTTTCGAGTCCAAAGGATATGAGGGTACACACCAGCTTCCTTGGATTGCTCGGGATCTTGGCCTATGGCCTTTAAGCTGAGACAATCATCAACATCATACTATTGCCCACAGTGCACATCCTCGGAATATACCTACTCGTCCAAAGTGAACCTTCCACTCTCGCAGGTTCCCCTGACCACAGGGTTGAGATTCGCCTCAAGTGTTCTTGAAACATCTTTCCTATGAAATAGCCACCCATATATTTCTCCGTGCTTGCTCTTCACTTTGTCGATGAGGTGCTCCAGAACCCGGCCACGATCAATTGGACCAAGACTTTGGAGGTGAGTCGGATTATCCGTGATCCTAGATGACAGAGTCTTTCTATCAGATCATTTGGCTTTTGCAGTCACTGCGGACCTCTGCGGTGGGCTTTCCTTCTGAAATATAATCTATCAGCCTATCCTGCTCAGATGTCCATTCTAAGAGGCAAAATTTGGGGGCTTACCGGGACCTCGTCCGTCTCGCTTGACTCATGAGTTTCTTCTTCGAAAATTTCTGGGCTTTCAGATGGGTTCTTCACAGCAAGGCAGTGGCCCTCAAAATACCATCCTTTGCATCAGGCACACTGTTTTGCTTCACATCCATCCATTTGGTGACCAATCTGGCCGCACTTCTGGCAGAATCAACACAGGCACTCTTGATAACCATTTATGACCCAGTCTTTGCAGGTCCTGTACGGCTCCATGGTAGAAGAGAGAGTACTAGAGTTTCCACGAAGCGTCAGGATTACTTTAGCAGAAAGATGAGGACAGGCCAAGTAATATGAAGTGTAGATGGATTAGTTTTATAGTACTGCTACTGATTATTTCGGTATCCTAGGAATTCTTTAATCACTAGATTAAATCAAGCCACCACGGCATGTCTTCCGTCTGAGGGTCGATCTAAATCTGGAGGTAGTAATCTACTACTATATGACAGTGAATTAAAAGTAAAGGTCGCAAGTGCTTTTAGTTATATAGTCATAAAAGATAACATTGATCACCAATCAGAGCATGTTAGCTCAGGGGAAGAGCGCCGGGCTCATAACCCGGAGGTCCCTGGATCGAAACCAGGACATGCTAAGAAGTTCAACTTTCTTTTTCCTTTTTAAATTTTTTTTTTTCCCGCTGATTGTTCATATCTTAAAACTAGTCATAGGTGAATGTTTGCGTTCTCAAAAGCCTGTTAGTACTGGGCTTTACCCTATAACGAAAGCACTATAGAACGAGTCAACAAACACCTTATGCCCAGTTCTTCTACAATCTTGAGTTGCCTATCAAGCGCACCTGCCGGCTGCCAGAGATCCAGATTCCAGACTCAAAGCTCAGATAGCCAAGACGTCAAGCTTTGGACCTATCTATATCTTGAACCTGCGGGGTGTTTCAGATTTGTGAAGCAGCCTGTGAGCCATATGCCATGAAGATCAACTCCCATACATATTCAATGCCATCGATACCTGTATTAGGGGGGGAAATAACCAGTCCGGCAGTCTGTGTCAAAATCTACTCTCAGCATCTTGAAGCTCTTGAGATTCAGAATGGAGATGCCTAGCGAAGTGAAACTGGCTTGCGGCGAGGCGTATCTCAGTGTCTGAGAAGTGTTGTCCTAGTTCCAAAGAAGATAATGTGTTGCGTTGCCCGTCCGCGGAAAGAGGAAATGTTGGCGATTATGCATTATTACAAAGGCCGGGGGCTAGACATGCGTGGGTAGACAATTCTTGAGAAGAAGACTGGTATACACACACTTTCTGGAGCAATAGTGGCCTTCGTCTCATGGAAGCCTGGTATTACTGATTCTGACAAGGGTAAAAAAAGGCTGACGACGGCGAGAGAAGATGAGGTTGTATCAAGCTTTAGAGATACATACACAATGACTTCAAGTCAAGGTAGAGACGAAATGTGGTACGATCTACTCCGTAAGGACTCAGCAATAGTAGTACACAGTAGGTTTGATTAGAGTCTCATATAATACTAATAATAATAATATCACTAGCCCGTCAACACCTGGACCTACGGAGTACTCTGTAAATTCTTCCAACAGGCAGAATCTGTCCCAGAATCCGGTGCCGGGAGGGAGAGCCACCCGCTCTGAGCCGATGGACCAGTCAGGCTGTCAGCATATGTCGGCGTGGGCTTTGCCGGAGACTGGAATTCATCATAATAATAGTTGGAGCTTGTCCACTGTTCTCTTTCTTGTCTTCTGGTGGGCAAGGGATAATACACCAAGACGCTGACTCCGTACAATCCGTCAATTCTTACGGAGTAGGTAACCCATCAATTCCCTAAACAAAAAAAAAAAAAAAAAAAAAAAAAAAGAAAAAAAAAATACAGACAGACAATAATGCACAAGGCCAAGAAGAACACTGTGTCCTGAGCTACTCTTCCCAGCTACCCCGTTCCTAATTTGCTTCTCCTAATTTGTCATTATTTTTGTTGTCGCGTGCCTTAGACGGTTGTTGAACTAACCCCCCCGGAAGTGCGTGCGTCGCCCTGATGAGACTGACGCAGTCCCTGCGCTGCAGGGTCCGTCGTCCTTCACCGTCGTTGTCATTGTCGTCTTCCATCCTCCACTGCTCTGTATTCACCCAGCGATTTGGTCTCCTTCGTACTCCTGGCGCTCGTTCTCCTCTCATTAAGCGAGTCGTCTGCACATCCTCCGGCAAACTGCGCCTTAAGAAGTCCCTCTTCTCCAATGCGCAAGTCCACTCAGCTCCCTGTCCTCCCTTAAGACCATCAACCACAACAATACCTGTCACAAACCACATTACGACTTCGCTCATGGCGACTCAAACCAGAGGCCACGGCGGCCATTCTCACCATCATCACCATCACCACCACGACAATGTCTACCTCACTTCGACGGACAAAAGCGACGCGGGGGTGCGAATCACCCGGATCGGCCTGGTTGCCAATCTCGTCATGGCAATCGGGAAGTTCGTCGGCGGCTACGTCTTCCATTCCCAGGCTCTGATCGCTGATGCCTATCACGCCCTGACCGATCTTGTTTCCGACTTCCTTACTCTGGGGACCGTCGCTTGGTCCCTGAAGTCCCCGACGGAGAGGTTCCCCAACGGCTACGGAAAAATCGAGAGCATTGGTGCGCTCGGAGTGAGCGGGCTCCTGCTGTGCGGAGGCGTGTTTATGGGCTTGAATTCGGGTCAGGTTCTGCTGGATCAGTTCTTCCCGGATGCCGCGGAAGCGATTGCTCACTCGGGAGTTTTGGGCCATGGTCATTCGCATAGTCATGGAATTGACGCCCTGGGACCGAATATCAATGCAGCGTGGCTTGCTGCCGGGTCGATTGTCGTCAAGGAATGGCTTTACCGTGCCAGTGAGTACTTTGTTCTTTATTCTGCAGGTCCCATTACATTTGCGTGGGTCGCGTGCAATCCGTTAACCAACTCTTCGGTACCCTCTAGCTATGAAAGTTGCAACCGAACGCAAGTCCTCCGTCCTCGCTTCGAACGCCGTGCATCATCGCATCGACTCGCTCACGAGCATTGTCGCCTTGTTCACCATCGGTGGATCGTACATGTTCCAGGACGCCTCCTGGCTGGACCCTGTGGGCGGCCTTCTCATCTCTCTGATGGTCATCAAAGCCGGCTGGGGAAATACGGCGACCTCGCTTCTCGAACTGGCCGACACGACGGTGGATGACGAGATCAAGCAATCTGTGCGCAACGCGGCTACGAAGATCCTCACCCAACTGGAAGGCTACGATGCGGTCACAGTCCGCGACGTCCAGGGCATGAAGTCGGGCCAGAACTACCTCATGGAGCTCGAACTGGCGGTGCCAGGGGCTTGGCCGATCAGCCGTTCTCGCGAGATCGAGCAGGCTGTCCGGCAGGCGGTCGGGGCGGGTGTTCGCGGGGTCAAGCGACTCAAGATCCGATTTGTACCCTCGGAACTGGGCCACTCTGATTTTACGGAGGAATTTATTGCCCCGGAGGTTGTTCGACGGAGTAACCCGGAGCTGCAAGAGGGCGATATTGACGCTGTACACGAAGCCCACGTGCATGACCACCAGCACCAGGGAAACGAGCCCCGCAAGACACGCTGAACCGGGGGGAATTAATTGCCCCCTTTTGATTTTGCTTTTTTCTCTTGTATATGGATATCAGTTGGACCTTTTTTTTTGTACTGCTCACTTTCCTCTGGCCTCACCAAAGAGCATGTGATACCCCCTTGAGGCAGGATGGGAGAAGATTGCCCATGTTGGTTGGCAATCGAACTCAAGAAAAGAGTTATCTAGATTAGGGAGGAGTGGTCATCCATAGAATAAGACCTGCACCGAGCTTTTTAGCCTTCATTTTTGGCCTGTATGGAGGGGCAAATAACCCCAGAATGTGGACATCCATTGTCCGTACGATTAATTACCCGGCGGCCAACGGTGTCTGGAATCGATGAAAAATGATGTTGATCAACTGATCCTGGAGAGCTTACCCTCGACAGTCTAGTACCTGTGTACACAGTATAGCGACAGGCGTAACAACACTAAGTGGCAGTGCTAGTTCTAGAATGTCCTTCCAACACTGTCTTAAAATCTAAGCCTCTACATATCGTATGTGCGTCTGTCTCTACTCCTCTTCCGGCTCTGGCGTCCTTGATAGTCAATATTAACCGGGTAAATTCCCGGCGGTGGGGGGTTCTCTGGCTTCCCGCTTGCAGTTATGCAGTGCTTTCTTTGACATCCCGCCACCATCATCTTTTCATCTGAGCTTCATTGTCTCTGGGCGTTGTCTGCCATTGGATAGAAGGGATGTCGCAAGCATCCATTTCCTGGTCGTCAATGGCTTGATCAAGACTATCCAACTATCCGGAGGGGAGTTGGAAGGGCAAGCGCTGGGTTAATTGCTTTTTTCTTTTGCGGGTAGTACACTTTTTTTTATTTTTTTTTATTTTTCTGGGTTTGCCTAAGGACCCTAGGGATAAATTGGAGAGGGACAGACACTTTTGCCAGTGATTCGAGCTTAAAGCTGGCCATTCCTCCGGTCTGCGCTGCTCAGTCCCGTAGATTCATTCTTCTATAGTTTTTACCTTCTTATCTTTCACTATTTCTGCTGCTGTGTTATCCGCACTCTTCCCCTGCCCGTATTGACGTCACACCGTCTCATTCTCCGCTTCATCCAATACTCGGCCTCAGTCCTCGTCAACAATAACAAGAGAAGCAAAACAACAAACAACAACAATACCACTAAACGTCACTATGGCTTCCCAAGGCCCCCTCTACATTGGCTTCGACCTCTCCACACAGCAGCTGAAAGGCTTAGTGGTCAATTCCGAGCTCAAGGTCGTCCATATCTCCAAATTCGACTTCGACGCCGACTCCCGCGGGTTCTCGATCAAGAAGGGCGTGCTCACCAACGAGGCGGAGCACGAAGTCTTTGCGCCCGTCGCGCTGTGGTTGCAAGCGCTGGACGGCGTGCTGGACGGTCTGCGCAAGCAGGGGCTCGATTTCAGCCGCGTGCGGGGCATCAGCGGCGCGGGACAGCAGCACGGCAGTGTCTACTGGGGCGAGAATGCGGAGAAGCTCCTGGGCGGTTTGGACGCGGGCAAGACGCTGGAGGAACAGCTGAGTGGCGCGTTCTCGCACCCTTTCAGCCCGAACTGGCAGGATGCCAGTACCCAGAAGGAGTGTGATGAGTTTGATGCGGTTCTGGGCGGTCCGGAGCAGTTGGCCGAGGCGACGGGGAGTAAGGCGCACCATGTAAGTTGCTGAGGGCTGGGATGGGCCTCTACGGGTGTTGGGGGAGTGGGGTTTGCTGACCATCTATGATTTTCGTTTTTCTCAATTAGAGATTCACCGGCCCCCAGATTCTGCGGTTCCAGAGGAAATACCCCGAGGTGTACAAGAAGACGTCCCGGATCTCGCTCGTGTCCTCGTTCCTTGCGTCGTTGCTGCTGGGCCACATTGCGCCGATGGACATCTCCGATGTCTGCGGTATGAATCTGTGGAATATCAGAAAGGGTGCCTACGACGAGGATCTTCTTAAGCTCTGCGCGGGCCCGTTTGGCATGGAAGACCTCAAGCGGAAGCTGGGTGATGTTCCGGAAGATGGAGGCCTACACCTCGGAAAGATCAACAAGTACTATATCGACCGATATGGGTTCAGCTCCGACTGCGAGATCCTCCCCTCGACTGGTGATAACCCGGCCACCATCCTCGCTCTGCCGCTGCGACCATCCGATGCGATGGTTTCCCTCGGAACCTCAACCACCTTCCTCATGTCCACTCCCAGCTACAAGCCCGATCCTGCCACACATTTCTTCAACCACCCCACCACCCCGGGACTCTACATGTTCATGCTCTGCTACAAGAACGGCGGACTCGCACGCGAGCATGTCCGCGACGCCATTAACGAGAAGCTGGGCAGCCCGGCATCTCAGTCATGGGAGAACTTTGACAGGATCACGCTGGAAACACCGCCGCTGGGCCAAAAGTCCGAGTCGGATCCCATGAAGCTGGGCCTCTTCTTCCCCCGGCCGGAGATCGTGCCCAACCTCCGCTCCGGACAGTGGCGGTTCAACTATAACCCCGCAAACGAAACCCTCACCGAGTCCAACGACGGCTGGAACAACCCGTCCGACGAGGCTCGGGCTATCGTCGAGAGTCAGATGCTCTCTCTCCGTCTACGGTCACGCGGTCTGACTCAGAGCCCCGGCGCCAAAATCCCGCCGCAGCCGCGCCGCGTGTACCTTGTCGGAGGAGGGTCTAAGAACAAGGCGATCGCTAAGGTTGCCGGAGAGATCCTGGGAGGAAGTGACGGGGTTTACAAGCTGGATGTCGGAGACAACGCTTGCGCCCTGGGCGCGGCATACAAGGCCGTCTGGGCGATGGAGAGGACGCCTGGTCAGACCTTCGAAGATCTGATTGGCCAGCGGTGGCGCGAGGAGGAGTTTATCGAAAAGATCGCAGATGGCTACCAGAAGGGAGTCTTTGAGAAGTACGGCAACGCTGTGGAGGGATTCGAGAAGATGGAGCACCAGGTGCTGGAGCAAGAAGCGGCCCGGAAGTAGTTTTCTCATACTACGATTACGAGCGTAGCATGGTTTTTCATTTTATTCTTACGATGATGATGTATGAGAAGATAACTGATCTAGACAATTGCACATAAGAATCACTCCAAACCGAACCGAGAGAAAGAGTAATCATGTATACGTGTGTGCATGTGATGTGAGTGTAGCACAGTAGACTTACGTCTCTGCAGTTGATGCCTGAATCTGCCGGCACCAAGGCCACATCGGGTCGCCCCCCCGGTTGCCCTTCTTGTTCTTGGGCCGCTGTCCAGCTTTGCCGCTAGAAACCTCATCAACAACATCCCCAAGTTTATCCCCTCCCTCCTCCGCTGCTTCAACGTCACTTCTCTGGATACCCATCAAGCTCTCCAGCTGTGGTTTGTTTCTTGGAGCTCCATCCATCGCCAGCCTTTTTTTTTTTTTTTTTTTTTTTACCAAGACATCTGCTTCTAGTAGAAGAGCCCAAGAGTCGTGCCTCGTGAGTCCCCCCCCCCCTACCCCCCCAAAATTCTCCACCGAAAGAATTTTTTCCCATTCATTTTACCCGAATAACTGGGTCTTCTAAGGAGCTAAGAAATGCCCACAGCCTATCTACATTCCTAGTTACAGCCTACAGGACACCGAGTCTGACAAAGCGCCCCCCTCCGAGACACCGATCGATCACTACTATTGTTACTCCAGCTAAACCTAATATGCATCATTCCTGACACTACACTACTGATCCTCTATGCTATGACTCTCCACCGCCGTTGATTTTGATCCCGACAAAACAACCACTCCCCTTGACTTCCTGATATACCTTGCCTTCTGAGTCCTCACGACTCCGAAGGTAGCCCGGCTGGTCGAAGATGGAAGAGCAGGTGAGCAATCCCCAAACCGCACATTTGTCGCCTCTGTGAGGTCATTTTCAAAAAAAAAAAGAAAAAAAAAAGTCACCCCACTATATGGCTTCCCTGTACCCCTCCACGAGCCCCTAATGTTTATTTGCTTTAAGCTGTAGGAAAGGGTAATCCATGATCACTAACGGATCATCCTCCAATTAGGTAGCGAATGCAATCGAAATTGCCTCGAATCCGTCCTCAGAGCCAGCCCTCAAGGCTCAAGCCTTCGACTTCGTCAACCAGCTTCGCTCTGATCCTTCGGGGTGGCAGGTCTGCCTCTCCCTATTCACCCAGACTCCCCAGCGCTCGGGGATTGTAAGGCATGTGGCTCTGGAAGTCGTCAATGGTGCCGCACAGGGCGGTCTGATTGACCTGCAGGCTCTAGCCTTCGTCAAGGATGGCTTGCTGGCGTATCTCCGCCAGGTGTATGGACAAGACGCCGGTGCATCCGACCCTCCCAACATCCAGAATAAAATCGCTCAGACCGTCACTTTCCTCTTCTCCGCCCTCTATGCCAACGGGTGGGAAACCTTCTTCGACGATCTGCTCAGCCTGACGTACAAGAGCCCTTCGAGCACGGCACGCGACAATGCCTCCGGGATCATCTTCTACCTTCGAGTCATCAATTCGATCCACGATGAGATCGGCGATGTTCTCGTCTCGCGATCCCGCAACGAACAGGACAAGGCGAACTCCCTCAAAGACCTGATTCGTCAGAGAGACATGCAGCAGATCACCAGCTCGTGGCAACAGATACTGTCGGAATGGCGGGATGGAAACGATGTGATCGTGGAGATGTGCTTGAAGGCTGTCGGCAGCTGGGTCAGCTGGATTGATATCGGTCTCGTTGTCAATCAGACGATGCTGGATCTCTTGTTCCAGCAATTGGGCCGGGCGCAGAAAGCGGACCTGAGACAGGGTGAGGAGAAGGTGCGGGATGCGGCGGTCGACGTTTTCACAGAGATCATCGGCAAGAAAATGAAGGCAGAGGACAAGATTGACATGATAATCTTTCTGAATCTCGATACCATTGTTTCCCAACTCTCGAATAGCCCCCCTCTCCACGCGAATAGGTTCACCTTCAAGTACGACACCGATCTGGCGGAAACCGTTGCCAAGCTAGTCAATATCACCGTTATTGACATTGTCCGGGCGTTAGAACAGGAAGGTGTGTCGGCGGAGTGCAAAGAGAAAGCCAATGGGTTGCTGCAGGTTTTCCTGCCGCACATCCTCAGGTTTTTCTCGGATGAGTACGACGAGGTTTGCTCGACCGTCATCCCCTGTGTCAGCGATCTCTTGACCTACCTGAGGAAAATCGCGAAAATCAACCCCGCTCTTGCCGCTCAGCATTCTTCCATTCTTCTTCCGATCCTCAAGGCCATCATTGCGAAGATGCGTTACGACGACACCTCCTCGTGGGGCGATGAGGACGATCAAACAGACGAGGCGGAATTCCAGGAGCTCCGCAAAAGACTCGGTGTCCTTCAGCAGATTGTTGCCTCGGTAAACGAACAGCTCTATATGGAGGCTGTCTCGGAGGTAGTAGGAACCACTTTTGAGAACCTGCGACAGTCGGGAGCCCAGTTGGATTGGCGTGACCTGGACCTTGCGTTGCACGAAATGTTCTTGTTCGGCGATCTTGCGGTCAAGGCGGGAAGCTTGTACACCAAGGGTAGCCCCAACAATCAGGCCGCGGAACGGCTCATCGAGATGATGTTGAGAATGGTGGAATCCGGTAGGGCACACGATCTTGGCTATCCTGGGAATTATCTAACAATCATCCAGACATCAGATCATTCACCCATCCCGCAACACAGCTACAGTACATGGAGATCTGCGTGCGCTATAGCTCGTTCTTCCACCACCACACCCATCTGATCCCAGGCGTTCTAGAGAGCTTCCTCCAACTCGTCCATCACCCCGTCAAGAAGGTTAAGACACGGTCTTGGTACCTGTTCCAGCGCCTGGTCAAGCAACTCAGACAATACATTGGAAATGTCGCACAGACTGTCGTTGAAGCACTGGGCGATCTCCTGGTGATCCAGGCAGAGGTTTCCCCCGAGGGATCGGATGGTGACGAGATGTCTTCGGAAGACCACGAGGGATCTGCTGATGCCGTCTTCAACAGCCAGCTGTATCTATTCGAAGCCGTCGGTATCATTTGTTCGACGCCGACAGTGCCCGCCGACAAGCAGGTTCTTTACGCACAGTCGGTGCTCAATCCTATATTCCTCGACATGGAGAAGAATCTAGAAGCGGCTAAATCTCATGATGAGCGAGCCCTTTTGCAAATCCATCACGATATCATGGCGCTGGGCACTCTTGCAAGAGGATTCTCGGATTGGATGCCAGGCACAAACACTCCCGCCACGCTCCCCGCGCCCGAGGTTTCGGAAGCATTCAACCAGGTGTCTGAGGCCACACTGGTTGCGCTCGAATCTCTCAAGACCTCCTTCAATGTCCGAACAGCCGCGCGATTCGCCTTCTCAAGGCTCATCGGTGTCCTCGGCTCGCGGATTTTGCCGCAGCTGCCAAGATGGATTGACGGCCTTCTTACCCAGACTTCCTCGCGCGACGAGATGGCCTTATTCCTGCGCCTGCTGGATCAGGTCATCTTCGGCTTCAAGGGCGAAATCTATTCCATCCTCGACACATTGCTGACGCCGTTCCTGCAGCGAGTGTTCTCGGGGATTGCAGATCCCACCACTGGCACGGATGATGAGATTCGATTGGCCGAGTTGAAACGGGAGTATCTAAACTTCCTCCTGGCTGTCTTGAACAATGACTTGGGAGCTGTCATTATTAGTGAAAGTGAGTATCTGACTGATCTCGATTCGAAAATGAATCGTCGGGCTAACCTTGCTAGGAAACCAACCGATCTTCGAGACGGTTATATCTACCATCGAGCATTTCTCCAAGGATATCGATGACTTCACGACAGCCAAGATGGCCTTTTCCGTTCTTTCCAAGATGGGCAGTTCGTGGGGAGGTCCGGACATCGCGCCGGATGCTACCAACGGAGTGCCTCCGCAGGCTGCGCTTCCCGGATTCAGCCAGTTCATGATCTCTCGGTTCTCACCGTTGTGCTGGGCGCTGCCTACTACGCCGTCTTTCAACTCCAAGGATGCGCAAGCCAGACAGGTTCTTGCTGAAGCTGGGGGTCTGCAGCGCACCATCTACTCGAAAACAGGCATGGAGTATATTGCGTACCTCCGTGATCGTGAATTGCCCGGCATGGGCATGGGGGGTGAATTGATTGAAGAGTTTTTGGGTGCTTTGAGCCGGCTGGACTTGAAGGGGTTCCGGCAATTCTTTCCGGTATGTTTTATTTCTGTGAGATTCAGGTTCCTCTAGCTCGTGCTGACCGTCACAGTCTTTTATCCAGCGATTGAGCGCATGATCTGGTTATGATTTACCCCGAACATGATCATTTCTGTTCTTCTTATTTCATCTTTTTTTTTCCTTATGCACCCACCACTCCTCCGCATCCCTCCGATTGCGATTACACTTCCTTTTAGATTCCCACACAGTTTGATTTGATGACTGATGTTCTCATGTGGTCCCTTTATTAAAAAAACCCCGATTGCTCTGTCGCCCTGCACGCAGCCCTTCCCCCTCTACCGTCATAACCTTCGCTGCACTAGGGGTACAGAAAAGTATATAGTTGGCAAGACATCCGTTTGCATGATTCGGCGTTGATATACAGAGTATTTCTTTGTCATCTCGGTTTATTCGGAGGCAATGTTGGATCCACGAAGGAGACAAGACGAGTTGTCCCCCACTGTTGAGACAATGCAGAACAGAGGGGGATCGGGAGATCGGCTGGTGGTGGGAGGAGGATCAGAACTTGGGGTTCTTGGTTGTGTGGTGGGAAACTGGCTTTGGGGCATCTATTTTCCTGGTGGAGGAAGGTGACGATAACCCCATCTATGAGTGTCTATGTATGTACGGTCTTGAGTACGTTATGATAAACGAAAGGATGTGAGATATAACATTATGTACGTGTTTCGACTCTGGTTCCTGCTAGCCGCGTGCTCTCTCTAGTAAGTATTGCGAGAAAGACATGGACATTCTCGCTTGTGGATGCCCGACTTCATTATCTTTTTTCTCCTTCTATATATGTGATTTCAGCGACGGGCGATCACTTTGCCAGTCATAATCATCAGAAGGTGCCAGATAACGTATAAATTTACAACAAGATCTTCAAAAGTCAGTCATCACCAGCCTGAAGACCTGAACTTTCCCGATTCCCGAATCCGCAAGCAATGACTCAGAAAAAAAAAAAAAAAAAAAAAAAAAGGAAGAAGAAAGTCAAAATATCACAAGGAAAGAGAAACCCACTAAGCAAAGAGATACTTGGCCGCATGCTCAACATGGTCATCCGCGAACGTCGCCATGGTGAAGTAGCTATGGTCATAGTCCGGCTGGTAGCGCACCCGCACGCCCTCGACGCCAGCCTCCTTGGCCGCCTTCTCGAAGTTCTCGGGGAGAAGCTGGCCCTGCTTGTAGAAGTTGTCGCCGGTGCCCTACACCACGTTTTCCCCCGGGGTTAGCGGGGTTTCCTCGCGCGTGGCCTTTTGCTTTCGAAGGTGGAGGGGGCAGGCAGGCAGGCAGGCAGGCAAACTCACCACATCAATCAGCACATCTAGCGGGCCCTTCCACTTCCTCACGAGCTCGGTGGCATCGTGCTCCTTCCATTTCTCCTGCTGGTCGTCGCCGAAATAGCCCGCGAAGGCCTTCTGGCCCCAGGGGCAGTTGATGGGGTTTGCGATGGGCGCGAACGCCGAGACGGATTTGTATTTGCCGGGGTTGCGGAGGAACTGTGGATTTTTGCACCGTCCATTAGTACCATTTCCATTGCCCTTTCTTTCTTTCTTTCTTTATTCTTCTTCTTTTTCTCTCTCCCAGTTTAGGGTCTGAGAAATAAGATAAAGGAAAGAGGGAAGATAGGATAAGCTCGCACCAGAGTCAGAGCGCCGTGGCCGCCCATACTGTGGCCCGTGATGCTGACGCGTTGCGCATCGAGCTGCGGGAATGCCGCGAAGACGGTCTGCGGCAGCTCCTCGGTCACGTAGGTGTACATGTTATAGCCGGCGTTGTAGGGGGCCTTGGTGGCGTCGACGTAGAAGCCGGCGCCGGAGCCAAAGTCCCACGAGTCGTTCTCGCCATCGATGTTCAGGCCGCCTGACAAAGAGCTGGATCAACACAGTCCGACAACACACAGAAAAAAACTAAAAAAAAAAATAAAGCAAAAGAAGAAGAAAGGGGTGGGATGTTTTCGGCAACATACGGGGACTGGTATCCGGATACAACACCGCGATGCCCTTCTTGCTGGCACCGTGCTGGAAGAAGCCCTTCTCGGAGCAGTTGTCCGCGGTACAGGTGAGGCCGGACAGGTAGATCAGGACGGGGATCTTCTGCGAGGCGTTCTGGAAGGCTTGTGGGGGTAGGTAGAGGTTGAAGTTCATCTCGCAGCGTGTCGAGCTGGCGGCGTGGCTCAGCTTCAGCAGCTTGCCGCCGAATGAGGCGATTGTTGCTTTTGTTGTTACCGACATGATGGCGACTTTTGCACTCTGGGGGTTCCTAAGTGAGTGAACTGCCGGGAGAAGAGAGCAGAGAGAAGAGAGAAGAGGAAGGAGAAGAGGCGCCGAGCAGGAAATGTAGATGGGTTTGACGTTTTAGACGGTTTGACGGGCCAAGTGGGGGAGGGGAATGAGGGGAATCTTCATGAGGGGCATTTCTCTCTCTTCTCTTGATCTCAACACCAACATTTGTCTATCTACTATCTTTCTACAAGTTGGCACGATGTCTTCCACTGATAGGTCAAGTCATCGGGAACCATTATCATCTCGGCATGGATAGGTCTATGCAGTTGTCGGCGGTCTTAAAATGGAAAATAAATACGAGCGCCATACGATCTTCGATGGACATCGGAAAACTCTTCCTTATAGGGACATCAACAGAGAGGTATCCATATAACAGACAGTAACAGACAAAAAGAAAAGCGCCAATACTCAATGCAATGGAAGATATAGATCAAACATGACTGGGAATACTCCGACAATGCAAACCCCAAATAACGCCATCAACCTAAGCACATAGACATTGTCTACTCCAAGAACAACGAAGGAACGCCATAAATGACAGGCGCTGCACCATTCAAATACTTCAACACACATGCACCCCGCGACTTGGAGACTGCTTCATCTAGCGTCACGGGCTGTGGGGGCTCACTGCCGCAGCCACTCGACTTAGCCGTGCGGGATCGGCCCTTGCTAGGCAGAGGCAACTGCCGGTCGTTGGCCCCCTGTTCACCTAATAATCCCCATTTCTCGAACGTCGACTTGGCAAAGCGATCGATGTCTTTATCCGTCACATCCCAAAGGGTTGCGACCAGCGCCGGACAGCCTGCTTGCAAGTAGTTCATAGGAGTTCCGTACGGCTCGTACTCCCCCGCTTCAGTCAACGTGCCACTGCTGCAGCCCATGAGGAATGTAACTGCACACCGATCCAGGCGCTTGATGGTTCGACCACGGATATACTGTGCACCGCTCCCGTGGCCAAAATACAAAAACATGCTCTTCGATTCCAGACCCCCCCTGAACTCCTCCTCCGTAGGCTCTCGCTTGGAGATGCCCGTCCATGTGGTCAAGCGGCCCAAATCCGCCTCAAAGGTAGCCTGAGTGGTCTGTAAGTCCCCTGTTGGATTGAGAACATACGTGCCACTGCCACGATCAATACCGAATCCGGATTCGCCAGTATCCGCTTTCATACTCTGGAACTGGACGATCCGATCGCGCAGACATTCCAAGGAAGGAACACGACATACTGGCAGCCTCTGAAGGCACGGAAGTGATTCCCACGGGAACAGGTGCAGTGCCTTGTCCAGAACCAAGACAGTATGCTGAGCCTGCTGAGCCTCCCGTGCGCGCTCTGCCGCTTCATGGTAGCCCCGGATCGCATCAAGTGTCTCGACAACCATCATATCAAAGTCAATTTCGTCGTAGGCATTACGTTCTCCTTGGAACTGCAGGATATCCACCACGAAATACAGCAGATCCATTAATGTCTCCTCTGGATCTTCTTGGTCCTCTAGATCCTTCACGCCAACAAATAACTCGAGGACATTCTGATGAAGCGACAATTTGGGAGCTGCTCCACGACCGCCCTTTCGTCTTGATGGCAGGTGCTTGTCGAGTATATTATGGAATGCATTGGCAAAAAGTGTCAGAGCCGCGTCTGCGTGAGGCGTGGGGGAGAAGATGCCTCGGAACCCACCAAACCAGACATTCTCAATGTTCTGAAGTAGGTTCTCGAGACGCTGGTCGAGGGCCTCACGGGTCTTCCACCAGTCCTTCTTGGACTGTCGATCCTTCTGTAATTTTGCCGCATGCGCACTCTCGTTAGCCAGCTTGATAAGGTCCTGCATCTCGCCTCGTCCGTCCTCAAACGTGAACTGGTCCTCCTCGTCCTCGGAATTGCCCCTCTTCAGAGGAAGTCGCAGAAGGAAGGGCGAGTGGTTCTTGCGCAATCGGGAAATGATGAATTCCGTGCAGTCGGTACTCAGGGACAGGGAGAGTACATTGAAATTTTCAGGGAGAATGTCGATATATTCCTCAACAAAGGTGCTGCATAGGTCTGCCTCAAGATCCGCCGAAGAATGACCCGCTGGCCAAAGCAGCGGATCGTTGAACGCTGAGAGCTGCTTGTCAATGCCTATCGCAATCCGCTCGCGCGTGAAAGCACCAATACGGCCGATCTCTAAACGACCAGGCAGGTGATTAGTGAATGCACCAACATTGAGATGAAAAATACGTACCGTTCACGTTCGCTGGAGGTTGAGACCATGGCATTAGACATCCAGGCGCCGTCGTATGGGACAGCATCGAGATACGACTCATTAGCCGTGACGCCGTATGACTATCCAAAGTGGACCCCAGAGTCGTGGCCGCAGAGAAGATATTGTTCAAACATTGACCGGCCTTCGACAGCACCATGGTGAAATCATCACCTGCCTTTACCGATCTGGAGCGAGTTCCCTTGGCAGGTGTCCTGGCCTTGCGTGTAGTAGATTGTTTGGAGGAGGAGGATGAAGAGGAAGATGAGGTGGTGGCGCTTTCGCTTGCAACCTTTTTCGGAGATTGTAATGCGGGAAGAGAAATCGTGGATTCTGGTAGCACACAATAAACCGCATGCATGGCAAATTGCCGAATTGCATCTGCAAGATGGTGTTCACTTTCTTCGAGATGCAACGAAATCTGGCTGTCCCGAGAGACCGCGAATTTTCGGGCATCGGTCAACAGAGACGACGCTTTCTCGAACTCTCGGAGCGCACGCGAGCAAGCTGCCTGTTGTTGAAGTATCTCGCTTTTCAAGCGAAGGAGGGACTGTGAAAGAGTTGTATTGGCATCCGATGTGTCGCTTGCCGTCTTCGTCGTGCTTTTTGAAGATACGGTGGTTGCGCGAGTTCTCCGGGTAGTCGTTGTTGTGGGTTGGGTCTTCCTGCTGATCCCCCTAATCCGTAATTTGTCCATTCCAGTTTCCAGCTCAGTAATTCTAGGCTGTGCTGGAAGAGCATTCGGTGCCTCAGAGGCCGCTACATCACCCATTATCTGCTCCGCCCTGAGGAGAGCCTGCCATTCGTCGTCGTGGTTACCCTGCATTCGGTGGAGAGAGGCGATGCTCATCTGAAGCGAGATAAGCTCGACACTACTCTCCAACTTTTTCGCCAGAGATTCTGCGGCTGAGAGAAGTTCCTGGCCTTCGGTAATACGTCCGCCAAAGATCCAGTAGGACGCCAACTGAGCTTGAGAAGCGATCAAGCGGACGTTCGCATTAAGCGTCTTGTTGATCTTCAGTGCTTGCTCACCATAATAAACAGCGTCCTGGAACAAACCATAGTGCGCAGAGAGGTACGCAAGGTTCAACAGAGCAGTGTGATGCGACCCGACATGGGGCCAGAAGGGAGCACCTTGAGAAAAACTGACGGTAGGATTTTCCAGAGAAACGGACTGCGAAACATCGAGCCGCGCAACTCCTTCGACAACACCCTCAAGGTCAGAGGCAGAGCTTGCCGTTACAGCTTTTTCTTGTTTTCTCTGCGACAATCTTTCCACTTTAGCCCAGATGCGGCAGTTCAGCTTGACACATAATTTGGCGAAGAATAGCGCCGTCGGTACCGAGCCTTGCGCGAATGAGAGCCGAGAACTTATGAACATAGCATCTGCTACCATTCTCTCCCATGCGATCTTTGACATGATAGAGCAGCTGCTCAGATCCTGCTTTTTCTGATTTCGCTCATACATTGCCCTCGATATAGAGAGCACGCTTGCCGCCTGCTCAAGCTCGCCGGTCTCGAGAAGATATTCAGCTCGGGCAAGCTTGTGTGATAAGCTCGCCAGGCAAGAGACTTCTTTTTGCTTTAGATATTGATCAGCGCGCGCCAGAAGAGCTTCGGCCTTCTTGCAATGTCCCAAGCGGCAGTATTGCAGGACCAGGCGTGACAAGAGAATAATAGCTTCCGAGACGTCTCCTGTCTCATGAAGTTCAGTAATCCGCAACACCAGCTCAAGAGCAGTAAGCTGAAGTTTCCATAGGCCGTAAATCTCTGTATAATCCACAATGGCTTTCATCTGAACCAGAAGATGGTCCACATCCCCAATGCATGAGACAAGAGATTTTCTGTCACTACAGTTGTGCATCATGGAATTCCACGAACTTAATATCCGCTCCAGAGCATCGGGGCGCAGATCTCCTTCATGGAGTCCCAGGGTGAGGCAAACCGAGTTTTGCATATGCGTGGCATAAGTGTTCAAGTCGAGATCCTCACCCATTCCCTTGAAGTGCTCTAGAGATGCGAGGCCTTCTTCAACAACAGTTCGTACAGTTGCCAGTCCAAGAGACCCTGGATGCTCCGATGCGAAGCGCAGACAAAATAGAATTGATCGCATGCGGCGAATTGGATGCAGATTAATGGTGTATATATCGAAGATTGTGAACATGAGCTCGTCAAAGGCTGAGCGGAAGCGCTCGTCACTGTGGGTGTGTGATGGAAGTTCGGTCAGAATACCTAATTGCCATTCAAGAAGGAACCCCCTCTGCAAGAGATCCATATCAGGAGAATCGAAGAACTTTGGGCTTGCTGAGTTCCGGTTTCGCAGGCTCACTCTTAAGTACGCTGAAAGTACTCTACTGAAAGTAAAGCCACTGCTTTTCGGGTCCTGACTGGCCTGAGAGGGGAACCCCCCCGCGATGTCCGCTAAGAGCTGTTTCAATAGTCCTGTGTCGATGTACTCTCTGATCGAATCCCTAAATGCTTCTCCAGATTCAACAACCATATTCGCTTCAAGGTACGAATGAGCAAGTCTTTCGTATTTTAGAGTGGCAAACCCTGTTTTTCGCTGGGACAGCGAGCACTTGGGGAGAAAGCTGACGGAATGTTTCAACACATGCAGAAGCTCACGAGGCCCTTTACCGGAGTCTTTGTCCTTGAGATATCGAGACCAAAACAAATTTGACATCCTGATGAAAGCCGCTCCCGAATCGCTCGTTTCCGAATCTTTTGTGGCTTGCGGCGAGCATTCAACTGTGACAAGGAGACGCTGACAATCGACCAATGTAGGCAGTACCGAGTCCCAGGAAGGGCTGTCGGACATGACAGACAACTTTCCAATAGCGACGGCTGAATCCACGGCAGCGAGCACGATGCTTTTACAAGCGTCGAGCCGCTTGTGAAACAAGTGATAGTCCTTTTCTTCGTCCTCTGGTGTTGGCTTCCTTCCAAGATACCGACGTAAAAACTTCACGAATCCGTTCAAGTATGTATAAATCTGAAGGAGAATATCCCTATCCTCGTCGGTGGCAATATAATCCTTAGCGACCTTTTCCCCCAGCCAGCTCATAGCAACCTTTTTCATTTTGGCCGCTTCCACTAGCAGCTCATCTAGATCATTTTGATTTCCCCTGAGAGGTGTTCCCAGTGCTGCAGTAGCCTCAGCAAGTAGATGTGAGATGTGAGATTGGCGCAGTTTCGTCGACTTTTTCGAGACCAGGAGATGAAGGGCCGCAATTTTACATCGAACTGTGGCTGACGAGAGCAAACCCTCATCTGCCAGAGGATTAAGCGCCTCGGTGAGCAACGTCGAAGCTTCCTCAAAGCAACCGGCTTCTTGCGCAAGTTGTCCGAGAACAGTTGCAATCCGTGCCACGGATAGGTTATTCCTCAGCCTGGCCGCGGCTTGCTTCTGTATCGTAGCAACAGCTGCTTGAATTCGAACGATCGTTTTGTAGATCGCAGCAAATTCCGCCTTTTCAATACCCTTGAAGTTACTGACAAAATTCGCCAGGTAGCGCGCCAGCGGATCCCACATCTCTTTCACGTCGTCACATACATGCCCTGACAACTTCCAGCTCATACAGCGGACTTCAAGTGATAGCAATTGAAGGAGCAATGTGGTGATAGGCTTCAATCGCTCCCTCGACGCGCCGTCATCTGCTGGTTGCTGTCCTCCGGAGGACATTGACATTATGGTGTTGGATAACAGTTGAAGTTGTAATGCTGCCTTATCTTTTGTGATGGATTGTGATTCAACCGCAGCTGTAATTACTTTTGCCGGGCTACTCGAGTTCGTCAACTGCAGGGAGGCTAGGACCTTCTGCACTGTCGAGGGTCGTTTCTCCATGGCAATGAGTCGCAGGGCGTTGGTCTGAAAAGATACAATCAGACCGTGCAATGGCCGACCATGAGACAGGTTCCTCAGTGACAACAGATCCGACATTCGTTCCTTAATCGTTTCTTCGTCCGCTCCTCGCTGATTGTCCTGTCCAGTAGCCTTCTTTGACGTCGCATCCTGGCTGTCCAGGTATTGTTGAATTCTTCGCTTAAGACCTCGCAGTTCCCTGTAAGCCAGGTCGTTCAAACCCAATGATAGGTATCTCCCGACTAGAACACATGCGCCCTGTTCGAGCTGGATGTTCGGGGGTTCGTTTTCCTGCCCTCCTTGTTCGGCTTTCACGCTTCGGAGACATGAAAGCGCTATACTAGCGCATTCAGCCACTGCAAGAACGCCTCCGTCGGTACCTGTTGTATTTGACTGTGCGCGTTGGGATGGCTTCGACTTTGTGGGCGATTTCAGAAGGCGGTTTGGCGATACCGGACGAAGAGGGGTACTTGTCGCTAGAACACGGAGTTCGGGTAATTTAGAGGCGTCCCCGAGTGTTTTCAATGTTGTGTTAAAGACCTCTGTCGCTAGCGCCACCTTTTCCTGACTCGATAAATGTGCTGCATCGTGCTCTATTGTGATCGTTGTTGTTGCACCCTTGGAAGACACTTTCGCTCGGGTAGTGGTTTTTGCCCGGCTTGAGGTAGTTGACGGAGTCTTTCTGCTTCTGACAGTCTTCTTCGAAACGTTACTTTCGACTTCGGATGACGAATTCGAAGGTCCGCAGACGAGAGTCTGGAGTGACAACACTGTAGCATTACAGCATGTCGAGATTGAGCGGACAGCTTGCTTCACCGAGTCCATCGATGGTTCGGGAAGTAGTGTTGCGACTGCCATATCGCTGTGTAGCCTACTGGAGGTACCTGGGGTTAGTGATGAACATGAATTAAGGCCGTGAACGCCTTGAAGCTGTGATGCCCATGTTCAATCTGGCGGATCTCCCAAAGAATCGGGCTAAGCCTCACGCAGTGGTTGTTGCAGCAACGAATACGGGCTATACCTAAGGCGGTATAGTGCCACCACCGCCCCGATTCTCCGGCTTCCCAAGGTCTTTTTGCCGATCTCCTCCATCTGGATTGCCAAAGACCATATCGCAATCGCAATTTGAAGGACACATTCCTGCGATCATGAGTATTTCTACGGTTCGCCTTTCATATATGGCCCGCGGCCTCTCAGTACCTCGGACGTTTGCAAGGGTTCCTCTATCGACACCATGGCAACAATATCGATATGCCACTTCGGGCCATATCCCAAAGATCGCTCAACCATCGTTCTGGCACTCGATGATTCCCAAGTTTATTCGAGACCGACGCACGAAAAAAGACACCGATCCTTCAAAGCCGAAGGAATGGAATCCTGCTAGCTTCTACATCATTATATTCATTCTGATCGGTTCGCAAGCGATTCGAATGATTGCGCTTAAGAACGAATATAACGCATATACCCGTTCAACCGACGCGAAGATTCGACTTTTGCGGGAGGTTATTGAGAAGGTCCAGAGAGGGGAGAAGGTAGACATTGAAAGGCTACTTGGAACAGGCGATGAGGCAAAGGAGAGAGAATGGGAAGAAAGTACTGTTTCCGTCGCATATCCCGCATGGCCACTATCATGTGCTGACAGACTCTGCAACAGTACTTCGCGAAATTGAAGAGGAAGATTCCCTTTGGCACCGAAAGAATTCCAAAACGGAACCCGCTCAGGAAAAGCCAGCTGAGCAACTAAAGACACAGGAAGTAGAGAAATCTCGGGTGAAGGACACCGTTGTTCCGGCTGAAGGACCTTCACAAGAGGAGCCACCGAAAGACGGTGCCACGAGAAGGAAGTTGAACTTCTTCTAATCGGATTGAATGCTTGGCCCTGGTTTACCCAGCATCATTGCTTGTCTCTTGAGAAGTCCGCACCTTCAAATATCGAGGCATCACCAACGTACCATTCGTGACGTTTGTCGAGGGACTTATCTCGGGAAATTCTAGGTTGGTATTGTAAATTCCTTCTTTGGCCGCATTCTGACCAAGAAATAGAATCTGCGCAGTCGTCCCTCGATTTTAAAAGACTTGGATCACTGCATGACAGTCATAGACCGCTAGCTGGTGTCAGGTCCATGCAGTTTTCGGCCTCTTCACTTTCAAAGACCTCACACCTTTTTGCATGATACCCACGTCTATAGCCTTTCCATCCCACGGAAAATTGCTCGGCTCCTGTATATTACTCGCTTCCTTGTACAAATATTGACGCGAAAGATTGAATATATGATTGTTCATTTCTCTCGTGCCTTCTCGCTACTCTCCAAATTCACAGTCTTGAGATTGTGTGGACCTCAAATGTCCCTTTGGCTCTCGCATTCGATCACACTCGATTTTATAGCTGCACGAGGTTCTTTTGTATATTGCAGAAAATGCCGATTGCCTCAAAAAGTCAGTCAGCTGGTTCTGGTCTTATCTGGTGGCGATCAGTACTGACGCGCGTGAATTTCTTCGCTTGCTCCATGGTAAGGGATGCTTCAAGAAGGAAGGAGATTCTGATGCCTTGATGTTCACGGAAAAGGCGCGAAGACAGCGACACTGAGTCTGGAGTAATTGGCTACTTCATATTCGCCAGGGCACAGATGCCCTAGATGTTTTTCCTCTGAAGGAGTAATGCAATGTCAAAGTTCATCAACCTTAAAGCACTGATGGAGCATCCACGAAGCCGGTCCTTCCTATGGAATATAGAGAGTCATTACTTCCATACGAACACACATCATCGTGTACAGATAGAACCCGATAGAGAAGGCGCTACTAGGCTGGGATATCTCCTTGTGTCCTTCCGTTCCTGTCGTTCCTCCTGCTTGTCCATCATAGTATCTCTGAGACCATCTCTCGTCCCTTCAATGAATCCCTTCACATCTACACAAATACACCGCTTAGACTACATCCATACTCTACCATACTTCTCGCATTTACCATGCCAATGATGTCGTTTATGTCCTTGAGCGCCAAAGACCGCTTGCGCCGAACCCAATCCGCCCGTTCCATGCGTCGTCCGCGCCAGACTTCCTTTCCCTCCGAACCATTTGACCCAGTTCTTGCCAGAAAGCAAGCCACTGCAGCTGCCTCTCGTGCCATGCTTCGTTCCTCGGATAGATCTTCCATCGAGTCGAAGCACTCATACGACCGCCTAGGTGGCCTTGAAAGTATGGCAGTGCCTTCGCGAAGACCACCTCCCCCTCCAAGCCGTTCGCAAGCCCCCAGCGATGCGCCCTCAACCGCAAACGCCTCGCCCTCTCGGCAATCTGTGGCAAGTTACATAGAGAGTCAAGACGACGAACTCCTTTTCTCCGCAGCTCTGCCACCCATCAATGAGTTTCGGGGCCTGGATGGTCGTGACTCTTCATTGCCCTCATCCTATCGTCGGCTTCGCAAGGCACGATCGATGTTTTCGACCAGGCAGCGCTCCTCGCATGTCTCGCACGACATTCAGAACATGTACTCTCGTAACATCAATGACAGAGATTCGTTCGAATCCCCGAGATCGTACCGGACACTGAGACGCTCAATTTCCTTCTTAAGAAGCGGCCAGTCTTGGAGAACAGTCCATCGTGCCCAGAATCAAGACGCCGCTATTCAGCTCGCCCGCAGTCAATTTCAGGAGGACATGGCCAATAACACAAACCAGCCGAGACGATCATCGCTTACCATGCTAAAGCCAAGGCGTGAGTATAAGCCGTTTAGAAAGACATTCCGTACTCCCAGCGGAGCAGGTATAGAGAGCGACGCTTCACCATCGAACAACGAGTCTAGGCAACTCCGTTCCCGTGAAAAGGCACGATCCATTTCCTCCTCCATCAAGCGAGGCATCAAGCGAGTCTTGGGCCTGTCGAAGCCTCCCAGCGACCAAAAGCAGATGGAAGAATCAGTCCTTCCGCTTCAACAGCACGATGATCTGCCCCTGCCAGCACCCATGGATAGTTCCAATTACCCCGAGGACATCAACTATCCTGATGCGGCCATTGACCGTGATAGGCCACACACTGTGCATAGCGTACGCAGCAATGAGAGCCTCGCGACCTCTCGCTCCCGCGTGACCAGCTGGGCTGACTCCACAGTTGCAAATACGATCGCAACACGGAAAGCACCCGAGCGGAACAATCTGTCTATCATTGAAGAGCAGGCCGCTTTGTACAACCGCTCCTCCAGTCCCGACCCGTCTGCAAGACTGAGCCCGGTGCGGCCTGACGGCTCTATCGACAGTAAGCGTCTTTATTCTGCGCTGTTGAGGCGGATTGGCAGAGACAATATACCAAGTCCTGAAAGCGAGGTCACATTGGGTCAGGTCAAAGAACATCGCCTCATTCCAGCCCAGATGTCTTCGCTTCGTCCGAGGCGCAGTAGGCAAACCGTTCGTTCAGTGCCTAGTGATGAATCTATCGCAACGTTCAAGACGTTCGCAACTGCAAATGCAGGCTCTTTGACTCCTCAAAAGCAAACCTATCGCTATTCCCAGTCCCCGATATTCCTTAACAAGCTCTCGACGATCCACGACCCAGCAGGCAGAGCCCCGAACAATAGCCCGGTGGGGACCACCGCGGGATATGCTCCCACAATGGTGACAGACGCTGATGAGGACAGCAAAAGTGTGATTTTCACTCAGCATCCCGATCCGGAGCCACTGTCCAACTCTCCCAGCATCTACTCCCGGACAACCAGTGGCAATTCCCCAGATAAGAAGGACCAAGCCGTTGATCTGTACACGTCCGAAACAGAGGACGAGCCAGGGACCGTCACAATCTATGAATCTCAGCGAACCATATACAGCTCACCGAAGCGCATCTCTCGTTACGTCTCTACAGGGCATCGTGTGCGGCCCAGTGCTGAATGGAAGCAGTGGATGTCTTCCCAAATGGCGGGACTCGAGACTTCGGTGTCGACAAGAGATCACTATAGAGAACATGCTCAGATCCATAGCGAGGAAGGAGACTTCGTATCGTCTCCGCCCTCCCAAGGCTTCCAAGGCGATGGCTTATCATGCAGTGCGGGAACCATGCATACACCACACCTTGAAAGGGACGCTGGAGTAGAGGCCAAAGTCGCACCAAGTAGCAATTTCTCGCGGCCATTCAGTTGCTCTTCAAGTATACCTACAATTGCTCCTTCAAGAAAGGAGGCGGTTAGAGACCATGCTAACAACACTACTGTCTGGCCGTCCTCGGGCTCCGTTTTCACTTCTCCCAGCGCCAATAACCACCCTCACGAATACGTCTTGTCACCGATACAGACCAGGTCAAGCAACAGACTGCCAGTTCCTGAATCTCCCACCCCAAAGCGAGGTGCGTTCCTTTCGCAAGAAAGGAAATTAGCGAGTGAGCGTTATCGGCGATATTCAACTCGGCGACTTACAGCTTCTTCAGATGCGAGATCTCCTCAAGTTGGACTGATCAACAGACCTACGAACGAAAATTCGAGGACTGGCGATCTACTGAATAAGGCGGGGACATATGGACAGTCTCAGGGTATAAATTTGCCCATGTCAAGTCAGCGTATGGTGGAAGTGTTTCTCAACAGTCGACGTCATCAGCCAGGGGCAGAGAAGTCCGACGACGGGACCCCGGAGGGAGCCTTTATATAATTTAGGTGATTGATCAGAAAGTGGGAATTGCATGCTAGTCAAATAAGTATCCGTAAGCGAGCATTCTTCGCTTGGTTATGCTTCGGTGGGGAAAACAGTGCATTGGTCGGCTTCTTCTGTGTTTCTTCAAGTACCATCCAGTATACTCCTTGTAGTCATATAGCCAAATGGAAATATGAGCTGCGCGGACTTGGTTCCGTAGCTGTAGATCATCCACCCGAATATTTTGAAGGCTCACAGTAGCGTATCGGACAATGGTATCAAGTAAGCAGAGTTCATTCGTATACCGCCCTTTACGCTTATCAAGGTATCAAAACATCCAACACAAGAATACAATGTTTTCATCGCACATAATTCGCCGGAAAGCTCCCCTTCACCCCGCGCAACTCCCCCTCCCACCAATCATCCGTACTCTCCGTCTTCTTGAGGACGCGGATGCGATCACCCTCGCGGAAGGCCAGGTCCCCGGCACTCTGGCCACCGAAATCATACAGCGCGGTGACGAATGTTCCGTTCGAAGACGCGGCGCGCGGTTTCGGCGGGGGCGGGGGCGGTTTCTTCTTCGCGGCTGCGGCCGCGGCCGACGGATTCGGCGACGTGGAGCGGGAGACATTGGGGCTGGATGAGCGGCCGGGGCGCTGTTGGGTCGGGGCGAGACTGAAGTAGTCTGAGCGGGTTGATGCCGAGGCCGAGGCTGGGGAGAGGGCCGAGAGCGGGGTGTGGACGTATTCGGAGCCGCGGACGGGGAGATGAGCCGTGTCGCTGTGTGGGGTGGAAGAGGGGGAGAGGTGGGTGTTTGGGATGGGCAGGTTGGGGGAGAGGGTGGAGGGGGAGAGGTCGGCGAGGCGGGGCTTTGTCTCGTAGACGGGGAGGGGTTTTGTTTCGTAGGTTGGGGTCGGGGCTGGGGGGAGCTTGTTGAGGGTAGTGTGAGGATGGTTGTCGCGGCACGGAGATGGGGATGGGGACGAGGCTGATTGTGCGTGGTGGCTCTGGCTCGTCTGGCCGCTGGAGGGACGGCGGAAGTTGAGGCCGTTTGTGAGACGGGTGGAGAGGCCCTGGTTGGCGGCGTCCGGGGCCGAGGACATGCGGACAGTTTTGCCGTTGGCGAGGCAGCCGAAGCTTTCGACCTCCTGTTGGATGGGCTGGATGTCTCGTTCCCAGTGGGCGATGATGTCGTCCATGGGTGGTGCGGGGGAGGGGAAGTGGTGCTGCTCGCAGTAGGTGTGCACGACGGTGTAATAGTTTGCCAGCATGGTGTTTTGGATCTCGATCTGCGTGGCGAGGAGGTAGGGGAGCAGGGAGAATGCGGCGGCGATGAGCGGTGGGAGGCATTGGCGGAGATGCTCGTCTGCTGCTTGGTAGTCCTGTTGATATGGGTATGAGTCGCGGCTTGTGTAGAGGGGTGGGTGGCTTCAATTGCATACCTCTGTGGCTTTAGCAAGATCGACTTCGGCTTTGGCGAGCGCTGCGTTGTCCCGGTCCGAACGCTTTGTCTTCTTGGTATAGCTGTCGACGCGACTCTGGTAGCGCTCGTAGTCCAGCTAGGCATGCCTGTCAGCGACATGGACACCTTGGCGCAGGCTAGAATCAAAACATACCTTGCGATCCTCCCGTTTCTTGATTGTCTTCTTCAATGGCGTCAAATGCTCTTTGGCCTCCGAGGCGGGCCTGATCATGCGCTGGTCCACGGCATTGAGCTCCTCCGCCAACTCTTTGCGCAACACTTCATATTCCTCTCGCAGTTTTTGTGTTCGCGCCAGTGTGGCTTCTGGGGTCGGGGTGGCTTTTGTGGCAGTAGTAGAATCGGACGATCCAATGATCGGGGGGTAGATGCTGTCGAACTCGACGAGCATTCGCTCTTGGTGTAACAGAATCGAGGACCACGCATCGCGCCAGGCTCCAGTATACTCAATGATCTAGCGGCGCGGTCAGTTGGGTCAACACGGAGTATTTGGTGGTGGGAACAGGGGGGTAGGGGGGGGATGACTTACCTTTCCCAGGAGCTTGTCGGTCTGGTCGTAGTCCTTCAACAGAATCCCTACCTGACTTTCATCGGCGGATCGCTTCATAAAGCGGCCAAACTGCCTCTGAACGCTCTGCATCTTGTTGGTGGGTGGTTCGCAGAGGCCAAAGGTTGCAGACTTGGGGAGGATGCGGGGACGCGATTTAAAATGTTAGGCTGCCATATATTGCAAGAGTTGGAAGGTTCAACGGAGCAGAGTGATCAAGCAAGAATGGTGACAGAATACCAATGACAAGATCAAAAGAATAGAAAAGCAGACGGATGAAGATGAAGAAGATAAAAGGAATACAGAGTGAGATGACGCAGCCAATTCGCGTCGTGCATCAAACCACAGGGGGCTGTGGTGTTCAGTTTGAAAGCGAATGGGGTCTCACTGTCTCACACCCCACTATGGAATTGCCTCCTGGAGTTCTGTCACTGACCACTGTTAGAGAGTCAGACAAGTTATTGTTGTTGTAGTTGCGATCTTCGGTTTGACGTGATAAACAGTGGAAATTGGGGGCAGATGTAGCGATGGTGATTGGCAGTATACCACGGAGAGTGGATAGACACTTACTAGTAGTCTATGAGGAATCCCTGGGGGTCTAACTGGCTGATAGAGATATAGACATAGTAGACGACACTAATAATATGATAACTGTGGCCACCTCCTGATTTAGGAGCATTGAGCAATCGGCTGTTTCTCATCCATTTGTTCTTTTGCAATCAATTATGAGCACTCTGTAGGTCAATGTGAATTACTCTATTTCTCAGTGTGTCCAAGTCGGATTCTCAAGCCACCTGCCAACTGGTCTGTGCTAGGTTGGTGTACCCTATTATTATTACTCCATAGTCCATACTATCCATTCTACTGAATAAAGTCATCCGTACCGAGCTGGTCATTTTCTGCGCACAGATAACACCCAATTAGAGATTTGTATCATATCCATTGTTAGAACTTTCGGATATATGTTGCACATGAGGGACGACGACTGACTGTGTGGAAAGGTGGCAATGTATAGCTCCAAGGCGACGCGCAACTGTATCTTCCTATCGTTTCTCTAGCGCTACTATGTAGAGTCCCTGCATACTTCTGGACGACAGCTGGTACAAGTCACAGTGAGCCGTGGACGAGTTGAGACGACACCTGGCGCTGGTAAAGTCAATTCATCGCTTCCATACTTTCCAAAGCATCGCCGCCAACTGGGTCACCCCATGAATGCCTGCCTGCCTCAGGCTCTACATCTCCATTTTCTTTTCTTCAACAAACACTCTTTTAGGTTCGACTTTCCCACACATCCACACGAAACAACTCCCACTGGTGAATTCGATGGTGCACACCTGGAGTGACGCCAAGCTCTGGCATCATCTCCCTCGATCATGTCGACCCCCTTATCGTCAGCAGCAACCCCGCGTGGCACTGCCAGCCTAAACGTCCCCGCGACGCAGAACACCGCGCCCGTCGTCAAATTCCGGTGCCTGTTCACGCACGATGTGCGGCGCAAGGCGAAACGCTGGCATGATGGCTTCCTCCGGTATCACACCTTCAACAAGCGGGTCATGTGCTACGATAACACGGGCTATTTCATCGGGGATCTACACTGGCGACAAGATGAGGGGATCCAGGACGGGGACGAGCTGGAACTGGACAAAGGCGTGCTGATCCAGGTCTGCGAGCCGGTGGAAAAGACAGAAACGGATCTATCGACGCTTTACAGCAACAAGAAGAAGACTCAGGACTCTCCTCCGCAAGCCGGACGGTCGCCGGCTCCCTTACTTCGCTCGTCTGCGTCCAGTAGGCCTTCGATACCTTCGCAGTCCCAACAGCCTCGGTCTCTCAATGAGGTGCTAGGCATCAGGAAGATGCCCATTGGTCCACCTCAATCTCCCTTCGAGGAACGCGAACAACAGAGACAGAAGGAAGACAACCAACTGGTGTCTGAGAGAGCTGCTAAGCGGCAGAGAACGGCTGCTTCGGAAAGACAGACCGACCAACGTCCCAGCGACGTGGTTCCTAATGTCCCGGTTCTCGTCGATCTCTCCGAGTCCTCCAGTGAGCGGCCAGAAAGGACAAACAAGGTCACTCCAGCGGCCCAGTCCGTCTCTACATTGGCAAGCAAGAACCCTACTCCCACCAGCCGGCCAGACCCCCCAGCGACAAAGAATACTTCCAGTAGCGACGTTCCACGAGCCGCCGAACCGCACCAAGCACCAAGCAATGCCCCAGCCCCCGCATCGAGATCAATCTCCGCCCAGTCACCCTCAGACACACCCAGGAGCACGCTTCGGCTGTCTACCAGCCAGCCCCGGAAAAAGCTCATGTACCAGGCGCTGCTCCCCAACCCGCCAGCGGAAAAGACGGCACCTCAAGATAAGAAGATTAGACCTGTACAGTCCAGATCTCAGTTAGTATGTGCTCTGTGGCAATTTTGGAATCTGACTGACAGTCCCAGCGAGGCTAAACCGCTTTCAATGCAAGATCTCAGCTCGACCAACATGGATTTCATTCCGACGGAATCAACCATGGGTGTCCTCCAGGGAATGCTGATGGACATTGTTCCTGAATCGCCATTGAGAATGAACGGGGCCCGAGGCACGATGATGAACCAACTTCTGAGACCAACTACCACTCTCGAAACCAGAACATCAGCTCCCCTCCCCTCGAAACCCCCGTCAAAGGGACTCCGGAAGGCCCTGTCCGACCCTACCGCGTTGGCCGCCAGCAACACCGTGCAATCGCGGTCGCTGCTGATGAAGAGATCGCTCTTTGCAGAGCCGATTGAGGAGCACCCGCTGGAACAAGGACCATGGACGTCCGAGGCTCTGGATCTGTTTGATTTCTGGCCACCGGGACGGCCCAAACCGGCCTGATCACTTTCCACCCTTTTGTTATTTTTAGTGTTTTATGATACCCCCTAGATGCATGTACTTATGAAGACATAACGAAAACAACCCAATCAATCGACTTTCTCAAAGCCAATCTTCACAACCTACGCACTCTTCTTCTTCACCAACACCCCAGAAATATACGCCAACGGCGACCTTCCAAACCACCGATCCAGCTCCACAGACTCCCACCCGCCATCCGCACGCGCCGCGCCCCGCAGCACCCGCTCCGTATCCCGATCCAAGCAACAATCCCCAATGAACAACCCCCACCCCAGCGCCATATACACCGCCTGCATCACCCGCGCCAGCACACTCCCCTTGGCCGTCCGCCACGGATTAACCACATGCTCCACAACAAGCATCTTCCCCCCAGGCCGCAGCAGCGCATACAACTCGCCCACTGTTTTCTCCACCTCCGCCACAGAACACAACACCCGCACGCAGATAATCGTATCGAACACGCCCCCCTCTGGCACCCCGCCCTGCTCGTCCGCCACCAGCCCCACCCGCCTCAACTCCGGCACCAGCTCCGCCGCCGCAGCCCCGCACGGCAGCACCGTGTACTTCCCCGCGAGGCCCTCCTCGTCCGCGCGCGCGCGCAGCGCCGCGTGCAGCCCGGCGCATGGCTCCGCGCCGTACAGCGCGGTGATCGCCGGCCCGCGCAGGAGCGGCATCTGCGTGCCTGTGCCGGGGCCGACATCGAGCACGACGCCCGATGCCTGTGCCAGGATGGACGGGATGAGGTCCGTTGAGTTCTGGATGGGTCCTGTGCCTGTGCTTGTTCCTGTTGCTGGGCTTGGGGCCGAGGCGGCGGAGGGGTCCGGGCGGTTCGCTAGATGCCATCAGCGTCCATTACACAATGAACATGGGACATAAAAGGACGGAAGGAACAAGGAAGAAGGGGCAAGAAAGGGGAAGGAAGGGGGGGGGTTACAGCTGAAATCCACCCAGAAGCGGCCGAAGGCCTCATCACGGAGTTTGGTGGTCTGCAGGAGCGGGGCGAGGAGTTCACCGCGGCGGAAGACGGCTTCGAGGCAGACTCTGGCGTAATCTGGTTTCCTTAGCTGTTAGTATTGTATTTCATTTATTGGTATGGATCAATCAGCAAGAAAGTATAGGCTTCGATGTGCGGAGCGGAGACTCGAATTGACGGAAAGGAAACTATGAAAGGTAGAATCATACAGGTCATGGCCCAGGCCAGGAGCTGGCCTGGTTCGATCAGTGACTGCAGCCATTGCTTGGTGGTGGGCTCGGGAGATGTCATCGCGGCTGGTGGATATATCCCTGTGGTCTCGAGACACCAATTCAACTACTGAAGGGAGAGTAAACAAAAGAGTTGTGGAATGGTCAACATTCATAGTTGCGGAGAGAAAGAGATGAGATATGTCTCCGACCCTAGTCCTGATCGGGATGGCCAACCACAGATGGAGCATCTAACGTATCTACTATCTGGGCAGACTACTACATACGGAGTACGGAGTTGTACAGGGGAGAGCACTGGATATTGAGGCGATAGCACTGCAACCTTTCGATGTCATTCATCCTGGCACCTGGGCTATTTCCTGTGCCTGCCGTATGGGCAAGCAGAAGGTCCAAAAACAAGAAACAGTGACAACCAACAGCGACATGGTGATACAACCCGATTATACTCAGTCATCCTCACCGTCATTACAGTCTCAGAAATCAGCCAAAATCGAGGGAGATGGAAAAGCTAGAAGAAGGTACAAAGCGGTGGACTTGCGCAAGTTACTCGCACAGAATGTTGCATAGAAAAGAGTCAAGCCAGAACGAACGATCGACCCAGGTGGGTGTCAAGGCTGAGAGGTGTCAACATAGGAAAATAAAAATAAATCCAACTAACTCATGTTGTAATGGCAATGGCAATGGCTGCAAGAAGGAATGACCGGGAATAGAGACCAGGCACCAAGGAGTGGGGAGGTTGTTGGTCACAAGGCTCAAGCATGAGATACAACGATAGAGGTGATTCAAGTGCCATGAAGGTATCTGTATGCAACCAGCTCGAGGCTAGGGAAGAAGAAACAAAGGAAGCTGGTCAAAAGGCTCAGATGCTGATGGGGCACGCTCATCAAATTCGCAATGTACCAGAGGTGCAAAAAAGGACAACGGGAGGATATGCAGAGGAGCACAAAAGAGACTCGTGGACACCAACAGACAGCAGCTCAGCTGTCTGTTCAGTGATGGGAGTGATTCCGGTTGACTCGGGGGCTATATCGACTTGTCCTCGCGAGTGAACTGACGTCGTGCTTGCCATCGCAGCAAGCGCGAACATTCTCCAACCGGTCGCTTTCCTGCTCTCGCTCCATCATGCGCCGAAAGTCTTCCTCGCTGTCGCGATCATGTAGACTTCCATCATGGACGCTGCCCTCGTTTACACTCGAAGCGGAGTAGCTGGGTCGCCCGCGACGACCAAACGAACCCTTAATAGTTGTGTTCAGGATGGTGCTCAAACGCGAAGTGGAACCATGTCGGCCATCGTCCGGAACTTGGAGGCTGGAAATATGCGACCGGGCACTAGGTGCTGGCGAAACACGGCCTGGAGTTACCGCCTGTCGTACGGACATGGCAGAGCCGGCTCGCTGTTTGGGCGCATTGCGGACCGTGCGGCTCCGCGACGAGGAGAAGGACATGCGCGCTGTTTGACGGGAAGCTGATCGGAATCCTGGGTTGGACTCATCGATATCTTCGAGGGCCGCATTGGGTTCCTGGCCATCCCCATTTTCGTCGGCATTCCGCAGGAGCAGATAAGACAGTGCGTTGAACCACGTCTCGTGTCTCTGGCTGGTCGAAGCGGTAAATCGCACCCGGCGACCGGGGCTAACGACTTCTAGGCTGCGGCAATGAAGACCAGGTGGGTAAGGATTGTCATCGGCGACGACTCGGACTGCCTCAATGGGTACACTCTTCGTGCGCACTTCATTCTTTCCGGCAGATTGAGGATCCTGATCGCTCCAGTACAACGTGCGCGTATATGGGTGAACCCAGAAGTAACGACGATGTCTTGTGTTGGATATCTCGCCGGTGACTGTCCGACGGGTGTACTTCCAGAGAAACTCCCCAATCATGGTCTGGGTAATGGCTTGGATCATACGAGGATCGGTTCCTGCAGCATATCCGTTTGGCATTGGGTTTGCGTACGCAGTGGTATTAAATCGTTCTTCAATCTCCGATGCGAAGGACGAAACGGATGATGCTCGAGACACCTGGCTTTCCCGTCCGATCTTGCTTCGCGAGGTACTGGTTTTGGTAGAATGGACGACGCCGACTTCGTTAGGAGTCCGCGGGCGCTGGATGGAGCTAGCTCGGTATGCGGAAGCCGGGGCCAGGGGAGGGGCCATGAGGCCAGGGGACACGGGGCGCTGCTCCAAAGACTTCTTCTCAGCCGCCAAGATAGCTTCGCGGTGGTCCGCAGGTAGTGGCGGATGACTATTGATACTTGAACTCAGGCTCGCTGAGCTACTGGGACGACGGGGGGCAGATTGAAGTGAAGAATTTGAGCCGTGTTGAGTAGAACGAGGCCGTGCTTTTGGTGTTGCAAATGGCGATGGTCCGGCATCCTTGGCTTTGTCACTATCAGGCGGAGAGAGCGGGCGAGATGAGACTCGGTCCATGAGTATCTGGTCAATCTGCTTGGACGAGAGAATTGTCTGGGCGCCAGAGTCGGCCTGGTTGAATCGGTGCCTTCTGTCGCGTGTGACAGCATTCCCAGTAATAGCACCGAGAGGCATCACGACACTCGTCTCTTGATCCCTTGTGGCAGGGCGGGAATCTTCGCCAGGCCCATCCTTGGAGGACACAAAGTCCTCAGGCTGTATCGCAACCGCTCTTTCTTGGGGTTCGGTTGGAGGGACCTTCTCGTCCGTAAGCTGCAGGGGCGCCATGATAGGCACGGAAAGCATATGCTCAGCGGGAAGTGTCTCCACAGACCGGATGGCAGAGTATGCCAGATCCGGCAGTGCAGGAGCGGGCAGCTCGCGAGGTCGGGGCGCAACGGGCTCAGTGCAGACTGAATGGACGCCTGAGATGCTCAATCCCGGAAGTTCAGGCTGTTTGACTTCTTCGACAACAGATACAGGCTCTGGTTCCGGGACCCGTTCAGGAAGCGAGACTGCAATGGGCTCTGTATGCTCGGACCAGATCACCGAGATATCAAGCTCTGGTACCTCCGTGCTCGTAGACTGATCAGCAACAGGGGTGATGATGATAGACTCAGGCTCCGGCAACGTTACAGCGATCGGCTGAGTAGACTCCGACAGGATAGTTGAGATATCTAATTCTGGAAGGTCTGTGCTGGTGGCATGATCGGCAACGGAAATGACGGGTACCGGTACGGGCTCAGGGATTGTTGCAGCGACGGGCAACGTATGTTCCGAAAAGACGGTTGAAACATCCATCTGTGGAACATAGACTGGTTCGGGCTCCGGCAGTTGCACGGTCATTGGCGCGGTGGCTTGAAAAGAGATGTTTGACAAAGTCATCTCCCAAGGCTTCGAAGCAGGAAGCGCGACGGGCTCGGTCGAGCCGCCGACAAAGTATGAGGTACTCAGCTCCGGGAATCTAGCTGCCACAGGAGAAGTCTCCTGAGATGAGATAGATGAGAGGTCCAACTGTGCAGGTGAAGGGGCGGTGTGGTTGACCAATTCGGGCTCTGCATCTGACGCATCGTCCCAAGCCATCTTTGGTGGAGTCGGCACGCTGGATATCTGATCCCCGTTCGATTCCCCATTTGATTTAAGTGGGGTCCACTGCGTCGCAGAATTGACTAACATGGGCGGCGCCTTTACATTCACGTGGTTCTCTGCATCCAAAGCAATTTCTCTAGTCGGCGTTGAGGGTGCGACAGGTACGGTATCATCGGCAGCAACTACACCAGCACTTCTGCTCGGTTCCCAGGGGTCGGTCATTACACCCGAATCGACCATGGCGGGCTTCGGCGGTACTTCCAGAATGACCTCCGAGGGTCTGCGAGAATCGGGAGTTGGCAGCATGCGGGGAGTCGAGACTTGAGAGTTTGTATCGAAAGCTCCGTCTTCATCTTCCCCTCCCTCGAGTTCTGCGAGCTCTGCGAAAAGGCTTTGTCCTTCTGGAGCTGTAGAGTCTTGAGTGAAGCTAGTCGCAGGCGAGTCTCGTGCACTCGAGGGCCGGCTGCTATAGGCCATGGGTGCCTCCCCCGAGGGTCGAATCGTTCGGAGGACACTTCTCTTTTTCCGAAGTCGGTATCTCGGCGCTTGAGTTTGGCTGGGTGAGGGAAAGCCTCCATCGATATCTTCATCTTCGTCCGCAGAGGTAGAGGCTGTACTTTGATATGATGAGCGATCACGAGCCTTGGCCATTACCAGGGATGAAGATACTCGCTGCCGAGGAGTTCTCAGGACGCTGTCCTCGGTTTCGGTGAGTTCATCGGTATCAGAGCTATCGTCAGCCATGCTTTCGATGCCGGTCTGGAAAGCTTCACTTTCCGTGGCAGTCTCCCGTTCATTGGCGGTCTCGAAGGCATCGTCGGCCTCGGTGGCGGTTTGGTAGGCATCACTAGGCTCATCTGACGATGGTTCAGCCGAGCGGTTCCGTGCCAGCGATGCCACGACGTGACGGCTGGGCGTGGCGTCAACGGCATTATCCTCCCAGTCTGTATCCTCGATTTCAATCTCGGTCTTGCCTCTGCGCCCGGCACCCAACAGATCAGGTCGTGCGGGCTTCCGGAAAGAATCAGGCTTGGTCTTCTGGCGCTTGGTGGATGGGCCAGCTGGAGCAGCAGCTTCGCGACGGCGTTGTTCGATGTCATCGCGGGCTTCTTGCAGCATGCGCTTCAGCTCAATCTTTTCAGTTTTCTCGCGATGGATCGTGCTCTTGAGGTTCTGAATCATGCGATGAGCATGGCCGAGAGAACTGCGCAGTGTCTCAGTCTCCAGATGGTTGTGCCGCGGGGTGAACTTGTTCGGCGACGGTGGAGGTGAGTTTTCGGGAGTGGCCTGGTCGTCGTCAGAAGGATGGTTGTCACGAGGGACCTCCAGCGTAGCTTGTGCTTCATGCTGCCGAAGGCGCATCGCGATCACTTTGGCGAGCTCTTCATTCTGAGTGTTCAGTTCGGCGACTTTCTTCTGCAGCGCAAGCCTTTCAGTATCCCCGGTGTTGAGATTCCTGCGTAGGAGGTGGATTTCAGCGTCATTGGCTTTTTGGGCGGCCGCCTGTTCTTCGATCAGTTTGGCGTTCGTCTGCTTCAATTCCTCCAGCTCGCGTTCAATGGCGTTCTTTTCGGAGGTCACTGCACCCAGGCTGCCGTTGAGTCGATTCTCCCGATCGGCGGCCTCCTTGATCGCACTCATGAGCTCGTGCGTTCGAGTCTCCAACGTCCAATTCTCATCCTTATAGCGCTCCTCGCTCTCATCTAGTGCGCGGATGCGCTGGGCATATCCCTCCGCCTCAAGTTCCAGACGAGATTTTTCCAGGGTGACGTTCTTCAGGGCATCCTCGCGCTCGGCGAGCAGGGCTTGCAATTGGCGGACCTGAGCCAGAAGTGAAGTGGAAATCTCGGTGGCGAATTCGATATCGTGAACGCGGCTCGATGGCTGGTTGCGCTGCTTGCGTGATGGAACGCTCACTTTGCTCGGAGAGTTGGTTGCTTGGCTGGCAAACAGCACGGGGCTGAGGGGTGACTAGATTTTTACAAACCGTTAACTGTCGTTCAGATACTCCAGATCAGTGAGAATATATACCTTCTGATCAACCGAGGGTGTACCCAGGTGACCCTCCTCAACACCTGCATGACGCTTCGGAGCGAGGAAAGCTCGCGCCGTCTCCCGACCAATCTCGTTGTATTCTCTCTCCAGATCTGCCAACTTCTGGCGCAAGTCCGAGCCAATCTGGTCCTCATCCTGCTGCTGTTCCACCTCTCTCAGCTTTTCTTCAAGCTCTCTCTGTTGTTCAATAAGCGCTGTGCCTAGCTTGGATGCCTCCTCGAGTCGACGCTCGGTCTCCGCCAGGTGAGCCTCGAGGGCTCTTTTGGCTTGCGCTGGCGAGGATGCATTGAGACTGAACAGCTGGTTATCGAATGCTGAATAGCGCTGTGCATCATGTGAAACAGGTCGCTCCTCGGCCGAGGAAACGAAGGGATCCTCCATCGAGGTCATCTTGGCTGCACTCGATCGTTCCGCGTCCGTGGGAATGTTGTCTATATGAGCTGCGGAAAGCCTGGATATCTGAGTGCCAGCTGGATGCCGTGGTGGAGCGATTCTAATCCGCCAAAATAGCCGCCGTGAGGATTTCGCAAACTCGTCGCCTCGTTCCTTTTCGTCTCCGTTCTCGACTTAGCGCATCATCCGGCCCACTTGCGATATATTGGTTTTTTGGCCCTTTCGTAATATCCTTGGTTTATCGTATCTTGTGGTCGATATGAGTCGCTGACCGAGTCGGTATTCCAGGTGTGGGGGATACCCTTTTACAGATGGTGGGATGATATGCGCAGCGTCGGTCGGGCGACAAACAAAGACAGTCGTGTCAAGCCGAAGTGTCAAAAGGACCAGGGACTGATCGAGTCTCGTACAACGTCTAGATGGGGGAAGCAATCGCAAGCGAATGCGACCACTTCGAATCGAGTGATGGATTGTTTTGAAAGAGCTGCAGCAAAAGGGTGTGCCGGCGGCGACAGGACAACAAACGCGTTGTGGACGTAATGGCGATTGTGCGTGGATGCAAAAGCCAGGATATCGGACCAGCCACAACAGATCACTGCACGATCAACACTCGGGAAGAAGCAGGAGAGGGTGATTTGGCAAAACAGGGAATCTGACTGGGATTCGGTAGGTTGCGATTACAATGGAGAGAGAGAGGAGAGAGGACGGAGGTCGGAGGGGGGGGTTGCTTTGTTGCGTACAGAGTAGTAGTAATCACCTACGCCATACAAGAAGGGGACATTAAATCAGATAAAAGAGAGAGAGAGAGAGAGAGAGAGAGAGAGAGAAAAGAGAAAGGACAACGAAATGAAGGGAAATTAGTAAGTGGACAGTAAAGAAAGAACGAAAGTCGGGAGACGTAATTGAAGATCCAAAAGGGAGAGAAAAAAAAAAAAAAAAAAAAAGGAGGGGAAGAGATTGAGTCAAGAAGAAGTAGAAGAAATAAGGAAAAATTATGAATAGATGGATGGGATGGATAGGAATTGACAGGTGGACAACAACGAGACGAGATGCGACTCGTTGGGTGGGGAGACAAAGGAAAAGAGAGTAAGAAGAAGAGGAAGAGGAAGAAGAGAGAGAGAGAGTCGCAAACTCGCAAAAAGTAATTATTAGAGAGAAGAGAGACGGAGGAATGTGGAGAGGATTATTAGCACCACAGTATGTACGGAGTAGTATTATGGAGTATGGACTACTCCGTATGGACTACTATTAGATACTATCTACTCAGTAGGTAGGACTGTAGGAGGGCATATGGGCTATGTATCGATCTCTCTGTAGGATTCAAGTCCAGCTTGTTCCTCCTATCGAGTCTCGTCCGGATATCGACTATTAAATACTGACTTCGCCGTAGTAACATCTGAATCAAAACATGAACTATTTGTTTGATGAGCCTACTAGTACCTAGGGAATTAAATAATGATCTGATAGATATGACCCAGCACCTTGCAGATGGTCTCCTCGAAACGGTACCTGATCTCTGCGCTTGACCCATTGTTATCGCTGGCCATCGCCTGCTAATCGCCACGGTTCCATCTGTCGTCCAACCTTAAACATTTGTCGAGTGTCTACTAGTCTACTGCCTAGTAGATAGTAGTAGTAGAACGAAGCATGTAGTAGTATGATAGATTAATACTAGATTTGAATGGTTCTTCCCGACTGCTCTTCCCATGGAATGATGAGGGTCCCCAGGAACAGAAACCTGGGATGGATCATGGATGCCCTAGGCCTCCAATGTTTGCCTGGTTTGCACTCTAGCCATTGCCCCAACCCGACGCGGTCATGTGACTCGATTATGCTCGTCATTTGCACATGAATGGGAGAAGTGGGCTCTATCTATTGATCCCATCTCCAACACTCCCAAAATTCCACCGTCGAGTGCAGAACAATGACAGACGCCGTCCCCCAGTTCTCATTCAAAAAGCGCGCCAACAAGGCGAAGGCCAACTTTCGTAAAAAGCCCGATACGCCGCCACCAGCGTCCGACTCCGACTCCGATTTCACCTCCTCCGATGACGAAGAAGGCCGCCGCATCAAAAGACGTCGCAAGAATGCCGCGGTTACTGCTTCATCGGCTGCGGCTGGACCCCGCCGGAATGTGCAGGAAGACCAACCGACAGAGACTGGTCCTGCACCCTTGACAACCTCCAACGACGCGACCAAGCACTCCAACTGGTACGACGACGAATTAAGTGAAAAGAACCTCTTGGGCACAACGAGGGCTCGACCGGCAGAGGGTGCGCCATCGGCGCCCGACGGCACCTACAAAGGCGCGGCGAACTACTCGTCGTTCATCCAGAAGAACCCCAATGCACCCACGAAGCAGTTCGGGCCCATCAAGGCGCCGACCAACGTTCGCACAGTGACCGTCATGGATTTTGCACCTGATGTTTGTAAGGATTGGAAGCAAACTGGTTTCTGCGGTTTTGGAGGTATGTTTGTTTAGCCTCGTCCTGTTCAAGACCTTGCCCTAACACCGCGACACAGATTCCTGCAAGTTCCTGCACGCGCGAGAAGACTACAAACAGGGCTGGGAGCTGGACCGGGAATGGGAGATCGGTACTAAGGGGAAACAGCTGAGCGGTCGGGTGGTATCGAAACGAAGCGGTGACACCAAGACTGCGGAGGACGATGAAGATGACGATGACGACGAGCTTTTGGAGAGCATCCCATTCGCCTGCATCATTTGCAAAGAGTCTTACAAGAACCCGATCATTACAAAATGTGGCCATTACTTCTGCGAGTCGTGCGCTCTGCAACGGTACCGGAAGAACCCCTCTTGTGCTGCCTGTGGGGCAGGGACGGGCGGTGTCTTCAATGTCGCGAAGAAGCTCAATCATTTGCTGGACAAGAAGCGAGAGCGCGCACGAAGGCTACGGGAGCAGGCGATCGCAGATGGTGAAGAAGTCAGTAGTGATGAGGAGGGAGATGGTGGAGAATCAGAGTGATTCGTCTTAAGACGACCTGCGGCTGGCCGCAATGCATGCTATAATGGCCCACCATATTGTATTCTAAACTGCGGCGTATAGTCTCATGATGAAGAGCGATTGTCCGAGTATTTCGTAAGATTTTTGTTCATGTTGATGTGTTTTGCTATGACTACGAGGTATCGAAAGAGGATGCTTTGTGGCTTTGACTAGCACGATAAACTTCGACACTGTCTCAGTCATACTGAAACCTAAGATCTTCTTGGCTGGGGACAGAAACCCCTCGGACTCATACTCCGTACTATGTAGATAGGTAGTAGTTATAAATAGTACTCCTTCGCACATCTGAAACATCGATGACAATTAGACGTTGGGGGCCGAAGTATCATCAACAGACGAAGCCTCCAAGGCCCCAACAGGCAACAATATATACTGCGGCCAGTGGCCACATCATCTCAATAATGAATCAGGCGGTGTCTGTGGGGGGGAAAAATGAGAGAAGAAGAGAAGTTCAAAAACTCAGCTATGCTTGTACGGCACAAGTATCCCAAATCTTGCCCATCAAAACCTCTAGGGACTTAGATAGACTCCCATTTGCCCCTCTTGCTCTCGTCCTCCAAGCATCTATCTATCTACTACTGAAAACCTCTGACATTCCATCTTCTCCCCACCATACGGTATCACTTGGCCATGTTGCCCCTTGGCGTACGAAAGATGATAGTCCAGAACCCACTCTGATCAACCCAACGGTATTGACCCTGTTGATTATTGGGATATCAAAATCAAACATCGGTGCTGTGGCCAGTGATTGCGTCCATGCACAGCCATGCTCATCGCCACTCTGGATTCGACCACTGTCGTGGAGGCTGTGAAGCGCAAACCATGGCTGTCGATCCAAATCCATGGAAGCAGTTTAGATATCCCGCATACGTAGTAGTGGTGGTCTCTGGGTCCAACTATCCCCCAAGTCCAACGAACCTTGGGTCTTGTCGTTGGTCATGGTCCTTGGATGACAGACAGTCCTCGCCTCATGCGCACAACTGCCACGTAAGGAGAAGTCAGTTTTCACGATTTACTCTGTAGTCGGCCACCACAGGTGCCACTACCGAACAGAAAGGAGAACTCCCTTTCCCCCCTAAACGATGATAGACTAGCTGAACTGCGCGCAATCCTTTTTAATCTCCACTTCTGCGCTGTCGTGGGCGCCAAGCTTCCCCGCTAAAGTCGCTAAACAACGGGCCAGAGGCCTAAAATGGGGGAGCTGCAACGCCGACTGGTCGACCCCTGGGTGCTGGAGGGCTTTACTCCTTAAACTTTGGCTAGTGGCTCTGCTAGTGCTAAGTGGTCGCAGACTCACAGACCCCCCTAGGCCCTAAATGTCGTGGGCCTCGTATGCTCGTGGTCCTTTCCAGTGGGGGAGGATGAGGGCTCCCACTCCCTGTCTTCCAGAATCAGAGATTGAGACCCAGGGACTCATAGGAACTATCTAGGAAGTGATTGTTGAGTGCTGACGCCTGACGCCTGACAGCTCCCCCCCCCCCCGCGGGACATTTGGGGGCAGACGCAGAGACGAAAATCATTCCGCTGGCCTGGCCAATAATGGATAACCGGTGTGGTGCTTTGTCCGGGGGCGTTGTTCTGTTGCTCATACAAAGTCCGTTCCTTCGACTCTCCTTTCTTCTCAGTCTCTTCGAGTCGGCTTGCTTTCGTTTGAAGATTACACTGTGGTCAACAAAGCTAATTATTTTTTATAATTCCCTTCAATTATAATTTCCTTGTCCATATCTCTGCTTCAGAATAGGGCTGGTTCCTTCACCCAATGGCTGCATTTGGTCCTTGATCTCTCTTGTTGCTCTGACTCTTTCTCCTTTCTTACGTCTGTCTGTACCTTTTGGATGATTTCTTGTTAATCTACTTACTTGGGGACCACCGACGTGGTCGTACTATCGCGATGAAAAGCTGGACTCGAGTTGTATTCTGCGCGGCTTTGCTGCTCCTGATCCCTTTATATCTCCTGAAGCTTCATCTGGAAGACTTCTACGACCAGTATAGTGCAGGCACATATCTGGTCGACTGGGTCAGGTCGCGCTATTTCCAGCAAGGCCCGCCAACAATCCCCCACGGACGAGTGGGCGACAAAGTCATCGTCATGGCGAGACTGGAGGAAGAACACACGGAGTGGGTTGAGCAAGAACTACCAGAGTAAGTCCCACTGCGCCTTGTCCCTCACCCTCATCCTTCGCCTTCGCCTTCGCAGCACAAATTGACATCGAACCACCACGTCCTCCAGCTGGCAACGCGCAATCTACATCGTCAACCCCTCCAAAGCCACCGCTGCAGACAATCACAAACTCACCACCCCGCTCAACAAGGGCCACGAGTCCATGGCCTACCTCACCTACCTCATCGACCACTACGACGCCCTCCCCGCCACCATCGCCTTCCTCCACTCCCACCGCGCCGGCTTCCTCATGGCCTGGCACGTCGACGCCCCCCTGCACGACAACGTCGCGGCCATGCGCGCCTTGCAGCTCGACTTCGTGCAACAAAACGGCTACGTCAACCTCCGCTGCAACTGGAATCCAGGCTGCAAGGCCGACCACCGCCTGAACCGCCACGTTACAGAGAGAGTCTGGGCGGAGATCTTCGAGGGAACGAGCACGCCGCCGCTGAACTCGTCATTGTCATCATCATCATCATCGTCGTCGTCGTCGTCGTCGATGCTGGACGCCCAGCAGCAACAGCAGAAGTTCCTCGCGAAACCCAAACATCTCGGCGCCGCATGCTGTGCGCAGTTTGCCGTCTCGCGGGAGCAGGTCCTCCGGCGGCCACAGGCCGACTATATCCGGTTTCGGCAGTGGGTGATCGATACGCAGAAGGACGATGCGGCGAGTGGGCGGGTGATGGAGTTTCTGTGGCATGTGATTTTCGGGAAGGAGGCTGTGTAGTAAGTTCTGCCTGCAGTTTCGCTACTACTGTGTACACTGTTTTTTCTTTCTAACTGTTACGCAGTTGTCCCGACGAGGAAGTGTGCTACTGCCAGGTGTACGGGAAATGCTAACAACATCTGAGAGGGCGGGGGGGGGGGTACGCTTCTGGATATATGCGGCGGTTTTGCGGTTCTTTTTCCCTTTCACTCTTTTAGTTTCCCTCACGGGATGTTTCAACATGGCGTTCATAGACGGTTGTCTTCTTGATACCCACGTCGGTCTGGACTTGTGATTATGGTTGGGCTTGCTTGTATATAGATATAGATATGTGACAAATTTATACGTTGTAACACCATGGATATCATGGCAACAGATGTATACAACTTAACTTCGAATGGAAATGGAACCCTGGGGTCTACACGCGAGTTCTTCGCTTCCAGGATAAACCAGATTCAATCCATTTATTTATTCATTACATCGTATCTGCCACACAGAAACCCCCCTCCCCCCCCTTCTCACTTCGACTCCAAAAACTCCTCCACCCGCTCCAAAAGATCCGCCTTCTTTCCCGCTGCAGACCGCCCATGCGCCGTCAGAAACTCCTTCAGGGTAGCTACGGTAAGCTGGGTGGAATGTCAGCACTGTCGTCGTAAAAGCGCGCGCGCAATGGAGAATGAGAATGAATTCACCTTCGACAAACTCCCCTTCTCGAAAAGTCGGCGAACATCCTCATCGACGCCTTCGGGCCCACTCTCTGCTTTCACCTTCTTCGCCGGACGGCTGGGGAGGTCGTCGGTCTCGGCGGCTCGGTCTTTGGCGGTGCGTTTCACCAGGGTACTTTGGGGCGCGTGGGCGGATGTCGTTGCATATTGTTTTTCGAGTTCGTCGGCCCACGAGAGGACGTAGTCGCCGGCGCGCTGGGGGGCTATGTTAGGACCAGCTGGGGCTGTGTGGAGATTGGGGTACCTACTTTGTCGATTTGTCGGTATTTCGGGACCGTCTTGTCCTCTGGCTTTTCGGGGAGGTCCTCGTCTAGGGCTAGGGCTTGCAGAATGCGATAATGCCATTGGAGCGCTGAGAGGACCATCAGCATCTTAAGTCTGTGCGGCCTCGAAAGGGAGAGAGTATGTGAGAGTACTCACATGGATTAGGATATTTTTGCGGCTCGTACATCGCCTTTGGCAGCTGCAGTTGTTGGATGATAGTCCGCATTTGATCGATCAACGGCTCCGGCGCCACATTGAGGCTGGTTTCGGGATTCTGTCGAACATCATCTGCGAATGGGAGCGGGATAATCCACATTCCCGGAGGGAACTTCTGGACGTCATTCTCGTCAACCTTTTCCTCGCCTGCGATCAGGGCGCCCAGCACCGGTGCTGCATTTTTGCGCGGAATGAACCACACCAAGCCCACCTTTTGGTCCTTCAAGAGTTTCTGGTGGAGAGCGGAGAACACTCGGGTGGAGCCCACGTAGTCTTCCTCGGAGGGATAGATGAAAAACGGATGTTTGACGTTGGCCCAGAAGGGAAGCGCTGAGAGTGGCTTGAAGCCGATGATACGGATCACCGGATCCCCAAAATTCCGTAGCGCTTTCTGCTCCTCGGGCGTAAATGAGATCTGCTCATTGCCAAACTTGTATGCTTTTCGGATCTCTGATTTCTCGACCGTGCGAGCAGTGTCATCGGCGATCTGGGTAGTTACACCCTTGACGATCTCGGGCTTCTCGCCCCCAAGCCAGACATAGCAGCTTCGCGCAGGCTCCTGGCGTTTGAACAAGAGATAGCCAGTCACAGAGATCTTGAAATTGGGTCCGATCTCTAGAGGCATATTGGAGAAATGTGCTCGCCGCGGAACCGACCGGGAATTGATGCTAGATAGCAGACCGTTCAGCAAAGAAATTCCATCTCTCGAGGTAGTCGATGCCTTTGAATCAGCCTGCAAGTACGCGGGCGCCTCTACATCGTTTGGGGAGGCCTTGTAAATGATATCCTGTATGACATGAGCACAACCAGCTACTTGACTTGAGAATCCATTTTGGAGTTCCTTACGTCATAGAATTTGGAGCTGTCAAACTCATGTTCAGGTTGAGAGATCGGAAACAATTCGATTACCACACCCAGGTCGTAGAGATCCTTCGCACGAACAGTGGCAGCTGAGCGCTGACTCTTGTTGTCCCCGTGCGGATTATCGTTATCAGTGACGATAAACAGCCGCCGGGAGAGGAAGTTCGGTGCCTTGGAGGTAAATATCTGGTTCGCACAGAACAGTACATTGGCCATCGAGACCCGTTCTTTCGATGGCACAAGCACCTCTCTTGCTGCCCCTTCGTCCTCTGCCAGAGCACGAAGGTCTTTGACCTCCCGTGCCGAGGGAACATCGAGGTCTGTGAAAAGGTAGCAGTGGGGATACGACAGATCGCCGCGGCTGTTCTCGTCTTCATCATAGAACTTGGACGCCTGCGTCCCGTAGAGAAGCACACCGATCATGTCACGAGGATTAGATATGATGCGCTGCTGCATCAGGTGGTATGCACATTTCAACGCTGCAGTGGCTGGTGATTCCACTACTTTCTTCTTGGGATCCGACAACGGACGTGGCGTTATCATGGAATCGCTGATTTCAATTGCAAAGAGGACAGCATCCTTGACCGTCTTGTAGCCCTGTACAGAACACTTAGCCTAGAGAATTTCTTTACCAAAGGATGAATCTCATACGGTTTCATCAATCTCCTCTTCTTCCTCTGCAGCTTCATCATCACGAAATGGATTCTCATCCGCCATAATTAAGTAGATAGTCGAGAGAATTGACGTTGAGGATAATATGATACAAGAAAAAAAAAAAAAAAAAAAAAGAAGAAGGAATCCGAAGAAGATATTACGATGGAAACAACAAGATATACTCTGTAGTATAGTTAGTTACTACCACCTCTCCCTTCTCTGCCTACTGCTTTGCTGCCTGCTGCTCTTCCCGCCTTCACGAGCGGACGCGAATTCTCCCAATGACAGTGACGCGGAGGAGACACGAACATCACGTGCAACCGCCAAGACTTGATTACCCCAGGTGGACGCTGATTGGCTAGTCACTGAGTGCACTTGTAAGGTAATAGGTTGCTCCGTCATCAATCCGGTTCTGGGCTCTCCCGATGCCGATGGGAAAGGTAAAACATTGCACGATCAGATCGATCACTATCGATTTGGCCACGATCATTCTTTCAACACCACAGTGGTTCTTTTTCGGGCTTCCTGAGTTTGGTCTCAACTTGCTCTCCCACCTCTTATGGTTTTCAATCGCTGGACAAGCATCACCACATCAATCCATACACAATAGCTCCTCATCATGGCCCTCCGCCGACCGTTTGCGCTCCCTCGGCACTTGCTAAACGGACCTTGCTCTGGTTCCCGATCAATTGTGCCTCGCACTGCTTTTATACACAATCAGGGGCACAGGAAAGGTCTTGCGACAGCAGTCCCCCCGGTCACGCAAGATGCAACCGGCTCCAAAGGACCTACCGCAATGGTTTTCCTCAACATGGGCGGCCCGTCGACAACTAGTGAGGTGGAAGATTTCCTGAGCAGATTATTTGTATGCACTGTTTCCGATAATCGATTCCCTCCCTCAGCAAACCTCAAGCTGACCTTTGCCTCCCCCATGCCGTCTAGTCCGACGCCGATTTGATTCCTCTGGGCCGACTACAATCCTATCTCGGCCCCCTCCTTTCTAAGCGGAGAACCCCGATGATTCAAAAACAATACTCGGATATCGGGGGTGGTTCTCCCATCAGGAAATGGTCAGAGTATCAGTGCGAGGAGATGTGCAAGATCCTAGATACGATCAGCCCTGAAACGGCACCACACAAACCATATGTTGCTTTTCGATACGCCGACCCCCTGACTGAGGAAATGTACACGAGGTTGTTGGAAGACGGGTTCGGAAACGGCAAAGGGGGACGCGCTGTCGCCTTTACACAATACCCCCAGTACTCATGTTCTACAACAGGCAGCTCGCTGAATGAGTTGTGGAAATGGCGGACCAGACTGGAAGGCAAGCGTGGAAATGGCGACGTGGACCCCTCCGGTTCTATTCAATGGAGCGTCATTGATCGCTGGCCCACGCACTCCGGACTTGTGGAAGCGTTCGCCCGGAACATTGAGGATCAGCTGAAGACGTACCCCGAAGAGAAGAGAGACAGTGTGGTCCTTTTGTTCTCGGCTCACAGTCTACCCATGAGTGTTGTCAATAGAGGTAGGAATCTGCGCCTATTTACAATCATGTTTTCCTCGCTCACAGTCATTCAGGTGATCCCTACCCCGCCGAGGTTGCTGCGACCGTCCATGCCGTGATGCAAAGGTTGAACTTCAGCAACCCATACCGGCTGTGCTGGCAGTCCCAGGTGGGACCATCTGCTTGGCTCGGAGCCCAGACTAGCGATACCGTTGAGCAGTATGTCAAGCGGGGCCAAACCGACATCGTCCTGGTCCCTATCGCGTTCACCAGTGATCATATCGAGACCCTCTACGAACTGGACCTGGAGGTTATCAAAGATGCAAATTCTCCGGGAGTCAAGCGAGCCGAGAGCTTGAACGGCAACCCCATTTTCATCCAGGCGCTGGCGGAAATTGCGCAGGAGCACCTGCGAAAGGGGGACAAGTGCTCGCTACAGATGACCTTGCGTTGTCAGGGCTGTAAGAGCGACCGGTGCTTGGAGCAGAAGAAATTCTTTGCTGGCGAGCAGGCCGCATCCCTTGTCTTATAGGTTTTTGACCGTCTTGGGGGGAGGGGGGGGGAATATGTGTACCATCATTCTTCATGAATCTCTTCTTTCCTGGGGCGTTCGGCTGTAAACGATTACCTTTGTCATTGTAAGCTGGTATCTTCCGTCGAAAAAAATCTTGATACTTTTCATATGCAATAGATAGACTATCATTAGCATGTTACGAGAATACCAAATAATGTTGTCCATCTATTACTATTGAAATCTACTCAAGGAGGACGAATACAGACCTCTCTCTCCCCAACCGGGCCTTTCTTTGCTGTTTGATTAGCCTCGGCACATAACAATGTTTTTGCGTCTTGTTGTTCGAGTTGCACAGCAGGCCCAACAGGACACAACCCCAGCTCTCTCGTGGCATCTTATTTACTTCTCCACGCCACACCAGGGTCAAATATGGATAATCTCGATCAGGCTATCTCTTAGCGTTGTGGTCGGGGTCGGAGTCGGACTGACGCAAACTCCAACGGCGCCAGATCGCTCCAAAGTCCGGTTCCCAGTTCAAGGTCCGAATTGGTCATCATGACTTGTTCATGTTGCGTTCTGTCAGACAGAGAGCTTCTGCATTCTTGGTCGTTTCTTTGCCGAAGCCTTACTCCGTACATTCCGTCAACTCCAAGTCAAAACGGCATCTGCATTCCAGTGATCAACAGTTGATGTTGTCAGTCGTCACTTATCATTGATGCCGCCAAGGAACTCATGACCGTTGAAGCCACTTTCATGTCAATCCACATATAGCCCAATCCTTATCGTTTCGATCAACTTCATTGCTCGCAATGGAGAACGAGGAAGCTTTTGAGGTAGATGCTCAGCTGCACGCCAGGGAAGTTACATCGATACCCAGTGGTAGTCGGAGCACTTCCACAGATCATGGCAAAGGCACAGTCCGATTACATGTCAATGAGCGGACACTTTTATTACGAGGATACGAAGACCCCGAACCTCCCCAGCAGGATGTGGCCGGGCAGAAGCCCGGACTCTGGGCGTTTTGGAGACAACCTCATGTGCGTCGTTCCATTGTGCCTGACTTCCTTCCTAGTTGATGTATTCTGATCGCTGCTAGGTCTTCTGGTTGATTCCGTTTCTCCTTCTATATATGCTAGGATTTGTTGGTGCCGCCGTCCCTAAAATTAACCTTGTCCTCTCGCTCGTCTGCAAGGACTATCTTTCCAAGAAGGCATCCAAGGACCCTACTTTCACGTACCTCCCTGTTATCATTGGGGAGGAGAACCGTCAGTGCCAGGTTCCCGAGGTACAGTCCCTCGTTGCTCGGTTCCAGCTGTATCTCAACTTGATAGCGGGGATCTTGTCGGCGCTGGTCAGTCCACGGTTTGGTCATATATCCGACCGATACGGAAGAACAAAGTTAATTGCGCTATGCGCGTTTGCTACCGTGCTCGGAGAATCACTCACGGTCCTTGTGGCAGCTCGACCGGACCAGTTTTCCATCAACTTTCTCCTAGTAGGCGCTTTTCTGGACGGCCTTGGAGGTTCTTTCACCACAGTCCTGGCGCTCGCCACATCATATGCCTCTGACTGCACTGCTCCCGAAAAGCGGGGTGTGGCATTTGGATATCTGCACGGAGCTCTTTTCGTTGGAATGGCATGTGGCCCACTACTCGCGGCGATTGTCTTGAGAAAGACTGGGGAGATGCTATACATTTTCTCCACGAGTCTGGGATTCCACGCGCTATTCTTCCTCATGATTCTCTTCGTGATCCCGGAATCATTATCGAAGGAGCACCAACAGGCCGCCAGAGAGAAACACCGAGTGAAGGTTTCTCGCAAGGAACCCGTCGGCTTCTGTTCTTCCACTTGGCTCCGTCATCTAAACCCAAAGAATTTCATCACACCGCTCGCCATCCTATTTCCGCCTGTCGGACGCCCCAGCTCGCTCTTCCCTAATCGCAAAGGGGCAACCCCCGCCTTGCGCAGAAACATTATCCTTCTCGCTGCAATTGACACAGTCGTCTTTGGCGTTTCCCTGGGAACTGCTCAGATTGTCATCATCTATGCGGAGTATATGTTCGGCTGGGGCAATGTCGAGTCGAGCATTTTCATCTCCATCATCAGCACTGTCCGCGTGGTTGTCCTGTTCCTAGCCCACCCCATCATTACGCGAATCTTCCACAAGCCAACGACCTCGCAGAGCTTCATCCCTGGCTTGAACAGGGTCGAACTCGTTATCATACAGATCTCGGTTCTTCTCGATATGCTCGGCTATGTGGGATATGCGCTGGGACGAAGCAGCGCTCTCATGACGTTTTCTGGGATCGTCGCCGCGCTGGGCAGTCTAGCAACTCCTACGCTGCAGTCATCGCTAACGAAACACGCCCCTCGTGATCGCGTAGGTCAGATCCTCGGAGCTAAGGGATTATTGCATGCGCTGGCTCGGGTCATTGCGCCTACCGTGTGCAATCTCCTCTACAGCGTGACGGTGGGCAAGTACACCCAAACAGTTTTCGTCACTCTGGCAGCAGTTTTTGGCTTGGCTCTGTGCAGTAGCTTCTACATAACACCACATGGTTTGTCATCATCTCCTCTGTCTGGTAGTATACATCACTAACGCCAAACAGTTTCTCTTGACGATTGTGAACCGAGTAGCCTTCGGCATGAAGCAAATGAAGAGGGTGAGGAAGATGATGATACTCTACTGAATTCTTGACAATATGTAGCTTAATTTTAGACACGGGAGAGGAGCGCTTGATATCTATACCATAAGACTGATAGGCTGGGACTAATCTATAGTTAATCTTTTTGAAAGTACTCCATTCTTGCTTTTGCCGGCTTTACCGTCTCCCGTTAGATTTTCGAGGGATAACACCATTATAGTCTTAACTTTTGTAAAAATCTCGAGGATTCCGTTGGTCAAGTATTTATATAGTCCAAGTACATTCAAAGAGGACGCTAAAAAGGGACAACTTCAGGATATACTGCCATATCACGTGACGTATATCAATATATCATATGATGCTCAGTCCGGAGAGGAACCGGAGGAGTACGGCACGCGGCAACACCACAAGTGCAACAGCTGCAAACTTTCCGCAGCTTCATCGAAAAAGTCCACTGTGACCCGGTCGAAGCTCCCCATCTCAATTGGGCCCACTGCTTCTCAACCATCGCTCTCTTCCAAACAGCGATCATCATATCTTCCAAGATTTCTCTACATTCAGCACTCAATGTCAATGCTTCATAGGTGATGCCCACAGCACCCGCCGCTCGGGGTGCCCACCAGGTTCTACATACACCATGATCTCTAAACCGACCAACGCCCCCCCGGCTGTCCCTTCTCGGAATGCACTCCGGGTGCTACGCAGACTGGCCCTTGCCGGATCAACCGTAGGCAGTTTCTGCACGGTCGCTGCGATCACCTACGATGTGCACCGCCGCGTCCGGGTCGCGGAACGCATTGTTGAGAACAAACGAGCCCTGCAGACCTCGGCGCCGAACTACGATGCCACGTCTGCGGCGAAACGACTAGCCCGGATGATGGAGGCGGCGGAGGCGGGCGAGTTCATGGGTCTGGCGTCGTTGAAGGAGGCGGATCGGAAGATACATCTTGGGCAGTCCACGCAGGATGAGGACGAGCGGCTGTTACAGGGGGAGCGGAGTCATGGGCCCAGTGTGGGTATTGCGGAGTCGGAGACTCTTGTTCAGGCTGAGTCGTTTTTGGAAGCTGCGAGGACAAAACTAGTCGATGCGCTTACATCACAGTCGGAGGTCGGGAGGTTGCCTGGGCAAAGTGGTTGTGTTCCTCCCGACCAGATTCACGTTGCGGAGGGTTTACGGCGAGCAGAAAATGCCATTGGGCGAGGGACATCACGGAGCGACGTGACAATTAATAAGGATATAGCGGTAGAGGGAGCACAATTGCAATCGGATGTCCCGAGACAGATGCAAGAACTCCTCGATCGCGGCCGGCCCATCGAGGCAGCTCAACTATTCTTGGGCGCACATTCCGGTGCGCTAAATGGGATCTCCAAGGATCGGAAGGAGATGGCCCTGAAAGTGTTCTTCGTCAATTGCAAGGAGGATAATGTGTTCATTGCGCGAAGCATTTTCGAGCGTATTGAAGAGGTGGATGAAGTTTCTCTCGTAATGTGGAAAACATTAATGTTGGCCCTAGCGAAGAAAGGCTGCATCGAATCCGTGGCGACCATTTATACGCGCTACATGCACCAATTCGCCTGCCCACCAGAGATGGTGGATGTTGTGCTCCGTTGTCTCCTTGAATCTCACAGACTTACCACAGCAAAATGGTTCCTTTTGAGACATCTCCAGCACGACCGAGACTGTGGCTTGTGCGGGGCCTATCTGTCGGGCCTCTGGAGGAAGACGAGAAGCATCGAACTGATAAACGGACAGCTGAAGAAGATTTTGACTGTTCTTCCACGATTTGAGAAGCTTCCAAGCGATAAGTTGTTCAATCCAGTGATCAAAGCTTACGTCGAATTCGGCAGAGTCGCCGATGCGGAAGCCCTGGTTCACGACATGACGACCATCTATGATCTCCCCCTCCGGTGTCGAACGAAAGGCTTGCTGGTTTATGCTAAGGCTCTCAGTCTCGACTGGGAGGGAGTGGAGGTGGGGCTAGAAGAGATGCATAAACTTCGACTCACAAGGCGACGGCGCGATTTCCTTCCCATTTTCGATCGGATATTCCTCGAATACTGGGTATCGCATTCGGGCCCGCAGATTCGCAATTTCGTCTTTCGGTATCTCGATGAATTCAACATCATCCCCGATAAAGTGCTGTATAAGCATATCCTGGAGGCATTCGTTGAGAAAGGCGACAAGGACATGATCGCGGAACTTACCAGTATGGCGAAGCAGCGGTCGTGGAATATCCCCATTAACGAGCAGGAGTTCATGGAGATTCTGCGATCTCGCCGGCTTGCATTGGAAGAGGCGCCGGTAGGATTCTGGCAAATGTTACAAGCCGCGCGCGTGAAGTACGGGCAGAGCTCTACGTCCCAGCGGATCTTGGGCTACGACCAGCAGTCATTTCCCATTGCAGAAGTCAACAACATGCCCTACACACAAAGTCCCTCATCGTGGTATCAACGAACGCTACAGGAGACGACTCCATCAAGACCTGTGGATCAATATCAAAAGCTTCACAAGCAAATGACACATTACATGCATGTTGGCAAGATGGCAGACGCACTGAAGTGCTTCCAGAACGCTAAAAACGCGCGATATCAGATGAGACAGCTTCATGTCGAGCTGGCTGTCATTGCGACCCTGCTTGAACATGGACTCGATGCGGCTCGCTCGCTCGTCGAGACCGAATGGCGCGGGATCCGTCACCTGGTCCGCTTCTTCCCTATCTTTTTCCGGCAGGTGATGTCCCTGGACCCCGATGCCACTGGAGAGATGATCCAGATCGCCGTCCTTCGCTTTTATCAGATATGCTCGTCGACAAAGAACATGACGGTCAAGCATCACATCACTGTGGGCACGAGCCGACGTCTGATCTCGCAGCGGGAACCCAAGATGGCCCAAGACCTTCTGGCGGCTGTCTACATGTCCCGCTACCGACATGTGGTGCCTTTTGATGGAGTCTACATGAAGATGTTTGCGCGCACCTTTGCAGCAACAAAGAACATTCCTGGCCTTCGGTGGTGTATCCTGACGGCTCTGTCCCGAGAAAGCGCTCTCAACCATGATTTTGTGGTCGAGATTCGTCGGATCTTGGGCACTCTGAGTCCTTCCGGGCCCGGATCTGTCCCCAGCGAGCAAATGGAATACCTACTGTACATTGCCGATCTTTTGGAAGAAAAGAGCGAAGGATGCTCCCCACTTTGGGAAATCAAGCACGACCCGACCCTCAAGGCGAGCTCGCGACAACAGCTGAAGCGACCGCTTGACACGAGACTGCTCTTCAATCAGTCAGACGTCCGAGAGGCGGTCAAAGGGTGGGACGAAGAGTACGAATTGGAGGCGGTACTGGGCAATATCGATACGGATCCGCGCTCAGTAGCGTCACGATGGACCGAGCAACGGTGCCTGAGCCACAAGACGGGTTGTTGACGATCCGTCTGATGCCATTTATTGCCATGATTGACGCCCTGGTCACCGTTTTCACAAGCCTCTGGGCCAAGTCTAGGCCAGGCTCTTGGCTCTTCAACGTACCATTCGTCGGGAGAATGTGAGAACTCTCTATTGTATATACATGACTATACCTTGTCTCACTGTGTACTTTTACTCTGCTGTACCATTTATATTCGTATTAGACTCTTGAATGTCTTTCATAGCGATAGAGCTGAGGTGATGGTGGATAGATGAACGAGAAATATGAAGCCCCTTGGGGGGTCTCCCTTACTCTTAATCCGCCCGCAGGCAGCGACACTGGCTCCCTTCTTCAAATATGCTTCCAGCCAATTACCAGACAGCGAATTCGACTATTTTCGCGCGTTTCACATCGATCGATCAGACGGTCAAGACGGTCTTGAATTCCCTGAGATCATACGGTGTTTGTGTTGTGACTTCTTTCACCAATAATCGGCCGCTGGTGCAAAGCGGAAAACTTTCACATGTCACGCCACTTACGCTTCTTGGCCCCCTTTCCATCGCTGTTAGTGTCTTGTTTCTTTTTTCTTATTTCCTTCCCTCTCTCCAATCCGATCATCATCTATTCGACTGACTCTGGGGTCTCTCAGGAGAAATATGCACTGTGACTGTCGTCAATTACCTCGATTCCTGCAATTTTGTTGACCGTCCCCCCCCCCCCCCCAAAA